CGTGGCTCGAAGCTTCGTTCCCCTGAAGATGTTGAGACCCCGACCCCAAAAGCAACTCCCATGGACCGGAACGGAGTGCACGACTCAGTCGTAAACATTCCAATTCCTCCACCAACGTGGGCATCTGAACGCTCCAATGGAAGCGTCCCCTCAATGGCTCAAGTTTCTCCACCTCCCGGCCCCAGCGGAGACGCCATCCATGTACCTCCAGACTTTCTTCCCCCCATCCCTGGTTCACCGAACAGCGACCAAACGATTGTTATAGGCAATGTGAATTAATTCTTCCAATCATTCCGATGACCATCACAGTGAACCACCATACTGTGGCTCAGCCTCGAGCTTGAGCCTGGACCATGTATTTGTAACACTATCTGACGAATCTTAACTACTGGGCTGCATCTCGAACACACATGGCAATGAGTTCCCACTGTCAGAACAAGGCATGAATGCCTAGGAAAACGCGTATTGGCATACTGAAAGATATATGCTTCGACGTGAATCTCCTTTAAACATTTTGTTATCTACTTCAGTGGGTTCGTAAACACTGAAGCAGACAAGCGAACTAAGACATCACGACGTTGGGAAGCATCAGACTTATAGCTGATGGGGAGATTTTCTGAACCTTTGACTATTCACATCACCGGCCGTTGGTCGATGGGGCGTCACCAGGATATAAGCCCAGTTGACGAGTGGCCATAACAATAACTCAGTCTCCGGAATGAGACCTGAATATATTAGCTCTAACCTATAGCCATAATTACATGGAAGAATTATGATGTATCTGATTTTAAAATAAGGCTATGACGCGGACACTCAGACTCGTAGACGAGATCCAAAGATACACTCAACTGTACCTGTGCCGCGGACACTGCCTGAATAAAGTGCATTGATAAGTAAAACAGAAAAGAAATAGAAGAACGTGTGCATTCTCACCTCAGACTCGTCGAGGGGAGAGATGGTCCAAAAAAATCTCCCTTTTTATACGGGTTCTACGCCGGTGGTGAGCCGGTCATACAGAGATAGAAATAGTCACCACTCCTCATTGTTTGTAATAGTCGTTGATATTCCAACAGAGGGCTCCACCCAATCGATATTTTAGTTATTTCCTTAAATTGTGGGGAGTAAAAGGAAAAGGCTAGAGGGACACAAAATGAAAGAGAAATATGAGACAGGAGGAAAGTATGGCAATCGAAAGAGAAAAAGTGGAGGGAAGCGTGACATGTGGTTCTTTTTGGGGGTGAGTTCTTTCTTTTTTCGCTTGCTTTTTTGATGTGGCCTTTTGACAGTCCAACGGCATAATTGAGCAAAAGTCGATCGGGTTCATGTGTCTCATCTACCTCATCCTGTTTAGGCAATATGTCAGCGGTTTCACGCATGTGATCTTCACTGGGTCTCCACTTTCTCACGCAGAGCGTCATCATTTGCCTAGACACCCAAACGGCCATCAGCCTCCTCGGCGACACACATTGTCCTGGCCATCCTCAACCTCCGCGATCTCCAACTCTCGCACCCAAGGCTAAGAGCCCACGACCATGTCCGAGGGCTTAATGGATTGGTCCCTATCAGCTGCCAGGAGAAGCTCTGTTTTTAGGATTCGGCGCTCACGGCTAAAACGGCGGCAGGTGGCGAAGTGGTGTTCGACTGTTTCCGGTTGTCGGCAGAGGGGGCAGTTAGGTGAGTCTTGGCGTGTCCTTTTTTTGGCTAGATACGCCCCGGGCCGTACGGCGATGTGCGCTGAGAAGAGCACCGAGGAGGGAGTGAGGCTGAGACTCTAGCGAAGGTGCCAGGCCTTTGAATTCGTCGGTGGAAAGCAGCTTTTATACCCTGTGGTGGCTCGTTTGATCTATGCTTGCGCAGGAACTAGCGTGTAGAAGCGAAGGAGTTAGGGAGATGTCGTGTGGCGTGTGGCGTGTGGCGCTGGGCTCGGTGGCTTTCTTGGCAAGTGAATCAGCTTTCTTCATAACGACCGGGTACCCGTTCTACCAGCTGCTCTCTCACCTAACGCTATACATCAGGAGCACCGGCCGCTTCCCCCATCGCCTGCCCCGGAGAACACGTAGGAGTCCGCCTTTCCCATTCTTATTTGCCCCGAATTAATGCTCGCACAAATACTTAGCTTTCTCTTTCCGCTGGCACCAATCTTTCATATTCGATAGCCTCACGATAATGCACCCCCGCGAACGCACACCAAGGTGCCATGAATCCTACTTTGTGTTAACAACCTCAGCCTCATAGTACACCCGAATACTCTCAACTACTCACACTCGACATTTCCATGTCCTATAATTTTGGCTCCTTCCTCCTTTATAGTACGGCATATGCTGACAGGCACATAAAATAAATACAACAACGTCTTTCACACCTTATAATCAATCTTCGTGGAAGGGCGTCGAACACTCATTCAACTGCCACCCCCATAGCCGAGAAGCATAACCAACCGCCCGCTTACAAGCTATTTTAAAATAACCTCCAAGCGCGAACTTCGGTGGTTTGTCCGAACAATGGAAATCTCGCCAAACACAGCAGTTTAGTACAAGTTAGTACAAGTAGTTTAGACTCTTAAATGGTATGGGTCGGCTATACATATATATATTAACTATTATTATCTCACACGGCTAACAATCAGTCTATCTTCCAATAGACCTACCCCAGCATAGAGTATGATCGATCTCCAAATTTCAAATAGGCTTATCCGAAAATCTGGAGCGCCACGGAACTTTTCGTCATCTGCGTGCACTGCTTGAGTAAGGTCAATGCACCATGGTCAAAGAGTGATGTGCAGCTAAGCATCTTTCCGAGTTCAGAAGCTATCGAAGAGGTGGGAGTGGCGCATGCCCCTTCCTCGACGCCGTCTTCGACGATAAGGGTGCGAAGATCCTTAGCGATCGCATATGAGACGAATTCATCTCCGCCCGCCCGACTCTACTCAACTTCCAAAAGGGTTTCGCTCTGTGGGGGTGCTGGGGATGCCCGGCTAGGCACGCTCGAGCAGCGCTATTTTTTCCTAGCACATATAAAAAGACAGTCCCTTCTCAAATTTCTCCGCTCCCCCCGTCGGCGCACATTATGGTTACCAAATGTTCAAACCTTGATCGCATTGACCCCCCCTGCTTTAAGAACAATTTTGACTTGCGTGCTGGTCTTATCGTGAGCCCTTTTGTTGATCGCATGTCTGCTATCTGACGTTTCCTGGAGCTCGTGGCTGAAGGTGGCCTAATGGCTTCCATTCTCCCGTTTTTACTCCTCATTTACTCTCTGGTGAGCCCTTCGCAGTTGTGCCCGCTCAGGCACATTAGTAATCTTTATGACTCCCGATAGAAACAAACATACAAAAAGTATCGTAGCAGGAATAGTACATCAGCCTCCAAAGTTGAACCTGGGCTCCAGCCTATATCAGTCTTGTTTCTGTGTAGTGTTTTCGGGGACATGATGTCAGTCTCATATGAACAAGGTCATTCGTCACTCGGTGTCACTCACCGGACCTTTTTCAGCTGCGGACTAGGACATGCTCTTTCCATCAGGTGGGTGCTCGCAGGTGAAATCACCGAGGGCCCATATTGTACAGTACAGGCGGTGTTCATGCAGATCGGGAGTAACGGCACCGGTATGTCGACTTGTACTTCATTGACCGCCAATGTCTAAGGAACCGACTTGTCGCCAGCATGGTTTACCATGGCAATTGCGGTATTGACATACCTTCAGGTAGTTCACCCGACCTTGTTAGGCAAAAGTGGAGCAAAGATTTTTGCAGCGGGATGCGTTTGCTTTACAACCGTATTCACCCTGTTGATCATTGCGATTCCTGCTTCGATTGACCGTTCATATTATGGCAACTCTGGGTAAGGATCGCACATGATGTCTCATATATAGCTCATCCCCACATTCCAGGTTGTGGTGCTGGATCGCTGGCGGAAATGCTAGCCGCCAGAGGTTACGATTCGGTAGGTCTAGGACAGCTTGGCTGCGGCGATACCCGTGGAACTGAATCTGGATTGCAGCATCACAATATGCGTGGAACTGGCTTGCGATAGTGGTATCGATTGCTGTATATAGTTGGATAGCATACAAGTGGTTACGTCAAGCACCTTTTTGTGCTTACTATGACCTTAGACGGGCTGCGATTGCTATGGGATGGTATCCTATTTGTGAGTGCAATCATCATATAAGCCGAACCCTGGCTCACCTCTTCTATTTCAGCTTATATTCTCGTCTTTATCCCTCTATCTACGATTCGTTTCCGTCAGTTCCATGGCCATCGAGCAACCCCTGCCCAGCGGATCTTTCCCTATGCCCTTGGTGCCTCACACGGTGCCATCAACGTCATTCTGTGGCTTTTGACTGGCAGACGTTTCGGATTCTCGCCCAAAAAAAAGCATGTTTCCCCTGAAGATGTTGAGATTTCGACCCCACAAGCAACTCCTGCAGACGGAAATGATGTTCGCGACTCGGTCGTAACTATTCCACTTCCCCCCCCCAACGTGGACGTCGGAGCGCCCCAGTGACAGCATCCCCTCAATGGTTCGGGTTTCCTCGTCTCCCAGTCCCAGCGGAGGCGGCATTCATGCGTCTCTTGGCTCTCTTTCCCCTATCCCTGGTCTACCGAACAGCGACTCAACGATCATGATAGGTAATTGATCGGTGATCATCGCAAACCACCATACAGCCACTCAGCCCAGTGTTTGAGCCTGAGCTCATGTATTTGTAACACTATTTTGACTCTGCTAACTGCTGGGCCGCATCTTCAATACATATGGCAGCAAAATTCTTGCCGTCAGAACTAGGACTCTTAACAATTCGGTTTCGGTTAGAAACCGAGCCTAATGATTGCCTTGTGCTGTTTGAATACCCAGCATGAAGGCACAATAAAATGCGTCAAATGGAACTGGTAATTTTGTCAGTGACGGCTCGGTTTCTAACCGAAACCGAATTGTTAGGAGCCCTAGTCAGAAAAGGCCCGAGCATCTGGGGAAACTGCCTATCGGCACGCTGAAACGAAAGTAGAGATATGCTTGGGAGTATGATGTGAACTTCCCAACTCAGCGGGTCTGCGAACACTGCAGGATCGGAGGCAAGCGAACTGGCAGGACATTGCGTTGGAGAAGCATCGGACAGCTTCCAGCTGATGGTTGCTCGTGATTTTCCTGGCATTGTAACTATTTACCCTACCCTACCATCATGATATATACCCAATACATTTACTAATATAATGTAGTGTTGGTGCCACGGGTTGTGGAGGAGGGATCGTATGAAGTGGCTCGTGTACGTGTGCCCTCGCTCGCAATTGTACCCTCTTTCATTGTTTGATTTCAGCGTCCAATACCCTGGTATGTATTTTATGGTTGATCAGTCAGTAATAAACATACACACGAATACAAACAGCAAGAAATAAAACTGTCCATTTTCTTTTTTTTTTAACAGAAGTTCAAGCGGCCCATACGAACAAACGAAAATAAGTCCATCGGGTATATATCTCCCTATCGGTCGCCGCATATAGGGAATATCAACTCAGTGAGAGGGAATGCAGACATGGCGTATCCCTCTTGTCACACATTACACCTGATTTTAACTACCACCAACTTCACTGTTTCTCCCGCAGGTACCCTGACGGAAGCACGTTCCCTCTCAAACCATGTACAGATGTCGACGATGATCCGGTCTGATTTGGATCTAGTGCATTATATTCCGGTAAAATCTCCCCACCAAGTTGCGGATCGTCCAACTCGGTTGAGGCGTTCCAGTTGGGCTGGTGTTGTTGAGGCTCAGGGGATTCGACTCTCCTATCATACGGCAAGCCTTGTACGCTCCCCTGATCAGTAGGTGAAGTCGTAAATGCACTCCCGTGTTGCGCGACGTTCGAGTTCACGCGAAGGAAATCGCGTGTCGGAGGTGGGCTGGAAGCTGGTGGGGAGGCCGTATGCACCGGAGGAGTATGAGAAGTTGGATAGTGTGTTTGATCCTGAGCGTAGGGATCATAATAGTCTGTCTGTTGGCGGTGCGATGTTACATAAGGATCGAAAGAGCCTGCTGTGGCTAGGACAGATTGTTGGGCATAAATATCGGGTATGCGCGGTTCAGGTGATTGAGCTGGGCTAAGATTCGAGAATTGCTGCGGTGTCGGCTGCGAATTTTGGCGGCGAGGCCCGAATATTTGTCCCGGAGCTGCGGAGTCTGGTTCATGATGAAAATCGATGACATCAGTCTTTACGTCTTCTCTTCGAGTAGAACCCATCCCTCTACACTTACAAGTATTTTGTGGACCATACGGGTCATACGGGTCAGTGCCCTGTCGTGTAGGTGCCAGGTTCGAATATGGAGAATACCCCAATGAGGTTTGCCGCTTTGGATTTGGCATTGCAGCAGCTCCCACTGCGACGACCGTCGGGAAGTTCATCGGGTCAACGTTGCTCCCCTGTCCATAATTCTGCCCATATGCTTGCGAATGCACAGGTTCGGGAGTCTGAGGCACGCCTGGGTTCGGCAGATTATTGTAATTCGTTTGAGAAGGTGGTGAGCCATAACGGGTTGCTGCTGCTGCAGTGCCAGTGCCAGCAACATATCCACCCGGCATATTAGGTACGGCAGTATTTGGGTCCGTGCTCCAAGAAGTGTCAACCGCACGGGTTCCAGGAGTCCCTCCCGCATACCCACCAGGAAACGGCCCAGGTTCTTGGGATGGTTGTCTCCGTGGCGAATTATTAGCGAGAGTGGTAGGATAGCTGCCTTGAGGAATGTTTGAGTGGTTCGGAGGGAGATACGAAGGTCCCGTCTCCAGGTAAACGTTATCGCGGGTGAGAGGAGTACGTTCATACTCCTGGAAAGTAGGCAGTCCAACCTCTCTCTTTCCATCCCTAGCTCGAGATTTACGCTCCTCCTCTGCCCGCACAGCATCCAGTCGTAAAGCTTCGGATTGAGGGTTGAAACCACCCTTCACATCATCCTCTTCATCACGGCCACGTTTGCGCCTTCGTTCATAATCGGGACCCCTTGTGGTAATGCAGCATCGCCCCAAACTATAAACGCATCCTGATATGAATAGCAAAATCCACGCAGCCAGGGTCATCCAGACGGCAACTCCGAAGCTGGCACTACCGCCCTTAACACTGTTGATGCGTTTTTTGACAACGAAGAAAAAGATGATATCGAATATGAAAGCAAGAAGGCAGATGGCGGCGCCGAATCCAGAGATGCACGTGGAGAAACAAGACATGCTGAGCTCCCTTACGTGAGCGAGCAAACCGAACAGAGCAGAAATGCCAGCTGCGACGAGGGCCACAACATGAAGCACAAGGGCATATGTGAGCCATTTGACGACCACGGCGGGAATTTCGATGGGTGTTTTGTTGCCTAAGAGTGAATTTGGATCTGTTGTGAAAGAGCGTGAAACTCGGCGGGAGAGTCATAGAATCGTTGCACAGGAAAAGAACCAACCGAACTCATAGCCAATGGAGGGTTTTGAACATGTAACATTTCCAGGAAGATTTAGACAGTAACCAAGAGTCCCGAGTGTTATACTGCCGGTGACGCCAGAATCCGACAGACTGGCTTTCAAGAAGTAGATGCTTTTGAAGTACGGTACGCAGAACACGACGATGACAAGTAGCACTGTCGCTGCGAGAGTTGTAAGAAAGCCTGGTGTGGCTGGACGAATGATCCCCATGCCTGATGGAGGTCGATGGTTAGGAAGGAGAGGAGTGCGGCGACGGCTTAGTTGTTACTGGTTCGTTTAACGTCAAATAAATTGATTAGACGCATAGCCTGCGCAGCATCCGGCGAACGCCGAATCTGGATATTGCGCAGCTCTTCGGCCACCGTTGTCGGCCACACACACACAGCTGATCGACTTCAAGAATATCATCGGGGAATAACAATATTAATGTATATTTTTGGAACCACGTTGCCCCGGATCCTTCCTCCAGATCATCGGAATTTGCCGGCTGTGTGGTGACACCATGATCTTCCAAGTGCAATCAGGCCTGCTGCAACTGTAGTCAAAACTTGATGAGATGCTGATGGAAGAGAGAGGGAAAGGACGATGACAACTATAACAATGATGAAAAACTATCTAACAACTGTCTAAAAGCTGCGAGTGACAAGCGACCTGACAAACCCCGTTCAAACTACTGCTTACAGCTCAGTGCATGCAACCACTCATGATTCATGCTTCGACCATTCAGGTCCGGTTTACCATGGTTTCCAGGAGGTACAGCTTTCCGTAATTGTATCTACTAAGGCTTAGCTTTCCCTCAGTGAAGGGTCCTTCCACACTTGGTCTCTGTATGGTATCGGGCTAGCTTAATATTTTTCAGGGCTGCATGCATGCCCGCGGAAAATTCTCTGATGGGAGGTGTCAGGTATAATCTTGCCTGGAAGCGTTATCCTGGCGTTCTGCCCAAATTATCGAGGACTTTAACAGTATCACATAATACACAATGTTATGTGGAGCATTTGCACCCCTGCGTGTGCTGAATTCCGAAAAGGCGTTGGTGACACTCGGTAAGTACGTATTCCAGTAGGAAATAGGTTATGCAAAGGAAAGGAACCTTGGGCTCTACCCCTCCTGTCATCGGGACCTCAATGTCTAACCGAGTTGTGACTAACAACCTGATCGCGCCCCCATTCGACATACAGGATGAAGGAAGATATGGCAAAGATCTCGGGTCAACATTCCCTGATTAGCATTGGGAATATCGTCTCCCCCCCTCCCGTTCTTGGGTGTAAATTTCATTTTACTGAATACGGGTACCTATGGACTCGGTCGGTGCATCTGGACATCACCTTCCTTTCAACATCAAGTCGGGGTTTAAGGGACAGATTTTCCGACGTCCGTTTAATGTTGTTTGCGGCGCTGGGATACTCCGAATCGGTCCGATCATTCTTTGCCGTCGTTCGCGCTTTCTCCAGCCAGATCTTTGCACTTCGCACGAGCCATAGATAGCTTTGAGCGGGGTGATACTCCGCAGATTGTCCCCAGAGTTAACTTTCCGCTGTGGGTTTTTGGACTTCGAGTTCTTCATGCCATCGTGACCAATAAACGAAGTCAATGGGAAATGTATGAGTATATAAACCCTGGACTTCGCGCGCTACAATCAACTCCCTCACTCTCGTTTTCCCTCGTCAACTTTGTGCGCTTGCCCTTCCCGAGTCTGTAGATCCGCAATCTGTAAACCGATTTCTCACTCGGCCTCCGCCGAGTGGCGCGCATTGCGGAACAAAAGACTAGCGAAGACAAGCTCAAAAACTTCACTCGTTTTCCTCATATAAACCACCACCCAATCCAGGCCTGAAACATTGGTCGACCGCTCCTTCTCCCTCGTCTCCCTCAACAGTCATCCTGACCGTTAGGACATACCAGCCAGCTGAGCCAGCACACGGATCCTAGACTGCCGTCACCATGATAGACAACGAGGTATCCACTTCTCCACACGCACCTCCTCCATTCCACGATTCCGAAGGTGATCCCGTCCCATCATACCAACGCATAAACCGAAACCCAGAAACGCTCGCCAGATACCTCTTCCGTTTAGGTTTCAGTAAGCTCTCTTCACCACTCCGTTCGATATCTAACAACACCCTCCACTGACATTTGGTCTCCTCCGCGCGACGAACAGTATTTCCCTTCTTCTGGATGCTCGCTGCCACCATCATTGTTACCGACCTCGTTCCTACTTCATACACTCCCATCGCTGGGAAAAGCCCCGAAGAGCAACAAGAAGAGATTGAAGTTCACCGTGCCACTGAACTGAAATGGGCATGGAGATCGGTTTATGCGTTGGGAGGGTGGATCATTTTGGCCATCATTATCTTGGGTATCATGCGTGCCACTCATACTGGGTTCTTCGCTTCGTGAGCTCGCGTCGGAAGCAACGATGAATGGTTGGTTGGCATTGTTTCTTCACCCACTCTCTTGGGTGGCATGGGTACCGTGTGCACGACACCAATCGTGTACTCCCAACACATCATTATTTACTCATCGCTTTCCAGCAACCCTGTGCCCATTCCTCATTCAATTTCTTTCAGGCGAGCTCGTTGCCACTCCCAGTCGTGATAGTTCCCTTCTTTTATCTTCCATTTTTTTTACCAGTCCTACATTAGTCACTATCCCGCTTGCATCACATCTCTTTTCAATCAATCTCCATTTACATCCCTTCCATTGACTCTTAACACCCGCTCACCAAGTAGTTACAATTGATTTTACACATCACTGTTCGCACCTTGCTAAAACCAACGTCAGACATCCCCAACCATGCTGCACTCTCTATGACTGCTCGATTGACTACGCGCTTCGTATGCGTGGGACTTTCCGTAGCCCGAGAAGAATAAACAAACATGAGTTAGCGATGCTATTTACGATGGCTCAAAATGAAGAGTGCGAGGAGACAAAAGGAGACACAACGCCACTGTTGACGATACCGACAAAGCAACATAAATGGATGGAGAGGAGGAAGAGTAGGAGGACGATTAAGGAGAAAGCTAGCTAAAAGGAATATAATTAGGAATAAGGAGAATCAGGAATGGGAAAATATCAAACAGTACAGACACGTCCAACGACGAGTATTCATACAGAAACCAAATGCAATGCCCGCGAGCCCAGCTCGACCATACATGCCAGTCAAGTGATGCGGAACCCAGGCTACGTTCCGTCAGGATTATTCATTATCAAGGCCGATTCCAAAATTCCTTGGCCCATCTCCATTCCTGATCACCACACTTTGCTCTTGCGGAACACGCAAAGATGAGCGAGAGAAGAAATTATCGTCGCAAGACACGTCGCTAAGTGTTCCTCCAGGCGTGAGACTAGGAGTCACCGTATTGGGCAACAGTTGCGAATCGGAAGATCCAAAAGATCCAATAGTGAATGGAGAGGTAGGCGCCAAAGATTCCCTCAGTGAATGAACGAGAGCCGGGGTGAGAGGCGAGGCTGGGTCGCATGGCGAAGTATCGGGCAGCTTCTTAACGACGGAGGGCGTCTCCAGACGGCGAAACTTGCCGATTCGCTCAAACGGCCCTTTGAACGTGTTACGAACCTTGATACCTATTTTTTGCAAGAAAGACGAAGCTGTGGTCATCCGACGACCAGAATTGAGACCGACATTAGCGGACGCAGAGACTGGCGAGTAAGACGCAGAACGAGAGAGGGAGTCGCTGACGAGAGCTGCCTCAAAGCCAGGGAGTCGACTGAGATAAGGCGAGCGAGGACGAGAAGGATTCACTGCAACAGCAGCCTGGAGAGATCCCGAGTGTTCTTGGAAGGGAGAAGTTACCTTTCCGGATCTCTCGTTCTCTTTTCTTGCTTTCCGAAAGGCTGAAAGATCCTCTTGCCAAGCGTGTTCAAAAATCCAAGATCCATTTCGTTCATATTCCTCGACAGTCATGGCGCGATTGCATCCCTGAGTAACAGCAAGCGCATCACGCGCATCACGGTTGTTCCTACGCACCACACGAGCAAGCCATATGTCAACGTCGTTGTCCTCTTCGTCGGAATCAAGATCATCGTCAGCCGATGTAAATGGAAAGGAGCCCCAGTCGGGGTGGGGAACTTGTGAATTGGGGAAACGATCTTGTTCAAACTTGGATCGGTGTGAGAAAAACTTCCTTCCCCTAAGAAGACCCAACGAGAGACTACGCGAAAAAGCGGGACTTGATTTGAAAACGGAAGCCTTCCTGCTTCGAGACGCTAGTGAGCCAACAGAACGCAAGGAGTGAGGGATGCAATAATGTAGAGGTTTTCGGTCATAGGGCCAAGGATTGAGACGATTACGACGAAGAATACGCTCGTCATTCAGGTCACCGTCAATCTCAGGTATGTAAAGAAGGCCATCTAGGCACGCGTCTCCAAACGGATTAATAAGCCGAGAAGATTGGCGAGATGAAGGGACATGCTGAACAGGTGAAGAGTTGCGAAGATCGAGATTTAGCCCGATAGAGGGTTCAGTGAACAAATTCAATGGACTCCCATACTGAGAAACTGACGCAGCATCTAACAGGAATAAATTGGTTCGCTGGAGACCCGCAGGCTTCTGAAGAATATTCCCATTGTGTGACTTGGGGGACTTAACGAGTGATATGGAATGTGCATCAGGCGAGAGTGACGTCCTCGAGGATGATTGTAGCCACCGATGAATGAATTGTTCCCCCCGATACATGGCGATCTGTTTTTGGTCCTTAGCACCATAGCCTGGAGAATAGCGTTCCATCGGGGTCATCAGACGACTAGTGAAGGATGCAGGAGTGTATGGAGTCCGTTTGTTGGGAGTTACTGGCGACCTTGTCATGTGAGATGAAGGCGAAGAACCCTACAAGAGACCCAAAACGATCCGCGACACCTCGATGACACGTAGCTCAAGACAGACTTACTGCATCAAGTGACGGTATTGCTGATGTTGCTGGACTGAGATGAGAAATCATCCGGTCGCGTATCTGGGGTGTTCGTTGGGGTTGTGTGTTGGTGCGAGGGCCATCATTCTCGACCTTGAGATAGTTTGAATCCCCCTAAGGTTGATTGTCAATGTGTATAATGGTGGGGCCACTGGCCATGAAACTGACGCGTTGTTTGAGCGACAAATTAGGTCCTCTTCTGGACATCGCTGGTGTGTGATAAGTGTTGGAGGAATCCTCCGAGGCATAAATCCCAAGAACGCTCGGCATGCTGATCCCTGTGAACCGGCGCCTTCAACTTCCAAGGAGAGATGATCGGAACGAAGAGTTTGGATGTGTTTTTGTTTGTATCGAGACGAGAGGGTCTCACGATCCTGTTGCGTGCAACAAACGCCCTCCAGTACTCAGATCAGCATGGACATCTCGAATCTTCCTCCCACTACGCCCCACCTGAATGTCTTCGGGCTTCAGATCAAGGCAACTCCAGCCACGGGACGGGGGGTGTACGCGTCCAGGCATATCCCCAAAGGGACTCTTATTGAGGTTTCTCCTGTCCTCCTATTTTCTCAGCAAGAATACGAGGCGTACGGAAAACACACAATTCTGGACTCCTACGTTTTCCATTGGCGGCGAATGAACGCTTGGGCACTTGCACTTGGACTCGGTATTCGCATTACTGCTTTGAGTTCGGCGACATTTTGATTAGAATTGCGCAGGTTCACTTTTCAACCATTCTCAAACACCCAACATAACTTTTTCTTTGGATTACGGTACCATGTCGATACGCTACACAACCTCGCGGGCGTTGGCGCCCGGGGATGAATTATGCATTTGCTATGGACGTGAGGAAGACATGTGGTGGAACTCTTCAGAAAGGCCTGTGGTCAGCCAATCTTCGACACCACCCTCGGATCCCTTTGAGGGATTGGACTTAGACACAGAATGACGTAAATGTTGGTATCGATCCAAGTCATTTCAGGGATTAAGGATTAGAGTGGAATGTTGGCTTTGGAGGAATGTGACCACTTGCTGCTCGACACCGTGAGAGCTCTGTGGCGCCGTGTTCTGCAAACGCGTGCAACTGAAACCCAGCCGTCGATGGCGGGGGGGACGGTTTGGCAAGGATTCGTACCACTCTGCAAGTGTAATATGAACTCAGAAATAATAATTAAGAGTACGGAAAGTTTTCCAATGCACATACCATGTCAAGCAAGGGTGCGCACGCTGCGTCGCAGCAACGAAAGTTCAGACCCACAATAGCCCAAGAATGTGTCCAGATATAGATCCCCCTCCCTCATGTCCCTAATCAGAAAGCGAGCGGATGCGCTTGGAACGGGGACGGCTCAAGTACTTAAGTGCTCGAAGCCTCAGCCTCGAAAAATCGTGAACCTCGAGTGTGCACATGGAATAGGCTTTGGTGGATGGAAACCCTTCGCAGAAGGTGTTTTCATTCGCGCTGCAGAGCAGACTCCTCCCCAGCCGCTCTCCGATTTGCCGAGGTTTATCCGAAACTTCGAGGACATGACAAACCTCGGCAAATCAGAGAGCGACTGGGGAGGAGTCTGAATTCTGGAACAGCAAAGTCCACTGTCTCACGCGGCGCTTATTCCCGATCATGCCGCAACGCCGCGTCTGCACAATATCACTAACTTTGGGGAGTCAGCGCTGCCTGACAGATAAGCGTAACCTGGCCAGAGGGTACTATTGCTCGAGGCGAATTATCTGGCCCATATGCATTCCTTGTACCTCATTCAGTACAGTATTCCCTTCAGAGACAAGCAATGTTGGGACAGAGGCCTCACAAACCTTGCTATCTGGGATGCTTCTCTTTTGATGTAGATGTGGCAGCGATGCGGTGACAACGCGCCTGAATGTTGCGCGTGAGATTACCTTACTCGAACTTGGAATGAACTTGTCACGGGTTTTTCGTATCGGACACGGTTACATGCTTTGTGCTACTGTTCAAGGATGCTGGGTATTTTTGGCCTCAGATCGTCCCATCCAATGCGGTGCTCGCGCTTTGGGTTGCAGCCTCCGGCAATACCACATTGTACGTGATATCAAAAATCATCGAAAACGTCTTGTGGACGAATTTCAATACCAACGCTACCATATGCCAGTGATTCGTTGCACCACATACCTCTGTTTAGACTAGCAGATCCGCTACAACTTCATCCACCAGCAGAGGAACTGGCATTTAACAGTTCCCAAGATGCCTAGTCGTACCTTCCGAGGTTGTTGTATCCTACTAAAGCAATACATCGGCACCCAAGTCTCTCTTAGTACTAGTCGGTATCGGTTGTCGATGCAGTTGCTTGCACAGTCTGGAAACATACTGCTGAGAACGCCAAACATGGGCCAGGATTTCGTATGGTGCAAAACTGACGAGTTGTCCCGGGCCCAGCCCTGATGTGAAGCAAGCTTTTTCAGGAGCTATACCCCTAGGGGGTTCAAACTTCTGTATAGTGACATTACCATCTGCCCGGAAGCGAGGCACTTTTCTTGTCCGAGGCATTATTTAAGCTGTCTCGTTGAGCTCGCGTTGCGTAGCCCGAAACTGTTGCCGCCTATCGCGTGCAATCTTTGGGGGGTAATAAATATAAGGAGGGAGCCTCCACTACTATAACCCGACTGCAGTCCCGATCCTGCAGAGGACGTTACAAACGGAACCGGCAGCCCTATCGAGTCTCCGCATGATGGTCCACGTACCGTAACTGACCGCCCATCTCGATACATGCCTGTGCGGACCGAAGGACCATGCGCGCGATGGCCCTCTTGGCAATCCTGAGGCGCATCACACGTTCTCGTCAGCCTACGTGATCAGTGTGCCCCAGTGACGGGCCAGGTTCGTAGGTCCGGAAGGCTCAGCTTTCACCATTGGCACCTTGCCCCGTGGGGTGTCGGACTGTTACAATGCACAACTGGGCGCTCTATATCGTCCCCCCGATGGACGTGGCGGATATTGTGGTAGTATGCCACTCCTGCTTCACAAGTGCCTCTGTAGCGGCACTGTGACTTGCCACCTCGAAAAGTATCTGTTTGCGGGGTGCGTTATGTGAAACAAAGACGTCCTCTGCTCCATCCCTTTAAACGCTGGTCATTCAGCGTGGAGTAGTAGCGACCAGCAACGAGTTATCAAACTCGTCGATCTGGTTACCAAAATCCGGGTCAGTAATATATCGCCCCGCTTGCAGTGCAGTAAAGCGTTAGGGAAGCCGCATGAGTTTCCAGCAGCGTTGTCCGAGTGGACATTTCCACCGGTAAGTCAAATCTCACGTAGCGCGTACAATAGTACAGTGGCCCCGACCCGCATCCGAGCCAAGGAACCGTCATAAACGCAACAGCCTCCACTCATCCCTAGTCCTAATTCCGAAGGACTCAGGCAGGTAAGCCCTTTTCCTTGGTGTCACACCATCCGATGTGGCAAGACAACAAAATCACAGAATGGGAAGCACTGCACAATGCTAGCTCGCATATGCAACCAATCTACACGGCCAAGGTACGCAAATGATATATGCCTGAGGGGGTTAAGCGTTAGGAATGGAATGCAGGTATCGTGGTTTGTGGTTGAGAGTTTAGATACACGCGCACTGCACCGGGGCGGATGGCCAATGATGTTGCCGGCGTTGTGCTCAATGTGATGATAAGTGGGGAGGGGGGGAATGATCCAAGAGGGCAATAGCACGGTTGTCCTGCACGCAACGCCACAGCCTGCAAGTCCCGACACCTTGCGTCAGGACATCCAGAGCGATGCTTGCTTAAGTGAAGGCGTTCTCGTGGTCGGCGCAAGGCGACTTCGGAGCGGAGACCAGGTGTTTTGGCGCCGTACGCCAAAGAAAAGAGCTCTTCAGTTGTGACTTTAATCTGAGGTGCTGGGAAGACATGTGGTTGACTGGTTTCACAACAGTCGACGGACCTGGAACAAGGTGATCCTGAGGGTCCCGGAGGGGAAGGTCCGGAATCAGCTACTAGACCCTAGTTTTGCGGTATCGATGGTGCCGTGGATCTCGTGCGTGAAACACGCACCTTGTACGCTTGAGGGGTAGGAATTGGGCATGGGCTGATTGTGAAGTTGAGGATGTTACGTGGGCAACGGAAGGCAGACGACTGCCATGATGCGTAATGTTGACCCCCTGGCCTTGCCTGTGCTGACGGGTAGTTTCGGTGCTTGGCCGCCTCAGCATCTGGGGCGGTAGTTTGGCACAACTTCTTCGGGACACGGTTCGCTGGGTTGTTGGCCGACATGAGACATGACGGTTCACTGGACAAGAACCGTCATTGTCGTGCCCAGATCGCCCTGGCATCACCGAGCACTTCCGCTGCTCATCGACGCCATGGACTCCTGAAAGGCGCAAATGTAGAAGCCGCGAGTGCAAGTACCACTGTCAGAACACATGGTCCTTAGTATTGATCTGCTCCTTGAATTGAATTGCAGATTTTTTCCAGTGACCTGACGTGCTTGGGAGCACCCTTCCTTTCTAATAACTCCTTATTACATATTGATTTTATTGTCCAACTGATAACTTTGGTTTTCGGACCGTTGTGGCATGGTCGCCTGGGTGTTCAACTAGTTCCATTAGGGCCTTCGCCGTTTGGCTAAATAACTCCCTCGATGATACAGTGCGCGAGTCTGTTCACTGTTATGTAGAACACCGTGTATGGGCAAGTAAGGGCAGGAGCATTTCCTTCACTGGAGTAATTGCCCGCAGAAACAGATCTTGAATCCCTGAATTGGGTCATCGCCAACAAATACCCTGCGGAAGGACTAGGGAACTCATTGTTTAAATAAAAATACAGCCACGAGTCAACGGATGGCTGGACGTATCACTGGCCCTGCCAATGCCTTTCCCTAACGGCGGTGTTCATGCCAATGGAGTATCGTCACGCTAACGCAAGCCCATCCCATTACTGGGCAATGCAGCTCTCATGACCCTGTTCCTTAAACTCCCATCAAACCAGCTATTGACACACGGATCAATTTCCACGAGCAATATGTATCGTGCTATATCTGGTTCAGGGTTCAGCACACAGCATCTGCTGTTCTCTCCTCTTCTTCCAACCATCTGTTGCCGTCCTTAGTTCGGTCTAGGGCGGACTCTGTCAATAAGCCCAAGCTTGTTATTTTCGCGGTCGAACGAGACAAATCGGTGGCGAGATGGCTGAGATATCGCAGGATCTGTTTTTTGTTAGGCCTTACTAAAGTGCCCGCACCTATTCATTAATATTCAGCACCCCCTGAGGACTTTTCGATACGGAACTCGCCTTTTTCTTTGAGTTGTGGGAGGTTTCGGGGCATGGAAGGGCATAAATAGCAGGCCTCTGGAGAGATTCTGCTCTCCTCACCATCATCTCCCCCCTTTCCTCGATCGCCTCCACTTCAATATCATCAATGGCCGCTTCGCATGCGTCGTCCTTCTCGTAGTCGTATTCATCATGCCCGTCTTCTTGTCATTGTCTTGCCGTGTTAGTGAGTTTTATTCCTTCCAAAACGTGGGCGGTGAACGACCGAGGCCGAATCCGTATGTTATCACTACCGTAGACTGTATCTTCACCTCAGGGTTTGGTTCCGTCTCAGCCGTTTCATTGACAAGCGTGTATTGATTCGTACGTATCAGCAGACGGCAGTCGACAGGTATCCTATCTCCACTCATTATCGACCGGCATTCTTCGATATTCTCTGGTCCTCGATCTACGGTGGCTGAGGGTTCAGGCGGCGGCTTTCTGTGTCTTGTGGGCCGAGGAGGGGGGATCAGTTTTGCGCGATTGGGCTGGGGAGTGACTACGTGGGCGTCCGCCTGGGGTACTCACTCGTTGCCTGGGGCCGCAGGTTGAGCGGTGTTGGGATGTTGGGCGCGATTGCGGCTGGGGTGTCTGGCGGGGACGGATACATTGCCTGGGGCCGCTCACTCGGGTACAGATGGTGGATAATGATGCAAGGAGTGTTTGCGTGATTGTGGCTGGGGAAGATTGACATGGGCCATCGGTGGCCTGGGGTCATGATTCATCGCCTGGGGCCGCATTGTTGGGGATTTGGTCGCTTCGTTTTCTCACTATGGGAGACGACACTGGACGAAGAAAGACATCGCCTCTGCCTAAGCCACCGGAGACTGAGAACAGAGGAAGAATGCCTATCGAGACCTTTGAGTTGGGATGTTCATTTATGTCTTAATCACTGTACAGCACAACTGCGATACAATTGGATACAGGATTGTTAATCTGCACAATTTCCCGCCCAGCCCCGGAGAAGAATAACTTTAAGAGTTCGCTGAGTGGCGAAGGTGAAAAGGAAACAAACACTCCGCCTTAACTCCCCAGCGAATCGCGCACCACCATACAGTGGCCGCTGAATTTCCAACATTGATCATGAGTAAATCGCCATCAGCGTTCCATCAGCGCACATTCGATCAAGATTTTTCGCGGACGGGAATCGGCCGTGGGTTGCTGAAGGCACCACTAAACAAGAGAGAAGGACAGAAGCAGAAGCGTCGAAGCGTCGAGTGCACGTTCATTGTCTCACCACCCTATTCCAATAGAGGCTGGTCACCTGATTATCTCACCTCACACCTCCTGGAGCCACAGGACTCGCTTATATGTAAAACAAGGGAGACTATGTGAGTTTTTAGAAATATAAGGGGCTATGTAGCGTTAGCTCAGACTCGAGTCAGAGATCTAAAATTGCAAATGCCTATGTAGCGTAAGCTACGACGTAGGTAATGCATGTATTAAAATATGTAAGAGATTAGAGAAGACACGATTTCACCTCAGACTCGAGTTAGAGATCTGACGGGAGACGGGGCCAAAATTTCTCTCCTTATACGCAACATCCGCTGAGTGGCAACGTTGTTGTACAGAGGAGTTTCAGGAAAAACAAAAGCGCCCCAAAGCTTACGCCACTCACTAACCACTCATTCGCCAATGCAAATAGAGTTGACATTCTATTGTTAGGACTGATTGACACTGATTGACAGGGTGGCTGTACTGTCCCAGTCAACTCCACGTGCTCGGTGTTTCAAAATTTCTTGCTTGCATCAGAAATTTTCGCGGCCGAGCGCCGTCGCTCGTTGTGCTCTCGCTTTTCTCTGCAGTTCATTCAGTCTTCCTTAGAACTGCTCACAGGGTGCAGCTCTCTTCCTCTGACGTCATGAGTTCAATTGCGGTTCGGTTGGACATGACTGCCCCCTGCACTCGCCCTGATGATCTGTGAGTCGTTTCGCTTCATGGTGGGAGTTGCTGACCCTCTCTCAATAGCATGGATCCCGCGGAAACGCGGTTGGATCGGCTGGAGGCTGAAATTACTGCTATCTCTTTTGCCCTGCAGACCATTATGAAGCATCGGACACCGGCGCCTGAATCAGCTGCCACAGAACTGGAACCCACAAGCGACGCGGACCTCTGAAGGAGCTCGAATCTCTTCTCCGTTCTCTCGAGGCTACTGGAATTTATGGGTAGGTTGGACCGAGATGCCTTGCCCATTGTTCAGGTTGTTAATAGATCTCGCAGTTGCAGTAGACCCATTTCACTCGCCAGCGTTCCACCCTCTCAATTTGTGCGACAGTCTGCTGCTCTCGAGAAATGCCTGTCGCTGGCGTCACTGGAGCGGGCGAATCTCCGGCGTTTGCCATTACAAAAGCATAACTCCGAAATTTGGCTCAACAAATTTCCTGTTGAACTTCTCTCCCGCATCTTTGAACGTTTGGATAATCAGGCCGTCCGGGACCCATTCTATGTTGCACAGCGTATTCCTGGGACCGTTCTCATGGAGGTCTGTAAATTGTGGCGAGACGTCGCGATATCCACGCCCTTTTTATGGAGAAGGGTTTCGTATCGGTAACGCACTGTTGCCTCATTGATACATGATGATGCCTCTTATCCTCGCTTTGGAAGCAGATATCATCATCGTACTCGCTCCTATCCTCCGCTGTCGGCGATTCGCCTTCTCGTTCAGCGCTCAAGAGCTGTACCTCTTGAACTCGAGATCGTTGAGCGCCCAATAGGCAACCGAAATTCGTCCATCAATGCGTTGCTTGATATGATTACCTTCATTCGTCCGCATCTTAGTCAATGCGCCTCCCTCCATTTAATCGTTCGCTCCCCCGATGCTGTGGTTGCACTGTACCCTTTCAGTTGCCCATTCCCCCATCTTCAGTCGTTAGCACTCGGTCCACTTCGTCCTGAGTCCGCTGAAGTCTTTTCCGAGTCCGCAAGTCCCAAGACTTTGATACTCGCTCAGGATGCGGTGCCTCACTCCCTCCATAAGTTCGACTCCCTGTCGCTAAAGTCATTTAATATTGCTATGGTTGACGGGATTGGCCTGAGAGACGCTCTCTGCTTTCTCTCTGGCTGTAAAAATCTCGAGGTACTTGCTATGCACGATCATTTCAGTGGTGAGGGTGCCGAGGAAATGAACGAAGATTTGTTGGACCAAATTACTGTCTTCACTCCTAATCTGCGTATTCTTCGCCTCACCGGTGTGGCTCTCCTTCGATGTCTCTCACGCTGGTCCGCGCCCCTCCTCCAGCATCTCGCACTCGCTGAGGACGAACCTTTCACAACCGTCTTTGATGACTCATTCCACTTCCCGAATCTAGAAACCGTATCACTCGAGCTTCTTCACCAATCGCTAATACATACATGCTTGATGCATCTCACCAATCAACACTCAAAAGTTGTTGCCATTCACCTCCCCTCATCAGCATTGAGCATTGTTAATATTATGCTCTTGATGTGCATGAGTGTCGCGGACCCTACCCTGCCTGTCTTGCGCCTGCTGCGCTTTGATCTGGAGGGGAATGCGTCAGTCGTGGTTCTCCCTGCTCTTGAATGCTTCCTTCGTATGCGGAGGGACGTTTTTGTCGAGGCTCACATAGTCCAGGACTCGGACCATGGAAGTGATGAGACACGTACAGACGAGGAAACAGCTTACACGGGGCTCGAACAGAAATATTCATCCTTCCGATTACATCGCGGAATGTATAGACCCCTTCACGAACTTTCATTCACTTCATCAACTGGATATTAAGGACCGTCATTTTTAAAGACACGAACTTTTTGCATAATTAGATGCCGCTTTATAGAATTTAACTTATCCATAGATTCGTAGACTTATAGATGATAGAGTTTGGCTATAGTTGCCCATGCATTTGCATCTCCCAATTACGCGTAGGCATTTGCACGAGGCGAGTTGTCCTGTTATAATAGTTTGCTTGCTATCAAACATGTGTGACACCTATAATATTCTATTCACGGCGATTTATCTGTACGGAGTAGGTTAAAGGATGGGACTTCGAATCGTGACACTGGGCCTCTTAGAAGCCCAAGGAATAACCCACGACCCGTTCACGACTGACGGGTTCCATCACAAGGGACGAGGCCCAGTAGGTAACGGGAACAAATTTGATGGACATGCCGCTGCCGACGCGCGACCGACCACTACACCAAATACCGGCGGCGTCTCAATCTGCGCCAGGCACATCAATCATCAGGGATTACATACGCACAACCTTGGTGCCAATTACCTATGCCAGCAGCACACCTCACCTAACGTCCGAGATGCATTCACGACAATTTTGTCGCCATAACCCCCCGAGGGTTTCTTCGATGGTGTTAAAGATGTCCAGTAGTGCAACCGCTAGGAATGGACCGTCCCCACGATGCCAGGGCCTCCGTGCCTTCTTTCTTCTGCTCAGCAACGTCTCGCTGGGGCTACAATTAATCAACAAATGAGTTCTGCGAACCGAGGCCACATAATTCCTAGAAAAATGCATTCATATCAAATTCTGGAATCGTAACGTCCTTCCTTGCACTTCTCATCAAACTGCCGAGTCCAGTACGTTTTGCCTCGATATCAGCTTCACTTCCATCTCTGTGTGGGGATTGAGGCACCAGGTGCTCTGGCACAGCTCTTAGAGGGGCTGGACCAGGCGATGTTGGGCGGGTTGCCGGAAGGCTTGGAATCTCCATGTCGATGAGTATTGAAGATCGCCTGGCTCGGAGTGATCCTCCTAGAGGATGCCGGGTGACTGATGGAGAAGAGCTGGGGCGGTTCCTACTAGCTTCGTCCGCGATGCGGTCCTTCGATGCTGTTTCCATGGAATTCTTTGGCGGCCTAATGTGGGTGAATTGCCAATGCGACACGAGTTCCAAAGCGAGAGAGTGACATCCTGACCCCCAAAAATTAGTCTGAACATACCTATTTCCTCTGACTGGACCTTCTTACCCATACGACAAAAAACTCGAGCCATCTGCAGCACGAAATTGAATTCCGTTCTTCCTGAAATCTCACTAAATCCCTTAGCCGTTTGAAGAGATTTATGTTTCAGCTGCAAAAACAACAATGCAAGACTCGGGTCATCGTAATGTGGATTCCCAATCTCTGCCACTGTAATGTCGAAGCTTGCCGCGATGTTTTCGAGAGGTGTCTGATGGTGACAGGGGTTGATGTTCAGGAGGCCAGGGCGACGCGATTCACCTACCAGCAACACCCTAAGGGACAAATCTCGTCGCTTTAAGATCCAGAACGCCCAGCAAGCGAGCCAGCGGTTTCCTTCTTTCAAAGCTATCGGTAACACAGTATTGGCAAGAATATCTTTCAGCACAGGACCATCATCACCATCCTCAACTATTCGAGCAAGAGCCACGGCTAGTTGAAAGTCCTGAAGTTGTTTGATGCAAATGGCTACGGCATCCTGAAGACTTCGTCCTAGCAGGAAGAACGCAGCAGCATACTCTGAAAAGGAGTGGATATTGAGTTTTGCGCTGGGGGATGATAGGACTTACCATACCGCTGCTTACTAATTAAAGCGAATGCGTTCTTGAGGGCGGCTGTCCTCCATCGTGGGTTATCAAAGTCATTCGACAGGAACTTGAGCATGAGCTGCTGCTCAGGGTGCCAGGTAGCCCGTTTCCAAAGCCCATGGACGAGCTTCACTTTCCGAAGTGCAAAGTAGAACAAACAGCATGAAGTTGGGTCGCGGTTTTCTCCAGCCATATATTGGTTGCGTGCCACGACTTCAGCTTGAGATTTCTGGGATAATGAGTGCAGTTATAAGGCTCAGGAACGGATCGACTCAATAATGTTGTGGGAAGCTCACTATTGTCTCGGTGGAGTTTAACCAAAGGAACACTCCTAATGCCCGAGCATCACTCCATAGCATCTTCCCCCACACGCGGTAGTGGAAGCATCAAGCAGAATCTCTTGACTTTCACTTAAATAGGCCCATAATATGTCCCGATAGCGAATACGCTGTCGCACACCAATGGTTCGCAGATTGAATTGGACAGATTTGCCTGTGTTGGTATTGACATGCCCGGAGTTGATAATGTAGAATGAGCGCATAGATAGGAGGTACCGAAGACCATTGGCATCCAAGGATCTCTTTTGTTGTTCCACCTAATTGGGTTGGTCAGTGATGTGGCAGCGAGAAGCACTGGTAGTTTCGAGTGACCTCTAGAGTAGTTTGGATCAAGACAGTCAGGTGCGCCATCTCGTTGGGGCTGAGGTCAGGCAACGGTGATTCTTTTAGTCGAGAAATAAGCTTAGAGACTAAGGCCGGACCAAAAGTAGTGACCGAACTAATCAACAGGTGAGTTTCCGGACGCAGGAAAACGGCCGCGCTCATTACTCACTTGTCAGACTCCTCTACTTCATTGCTGAACAGATAAGAGTGCTGAGACTTCTTCTGAGTTACGGCCTGGACAACAATAAGGAGAGTGTCATATTTCCAACCACTCAAACTTACGCCGTGCTTTGTGCTAGGATCTGTGTATTCTGAGACGCAAAACTGAGACCAAACGAAGGTGCCACCCGGGGCGCGCGATGCTTCTAAGGCGGCAGCAAGCATGACAAGGATGCGCTCGACCAATTCTAACTTATCTAAATAAAGGTCGAATTAGCATGGTCGTTGAACTAATCCATGACAAATCCCTACCCCAGAGCAAACATTGTAGGAGGTTTTGGGGGTGATAGTCAGGAAGTGGGCCATTCTGACGAGCAACCTGCGCAAAAAGCGATAAGGGCTTATCGGCTGAATCCCCCATGGCACCGATCGTGCTTCCATACTGAAGAACTTGATGACCAGCACCTATTACTAAGGAACCGCCCGCAAACCATATCGAGTCTTTGATCGGGTATGACGTGTATCTTCACGGAGAGTGAGGAAGATAGTTTGTAAGAACAAAGTAGAGGACTCACTGACGAATGTCTATCTCGGCGATAATCCTCCATGGCTCCTGGTCAAAATATGTCATGCGCTGCTGGCCCAATAGTACGACTCGTTGTGAAAAACCGACAGCCAGAATAGAATGAGCCTCCTGGGAGTCGGTTGATGTCCAATCGAGGTCGTTCACAGCTTCTCCAAAGGTCTGACTAAATTCTAAGCCTGAAGAGAATTCGGACTCCTTTGAATCCCAAATGGTTAAGGTCTCCGAACTTGATTCGACTGATACTTGAAAGCAGATGTCACAAACCCAGTTTTGGCCACAGAATGACGAGAAAATTACTTATTGCAGTTTTCTTAGCAGAGCTGCATCGAGCCATCCGAATTTGTTTTCTATATGTATTGACAGACCCAGTACATCTCCAGCCGCTAGGATCCTCCCTGTCTGGTGTCCAAAATGCGAGACTTCCGTCCATTACGCTTACCAACGCGTCATGTTTATGGTCAGTCTCTGAGTCAGCAAGGCTTGGCGCGAGGGGAATAGTGGGTGACAGTTCGGGTGAGGAAAGTGAAACAGAATGGCCCGTGGGTAGCTCGTGGGCCCAAGCCATAGGGTCCACGGGTAGGATGAAGTTGGGATGAGATGGAAGGGGTAAGGAAGTTATTGAGTGGAGCCACAGGCTAGAAGTTATGCCTTTATGTAGGTGGAATGTGGCTATCAAGGTGGGTGTGATGCTGAGGATGGGCGTAATCGACGAATGAGACGGCAAAGTAATTAAGGATGGCTCGGATGGAGCTGTGTAATCGATGGTTAAAGTCTCCTGGATGTTGGTTGAGCCTTTGGAGAAGATGTGCACTGTCAAGACTGAGTTATGATAAATTGCTATGCTAGAGCCTAAATGCAATCACCGCAACTAAGTAGGGGCCACCGGATGCGGACATCGGTACGTACCACCATCAAACAACGCGATGGTCCCTTCGTCGTCCCACGCTCCGGTCGGTGCTAGCCTTCCCTTCCTGTCCCGCAGATATATTTCTCCTCCTCCACCCCTCCGGGATGCAATAGCGGAGCCATCTGGTGTCCTTACAAAACCAACCACTGGACGCGTACTTTTGGCTGTTGCCTTCCGCCCACAAGCAATTCGCCGCATTGAGCCTTTTTCACCATCGACAAAAGGGAGAGGCAACAGCTCGTACGAACGTAGAGGGAAAGACGATAAAAGCAATGCCCTGGAAGGATCTGGAGACGGTGCCAAAAATAGTTGCTGAGACGGATCCAGAGCTCTGTCGCGTATTTTGAGCATAGTGAAGTTTTGTAGCAGTGTAGGCGGCCGCTTGTCCAAGTTCTGCCAATAAAGTGAGTATTGTTTCCCCCGCCTACTAGGGGGGCTTACAATGAGGGCTTTAACCGTCAGAGTGCCATCCAAACTGACGAAACCAAATAGCTCCCAATCATCTTCTGCCAACTCCTTCAATTTTCTTAATCCTCCTTTCTCTTCCTCTGCAACCATCGGCTCGGCTCCCATCGGAGGCAGAACCCGGCACAACACGTCCCGGTCCAGAGGAAAGATGAAGGGAACATCGCGGGTACCGGACTGGCTCAGTGATTGCTCCTCCGTGTCACCATAGCCATACCCATCATCATCTGTAAAGCACCAGCGGTCAAGAGCAGCCTGTAACTGTAGTCGATTGGGGACGTCAATCACTGGAGCAAAGACGCGCAGGACGGAGTCAGATGTGAAGGTATAAAGACACCTCTCTTCCCTACAAACAACATGACATTGCTGTGAAATAGTAACTAAGAGGTGAATGACTGACGAGTATCTTCCTCGGGGTTCTCGCCACTGTAAGCCAAGGACAGGGTGTGGATGCTTGATAACCTGGGTCTTGTTGGGGCTCTTTACAGAGAGGACGTGAACAGACCTATCTTGCTGCATGCGTCGTCAGTAGAGAAGTGAAACGGAAGCATCGGAATCGATGACTTGCATTTGAGGCAGACGCAACAAACGTCAACGAAGGGGAGAGTGACACACAATGGGGTGTAGGAGCGCTGCTTGTGTGCTTAACTCGAGATATGGCAAGGTATCATGAGGATTTTGCACCTACGGTTGTGTCCACAGCGTGATCCAAATAGGTACCTCGCGGGATGTTTCTAGCCTTTTCAACGCAACCCCTCCACTGTGTCCAATAGCAATGTGATCTGAGGTCGGGAAACTTGGGTTGACGGCGAGAATGAGCAATAGCAGTACTCACCTCGCTTAATGTGAGCGCATGTAACGGGTTCGGAATTGGTGAATGCAGAATGCACTCTGCTAGATAAACTATCCGAGAACTCCCATACAGCTACGTGTGTTTGGGATACGCCGAGGACCTGGGGGTCCAGTTCAAATGTCCGAGGGAACGAGTCAAAGGAAATGGAAATCTACTCACGTATCGAGCATGATTCTCCACATCAAGGACAGTGATAGGTACATTATGGGCAGCGGGAAATGCTTCCTTGAGTGTGAGTGTGCGGAGCAAGCGAAGGGTTGACGCATCCAGAAGCACGATCGTTTCGCCAGTTGCGTATATCTGAAGACAGGGTGAAGATTGCATCGTACACCAATGCCAGGCAATCTTACAACTGCAGAAGACACTGGCATTCGGAGCACCAACGCCGGTGAGCTTGGAAATCCCAGCAAGGCATCTTCAAGAGAGAGCATATCTAAAGCCAAGTCTCCCCTTTTGGAGCACGTTGCGTGATCCAATTGAATAGCGGCGCTTATGTGCTTGGCGTTGATGCAGTTGTGACATTAATTCAAATGATTGAGTAGCAAGTTGACATCGTTGCAACAAGAATGCTCGATTCTAATTCTGACTATGGACCGGATAGCTTACTCTTGTAACGTAGGGATTCTGTGAAGCCCTGCTTGGGCTGTTTCAACCAGGACGTTCCAATGCTCCGGTGCAACGACTTCTGCGAGAGAACTGAGAACTGCGTCCTCACCACACTAGCATTACATACCGATCCTCATGATCAATTTTGGGCCCAGGCCATCGTCTCATCATTTTTTGCGCCGTTTCAGTACTCTAGACATGCCCTACGGACACATCACTCATCTGGGCCCACAATATAGTGCTCAATCCCGGTCATTGGGCTACTACCTGTGCAGAAAATAAACACGAGGGGTGGTCCGACGATGTTGAGGCAGGCAATTAACTATTTATGACATTATGAACAGTCTGCTCAGCGCGAGGAGTAATCCGCGTTGAAGGCGCCTGCATGTGCACATGAGGTGGTAACTCAGGATATTTCTTCGGTCTCTGGCCAGCCTCGTCGAGATAAGGATCGAGTCTTGGTGGTGGACCGTATCTCGGTTCGGGAAGTTCTAGCATTGTCGAGCTCAGTAAGCGGCAGAAACTAGCGATATAAATGACTTACCGAGAATATGTTTATAAATGGCAGACACAGAGTTGTCCCAGATCGCACGCCACATGAAAATCCCGCCAGCACTCGAGTTTGCATCTTCATGGGCAATCTGCAAACCATGTTGGGATGCAAATGAACGGACATCAAAGCCAAGTCTGATTATATCATCAGCACCAAGGCTCAACGCCTCCCTCTGGGGAAGGAGAAGTAGGACGTATCGATGATAAGGCGTTCCGTTTTGAGGATGTGGTGGAATGTATGGGATTGAAGGAGTATATTTTGTGGTCGAGATTGCACCGTTGCTTGAAGCGGAAAGAGATATATTAGGTCTACAAACTACACTTTAGTTTATCGTTCACCCCATCGATGTAGAAGGCTTACATTAACCAGTGAAGATAATTTTGGAATGATGATGTTGCTGTCGAAGGGACATCTAAATGGGAGTCAGCATCGTCGGGCGCGACTTCGGAAACTCCGTTACCTGGGTCGATCATGAGGAGAGTATAGAGACGAGGTTCTGGATGGAAGACCTGGGCCATTACTTTGGGGTGTTCAACCGACTGAGCTCTATAATATTAAGAACGAATTCCGAGCATTACATTGAAGACTTTACCTTTGCAGGAGAAACAAAAGATCCCGGAACTACATCAGACAAATCCTTAGCCCATTTTTTCTCGGGTACCGGAATGCGGGGTGTCGAGATGTATCGAGGTGTGACCGTATCCGCAAAGTTGACTCGGACGTCCACAGCGGGTCTGATGATAGGGATTACGTCCGGGACGACATGCATTTGGTAAATCCGCTCCATCTAGGATTGGTGCACGTAAGAGCAGAAGTTACATAGCAGACTTTCCGCTCACCAAACGATCTAAGCGTCCTTTCGTTCTCCATTTTTGCTCTAGCAGGTGACGATACACAGGTTGATTAAGGTCCACTTTGCCATACACCCGTTTAACATGAGAAAGAAAGCAGGACCAAGATCGTGATCAAAGCCTACTCTGATTGTTTTCAAAGTTCCACCTGACTTGAGGCAAGTTTATCTTGCTTTCGATCTCAAGCTTGAGCAACTCTCCAGGAGACAAGCTTCCGTCGGCTACTTTCCGCAAAGCTTCGAGTTTCTCGCGTTTGGCTGCAGCATCCTTTTCTATGTATGCCACAGCTTCATCATATGCTGGGAGAACCCCCACCTCCAGTGGTCGCTTCCAATTGTTAGGCTGAGCAGTGGCGCTAATTTGGGATGACAAGGGCCTGGAAAGGCCTCTTGGAGGGAGTAGCCTTCGGGTTGACCTCAGCATTTGCAACGGTAGAACGTTCGCACGATTGACTGAATGTGGCGCTTATCGAATTTGGTAACGAATGCAACAACAAATCAAGACAAAGTAACAGCTATTATGTAGGGTATATGAGAGTCGTGAAATGGCTCTTCAGTGTATGTATTACTGATACTTGTCCTTGTATATCCATGCTAAACCAACAGTGCTGACGCCTTGCTCAGTCTGCAGAGGGAGACATTAAAAATGTTCATTCCACTAAAATGGCTAATGGACTTTACGTACTGCTTTTCGGTACCATTTGGCAGCCTCCTTCTTGTTCTTCTTGCATCCTTTTCCATTGGCGAAGCAGAAACCCAGCTCCTGTTGGGCGTCAGGATCCCCCAATCGTGCGGCAACTTGGAAGTAGCTCTGAAGGGATTGAGGATAAACTGCGAAGGCACGGCTTTCCAAATCAACAATACTGACCACTGCCATTTTCTTGTCCTTTGGAACGCCCCAGCCATTGGAGTAGCATTGACCAACTTCGTATATCGCCAGCACAAGCTCACTCTGAACAAAACTATCTAAGCGTTTGCAATACAAGAAGGAAATAAGATGATTATACCTGGACTGCTCCAGCATCGACTCCGCTCATCACTGAATCCAAATCATCCACAGCGGCTTCGGCAGCACGTCGAACCCACACGAAACCCTTATTCTCATCTTTAGGCACACCCCACCCATGCCTTAGCGTCAATCCCCACATTAACATACCAACACCGCATCCTCCATTGAATTTTGCACTATGTTCAAAACAATATGCAGAGAGCGGAAGATTATCGGCCTCATGGTGCTGAATCCCTAGTTGAAGGTATTCGTCTGCACTTGATATGTTCTTCGGGAGACCTTCGGGAACAGGAAGAGTGGAAGCGGAATTGGACGGAGACATGATGGATTTGTGCGAGGGTGAACGCGTAAGGACAGGTCGAAGAGCGGCCGCAGCGGCCTGTGCGCCTAATCTGGGATTGGAGCCCTTGGTATTCAAGTTGGGGAAAGGCTGGTCGTGAGCCGATTTCTGATTATTTTGAGGCTCTAGCTGGGGACTTTCGGGTAGACCGTAGTATGAGTAGTTAGAATATAATGATAGTTGGTCCACATCCTGTGTTGAGATCCTATGTGGGGGATTGGGACTGGGAGGGAAAGGAGAAAGGGTACGATTGACTGCTGCCGGATCAGGATTTGGCGAAGGGGGTTTGTTCGGAACAAGACGGGATGGAATGGGTGATGGAGCCTTTGGCGCATTGGGTCCGTTAGGGTGGTACTGTAAAGCTGATATTGTAGGTCGGCGGGGATCGGCTGAGTGTTGGTACGGAGCCTGTAATTGAACCGATCCTTCGCGTATTATTGGTCGTCCATTTTCATCCTTCGCCCAGTTCTCCATCACAAGCCGGTATGTGGCAGGGGAAGTTATGCTGAGTTCTTCAGGGTGTGCTGCCACTTTTGAACTTCTTAAGCTGGCTGTGGTGGAAGGCGGGACAGCAGGATTCGTCTTCGGGCGGCTGAGGGTAGGAGTGGTCGAACCTATTGGGATATTCCCAAGTTCGGAGGTTGCTGCTGCGTTTCTATAATCATATGATGAATTAATGGTATGAACGCTTTCCCCGCTGATCTTTATGGTCGGCACAGATGGAGGCTGAGAGTCGTCCGCTAGACGCAGTGGCCTAGAGTAGTTGTGCTTTCCTCCAGAGCCGTAGTAGCTAGGGGACCGCCCGATGGCATTTGAAGGCTGAGTCGATGAAGGCAGAGATGGCTGCTGGGTGACCGGAACAATATTCGACTCCACAGTCGCTCTCTCGCTGGACTGGCTCTCGAATGCCCGGAATGAAAAAAGATCCGATGTTGTGGTGATACTAACTGAGCTCTCACTTGGATGGGTGGAGTGGGTGCTAGATAATTTGGCTGAGCCCAGATCACTGTTCGCAGCTGGTGAGGGAGAAGAGATTTTAGGTTTGGGAACTTGTGGAGAGTGAGAGTGGAAAGATGAAACAGGAGCCACGTAACGTGGGAGTGTAGGTGAGGCATCAAGCCCAGAAGGGAAGGCTTCTAACGATGCGTTATGTTGAGAGTGATCAGTGTGGCGGGCGTGCTGTGACCCCCGAATTGACTTGGGAAGAATAGATGACGCATCACTATATGGACGATCCTTCCGTGCAACGGCGTTCCCTATTCCAAAGGATGAAGACATTATGGCTCCATGCGAAGTTGGGCTTATGGGGCTTCCAGTGTCATCAAGCTCGCCGAATCTATCGGTGATTCCCGCAAATTCGTAGGGATCATCCCCTTCATTGCTATATTGACTTGAAACAGACGTCCTAGACGTGTATGAGGGAGGCCCAGGGCGAGACATAGTCATATCGTGGGAGTCGTGAATATCAGTGGCTGTCGAATTGCGGAATTGTGAGTGAATCAAAGGACTGGGAGGGGTGAAAAGTAAATCGCCGCGAGCCACTAGATGGGCAGAGCGGGGTTTCGCACCAAGTCGGGACGGGTCCAGCGCGTCTCGACCATTATCCACAACGATGGAAAGTTGTCCAGGTAATCGTTGCGAATGTGGGACATCGAGTGGCCTCAAAATGGCGGCTTTATCCTTACTCGCCTTTAGAGACGACTGTCTAGCAAGCGATTCCAGCGGCGAGGAGGTCTGCATGTGGCGCTCTCCGTCCTTCGTCAACTTTCGACCGAGTTGAAGTGGCTCTGTGGTTCGACCGTGAAACACAGCGGACGCCATCTCGCTGCTTTACCATGTGCAGGTCAGCAAAATCCTGAGACCGCCTGCAGCTGATCCAGCAAGCTTCTTGGTCTCAAAGCGGAGAAGCCGAAGGCAACGACGACCAATTAATCTGACAGCATTGATCTCATCACGTGCACAGACATTGTTGAAGAGGCTAATGTCCACTCTATAAGGTTACAAATTTACAAGAATATTCTTAAATACCAAGGCGTCTTCTAGGCGTCTGCACAACGCGAGAACCAGCTCCAACTCCAATTGTGCGAGGTGTCCCTGGCACAGCTACTTTTGAAGCTGGCCTGGCTGCCTTTGCAGCGAGTTTCTCTTCCTCCTCTTTAGCAGCCAATCTGAATAACCAATGATGAGCGCAAGGTATTGGATAAATGGCTGCACTCACTCGTCTCTTTGTCGTGCCATTTCCATTTCCAGCTCCGCTTTCTTGGAGAATTCCCGGTCTTTGTTTCTCCGGGCTCGGCCGTCAAAGTTCTTCTCTTTGACAGAGTAAAAGACGGATCCGAGTTCGGCTGGAGAAATGGTCAGCATTTTATTTGCGCCGGCGAAAGTGACTGGCAAACATACCAAGCCAGTATGCGTCAACGGCGGTCACTTGAGTCATGTATCTACAAAGAGGTGAATAAGTCCAGACACAAGTGTGGAGAACAACACACACTCTTTAGAGGTCATGATCAATTCATGGTAAATCACATATGTGGGAGTATCTGAATGATAAGATGAGATCTTCCTGCCTACTGACACGGAGAATCACGTACAGCCGAGGCCATATAGAGCACTGGTGGGATGTAAATGCGTCGGGACACTAAAAAAAGAGCAGAGACTAAACACTGAATACTTTTGAGGCAACGGGCAAGGGAGACGCACCCTGTCCTGATATTGACGAATTCTCCAATGCCTTTGACCTTGGCCGCTTGATGAAAGTAGCCAGCGCAGATAGCCTTTCTGCACACACAAATCATCAAAATCCACTCTGCTTAAGGCGAATAAACAAGACAAACCTCACGATATCAAAATCCGTGCCAGCTGATACTATGACCATTTTTTGAAAATTCATGATGTCTTCAAGTTGTTGGCGGACTTCTCGAGCCTTTCTCAAAAGCTTGGGATGAAGGAAGTGGCGCAGAGACCAATCATCCCGATACCTGGGGCAAAACATAAATCGGTTATTAGTGGGTTGGTCGCAATTTGAAAATCGACCTTACATACCCGTGCGATCTCCATTGACCGAAGACATTAAGCAAGGTCAAATGATCACTTTCATTAACCGAAAACTTCTCTCGCGCAGCATCAGCATCTTCAACGCGTTCCTTGGGACGATAAAATACACTTGGCACGCTCAGCATGCTAACAATGGTCAGCATCTCCGCTGAACACTTGTATTCGACTGATACGATGAGCATTTTGGCCATCGATGGCTCCATTGGAAACTCGGACATCTTCCGGCCGATCGGTGTAAGGTCCCCTGTGTTTGATAACGCTCCCAAAACCCAAAGTTGGTACATGGAGTTGAGGATATTTGCCTGTAGAGCTTGTGGGTATTCGAAATAAAAGAACACTAGCACAACGCAAACCTGTGGAGGAGGATCCATAAAATCAAATTCTAGCAAATTCTTTACCCCCAAAGACTTCAGCAGCAACACAGTGTTCGCCAAATTTGTGCGCTGGATCTCAGGAATATTAGTTTCAAACATTTCGTTCTGGAAGGCCATCTCGGTGTAGAGTCGGTAACAGAAGCTAGGATAAAAGCGGATTGTTAGTGTGCCAATGAAGGGTATGAGCACGAGGCACTCACCCACTGCCCGTTCGGCCGGCACGACCGGTGCGTTGATTAGCATTCGCTCGACTGATTGGAGTGATCTGCAAAGCATCCATCCCCACTTTTGGATTGTACACTTTTAATTTAGAATAGCCGGAATCAACGACATATAGGATCCCATCCACTGTTGAGCCATGACGCTGAGCTGCATACGCGTCGGAGAGGGCATGCACCACATACCAGTGAGAGATGTTTCAGCGATGTTCGTGGCAACAATAACCTTGCGACGACCATCGGGAGTAGCCTCAAAGATCTTAGCTTGCAAGTCTGCTGGCATCTGAGAATAAATGGGTAATACGGCGAGTGGAGCAGGATCATCAAGTTGTGACAACCGCTCTGAACGATGATGTTCTCAGCGGAGGTGAGACAAGGGTAAAAAAATGGGATATACCTTGTATGACTTGGCATGTAACCTCGATGTCTTCTTGGCCAGTCATGAAGACTAGGATATCTCCAGGGGGGAGCGAAAGATGAATTTGAAGGACTTGTTTGACAGCACTGTCCACATAGTCTTCGCAAGGACTTTTGCTGTGGAAAATCTCCACAGGAAACGTGCGACCAGGAATGGTGAATATGGGTGCATTTCCGTAGAAAGAAGAAAATTTTTCTGCGTTCATGGTGGCCGATGTCACGACGAGCTTCAGATCCCGTCGGCGTAAAAGAACTGTACAGGGGGAAATAAGTATCGTGTTGAAAAGCATGGGTTTATCGGGCTGACTCTTTTTCAGTAGTCCCATGAGCACATCAGTGCTTAGTGATCGTTCGTGAGCTTCATCTAAGATAATGACACTGTAGCGGTCAAGGTCGCCTTCATTTAGTGACTCTCGTAACAGTACGCCGTCGGTCATGTCTTTACGAAGAGCCCGATGAGCAAAGAATTAATGAAGAGAGAAAGCTTTACATTTGATAACAGTTGACTCGGTGGTCACATCCTCGAATCGGATGGCGTATCCGACAGTAGTCCCGAGCTTCACCTACATTATTCGTCAGACGGCTTCATAGTGACAGCCAAACCTCAACTTTACCTCCATTTCTTCACTGACTCGCTTCGCAACTGACATGGCAGCGACACGCCGGGGCTGGGTGCAGCCAACAATACCATACTGACAATAGCCGTCTTCGTACAAAAACTGAGCTAACTGGGTAGTCTTCCCTGATCCTGTCTCTCCCACCACCACAATAACTGGAGCACGATCAGACTGGGCTGGGAAATGAGCGCGTAGGTCTCTTACCTTGACTGTCTCTAATGGTGCGCATAAGATCCTCACGACAGGCAAAAGCAGGGAGATACTCCCTCTGCTCTTTGAGAGTCTTCGATCTCGTATGTGCCGATGTCGATGCCGAAGTTTTAAGGTGAGACGCAAACTTCGACTCGCCCCTGTAGTTGCCTTCTGCATTGCCATCCCTGCCTCCTATGGGGAGACAGAGTAAAAGAGACTTCGTGAATTGCTGTGCAGTGTACTTGGGAAAAACAATAAGACAAGGAACACACCTTCAGCTTCTGCATCAGCATCTTCATCCTTCACGCCCATGATGTTTCCGAGGGCGGTCCCGCCTAAAGAGGCTAACTTGGCAGCTGCCTTTTGCCGCTCGGCCTGCTCACGCTTCTCCTTCACCAATGCACTTCCCTTCTTGGCAAAGACCGCTAAATCAGATGTTGGATCGCGAATGGGATTGATGGGCTCGAGTTGTTTAGTATAAACAGTGCGCCCATCGAGGAATGGCGGTTTTAAATCGTGAACAATGACATGAACTGCGGCTTCAGATTCGTCTTCAAAGTCAAGGTCAACTTCAGCACGTTGAGCAACTCCCGATGTTAGCATTCGATTTGCTTCCCACAAATCGTTATCAGCGTTCTGGTTAATCCTAGTAAGCAAGGTCACGAAGCATTTACGGATCAACATACATATTGCGCTTGTCGGGCTGATATTCGTTTCTGCAACAATGTAACTATGACCATCACAAGAATGGGAATGTGCAGACGCACCACTCTTTTCGTTTGGAACTCGGCCTGCCTAATAGCTTCCAAGTCGTCGTATTGGGCAAGTGGGTTGTGTTCCTCGTCCCCAGCCTATGTAGGGTACTCAGTCAAAATCGCACATGTGCGTGGAGCCGTAACACTGACAAGTGTTCCTCCCTCGCTTCCCATATACCAATCCCGGTCAAGTTTAACCTGCTCTTCTTCCCATTCTCGTCCAGCGGTGAAGGAGACGTTATCCTCTTCATCACCATCGCCTCGCGAGACTCTGGGAGTGGGAGCATCCCATTTACGATCCCGTGCGCCACCCCAGCCGCTGTCGCCACCATCCATGCTACCGATTCTTGGTGTAGAATCCCATGCAACATTGGGGACGCGGACACTCGGAGCATCTCGCCCATTCCTAACAGGAGTGGGAGTTGGTGCATCCCAAGCCCGTCGATCACGTTCCCGTTCGGCACGATTGGATCTTTGCTTAAAGTCGCCAAGACCGCGTGGAGCATCAGGACCAGGCTCCTTGTGGGAGTGGGATGACAATCCACTATCGCCTGCAAGATGTTCAGTCTAAGCAACATTAGGTTTAGCAAACGATTCGTACCATGTACTTGGCCCCTCGTCCTTCGTCGCTCTTCAAGCTTCTGGCGAGCGGCCTCAGATAACCCACCATGGTGAGAAGGTGTATCTTGAACACGCTCACGGAGATTGGACTTCGATGCAGGAAGTGTTGGGACTGTTTATCCAGAAAGTCAGTATCGCGAGTTGTCACTACGGAAGACCAACCTTTGAACAGCCCCTTGTCTGAAGAGTCGCTTTCACCCAACTTCTGCTTCTTTCTGCTGATTTCTTCGGCGTTCACTTTGCGCTTCTCGACAGCTAGTTTGTCTAGTCCCAGGAGTGACTGCCTCGGGGTTGGTGGTTCTAATGGCTTTGCAGGAGTTTTAAACGTGTGTCGCTAGCTTGTATAGTTAGGTAAGCACCATGTATTTAATGCTATGCAAACATACAGCATCGCTGCGCTGCAGACCACCTTTCCTGATAGGCTCGGGCTCCAGGATATCACTATCCTCAACCATCATACCCTCAGGCGGAACGACTATATGGCCTGCCTTCTCCTGCCTATCGTGGCTGGTAATTTCCGAGTGAAGGTCCAGTAAGAACTGTTCCTTGAAATTTCCAAAACCACGCGCCGCTCCACAGCACATGCATTGGTAAAGCTGCCACGGTAGAGAGCTGTATATACTTACCAGAAAGGAACTTCTGGGCATCATTAGCGTTATTCTTCGCAATGTCAATGACTCGTTTCGCAAAGAGGTCATTGGGGTTGATGGAGTTTATTGCGCGGGACAATTTGATGGCTATTTTGTGAACAAACCCATCGTGTTGCCCATCCGAAGTACCACTTGTATTCTGTGTTGGCGATCGAGGCATACAATGAGAACAAAGAAATCCAGCTCGCGCCGAAGCTGACACTGACTTCGGTCACGAGAGGCCACAGGCACCGCCACCATCTCCATTCAGTAGTGTTCCTTGGACATGCCTGTTCGCCACAGCACTTCAAGACTGACTGGGACTGTGGCGGAACATCAATGGCTATGAACACAACGTGTAAGGAAAAGGTATGAGATGCTGGACAACACCATGCAATGATGACCCACGAAATGTAAACGAAGACGAAACAACAGCGGTCATCAATATTGTCGAGCATCTCATACCTTTGCCTTACACGTTGTCCTCATAGTCATTAATGTCCCACCAAAGTCCCAGTCAGTCTTGGAGTGCTGCGGCGACGCTCTTCGTTCTCATCCCTGGCATTTCACTTCCATTGTTATTTGGTCACTCGCTCATTTAACGCCCACCGCTTGCACCTCCGATCCGACTCTCGACTCTCGACTCAGCGTGTCCCATAATTGAACATCACCTGACGATGATAGGCGTCCCCTCCACGGCTTCCAATGCATCCTCAGACTCGCCGCCTGTTGGCCAATGCGCACATTACGGTCGCAAACTTTCTTGGCGAAGCAGGGGTCTGCAGGGTCGCAAGATGCGATGGAGATCATGTTACACTCGTCTTCAGAGGCGCATAAACCTCACTACGGGCTGGACCGATTATTGAGCGCGCAGTTCAATCCACAATGAGTACACTTGTCCCAAAATCTGGCTCCCACCGGCTTCCATTGGGGATCGAATATTCACAATATCCTTGGGGTGCAGGATCCGTTGCGGAGCCCCTAGCTTAGAGTTGTAGGGGCTGGAGATACACATTGAGCTATTATATTAGGGGATCATCATCAGCATCAAACCCATCGCCACAGGATTTGACCCAACTCCAATAGAGAGAAGATGCTTAGTAAAGAAAATAAGCACTTTGATGAAAGGATCGATGACGACGAAAGGAGCACACGGAGATATAAATCGAATGGATACATGGGGGGTGGGCAACTGGTAGGTCGGGCAGGGCAAAAGAATTTTCCCAAAGGGGTTACGTGGAAACGCACCCTACAAAAAAGATGAATGAGGAATTTGTGCCTTTTCAAAATTGTCCAAAGGTAGAACTCGCGGTTACCTGAGCCAGTATAACTCATATGCCAAATCATGGATTCAGGCCTGAGGGTGATGATAAAACTTCCAGGAAACGGGATAGTGGCCAAGACGACTGAGTAGAGGATGACGATAAAATGTTTCCATTCGGGAATCTTGCAGTTTCTCTACGGGCTTCTTGAACTTGGAGATTAGTCCGGGTGGAGCATTCTGGCGTTGTACCCACCACGGGTGCCCGGGGGAGGTGGCTTCGTCTGCGATGTTACTGCTAATCGAGTTTTGGCAATAGTGGAAGGCACCTCGTTTTCACTGCTGGGACTTGTGTCGCTGCTCCGACCTGAGGTGCTAACCATCTCGCGCCTCAGTTGAAGGAGTTTGTAAATTAACAACGATGAAAAAGGCTATTGAATGTGCAGATATGAATCAATGCCACTTGTGGAAGTGGGAGATGTGATATGTGAGTATTCGGATTTATAGATAATAAGGGGGAGAACATACGTTTCTTAATTGGGCCCGAAATGTAACCATGGACGTTGGACTTGTACCCTCATGCTGCGGTGACAAAAAATGGTCGACTTGAGAATACTACGAGATTATCCTACAAATACTCGACAGCGACAGTAACACTGAGGGGATGGTAGATGCGGCATGACCTATTCCATTGTCGGAAAAGTTACAAATCCGCAACGTCACGTGATATTCGTTGCGACGCGTTGCAATGCATTGCAACACATCTCAATGCTTGGGCGCACTGTTACAATGGGACTTCACATGGCATAAATGGCACTTATACTTGCATGCCAATAAACAACCGATGTGCTACATAAATATTTTTAGTCCGGGTTTGCAATATCTGTAGTCACCGGAGATATCCGGGACGCATGTGAGGATTTTACTAAGCGTGCAAGTCCGCACAGGAGTTACCTTAGGTAGATTTCCCTCGATTCATTCCTTTGTATATACATGGACCTTAACCATTAGATCATAATAGTAATTTGTATAGTGTCAACTACAGCTGAGTTAATAATGTCGGCATTTAGAAAAGAAAGACTATGTAGTGTGAGCTCAGTCAGACTCAGACAAGAGTCCTTGTTGGAGGGCAGCGCATACAGTGCCTTTAGGCACTAGTGCGACCCCTTCCAGACATTGCTGGAAGGTTTGGGCTGACCGGATTACTCGGTTAGGCCATGTGACTTGTGGGAACAAGTCACGCGTCTCTTTTGGCTATTTCGGACTTATCCGTGATGGCCGCATACTATATTTAAACATTTGAATTAGTTTCATTTTCCCTCAGTTCTCGCGCATTACTTATTGCTTCAGTTACTTGCTCTTTATTTCTACTCATTGTATATTTAGATTATCCAACGATTATTCCGTTAGTTCTGAGGGGAAGGTCTGCTGTAAATGCGATGATCCAAATATGGCACTTCAGCGGCTCACTTGCAGTCCAGAATGTACTTTTCTCAATAATTTACTAGTCCCAAATTATAGCTATTCAAATGGGCTATTCATCGATGTAAAGCGCGTGGGAAACAGTCCTGACACCCCTTTAGACAGTGGTCAGCATGATTGAGTTATCCCAAAGACTCGCGTCTGAAAAAGTATTTTGCGTTTTTCTCAATAATTTACTTGTCAATTTAGTCCCAAATTATATATTTTGGAAGCTATTCAGATGGGCTATCCATTGGTGTAAAGTGCGTGGACACCGTGGGAAACAGTCCTGACACCCCTCTGGACAGTGGCCAGCATTGCGCACGGACAGTGAGTTGGACAGCCAATTTCGCATAATTTATTGGTCAATTATATTCTGGAAGCTATTCAATGGGGCTATCCAGCTATGTAAAGTGTGGCTAGACCATGGGAAACAGTCTTGACACCCCTCTGGACAGCAGCCAGCAATGTGCACAGATAATGAGTCGGGAGCAATATAATAATAGTTCGGGTGACTCCGCTACAATACAATTATAGGCACTTCGTTGGGGTACTTGATCATTGAATAGACATTCATATAAAACCTGAGGGTCTACCTCATATGCCTGGGCTCGCTGGCCGAGTGGTAGGATTGCACTGTGTTACTATAGACTGTATAGCTGTTTCAATATAATGGGTATGTGTAATAGGTATTCATATCCCCTAGTATGCAGGGTTGTCTGTTCGAATCCCTGAAGGAGTAGAATATCTACATTTCTTTTGGGCTATTGCCCTGTGGTCACGTTGCAATGCATTTAAACTCAATGATCCCGTTGCAACGCTGGGTGGCTGTTGCAACATCAAGTAATCAACGCAAGACTTGCATTGCCACCGATCCGTTTTGGCCGTTGTATTGTGTTGCATTGAGTTATAATGTATTGATACAGATTTGTATTTTTTCGGACAATATGAGAACAGAGTCATGTTTGGGACACCGCAATATATGTCAGAAATGGGAAAGAAGTCAATGCAAATGCCTCTACCGCTGAAAGTTGAGTATTCCAACTTATTCGGAGCAGGGGGTAAAGTAGCTGTGAACGACGAGAAAGATACACCACAGCCCAGTTGCCAGGGACACTGTAGGTTTGCTTGCTGGTAGACCCTCGGTTGGCGGCCAAGGAGAGATGATGGTGAGGCCGTCACTTCGGCTGACCCCACCCTTGCCTTCTGTCGATACCCTAACCTTTTTTGCCCATCACGTAAATATCCAACGATCGGATTAACTATTAGTGTTTCCAAAGGGATTCAGAAGGGGGACATCTGGGGATACTCCCCATATGGGTTGGGTGCTCGCGAAATCTCATCCACGGAGTCATGTGTTTTGTCGCTGGCACGCGCTACCTCTCGTACAGTGCGCCACGAGGATCCCCTACACCAACCAAAAAACCCACATCCTGTATTGACGATCCCCTCATGTACGCCTTGATGTTTTTTGATGTGAGTGTTTTGTTTTGCTCTGTGTTTTGCTCTTCTTTCTCATCGGTCAAGGAGGTCTGGCTGTTTATATAGTCGTCATGTACTTAGCAGAATTGTCCGAAAATCTCACCCATGTCAATGATAGTACGGCATATGCCGATAGGCACAAATACGTACTTTAACATGAATTCATCCATCCACCACATGGGAGCGTGATGGCCGCTCCGCCGAAAAGTTATTACCCTGAAGCCGGCGACTGAGATCAGTTCCGTCGGGCACTCTAGATAACATTCTCCCCTTCATTTCCGGTTATTAGGTCATTCCAGTCTCATGGACATTTAGGCGACGTGCAGGAACTTGGAAGGCTCTTTGGCGATAGGTGTCTTGTCAATCTATCACCACGAGAGTTTCTTCTTGACTGCCACCTGAGGCTCTACCAGCGAGAGCAGGTCTGCGGTATATCTCTGATCAGGACTGGGTTGTGACATAAATCCAGGTACAATACCAACTTCGAATCCCATCGACGCCTTAAACCCAATCTCCGCCAACTCTCTTCGAGCCCGATGGACCCCGTTGGCCCGATTCTGGCCTGCTTGATGGAGGCAGCACTTTATGGTGCGTTTTCCACTCGTTTCCATCCTGCTTTCGCACAAATCCAGGGACTTTCTGATCAAGCGCCTTTCCTCCGTAGGGGCGTACGTCGCTCTTTTCTGTTGGAGTCTCTGGATTTCCAGCGGGAACAGCACTGTCCCTCGATTCCTACGCATAACATCTTTTGCTGCAGTTGCACTAGCTACAACCCATGTCGTGATTAACTTTCTTTGTTTATGGCCTTTTATGGATTATTTGGAGCAGTATGGTGATGTCGCTGCTTCGTACCTGAATTTGACTACGGTGGACCAGCCCGAATCTTTCTCGTGGTTGACGGCTGCTTTACCCCCTGCTCACAAAGAGTCGGTATACATAATTTTGGGGGACGTGATCTTTATTTCAACGGTAGAAACTTTCTCACTGATGTCTATTCCCATTTTTGACACATGTTGTGGTACCCTAACCGATTTATCAGGTTGTTTTGCATGACTTTGTTCTCATATGGAGGCTTCATGTGGCGTGGAACAGGACATACCTTATCTGTATCCCCTCAGTGATACTGTTGCTGGCGAGCGGTGGTGAGATAGCCTCCTAGTATTCTCAGGTTGGCAATTTCAAAACTGCTTTCTTTTTTGGCCATTGCAGCACTATCGTACGCAGCCGTAAGGAGCCCACAGAGTCCGGTCCCCATGATGTCAGTCCAGGCTCGGCTTCGAAACGTATGTTATATCATTCCCTCAGGCTATTCTTTACTCAGCTTCCACTGTACCATTATTGGCTTTGGAAATATTCCCCCCTACAGTGGCATTGCATTGCGATCTATACCGGCGCGTTCAACAACATTCTTACACCATCGCTGACAGTACACAAACTCCTCCAACTGAAGAGCGAGATAGCAAGCACCTCGACTTCGAGCAGTGACGCTACCCGTGACACAACGTCAGTAATCCCCACAGGAACCGATCTCCAAATGCAAGAAGCCCGTAGGGAAACTGAAAAAGACCTGAATGGAGCCATTCTTATCGTTATCTCTTACTCAGCCCTTTTCGTCATTATCCTGTCTCTAGGAAGTTTTTTCATTATCGTTATGCCTGAAAAAGCGATTTGGTATATGAGTTTACTGGCTCAGCTAACGGTGAGTTGGTTTTTCTCTTCCTCTTCGAGGGTATTTTGTCAGTGCATATGGACATTTCGAAACGGCATGAATTTCTGCTAATGCATTTCTTGTCTTTCTTTCATTTAGGGAGTGCTTCCAGTGTTACTTATGATCAATTCATGTTACAAGAAGAAGAGGACGCAAGGTTCTGCGTAACTTCTCCTGAGCATAGCCCAACCATACTGTTCATAATCAATAATCCGATGTGCACCAGTTCCTATCACAGTTCCAAGTGGCGGACTCTACGTAAGGCCCTACCAAGGACATGGACTGATAATGTCCACCAAAAGCACGCACACTCTCCTACCTGACTGGGCCGGGATTGCTGTCAGTCAGCGAATGTAAATATCAACTCGCGGGAGGGGCACTGTACTAGTTCAGGTACTAGTTTGCATTAAGGCCATTTGCCATATATAATGCAGACACCAGATCCCTTGTGGCAAAGCGGTTTGTCCGCTCCTATTTGGTGCGCTGTCGCAAGGTGTGGGTGTCCTGATATCCCGTTGTCATGAGCCAGCTTTTGCACGAGTCAGAGGCCTGACGGTTTGGGACGATTTAATAACCTAAAATCCAACGAAGGCCATTGAGCATGGGCTCGGCACTGAGTAGGGATGAGATTCAGCAGTACAGCGCAGCGACCAAATCAGATGATACCACACCTCCCCGCACAGCAACGGATGTGTGGGAAGGTGGGAGGATCGAGCACATAAGTCAACCGCCGAATTAATAACCAGCGGTAGCGAAAGCTCTGCGTGAGCCGACTGGAAGGGTGCTAAAGTGGTACATATTCACAATGGCGATTGGGAATCCCCCACTATGGCGTGTTTAGCATGTAAAGAATTGTGGGTGATCGGCCGCCCTGGCCTGGAGAACCCATTCACTTTCACAAGTAAAGTCTGATCATCCCGCGCAAAACTAGCTCTATCTCTAACTCTTTTGAATAGTGTTCTTCCTACTGGCACGAAGTTCCCAGGATCGCCGATGGCCTTTTGCATCAAACAACTTCAGGATTTTGAGCTAGCCGTAAACCTTTGCTCGAATAGTCGAGTGACGATATATAGCTCTGTGTTGAAGGACATTCATCCCAATGCAGCAATGCTGATAGCCTTGGAATCGCTTGCTCGCTTTGCTGGGTTTTAAAGCAATGAGATTTGTCCTTCAGAGGTTCCGCTGTACCAACTCTTGTCAGACAAGCTTCAACATTACAATGACAAGGAATAGCCGAATCACGCATGGCAACCAGGCTCAGAGCTTCGAAGACACTCCGGGGTCACACAGGTATCGCTCTAGGAAGTCGCTACAAGAAGAGGAACCAACTCTGTCGGCGAGGTTGAAAAGCGGGTTTGCATGTATTCACCTTCCTGCGAGTCTTGTTAGCAAAGTATGGAAACACCGGTGCAACAGAGTAATCAACAGTGGAAAATGTGTTAAAATCCAATGGGGCAGTATCAGTGCATTCGTTTATGTAGATATCGGCGTGGTTGGATGTTTTGTGTAAGCAGGTAGCGCCCTCGTCAACACCAACGATATTAACCCCTCTGGAGCATGCATGTCGCACATCGAAACAACCAATACTAGCCCAGACATACAATCGCTGATCCTAGCCAGCCAGCAAGCACGGGAATGCCCGAAATTGGCTTGGATCACTATGTCTCAGAGTCTATCGAATTTGAGGGGACGAAGGGAACATCATCGTAACCCCAAAGTTACGTAGCGGGTGTAGTGCCCAAAATGGGAATATTTCATGTGTCCGAGCGAAGCGCATGCACAACAGCACGAATGATAACATTTTTGGCGTTGCTGAGAAGTCCGTAGCTGGATATAGGGTATGGTGCAACCCCAATCTGAGAACGAGAAGACACTTTTGTTAAAAAAAATGAGCGTTCTGGTGATAAGATCAGGCCGTCGAGATATCCGATCGCGTCAAAATCCTCGATATTTATTAGGAATGGTGGGGGAGGTGGCAACGACTACGGAGCAGAGAGGCGAAGATTCGAGAAGACGCGCGGTGAGGGTGGGGGTATTAGGAAAACGACCACGTGTATGCAGGCAGGGAAGAAGCTCTCCATTTGCTTATGAAGGTCGGACTCAGGCAGCGGAGCATCTCAGTACCCACACCAAATGACTCCTCAAAGCTTCATGAGGGCGCTTGTATGAGATTCCGAGTGCAATCGAGTTAACACATGTAGACGGTCATTGGTAAGAGGTTCCCAAATCGAGCATCTCCAGTTGAAGATAATTTTGCGTGTACAGAAGACTCGATTTATAGCGGAGTGATCCGAATATATTGTCATATTGTCATATGGGAAAAGAAGATCCTGCACAGTGTGGTCCCAAATTTGCTACGGAGTAGCGGAATATCGACGTCCCACAGTTTATGGGCGCACGGACCCACAGCCGCCGATGATTGCCCACAATTCCTTTCTCGACTTTCCTGTTGATAGACGTCGTTGTAGGCTTAAAAGCGGCCACTGGATGCGACTTTTTCTTGCTCTCCTCAGTTCTACTTTCATGAACTGAGGTGAGGTCTATCTTTTGTACGCGCTTACTCGTTTACTGGCTGAGAGTTCGTGTATTTTGCTATAATAGCGCTCATCATTCGCGGGGTACACTAATAACATTTAGTTCTACTTTTGTGAACTGAGCACTCACAAGATCTGCTCACCGAGATTATTTTATCAGCAGGCGCAGATGACTGACCCTAATCTTCCGAATGCGAGGACGATCTTGGGCGCCTTGTATGAATACCTTCAACGTGATCGAAAGAAAGGTCCATCATACATATCGGTGCCCTAAATCGCAAGCACTGGTTTTTGCAATCCGCCGACCAAATGCTTGCAATTTACTGGGCTCAGGGCACCGATGGGACGAATCTTCCTAGCTTTGATCACGTTGAAGGTATTCATAACTAGAAGTTAATTACATGTAAGAGGATTGATGTCGTCTTCAGGAGTCCTCGCATTTGGACGATCGGGGTCATTAGGTGTTCTGCATCTGCACCCTAACAAGGCTGCGAGTTACTAAATCACAGCTGGATTGTCACCACTAAGAGTGCAGCCATCAGTTTTTTCGGGCTCACCAGCCTCTCGTCACGCTGACTGCACTAGCTTGCCCATCGTGCTAAATTTCAGAGCAGCGTGTGATGTACATCTCAAGAAACGGTTGGTAATAGGTAAAAGTACCGCCTGCCGCAACTGTTATGCCTTCCATCTGTTTGGCGGCCATATATAAGGACGCCAAGCGAAATTGGTCACTGGTCGATATATAACTAGCGCTCTGTCGTTATGCAGGCACGGAGAAGAGTAGCTGGGAATTTGGCCATCTCCACTGAATGGAAGAGGCGTCGTTGTCGATCATGCAAAGTATGTACATAATTCAATGGACAAATCTGAAGAAACTCCACAAAAAACTGCGGCCAGCTTGAGCATTATGCATGACCCAGATTTGTGAACCATTTACTGCGTTTCTGTGAGAATCTGTCCGATTAAAAGTGAAAGGTGTGTATGGCGAAATCCACCTCTCAGTCCAATTATAACAAAAGAACAACAAGTACGTGGTTCCTTTGATTCACGAGCCCCACCCAACACGGATTCCCACAACTGGAACACTTGTGAGAATGTCTGCATACATGAAAACGGGCATTATGAACGGGATCAGCAAACTCCGCTACAACACAGCAAGGACATGACCAACACAAAGAACTTGCAGGGGAAGAGCAACCTCGCATGAACAGAAAGGAAGGTAAGCGCCATCTACTCAACCCCGGTAGTAGCCCGTAGTGTAGGTAATTCCTAAATCAAGTAACATTGGCGGGTTGTTGACACGGCTAGCCTCAATCATCGCCTGTATGTTTGGGTATTCCAACGCTGGGTGGCAAGCAATAGGCACAGCAAAGAATCGAAGGTTGACAGAAGTGGGAGAAAATGTAGGCGGAACTTAGGGAGGAATGGAATGCACGGAGAGAGAGATGTTCAGAATAGACAACACAAAGTTGATAAGACGGGCAGGTGAACTTTCGCGGCAGAGAAAAGAAAGGACGATGGAGGTTATCGATGTTGAAGGAAAAAATTTTTTTCGGGCCATGTTCGGAAGGGGTTACAAAGAAGCCCGCATATTTGATTTCAGGTAACACGAATTGATCGTGAGTAACACCGGAAATAGACCCTAAACAAGGAGTGGACGAGGAACGCAAAATTAGCCAAGGCGCATACGATTCCAGGAACGTCCAGAAATATCCATAATATTGACGAAACACCCTCTAAAAAGAGAAATGAAGATGGAACCCAGCTTACCGTAACCTGAGCCAGTAAAGTCATATGCCAGATCTTGAAATTAGGCTGAAGGGCGCTGACAAAACTTCCGGGAAGTAAGATACCCATGAAAATGACGGTGCAGATGATGACTGTATAAATGGTTCCGTTCAAGAATCTTGCAGTTTCTCTACGGGCCTCCTGAATTTGGAGTTCGGTTCGGGGGAGAGTCGCCGATGTTTTGCCACCGGCAGCCGGGGAAGGAGATACCGACGGCGTGGATAACTTCATCGATGATGTTGCCACTGATTGAGTTTTGGGGACGGCAGAAGGCACTTTGTTCTCCTCGCTGGAACTAGTGTTATTGCTCCCAGCCGAGGCGGTCATCTCGCTTTTTAGTTGAAGTAGTTTGTAAACTAGCAGTGATGGAGTCATGGTGTTGTTGACTATGCAGAGATAGAGCGAGAGACAGCGCCACTGGGGGGTGGAGGCCGTATTCCCAATTCGAAGAATGGGAGTTAAGCAGCCGGGACTGAGGAGGAGGGTACAACTTACGTTTCGCAATCGATCCTGAACTGTCAGTACAGAAGCCAGACTTGGAGGATGCGTTATGGCAAAGAACCCTATTACTGCGGTGACAAAGAAGGAAGCAGATAAAGCGAGCGACCTAAGAATACCAGGAGGTTGTCTTACAGCTGGTCGTCGTTGCCAGGATCGTTGAGGGGGCACAGATGAGGTATGACTTATCCCAGGCCATGTGAAGCCTCCATATGAAAACAGTGTCATGTAAAATACCCTAATGAATCGTTTGGGGTAGGTTAGAAATGCGGGGAACAGCGGGAGAACAGCGGGAAAATCTTTACCGTCAATAGAAAGATCACATCTCTCAGAGTCGTGTATTTCGAGGGATTGGGAGCGTGCGGTAAAGTAAATGACGACCATGAGAGTTGATCTGTCGTGGTCAAATTCAAGTACGATGCGGCAACGTCGCCATACTCCTCCAAGTAATCCACAAAAGGCCACAAACACATGAAGCTGGTTGTGACATGAGCGGTGGATAAGGCTAGAGCGGCGAAAGATGTTATGCGTAGGAACCAAGGTACGCCGCCCCTGGGGGAAATGCAGAGGCTCCAACAGAATAAGACAGCATACGTTCCTACCGAGGAAAGGCACTGGAGGATTAGGGAGCCCTGGATTGTGCAAGGTAGGTTAAAAGTGATTATAAAACGCACCAAGAAATGCTGCCCCCATCAAGCAGGCCAGAACCAGGCCAACAGGGTCCATCAACCGCGCAGGCATAAAGGGCAGATGAGGTGGGTGGAGCTTAAAGCGTCGATGGCGTTGGTGCCAATTGTACCTTAGTCAAATATGTACCGCAGGTTTGCTGAGACTGACAAAGGTCAAGAAGAGACACGGGATGATGGAGACAGTGTGGTTGGCTGACCACCTCCACCTCCATCCAGATTAGGGATGGTGCGCATTACGGAAAGTTCCAAAGATCAATTGGTTTAAGATCGTTTCCATAAATGGCCTGATTATGTAATACCTCAATCAAATCACGTGTCTTGAGGCCATTAATTGATCGACTCGGACATCTGCCTGTTACGGTTATGCCGTAATACTAACGGATGACTCATGTTACATGTAGGTTAACAACCTCTATTAGTATAAACTTGTTATGGTGCTTGACAGCGCTTCTGTGTCTCCACGCAGCGCAACATCCACCAGTTTGTGAATTACTTTTTGCAACACATGCCTTCCACTGCTGGCCAAACTGATGACGTGTTTGCATCCACCAAATTTCAAATAATCTCTCGCGCTTAATCTCGAGTGTTTGCACCCGAAGATCTGTCAAGGCAGTTGCATTGTGCACTGCTTGGGCCTACAAACTCAATTCAGAACGTCAAATGGCGGTGCTCACTAAAAGCTCTTTCCGCGTCTCTTTTCTATTTTGGTCATCAAGATGGTGGCACGATGTGCCTAACACATAAGCATGAAAAAGCGGTCATTCCTATAGAAATTCTGCTCTCCCCCTTTCATCAGCGCGCAGGATGTCTTGTTCGAAGCATGATGATTCCTGCTTCCACAACAACTTCAACTTGCGTGCTGGCCTTGTTGTGAGCTCCTTCCATCAAGTGCATGCTTGCTATTTGACATTCTTTGAAGCTTGTATCAGAGGTTGGCCTATTGTCTTTCGTCCTAGCATCTTCCCTCCTTTTTTACTCTCTGGTGAGCCCTTGACAGTTGGATCTACTCATGCACACCATTTATAGTTTCTTTATCGCCTCCGACAGCGACAAGCATACAAGAACTATCGTGGCAGGGACAGCACACCAAACTCTAGCGCCGAGCCTTGGATACAACCTATCTCAGTATTGTTTTTGTGTGCTATTTTCATCGATGTGATGTGAGTCCTTGTCGCAACACTATGAACAGGGCCACTCACACTCGCTGTCATTCGTTGGATCCTCTGCAGCGGTGGGGTAGGAAATATTCTGTCCGTCAGGTGGGCCTTCACAGGAGAAGTCGTCGAGGGTCCATACTGTACAGCACAGGCGGCCTTAAAGCAGATTGGGGGTAACGGCGTCGGTATGTAGATGTATCTTTCACCAAATGTCGAACTTCCAATGACCCACCGATCACTAGCGTGGTTTACCATGGCCATTGCAATATTGACGTACCTTCAAGTGGTCCATTGGAGCTGGGTCGGCGAAAGGGGAGCAAAGATTTTTGCAACGGGATCCATTTGCTTCATTACCGTATTCATCATCTTGATTATTGCGATTCCCGCTTCGATTTTCCATCCATATTACGGTGAAGCTGGGTGAGAATTACATCTAATATCCCACATATGATTTAACCTTTGAGTCCTAGGCCGTGGTGCTGGATCCGTAATGGCAGCGGTGCCAGCCGCCAGAAGTTACGATTCAGTAAGTCTTGGATACCTTTGCTGCCATGATGCCCTGCGAAACTGAGGCCCGGATTCGCAGCAACCCAATATGCCTCGGAGTGGCTAGCGATACTAGTTTCCATTGTCGCATATGGTGCGGTAGCGTACAAGTGGCTACACCAGGCATCTATTGATGCCAACTACGACCTCAAACGGGATGCGATTGCCATGGGATGGTATCCTATCGGTGAATACAACCATTACATAAGTTCTGCCCCTAACTGACTTATCATACTCCAGCTTATTGTGTCGTCGTTGCACCTCTATCTGCGGTTCGTTTCCGCCAGTTCAGTGGTCATCAATCAACCACTGCTGGTGAGATATTCCCTTCTGCCCTTATAGCTTCATGGGGAGCCATCAATGCCATTCTGTGGTATTCGACTGGTAGACGTTTCGGATTCTCCAACAAAGAGAGCACCTCCCCCAGCAGCACCTCGAACTTGAAGCTTGGTTCTCCTGAGGAATTTGAGATGATCGCTCAAGCGGCTCCCATCGATGGTGGAGCAATTGAAACGATTCCAATCCCGCCGACCTATGCAGAGCCCCCCAGAAGTAACACTCATTATGGTTAAGAGTCCCCATTGGAGATTACATGCTCGCATATATTCCGGGGGCTTCATTCTTGAATTTGTGGTTCAATAAGGAACCGCTATGTTGTCACCCATGTATATTATGTTTTGTAATCGTCCGGTCGATCTTTCCCTCTATTATTATAGTGACTCATTCCAAGGTTGAGTATGAATATTTGACACTAGCTGTCGAATCTGAACTCTTCCGCCTACATGGCCGCATATGGGCATATGGGAGTGCGTTCTTGCATTAGAATACAATATGAGCACCTCCCAATGTTTTACACATAGCATGGCTGCATGGCCAAGTTTCAAGGCGAATATGTTCCAAAATCAGTAAGGGCGGGAGGTTGACACGTAATCCCTGGAAGATCGAAAGCATTACTACGTTCCTCCGGCCTTGCAACCCCCCTCCTCCAACGCGACAACTCAAAAGTGGAGCAGCATTCGGCGTTAACCTCGTCAGAACGCATGAGAGCACTCGAATCGGACTTAGATTATTATTTTCTCACTTTATTTTCGTGTATTTGTTCCAACCCCTGCCCTCGGCGCTCTCACGAGCAGCCTAAAGTTTGCAGGATAAATATCCAGAATAAACAACAACAACCCTCCTCCTCGTCTTCATCTTCATCGAGCTGTAGAGTCTACCACGATATCAGCCTGGTTGAGGTACTAGGTACACTAGCACAGCCGTGAGATGATATTGTGCGGATGACTTGCTTCTTCCGTGCGAATGACTCATTCAAGATCGCAGAGCTCGAGGTGATCTTCCTAGGGCGCCAGGTAATGGGTGGCAAAGAGCCGCATTATAAGCTTCGTCTGCCGTTCGATCATCCGGTGCTGCTTCCGTGGAATCCCGATGCGGGCGTGAAGGGCCAACGCGACAAGGGGTACCAAGTGACATCCTGTCAATAGAAGTTTTGGCCCAAATATATTTACTCCATGCGGCGACTGGACGTTGCTTACCGCCGCGAAAACATCTGCAATACGATTTGTTCTTGATCAGAAAAGTAGACTTAGGTCTATTACTGTGGTGTTGAAGCATGCTGCAATGCTCCCAAGTGAAGCGTCTAATGTCATAACTTGGATGCGAGGGCTCTCCTGAATTTTTTCTGTCAGTAGGCAGCCATGTTTTCGCGTGTGCATACCTTGTGTGTGCACTTGGCAATGCTTGATAAGACTTTATTGGATGGCGATCCTGAATATTCGTTAGCATTCGCTCTGAGTGGCCCATCGGGGTCATCTGTGTATGCTTGAGCGCGGCAGATGCTTATCCGGAGATACCAGTGCAGTGCCTAGCGCTAGTGCACCAACTCCACTTGGTGATTGTGGGTTGAATATGGGGAAGTGACGGCGCTTCTGTATCATCATGCAAACACATCCAGCATCCACCGGTTGTCAGTGCTTCCGAATTTCCTTCATCACACACCGATATATGCCCTCTACTGCTGCTCTGCAGGCTGGACTGACGACGTGCTCGAAGTGCCAAGATGTTGTGCATGTGCTCCTGGCCCCACCAGATTTCAAATAACCTTTCCCGCTTATTTGAAGTGCTATATCTGGGGATCTGTTACGCGATTGGGTTGCGCACTGCCTGGGCGCCGACAAAATCAAATCAGAATGTCAAATGGCGATGCGCAGCTGGGTCGTCACAAAGCTCTTCTCTCTTTTTTGATCATCAAGATGGCGGTACAATGTACCTGACTCTGCATATGAAAGAGCAGTCATTCCTCTCAAAATTTTACGCTCCCCCCGTCAGCAAACAGGATGACTAGTAAATGTTCGAAGCATGATACCTCCGGCTTTAAGGACAACTTTAACTTGCGTGCTGGCCTTCTTGTGAGATCTTTTTATCGAATGCGCACTTGTTGTTTGACATTCCCTGAAGCTTATATCTGAAGCTGGTGTACTGTCTTTCATTCTGGCGTCTTCCCTCCTCGTTCACTCTCTGGTGAGTTGGATTCACTCGTGCACATCCGTTATCGTTTCTTCATCACTCCTAACAGAGACAAGTGTACAAGAACTATCGTGGCAGGAACAGCACATCAGGCCCCAGCACTGAGCCTTGGCTACAGCCCATCTCAATCTTGTTCTTGTGTGCTATTTTCCTAGATGTGATGTGAGTCCTGTCGCGTCCATATGAACAAGGCTACTCACACTTGCTGTCACTCGTTGGATCCTCTGCAGCTATGCGGTATCGAATATTCTGTCTATCAGGTGGGCCCTCTCAGGTGAAGTCATCGAGGGTTCGTACTGTACGACCCAGGCGGTCTTGAAGCAAATCGGGGGTAACGGCGTGGGTATGTAGACATATCTTTCACCGCATGTCGATTTCTAAAGACCCACCGATCGCTAGCGTGGTTTACCATGGCCATTGCAATATTGACGTACCTTCAAGTGGTCCATTGGAGCTGGTTCGGCGAAAGTGGTGCAAAAGTTTTTGCAGCAGGATCTATTTGCTTCATCATCATATTCATCATCATGATCATTCTGGTTCCTGCTTCGACTGTTCATCCATATTATGGTAAATCCGGGTGAGAAATGCGTACGATATCCCATATGTAATTTAATCCCGTATCGCAGGTTGTGGTGCTGGATCGGTGTTGGTAAGGGTACCAGCCGCCAGAGGTTACGATATGGTAAGTCTGGGATACCTTCAATGCCCTGCGAAACTGAGTGGGGACTCGCAGCAACCCAATATGCCTGGGAATGGCTAGCGGTGTTGGTTTCCATTGTCTCGTATGGTGCGGTAGCATACAAGTGGCTACGTCAGGCATCTTCCGGTGCTGACTACGACCTTAAACGAGTCGCGATTGCCATGGGATGGTATCCAATTGGTGGGTACAATCATCACCATCACATAAGCTCCGCCTAGTTCTGACTGACTTCTCAAATTTCAGCTTATTGTGTCGTTATTGCCCCTATATCTGTGGTTCGTTTCCGCCAGTTCAATGGGTATCATCCAACTGCTGCTGAGCAGATATTCCCTGCTGCCCTTCTTGCTTCATGGGGGGCCATCAATGCCATTCTATGGTTTTTGACCGGCAGACGTTTCGGATTCTCGTCCAAGAAAAAGGACGACTACCCTAGCGTTCCCTTTCCGGGTTCGCAGCTTGTTCTCTGACGAAACTGAGATGACTGCTCAAGCAACTTCTATTAGAACAGGCAATGTAGTTTACCATGACCGATTTGAAACTGTTCCGATCTTCCCTTAAACGTGGGGAGAGCCCCCTAGGAGTAGTGAGCATCGGGGTTAAATTCAATCCTCATAGTTCAAGTTGCCTCCCAGTCCCAGTGGAGACCGCCTCGGACTTTTGCCTGTATGTTCACGGTCCATTAAACCGTCAACACAATTGTTACCAATTGTCGGGGGAGTGAGGTGAGAGGGTACACATTACGATTCTTGCTGGCAAATGCTGTATTCGCGTATCCTAATATGTACTATAGTGTTACGTTCTCGCCATCATGCTGACCAAGGCATGAGTCCAAATCTAGTGTGGAGCGAGTTTTTTTTTGCTATATGGCCGAATAAACAAGGACCAGTTATATGGAATGCGGATAGAGGGATGTCACTCACAGGCTCGCTTTGGAACTATTGTTGTAATTAGCGCTTCATACCCGCGTCAGACCACCAAAGAATTCCATGTAAGTGGTGCAATAAATGATCGCATCGCAGGCAAAGCTTGTGATGGGATTTGTCCCATTCTTTGCCACCCGTTAATGTCCCCTTGGGGTATCGCTTCGAGCTTAGGTCTGCGATCTTTATTAGCGCTTTATCGATATTTCGGTAACTCGCTCAACATCGTCTGGTCCAGCCCTCTCAGCTGTGCGCGGCAAAGCGCCTAGTACCTAAATCCCAGAGATGGAAACGAGGCCAATATCGAGGCAAAACGTGCAGGACTCTGCAGCTCGGTGAGGGGGTACAGAGAGGGACGTCACAATTCCACGACGCATTCTTCCAGGGATTACGAGTCCAGCATGGTTGTCATAAAATATGGATCCCACTCGGCCTCCAGCGCCAGTCGCATTGGCGGGGGCTTAACGCATGCCTTTTTTTTATTAATATTGTCAGTGAATGTCCTCTGGCAAGACCCCAACATCTACAGCGTTTGAATGGAAGGAGCCTGCAAACCAGGAGGGATGAAGTGAGAAGGTTGCTGAGATAGACCGGGAGGCGACGCCACTGTGGGTTATGTTTTCCTTCGGAGGGAGCCTGTTTCCAATCATTCGACCCAAGTTAAGGACTATCAAGGAAGGGAGAAACGACTTATGCCTCGCAATCGAGCCTGAAAGGACATGCGGGTGTGTTATGAACAAGCGCCCCGATGCTGCAGTGACAACAGGCAAGAAAGGCGAAAACCGCCAACCCGAGAATACCATGCTGCTGCTTGACAGCAACGCATCACTGGTGAGACACAGATCTATCCCCCGCCATGTGAAGCCTCTATATGGGGACCCAGTCATGTAAATACCCTAGCGAATCGTTCAGGACACCATAACATCACAGGTCAGAATCCCAAGAAACAGGAAGAAATTCTGTTGAAACGAAGAACCCATCCCTCAAAGCCGTGTGTTTTGACGCATATAGGGCATTGGGGTGGTCTTCGAAGACGAGCGGGACTCAGGTTCATGAGCGAAGCAGCAGCGTCGTCATACTTGTCCACGTAATCCATAAGCAAACGAGGTTACGGTAATCGGGAGATAAATCGTAGATAGCACTATGGCAGCGAAAGGTGTTACGCGTCGGAACGTTGCTCCTGCAGTGGCTTTGTGCCAGGCGGGACGAAGCGGACGGAAAACGCACCATAACTGAGTGCTACCCCCGCAAAGGTGGCCAAGCAGGACAGAATCGAGCCAATGAGGTCCGTCAGCAGTATAGTGAAAGGCTTGGAGGGAGTCGGTGAAGAATGGGTTGAAAGCGCGCCGATGTGAACTACCGATGTTGGTTCGAATTCTACCGGACTAAGTATACCACAACCCGGCTCCTTAGCAGTCAGAGACGGGCCGCAGGTTTGCTCACTGGCAGAGCCTCCTCGCGGTCAAGCAGAAATGTCCTATCACCCTCTATTCCAATAGAGGCTGGTAACCTGCCTACCTCGTGATTTCGCAGCGCGTACACGAGGGGCTTCTCATGATGATGGGCTAAGGGCTAACAGAAATCAGAACCTTCCGTTGCAAAGATAATTACATATTTGAAACCGGATAAGCTAAAGCTCTTGTCAATGTCCGATGATCGATCTGGAGCGTCGGCATCACCGATCGAAGTAAATGAGCGCAATTAAACGAAACTGATTCTTCCGCTATCTATTGCCAAGCAAGTCGCTGGCAGGTTCCTTCAAACATGAAACTGTCTACTGCTTGTTCTTAATGACGAAGAACGGGGGTCTGCACCAAGCCAAGTTTCTTATGTACGATACAAATTCCTACGCACTTTCGATAGTTCGCTTCCAGGCCTTGATGAACATCAGTTCCAAGGAAACATATATATCCCAAAGCCTCCGCGAAAACATCTTCACACGGGAAGTGGTGCAAGGGAGATGGACCTTGCTGTTACTGTTTATGTTCGGTATCACTGGTGGGCTGTACGTAGATATGATCCGCCTGGCTCGATGTCTTGAATTCGCTTTCAGAGATTTGAACTCTTGTCTACGCTGTCCATGTAACCAATAGAGAGTTCATCTTAGATCGAGCGCTACTGGCATATCCGCCTCCCTAAAAGCAGCCAATCCGAACTCCTTTCACTGTGCCTCACCTTTCAGACTCACCCCAAACACCAGCATATGGTTCAAGTAATGGAATAATTCATACAAATCCGCCCTTTGCTCATACTCCTCCACTGGCTCGCTCTTAGTTCGATACTGATGATACGTCTCATAGAATGCTCTGGGAAAACCCTCGAATATACGCGCAATGGAGAGATCTGCTTCGTTGTGCCCGAAGTAAGAAGATGGATCGTAGATGAATGGTTTGGACGTCCTAGTTGAGATGGCGACGTTTCCACTCTGAAGATTAATGGTCAGCCTCGGGAACTAAGAAGGGCGGGTAATGGGGGCTACGGACCCATAAATCTCCATGAAGAAACGAAGGTGTGCATTTGAGTCTTGGTCCCAGTAAGTGAGGGATGGCCCTTGTAAGAAGTGTCAATGCGCGAATAACCCTTTGGGCGTGTCTTCCAGCTCCTCCAACTCACCTGGTGATCACTTCCTTTCCCATTTTTACCAACTCCCCGCGAGGGTCTCTCCCCTCCCTCTCGATTCCATCCAGCAGTCCACCGATCATCTTCCCATAAGCCTCTTCCCATGTGTCATACCAACCATTCTCAATCCTCGTCACACCACAATACGTAGGTATACTAAACCCAAACTTCCCATTCTCACTCGACAGCGAATGGACCTCCGTCGCCAACTTCTTGGCCAAATACTCCGCTCCACCATGTGAAGACAATGAAGAGGACTTCACATCGATATACTCTGAAATCATATACGGTCTCTCAGTAGATTCATCGATACCATTGACGAACAGTTTAGGAGCGATTCCAGGACTGGATCGATCGAATAATCTGAGAGATTCCGATTCGCCTTCATATTGTTCCTTCTCGGAGGGACGTCCCAATTTGACGAAGTATGTTGCTCCGGAAGAAGATGTTACACGTGGTAGGGCGCCAGTGAAGCTCGATGAAGGCTCAATGCATTCCAATATTGTTTCTAGGATGGGTGGAATGGGCATGGCTGAATGTTGTCGTCGCGATAACCACTTAGTCGCATCGTGGGAAAGTGGGTGCGGATGCGCGTGAGGTTGAAATTGAGGTCAGTTGGAGGATGCAGGCATGCACGTACAGGCCACAATTGGATGCTCCCATTAAATAAGGGCCATGTTATCTACTTCCACAGAGTAAAGAAAAAGTCAACAGAAACAAAGCCAGGAGAAGTACGTCCTCCCTTTTCATCCTCCACAGTTACTCGTCGTGGTCCTTGGGTATTCCAGGGGCAGGACTCGATCCGCCCATTAACCTATTCCGTTCGTCCGAGCCTTTAGTCCCATCTTCATCATCTTCGCCGCCGATCTCAAATACAACTCCATCCTCACGGAGCTCAGTTCTTGAATCTCCAAGACGAATCTGTCCTTGTGTGGGAGCTTCGCTCAAATCCCCACGAGATGGGTCTTCTCGCCGTTCCAGAGCGTCAAGGTCGTAATCTTCTGCATCCTCTTCACTTTGTGCCAGTTCAGTGGACATGACTAGCGTGGGTATCAGAAAAAGGTCAGACATCTCTAGTAGAAATTCGGAAGCAGAGACATGGGAACATATCTTCGGTTGTTTCCCGTTGGGCGCCAAATGTAAGCGGTGGACGAGAAGACGAGGAGATAGAGAATCGACAAATATCCATCCATTAACCACCATCTGTATGACCAGGTTCGAGATGCAAAATCTAATGAAGACCACGAGATGGAGAAAGAGAAGCTCAAAGTTGATCAGTATCCGAAATGCTCACCTTCCTCGTATCGACTCGAGAAAGTCACCGTGGTGACAACAAAGAAACCAGCGACGATGACGACTGCCATTATGAGGATATAATGTAACTTCTTAAACATACTAAGTTTGTACGTCTGCTTTCGCGCACGAAGCTCTTGGATTGTAGCTGTGGATGGGATGGAATGGTCAGCACATGCGTTGGTCTCGGAGGACATTGGGAATACCTTGAAGGCCATACATAATCCAAAGCAAGAAGGTGCTCAAAGTAAATGCTAATGGCATAATAAACAAGAAGAGAAGTCCCAGGGAAGCAGTTTCCAATTCGACTTCAACGATGGCTACAGCATACATCACTGAACGGGAAAAATCAATTTGAGTTTTCCCGAGAATTCAAGGGATGATTCGCACCGCCAAAGGCGAAGTGGGCTATCGCTAAAGCCTTGCATCTAGTCATAACATGAAGTTCTTCTCGCACTACACTCCATCCCAATGCAACGACGAGCAGCAGGAAGAAGGATAATGCATTCCTCCCGGCGTCAAGAATGGCGGTTACAATGAGGAAAGCCACAGTTGTAATCCCGCGTCCGTGAGCATTCAAATATCGGTAGTAGCCTAGAGAATCCTGCGATATCAGAATAAGAAGCGTAGACGAAATGAAACGCACCCCAATTCGCCAGCATTTCGGTGACAAGCAGAAAGACGAGAGCAGATACATAGAACTAGGGCATACAAGTCAGCTCCGACTGCCAAATGGGGATCCATAACTTTCATACTTGAATGGGAATAATGTCTTCCCTGTGCTTGTAGCAAAGGAATCCCCACGTCCCTCCAATAAACAAGTATGCGATGGTTAGGAGCCAGTAAAACTGTAGCCATGTCCTTTAGCCACCTTCGCTAAATATTCAAACTGAATAGGACCTACTGTGATCTTGGGGTGATCCGCCGCGGAGAGATGTCCATTAAACGTGTTTCGGAAGTAGACCGTCCCGTCAAACGCCGCATGAACCGGTGAGCTGCTGTTTCCGTACTCGACAAGGGTCACCGGCACCGCCCCTTCATGGAGGGAGCTGCGAATGAATTTGACAATGGGAACACGTATCGAAGGCGCTCACCAATGCAGTAATAGCCTTTCTTAGAAACCTTATAGTGAATAGGCGCTCCATTATAAATATAGCTGGGCGCCGTAGGCCTATAATTGTCGTCGCGCTTCCAGTTCACAGTGGAATTTTCAGGTGAGGGTGGCGGAGATGGTATGCCACCAGGAGGGTTCCAAAAGGCGCTTTCAACACCACTAATGTTCCATTTAAAGCCCACAGATTCTGTCCAGATACTAGTATCGTTGATAGTCCTATTTGAGGGCAAGTTGATGATGAATTTTCCGAGTTGAGAGACGTCGCAAAGATGGGCTTGTAATGCATTCGAGGTGCAAACATAGGTGGGTTGCTAAGTTAATCAGCGCTTCCACCACTTCTAGGCCACAGAAATTCCCCAGTTGGCTTACTGCCCATTCCGTATTTTCTCCCGTAACTTTCCCAAGAAAACGAATATCAGAGAATTCGTATATTATCATCGCTATGCGGCCAACGCTTTTCTCGGAGAATGTAACTATGGAATCGGAATAAGGCCCCTTATAAGACGGAGGAAACAAAATGCACTCCACCATTGATATATGTCCTTTCGTCAGCCCACATTCCAGAACAAACCTCGCTAAGTGCATCCTTCTCTGAGATTGATATCTCATAGGCGAGTACACATCCCAGCAACGCCAAAATGGTGACAGCGAATCGCCTCAGGGGGGCCATTTGAGCCCACTAGAAATATAGAAACTCCCAAGGAGTCTTAAACTGCGCGGCCCCAAGGGATTCTAGCCCGGGGTAAGGTAGACCGAAACGTAGCCTTATGTTGACCCCTGTTGATATCGAGAACGGCGCTTGAATTCATCCTATGCCTCGCAGAAAGCCATTTTCGCATAAACAAAAGAAAGCTCAACTACAGGAGAAGCGCGCAGTTAAACGCGGCGATGTCGACTCAGACGCTCTGATCCCTTCTGCTTCCGGAACTGCCCGTCGACGAACAGCTCCATCTTCCAGAGTGTTGCAACCCTCCGACGCACGCAAGATTGAGTCGACAAGAAGACTTCAATCTACATTCCTCAAGCAATCCCATGAGTTTCGTATTCGGTCCAAACTTCTCGCGTCTACATTTGCCCTTCCTCGACCAATTAAAGACTCAGCATGCCATGTTCCAAATGATATCATAGATTTGCCTGACGATCTCGGATGTCCAAAGAGGCCTAAATGGCGCTATGACATGTCTAAGAAGGAAGTGGACTCGAATGAAGCCCGCTCATTTGAACAATGGCGAGAGCATGCTGCCAAGCGAATGAACGAATGGCAAGGGCGTGGTGAGGAATCTAATGAAACGTTAGATCCACTCGGGGACTTAAACTCTCCGTCCCACTACGAGGAGAATCTCGAGGTTTGGAGACAACTGTGAGTCTCTTCTGCTTGGAGGTGAAATTCTCGCGATGATGGTACATTGTAGATGGAGAGTGACTGAGATTTCGAGCATTCTCCTTGTTTTGCTTGACACCCGCTGTCCGCCTTTGCATATTCCTCCGTCCCTGCATAATTTCATTTCTTCTCTTCAACCTCCCAAGCAAGTTATATTCATACTTACAAAAATAGGCATAGTGGGTGAGGAATGCGCCTCCGCTTGGCGGAGTTGGCTGGAACAGCGGTTCCCCGCGTATCAGGTCATTCTCACCGAAAGCTACCGTCAAATGGAGGGCGAAGAAGAGCGGAAAGGACAAGGTGGGCTTACTACGATTATCAGATACTGTTTCTGGGCTCACACTTCTCAGATATTAATAGGCTCCAGAAAACAATATACACCCCACATTGCGGCCGTTGCGCTGGAATCGCTCGTGGTTGCTCTGAAACGGGCGCATGGGAATCTCTTAATTCCACCTGCACACGTTCTAGCTTCCCCTGACAAGATTGCACGATGGCGACCGAGAGTGCGTGAGTCTGTTGATTGGGACGCAGTGATCAGGTCGCATGAGTCCAAAATTTCTTCGCATGGAGATGCCCACGAGCCCCTTGGTAGCGTAGATGCTGAATCGGATGGCGGACATGAAGAGAATGCAGGAGATGATGAACCTGAAAACGATATCGGTCAGAAGCCAGTCACCGACCTTTGACCGTTGGACTTATCGGTAAAGCGATGCTTGGCATATTGCATTAGTTCTCTTACCAGATCTTCCAGGTCAGCCGAATGTGGGCAAATCTAGTTTGCTGAACGCACTTTTCGGTGCCAAAAAAGTGAAGGCATCGCGAACTCCTGGAAAGGTGACGTCCGAGCACGTTGAGAAATTCATGAAGTTGACCTTGGCGTTGAACCAGACAAAACATTTCCAAACCCTGTTCTGGACCCCGGAAATTCGGCTAGTGGATTGTCCAGGGCTCGTCCTGCCGAATTATGTCCCTATGGAGCTTCAAGTGCATATTCACCTCACTCATTCTCCACAATATTAACATCCTGTTTAGGCTCTTTGCTCAATACTGCCGATCTCACAAATCCTAACCATTCCGTCCTGTATTCGGTACATAGGCTCAATTATGCCGTTGGAGGAGGTATTTAGGTTACAAAATTTTCATCCTTCTCATGTGGCAAAGGAACCTGTCCAAGATAAACGAACATGGAGAACTCCCCGACAACGGCCTGCAGTCTTGCCAACTAAAAGCCCTTTGAAATGGACAGCGATAGACGTTATGACTGCGTTTGCCATCAAAAAAGGAATGGTCACTGCAAAGGCGGGACGGCCCGATGTTAATCGTGCTGGGAATGCAAGTTCGTTCATTTCCTGTGTTTGTTTGCTTCGCACGTTTTCATCCCCCAGCTTCACAGTCCTTCGTGCGATTGCTGAGAATAAAGTTCGCTGGGCGTTCTGGCCTCCTGGATACATTCAGAGTCGGACAAAGACGAAAGGGATCTGGATTGCTGATGATCATCCCAGCATGGAATCTTTGGATGACAGCGATGAAGCAGAGAATGATTACTCTGACATTGACCTACCCCAAAAACGCCATCACCATGATCCGGAAGCTGCATCTGACACAGACGAATTAGACTCGGATGATGTTGAGGGTCCAATCAGTCGTTTTAGCATCCTGGATATTGAGGATGTATGCACAGGGGATGATGGGTCCGAAGGAGGGAGCGATGTTGCAAGTGACGAGGCTTGAAAGTCGTATGGATCAATAGATTGTACAATTTGAACAATGCGTGTGCCAAGTACAATGAACATAATAAACAAACAGTCCGTTATCGTGCGCAAGGAATGCCTCACATCAATCGACATCTCGCACTAATACACCCCGATTACGTCTCAGCCTCTCTTCAAGGCCAATGCTGCCACTGTAAACAGCTTTGCTTTGTGCTCGCATAAAGTCACCCGTACCGCCGTTCTTGAAGGCCTTTCGCCTTTTCTCTTCCTCTTCCACACGCTCCTGTCCTCTTGGGCTCTGAGAAGCTCCAGCCGGGAGGTGCGGGAGGAGTCAAGCTCTTCAGCATTAGCAGACATCTGAGCAAGTCGCCGCGCTCGCTCTTGTTCAGTCGGCAATGAAGGTCGGGATGAATGGGAAGGCGAGTTCGGACGGGGAGCAGAGCGGGAGGGAGGACTTGAATAACGAGAACGGTGCGCATGAGAGCTTGGCACCTCATCACGGCTGATATTCCGTTCGCGCGGCCTATCATCGCTTCGGGGAAACCTTCGCGTTTGATTATCGGGAGAGCGCGAACGACGGTAGTGATCTTCCCTGTTCACATTGTGACGTCGCTCGTGGGATTCATATTCGTCCCGGCGTGGTGCTGGAGACGCAGATCGACGGGGTCTTGCCGGACTTCTGGAATATGAGCGTCGGCGGTAGCGATAGGAATTCCTGGAATAATGATCGTTATGTTTGTCCCTTGAGTGGGATCGGGATCGGTGACGCCTTGGCTTATCCCTGTCTTCGTCATCTGAACGACGGTGCCTGTGCTTTCTCTCCCTCTTCCGGTCATTGTTGTCATCGATCCCAGCCCTCTCCTTCAAGGCTTTGAGACGAAGGGGATTCGACATGAGTGCCTGATAGGATGCCTGCTCCTGCTGTTTGATAGCTAGTAGAGGATCGTCTCGAATTTTGGCAGCTGTATCACGAGCAGAGTTTGCGTTTTGAACAGCAATGAAATTCTTGTGCGAAGCGCCAAGCTAGATACATACGCAAATTGATTCAGAAGTTCAGCCGTGGTGTGTAGCACTTGCTCACCTTTGCATTTTCGTCACCTGAAAGAATCTTATCCACTCGTTTACGCCCAAGGAGATAGTCCTCGAGCTCATTTGGATTGGCGCTTCCGCCTGTCGCGGGAGTAGAATACATCCACTCTAATTTCTCCGTTCTCTTCTTTCCCGTTTGCTCCTCCTGAAGCCGCTGCAGCTCTTGCATGTGGCGTTCCTCCTCGAGCTCCTTTTTCAGCTGATCGAGCTTCTTCTTCTCAGCAAGCTATGACGAGAAGAGTCTATCGTCAGGACGCAGCCTGGACACAAAAATTGCGACTCACAGCTTTCCGTTCCTCCAACCACACCCGCTCCTGATTCTTAATCAGGAGCGGATGCCACGACTTCTTCATGTTCAAGTCGCCCCCACCCATTTTGACAACCCTAAATAATCGGCTTAGATGAGCGAGAAGGTGCTTGTGGAAAGCGGAGAGGATGCAAGGGTGGCAGTGTCGCAACTCTCTGGCAGTGCTTCCTCGTGCAAGAGAGCACGTGTCTCATAAATATTTGTGGGTCATTTTGGTGTCTGGCTTGATTTAGAGCTTTTGGATCGGTCATGACTCTTCAGTCTGTACTTGTACTTAGCAGAATTGTCCGGACGAGGCTGGTCACCTGCCCATCATCCTTGGCACTGAATACATTTTCGACCTTGAGGGAGTGAAACTCAGGTGGATTATACAAGATACATGCCTCCAGCAAACCAAAACAGAGAATAGCAGGGTATGACATGGAGACACAGATTGGCTGGGTCAAAAAACAACTGTGTTTATGGGATATCGGACCGGGGTTTTGAATTGCGGGATGGTCAGCGGCCGAATTAAACGCTGGGTGGAGAGACCACAATCGTAAAGCGCTGAATAAATGAAGTCTAAGGGTTAACTTACGTATCATCTAAACAACAGCGCATTGGCGTCAGGGTGTACAAAGCTCAATAGTTGAGGGACATACCTTCATAAAGAAAATGTGTATTCTTGGGTGACAGGGGGGCAGTCTTGACGTATCTATCATTGCCTTCCGGCCTAAACCTTTTTCAGCCACCAGACCTTTTTTCACTTATATCGGGATACCTGCCTTTCCTTCTTCTGGAGAAGCGATTCAGTGAGACACCATACGGCTGAATCCAATAGCCCCTACTCACCTTGCATGAAGCGAGCATACTCTGCAAGGTCAAGCAGATGGAACTCGTGTTTAACACAGGAGACCACTCATTGCCCAATATGCTAGCACAGATATGTCCATTGGAATAGATGTGCGGCTATGAATTGTGAGATGCGTTTGCGCGCCTATTCCAGGAGGCATCGAGACATACGTGAATCGGCGCTTGGTAGGTGTCATTAACGACGAAGACAACTTCAGGAGACTCTATGGCTGTTGAAGCCTTGGGAGTCAGGCGCCTGCACAAAGAACTCACACAACACCCACGATATCTAGGACCAAACGTAAATCGGAGAGCAAAAACCTCCCCCTAGAGTGGTTCAGCTTAGGGTTATCTATGGAAAAAAACATGTTGGTGTCATGAATCCCTCACTTTATACAAGCTCTCCCCCAATATCTCTAAGGATAGGAACCAGGTCTTGAGGTCGTCCGCTTGCAAGAGTTTGATCCCTTCAGGGCATCCATGTTCATGAATGGAAGCCAGCTCTTTAGCTAGCCTCTTATTAGATATGGAAGCCATCTGAATCACTCAGATCCACGTCGAAGAACGATAGTGAAGACGGGTCGAGTCAGGTGTTGGCGCAGCCGTTCAACCAATTGAATGGTTCGGGATTTACCGTGACATAGCGCGCCAGGATGGTCGTGAAGTTGTGGATATCGACAAAGTTTCAGACAAAACGACCACAGAAGATGTTCTTGAACTACGGGCATTGATGTGGTCTGCGTCCCTATTGCGCGCCGAAGATTTGGAGGAGATTTTCATAACAAACGTCGAGATACTTTGTTATGGAAAGGGAGAGATGTCCCAAAAGATCCCCAGCAAGAATGCATGGTGGTCGCAAGTTCCATGAAGTGCTACCGCGAGATCCACAACACCTGGGAGGAATCATGGCATTGGTAAATGGCGAAAGGGCTGTTTGCCCCTGACTGGCTAAAACAACATGTACGCTACATGTTGACCACATTGTTGAAGTACCAGCTCGGTGGTTGATGTGAGATCATTGACATAAACAAATATAAGTACAGATCGTGTTCCAACACCCGGTGCAGAGACGCAGTGGATAGCACGTCTTTCCAATACACATCCGTGAGAACAAAAATATGCCGCTTGCATCGCCACGCAAGAGCACAACACGTGTCAGGTTGCTTTATTTAAATTTTATTACGTCACCCTCACCTTCGATGCCGTTGCCGTTTGTCGTGGCAAGGGCAGCCTTTGTGGCGCCAGCAGCTTTAAGAGCTATTCCGGGGCGCATAGGATATTTAAATGCAACACGGTTCCTCTCTACCAGGTCTTGGATGTCACCCTTCCGGCCTACGAGGGACAGCGGCAATTCACACCAACCTCGAATATTTCGTAAGAATGTGTCACCACCTGGGTATCTAATGCATAGCTGAAATGCACTCACAGAGAGGAGCATGTTTATTCAGACAGAGTCAACCCCTAATGAAGACTCATTGAAATTTATTCCTGGAATTGCAGTGATGACAAATGGGTCAGCAGAGTTTCTGGACACACGATCGGCGCTCAAATCGCCCCTTGCCATACGATTATTCGGCATAGAAGGTGTTAAAGCTATTTTTTATGGCCCGGACTTTGTAACCGTGTCGAAAGACTCGGAACATCCGTGGTCTGTCATCAAGCCAGAAATTTATGCAACACTCATGGAGTACTTCACATCAAATCAGCCTCTCTTTCGTTCAGAAGAGGATCGGGAAGCAGCTGGGCCACAAGACACGCATATACTGGACACTGACTCGGAAATCGTTGCCATGATCAAAGAGCTGCTGGAAACTCGGGTTCGACCTGCCATCATGGAAGACGGCGGTGATATAGAGTATAGGGGCTTTAGCGATGATGGGATCGTAATGCTGAAACTGAAGGGAAGCTGTCGCGGCTGTGATTCGAGTTCCGTCACGCTGAAGACTGGCATTGAGCGGATGTTGATGCATTACATCCCCGAAGTGCAAGGGGTCCAGCAGGTACGTCGAGTTCATTTGTTATCCAATACCAATCGGTCTCATGCACATAAGGTTCTGGATGAGGAGGAAGAAATTGCGAGGAAAGAGTTCGAGAACTTTGAAAAAACTTTGGAGAAAAAGAAAGAGTCAGAGTGCGTACTTGGCATCATCTTGAATAACCCTACTAATCGCTCCCATCCCCCATGCAGGATGGCTCAGTATATGTCGCCCTGATCACCAGTGAACCTATCACACAGGGGATTGCAGAGTACGCTTGCTCTCTAAGTTGTAAAACTGAACCCCCAGACGTTTGGATTGTTTCCAGCTCAGACACCTAATCATTTGAGATTTATCTCTCGCAACCACTTACGTTCCATCCACTAATTGTAAAGCTCAAAAATATTTACAAATGTCAATAAATCGAGTTAGATGATGCAAATCTAAATCGGGTCTCCCGACTTCAGGTTTGGAAGTTTTCTGCCCCTCCATTCGTCGGCTTCGAACATAGACCAAAGCTCCTCCTCATACTCCAAGTCTTTATCAGAATCCTTCCTGTCATAAACACGATCGTTTATCATCTCAAGTCTGAACCTATCCTCCTCTCCCGGTCTCGGATGCATGGAGAACATCGCATTCTCAAGATTGTCGTAGTGCCCATCGAACCCCCAAGTAGTCGCCACATACTGATCCTCTTCTCTCTCGTATGGACGGTTGTCAAACTCAGCTGACCAATTTGGGCGTCTATACTCCACAGGGACTGTGATGTTGGGACTATTGATATCCGTGCAGGGTTGGAATAATCCTCTTGGTCCTTCTAAGACTGTCTCGGGCAGTGGTTTGACGAACCGTTCAGTCCCGGCAAGGAGGTCAGGATCGTCCCTATCGATGCTAAGCTGGAGACGCGAAGGGAGGGTCTGTACGAATTGCTTTCGAGGCAGTAATTTGTCCTTCTGCATAAACATGGCGAGAGACTCCCGAATGTGACTTTCCCTGATCTATCGTCTATATTGTCAGGCTAGAACGCTCCATCAACTCTGCTGAAACGGAAAGAATACTCACATCGTCTCGCGCACGGGCAACTTTTCTGGACTCACGGTCATGTTTTGCTATCACAATTGCCCTTTCAAGTATCGTACAGACGAACTGCCGGAGATGATCTCGCAATCTCCTTAGAGTGGAATAAAATACGGTAGGCTCGGTTCGTCTCCGAAAAAGTGTGTTCTTCCGTGCAAGAATCTGAAAGTCGGGTGGGTGGAGCGAAAGCATGTACATACTTCGGCGACGAGGTGAGGAATCAGTGACGAGGTGAGCTAAGATAAGCTCACCGCAAGAGTCTGCCGAGCCTAGTGAAATAGAATACGTCCATATTGTCATGTAATAAATCTTTGACATTGAAATTGGTCCGCGATGCTAGATCTTTGATCACGGCACGACGTGTATGTCTTGCCCGTCGCTTCGGAATACCGTGAGCATTGATGCTAATGGGGGATCCGGGTCTGGAACAAACGTTGGAGCGAGAATTGGAGCTTTGAGAGTCGGTATCTACATGACTTTCAGTGTTGAGGCTATCGCCATCGGCACGAGAAGCGGAGACGTTTTCCGGGGGATCATCTGAAGGGGAATCTATAGTAGATATGTGATCTGTCAGAGAAAAGGTCGGTATCCTGGAAGTACCTGAGCCATCAGAATCGCTAGGTACAATGATCTCATCCTCAGTTGAAGTATCCTCATCTGAGTTAGAGTCGCCCTCGTCGTCACTGGCTTCGGGCTCCAACATGTAATCTGACGAATTCGTCGGACGGCTGAAATCAATTTGGTACGGACTGAGATCCACATCGGGCGCGGGTTGCGACGAGGATGTGCCGGATTTGAAGTATTCGTCCAACATCGTATCGAAGAGCTTCAGTCGGTCCTTGTCCAGCTCCCTGAACAGGTCCTCTCTGATCCACTCGTGTTCCAAAACACGTCTCTTGTTCGGGGAAGTTGATGGATCTAGATCATCGTTAGACCTCGATCTCTTTAGACGTCCCAAACTATAGTCTCGGACGGCAATGCCAACCTGAACGCGACGAGAATCTACTCCGGCGTCTCTGCAAGCTTTACGACGCTCGATGACAATGTCATCGAGTTCCGTGATAACCTCTCTCTGAAGAATGGAATTCGACATGTGCTCTTCAAATAAAACCCAGCCATCCGACATCTCCATTGCTGCGGGGTGACGTATCTTTTTCCCACTCGGCTTCAATCTCTCGTGAACCCCGCGCTCGAGGATCCCAACATATGTGATGACTTCAACGAGAGTCTTCGTGCCAAGTGCTTCAGCCACAAGATCTAACCGCAAACGGGAAAATCGTTGTAGATGATGGTACAAGTTTCGCTTCTCATCGGGAGTCCAATATGTGTTAGGGGGTACGAATGAGCCGGGAAGAGAGACCAGAGATTTGCGGCGTGGAGGTCCACGATAATGGTCAAGGACGTGATTGGCATGAGATATGAGCATTGCGCGATAGGCCGCCTCATTAGACGCTTCCTCATCTTCACAAATATTCGGCGCATTGATATTGCGTTAGTGGCACCGGGGACCTTGACTGTTGTAACGAACCTGTCTTAGCCACTTTCATGGCTCAGCAATCATTCGACGAAAACGATGAATTCATTATAGGTGGACCGGCAATTTCCTGCACCTTTTTTTGCCTCCGACAAACTTTTCTTTCAGGCTTTCAGGGGCTCCAAATCCCACCCGTGCCTCTCGTAAATAGATAAGAATGCTGTCGTTCTTTGGTTCAGATTTTGCTCAATCTCAATTTTGTAAAATTGGACATTAGCCACCACTACCTTCCTAATTAGGAAATGTAAATTGCGAAAGCACCATGCATAAACCCTTGGAAAACGTTAAGGGACGCATCCTGTACGGAATATGGTCATATTCTAAAATCATTTTTTGTCTCAATTCCACTCCGGAGTACAGTTTTTTTCAACAAATTGGCCACCTCAAATTGCACCACAATCTGTTTTAAGTATTCCCACATTTCCTCATAGGATTTTAATTTGGAGTCAAGCTATTGCATCGGTTTTTTGAGTTGTGGCGGTAATTCTCGATCTACCCGGACGAAGGAGGACGGGTACACTCAGATCAGACTAATTTCTTGCCTTATTCTACATATTTATTCTGCCTCGGCGTTCTCAGGAGCAGGCTGAGCTTGCAGGCTAGCTAAATATCCAGAAGTTACATTCACTCACTCGCGCGCCACGTTCGAGTCCAAAGCACGTCTCTAGCCTACAACAATACGGGATACAAAGAGCTGTACAGTTCCATTAGAATGGATCGTGATTTCGGATGGACGCGCGATCCAGAACGCTCACCCATAGGGTGACACCGGACCCATGCAATGAGGGCTAGACCTATGCGAATTTTCCCTGCGCCCACCCTCGAGCTTGACTTCCCATCTCAACCGCAGCAGTACCCCAGTCCTCCCCATGGTTATGACCCTGCTTGCCATCCGGGCCACCGATTCCCGCTCTGATTAGAGCCTGCTCATCCGTCAGCGCTGTCAATACTCCGAATATTACCGGAACCCCACTATCCAATTGGACTCGCATGAGTCCTGTGGAAACCGCTTCAGAGATGTATTCAAAGTGCATCGTTGAGCCTTTGATAAGAACCCCAATCGCGATAACGGCATCAAATGGTCGAGATGGTATGTTGGCCGGCTTTGACGAAGCGATGGCAGGTGTGTTGGGACGAGAGTCGAGAGACAATAACGAGTTCGCGCCACTGAGTAGATCGGTTGCGGTTGAAGATGCCTGGATTTGAGATGCAGATATGACCCTAACGAACACACAAGCATTTTAGGTGGAGCGGAGGCTTTCGCGCAGACTTTTACGATCATCATCGCGCCTAACACGACAAGTACATACCTTGCGCATGCCAATGGGAGCTCAAAGCTTCCAGGGACGCTCTGAATGACAATGTTACCCTCTTTAACACCAGTTTCCCTGAGCTTCCTCAGCGTCCCCTCTAGCAAAGCGTCGATGACCACCTTGTTCCATCTGGCGTGGACGATCGCAATGCGCAGATTGGAGCCGTCGTACTGCGTACCAGAGGGTGATAGTCCTTTAACGGTATGGTCTTCGCTCATGATTCCGGTAGGGGAAGAGCTAGAATATTAATGAAAAACCAATGTAGGGCGTGGGAACGGGAAGGTCACGAGATTTCAGGCCATTGAAAAATTTTGCCTCTTCATCTGAACGAGGTCGCTCTTGCTGGGGAAAATGGCAAAGAAAGTTGCAGAGAAGCCTGACTCAAGCCTTTCGGCAGCTACTGATCCGGACACCTTGGCGCGTAGGTGAAGTCCTATTCATCACAAAATTGGCGCGTGCTCATGCTATTTGTGCAGGGGTTTACGGCTTCATCGTCGAATTTCTGGAGAAAAATGGGCAATCCAAGGCCGTAGCCGCAATTCGGGATTCTGGCGCCAAAATATCGAGTCCCGAAGGGCTCCCCGCACTTTTGGCCCTTCAAAGGCAGATCCAAGCACTTAGGTACGTTTCTTAATCCTCACAAAATCGGGGATCCTCAATCTATCGCCCCTGCTACGGTCTTAGTGATGCCCCAAAAGACACAAAAAAGACTGGGGATACCAAAGCAACACCGTACGTTCTCCCTCGCCCCTCCCCTTTCTCGTTCTAACTTTACACCTTGTCATTTTTTAGAAAAGTAGAGAAGACAAAAAACCATAAGCCCACGGCGTCTTCAGGGTCGGAATCAGAGTCAGAGTCAGAATCAGATTCAGAATCAGAATCAGAATCAGATTCGGATTCGGATTCGGATTCGGATTCGGGGTCTCGCTCATCCAACAAATCCAAATCGAAGGTACAAACCATTAAACCTGCTCTAAAGCGAGATGACGCTTTTGCTACCCCGGCTGTTGCAGCCGTGAAGGCAGGTATGAAGCCCGAAGCAACGTCTTCGTCCTCGCCTAATTCGGACTCAGATTCCTCCTCAACCATCACCTCGGGCACCCCATCAAAAACCAAGAAAGCTGACAAGCCAACACCCGTGTCAGCGAAAGCAGAGAAGAAGGGTGTTGATGCAAAGCCCAAGCCAAAGGTCGAAGAAAAGAGTAATTCGGCTGTAGCCAAGCAGAAATCTGACCAAAAGGGCGCTGGCTCTAAAACACCTAAAACAAAACCTGTCGAAACGAAGCCAAACGAACGATCAACATCGCCCTCGAGTGAGGATAGCGACTCTCCACCTCTCTCCAGGTCCAAAAAGCCAGTAAAGAAAGATGTCGATCCGAAACCCAAGCCAAAGGCCGAATCATCCTCTTCCTCCTCAGAGAGCGATTCATCCCCGGCCGCGCGGAAATCTGATAAGTCTGATAAGAAGGGCGTTGACACTAAGGCGAAGATTGTCGAAGTGAAGCCGAAGCCAAGTAAACAATCGTCATCATCTGGGTCATCCTCAGATGACGATAGGGACTCCTCTTTACCTGCGAAGTCTAAAAAGACGGAAGTTGACACAAAGTCCAAGCCAGGAGCTTTGTCATCCTCGTCATCCTCGTCATCCTCCGAAGAGAGTGATTCACCCTTGCCTGCGCGGATGTCTGGCGAGTCTGGCAAGAAGGGCATCGACACTACGCCGGGGACGAAGCCGAAACCAAGCAAACAATCATCAAGTGAAGACAGCGATTCGTCTTCATCTGCAAACTCTAAGTCTGACAAGATGGAGGTTGACACGAAGCCGAAGAAAAGGATAGAACCATCATCCTCGTCGTCCGAAGCTTCCTCGGGAGAGGAAAGCGATTCTCCTGCATCAACGAAGCTTAAGAAGTCTGACAAAGGGACTGCTGGTACCAAATCGTCAGTTTCCTCAAATGGAAACAAGGCTGTCCTGCCTGAACCGCCAAAACCGAAGTCGTCTCCTACGACGCCTGCTGCAAAGGGTAAGGGATTGTCTTCCTTATCTTCCGAATCTCCGGGTGAGGATAGTGACAGAGATTCAGTAGCCAAGAAGCCTGGCGTATCGACTCCTGCCCCAAAGAAAGAGAAACAGGCCAGTAGTTCATCTTCATCCTCATCCTCAGATGAAGACGAGGACCAAAAGTCTGTCAAGGGGACCCGCGTCCCGCCTCCGGCTTCCAAGAAGGGGAAGCAAGCTAGCAGTCCATCCTCAACCTCAGATGAAGATAGTGACGAAGAATCTGTCAAGAAAACCATCGTCCCGACTTCATCTAAGAAGGGGAAGCGAGCCAGTAGTTCATCCTCATCTTCCTCAGATGAGGATAGTGACAAAGCGTCTGACCAGAAACCTCGCGTGGCGACTCCTGCTTCCAAGAAGAGAAAACAAACCAGCACGTCATCGTCATCCTCCTCGGATGAGGACAGCGATGACGAGAGCAGCGATGCTGAGGTTCAGAAGTCCAAAACTCGGCGCGAATCCAAGGGCTCAAAGTCAAAGTCAAAGGACCTGAAGACGTCCAATGGCCATCCAAAGGCTGAGGTGGACAAGGAGGCAGAGCCCGCGAGCAAGAAGCGAAGAACCGATGAGACTGGGAAATCAGTTCCTGCTGCACAAACAACGCCGAAGGAAAAGAATGAACGACGCAAATCTCAAGGAGAAAGGTTTCAACGTATCAAATTGGACGAAGTAACGTTCGCCAACAATCGGTTGAAAGACAACTCCTTCCAGGCCAAGGTTAGTTTCCAATACCTATTGGGTGTCAGACCTGATCCTTATATCTCTGAATCACACAAGGGTGGATCCACAAACGACTATGGCACGAAGGCGTCAGCTGATTTAGGGGTCACTCGGGGTTCGGGATTCAAAAAAGAGAAAGCTAAAAAGAAGAGGGGTTCATACGTTGGTGGAGAGATTACGGTACGTTCTTACTTTGGATAATCATTCGACCCTGCAGCTTGCAACTCACTTTTTCATTCAGCTCGAGAGTCACAGCATAAAGTTCCACTAAATCTCGACACATTAACTTGCACTTCTTTATATTTGTTTCGATTGATAATGTCTCGTTCTCCTAGAAATTGGTTACTTAGCTTCAGTATTTACTGCTGTTTATGCCGAGCAATTCTAAGTTGTGGAGCTGAGAGGTTACCTTCATCACTGGGGAAACACTTTTATCGCCGTATACTCAAGCATTAAAGTGGTTGGCTTTGACAATGCCTGATGTTTTTATCCGCAATGATACTCCTCATACCTTAAATATTGCCCTATCCCAAATCGCACCGCTGCATTTCGAGAATGCAGTTGCTCCAGGGGAGACCTTCAAAACGCATACTGGCTCGGTCTGGTTTACTGTCGAATGGCGGATCGATAACGTCGCCAATTCAGTTCAAAGTTCCAAGAAAGCAATCAAGAATTCAAATCGATACTCTGCTTCGAAGAGTGCGAAGACGATTGCAGTGGTTAGTGCTGCTGGCTTGAGTTTGGTCGCGCTTGCTGGGCCGCTTGCTTTGAGCGCAGCGGCTGCAGCCGGGAGCGCCACAGCGGCAGCTCTCCTCCAAAGCAGCGCCGTTCTTGCCGCAGCTGGAAGTGCAGAGGCGATAGCATTTAGTACTTATGCTGGTACGAACATACCGTTTTTAATGCACCGCGAAGTATGTGCTAAGCCTCCGAACCGATTATTCGCCCAATGGCGTTTACATATCAGCCACCACGTTAACAACCTCCGCACTACACGAAATTCATCGTTCCACGGGAACGCCGTCTAAAGAGACGTCCGAAGAGTTGCAGAAAAAAATGGATTCACTCTCAACAGTGATTGCAGCCTCATCGCTGACCGGTGCAGCGAAGTCTGCAGCTAAGGGTTCAGTCCGTAAGGCCCTTATTTCGGCAGGAACAACACTAGTCGGCAAGATAGGAGCACGAACACAAAAAGATAAGACCAAAGATTACGATCAAAGAGCAGCCGATGCTGGACTCGGACCGCCGGGGAAAACGTTCAGAGTATATGGCGTTTATATCGGGTTTAGAGCCAGGAAACTCAGCATTAAAATGAGTGATACAGTGGAAGCCCACCCGGAGGAGCTGAAGACCATGACAATTGAGGAGCAAGATGAAGAGACGAAAGATGTAAAGGATGCGAACATGGTTCTCTGGGACACAGAGAAGGAAAAGATTGTCTCTTGAAGGTTCATTTCCAACCTCGCACCAGCTAGTCCCTATTCTGACTACTTGATGTCCTTGTATTTAGCATTGTTGGTCTTTCTAGTGAGAGGCGAGTGCTAGAAGCTAAAATAAATACGGCTAATAACTTAAATACTACGGAGAGAATGGAGCTGGGATACATCCACTGATGCTACGAGCCTCTCCACACACTTTTCTGATAGTCAAAGATGATAGGGAGGAGATCCCACAGGCCAAAGTCGGGCCAGAAACCTTTCGTAAAGTAAATCCGAGTGTGTTGTGTTGAAGCCTGTGCCCAGGACTGCGTGACGATAGTTCGGCGCAAAAAGAATATGTTCTTACCTGCCACAACATATAGTCGCTCAGGCGTTTAACCCCACTAGTCCGTATCATTACATCTAAACGGGGTGATCCTTTGGCATGTGTCTCCAGATGAGATGCTATCTCCTGCTCGGTTATATCCCTGATATGGTGATCGGGAAAAGAGATACAAGCAAGCAATGAACCGTGATGTGCTCACTCGAGGCCTATTTCTCCGGCATGATACTTTTGCACCACATTATTAATGGCCGTCGTTATCTCATCTCGCGAAGTGTATGACATGCATAAGTTAAAAATAGCCCTACAACCAACTGATAGGATTGTCTGCTTCGAAGTTGCATTGAACTGGTACTAACTTGTCATGACCCCGTGTTTTCTCTTCCGCTTCGAGGATGATTTGTTGGAGATCAACTGGAAGTAAGTCCCTGTTTCCTACCACGTTTAGCCGGACACCGTACTTCGACAGCAACTCGCTGGGGAAGAGAGTTATGGTCTGGAGTGCTCTGGAATCGAGTGGAGAGCACTCGCCCATGGCTACATAGCTCTTTGATCTTCTCCCTTGCCAAATCCATCAACGCGTTCACCTCGTCTGGTGATCGCTTGAAATTCTCTATGGAGAATGCATATACGCTAACGCATTTAACACCGAGTCGAAAGCATATTTCGAGCACCTATTATAAATTTTCATTAACCATCCCGAAGTTCTAGTGGATTGGGAACCATCCGGACCCGTTTGAGTGCTTGGAACCCTTCCTTGTGGCCTTCTCGGACTGAGCGTTTACGCAACTTCGCATACCTCCGGTTCCCGTCCATTATGAAGGCAACATGCCTGGGCATTGGGCCTGCAGATATGACATCTAGAAGAATGCGATAGACCGTCTCCATGCTTATTGCCTCTGTGCTCAGATGTTGGAGTTCGCTTGACGTGGCATGTGATTGAATTCTCACGACCATTCCCGACTTCAATGAGCGTAACGGATCCATGCATATCTGATTAGTCGACGATACTGGCAAACCTGTCCAAGGCGTTTGGAAATTCCACTGGACTTTGCTAGCGTTTCTATTTTATTTCTATTCCACCAACCCTTCTCCTTACTCGCACACCCCTCAGAGAGCTTAAACATAACATGGAACACACTCTGGGCCGCGCTTCACCAGATGATCAGATACAACAAGCAGATGCGTTTCGTGAGCTTCTTGATCCAACCATCCCCGGTGGTGCCGGCTTATGAACGTTCTCGATCCAGCAGATGGGATATCTGGTTTCTGGGAGTCGGGCTCCTTGGCTCCTTTGTCTTCTATTGGTGCTGGGAAAGCTGAAATCGAGTGCGCTCACAACCGATAATCGCCGGGATTGCACTCTATTGATATTCTCCCCAATCAGATCCTTGATTGAACTCTATTTTCTCCGAAGGGCTCAGCAAAGGGTTTTTGATGAGTTTGTGCAAGCACGCAAGGCACGAGATAAGAGAAGGGCTCGACCCAAAGAAAATCCAGAAACTTTACAACTCTTAGAAGCGAAAGTTGCCGCTCTTCAAGAACTTGAGACATCCATCCCGAAAGGGTGTCCTGTGCGCCTGAGGCACCTAGTGGGACACGGCTCCGAACCGAATCACGACGTCCTATATCCTTGTGACGAGGCGAAGGAGGCGGTCCGACCTCCCAATGCACAAGAGTGGTCTGACTTCGGCCAGGACGTGGCTAGTATTGCGAGGAAAATGGCCGCGCTTGCTCATGAGGTCCCAGATCTTTTTTCTTTGGATTTTCAGCCACCCTCCATCAGCATGTTCAAAGTGCCACTGACGTTGCCTCCTTCTGACGACATGATGCAAGTCGACGACGGTTCGCCTGTGTCTGAGAAGGATTCATCATCAATAACAACACTTTGGCATGATATCACCCATGTCCACAGCACGTTCTCGTATATCAATGAAGTTAGGGTCGATGAAGAGCGCCCCGCTCTTGAAGACCTTATTGACCAGTTTGATGTTGGATTGAAAGAGGAGGAGAACAAATGGCCGAATGAAGGGATCGATCTAGAAAATCTCAGACAACAATATCCCAAGTGGAAGGAAGAGGCAGAAGGACGACTCAAACAATTAAGAGAAATGGTGCACGAGTTGGAGGAACAGAACAAACAGCATCGTGGATCCAACTTTGCTCTTCGACTAGGAGTGTACAAAGTATGGGCAGTTCAATGCTTCAGGACATCTCAGTCTTACTCCCCATCCAGTTTAAAAATGACGTCGATGAAATAAAGGAGTTGTACAACGCGTTTCTCGACCCACCAACCGAGACAGCCCGGGCCCTCGCTCATCCTCAATTCACAGAGCTAATGGCGCCCATCAAGAATGACGTTAGTATCGCCGCTCGAAAACATGTCCAAACCATGTTGAATGCCTTTCACAAGGACCTCAAGAGCGCCGTCACTGAGATTTCATCTCTTATGTACCACGATCTCCAGAATACGCTTGAACCCATTGTGGAAAGTACAGAACAACTACTGCGGGATATCTATACAGAACCATAGGTCGCATCTTTGTGCTTAGCTATCCTGCTGATTCGTAGTTCATCCTGTTTGTCAGGGCTCAACATAGCCACGATGATCTATTGTTCTTGCCACTCGAAACCCCCTGCGAGCGCTATACGACCCGCCAGTGAACCCGGTAGAGGGAAAGAATCGTCATCTTCCGTTTTGACATGTCGATCGCATTCCTACGATACCCCGATTTGAAGAAACAATGATGGGCGGAGACGACAATATAGCATACACGCAAAAAGAGAAGTGATACAAATATGACACGAAACAAAAAAACGGGCACGACAAGGAGCAGGGTTGTGAATAAGTGGGTCAGTGAGCAGAAAGGCAAGCGAGATTGGCTACATACACGATCAGGAATCCGGTGACATCGAGCTCTATAATCTCCTCATCTGTGGGTTCCTCGGATGATCCCCGGTCGTCTCATGTTCAAGAGGCGAAAGAAGCGCTAGCACAGTATGTGAAAGCCCCGAACCAAGGATGCCTGGGTCCACCCTAATGGGCTTCAGCTCAGTCACTATGGCCTGGGAGCCAATAGGGAGTGCAGAAGAGGGTGCTATGGATTCTGGGGCAGCGCAAAGGCTCAATTGAACATTGCTCATTCTTGGTACAAGAAAGCACGACATACCTCCGCCTATGCGATAGATGAGGAGTTCGTCAAAGCCGATGTCAGAGGAAAAAGGGGAGAGCGACGTTTCGACATGTACGTCCGTAACGTCTTGGGGCAGAAACTGGTGTGAGCCGTAGAAGTAGGACAGAATCTGGTGTGATATAACACGTTCTTTGTATGCATGATCTACCTCAACGACCTGACATCCATTCTATCAATAACGATGCACGGAAGAATAAATTCCACTGACGCCGCCTGACTTGGGAATTTTGACGACAGTTATAGCCGCACTGCTTGAGGCTTGATTGAAAAGTCGCTGGACTTCAACATTCAGTTTTTCGTGACCTATTACGACTATCACGTTCACTAGGGCCGGGTTAGTCATTTTCCAACCAAGGCGATGAGAACGAATTCACCATCGAATGCCTCAACGGCCCATTGAATAAGTGGATACTTGTGGTCGGAGTGCGTAAAGGGAGAAGCCAGGGAAAAACTAGCTCCTGTGTCAATGATGATTCCGGAAGTATACCCTGCCAGAAAAAATCAGCAATGAAGTCCAGAGACCACATGTGCAACCCCACCAAACTGGTCCAACTGTTGTCGCTCTCGTATTCTGGCTGAGAGATCTTTTATGCGCTGCTCCATCACAGCAGGACTTTTCTTCGGCTCCGGGTAACCAAACCAGTACGTGATGGGCATAAGGGCGGAGGAGCTGACTGCTGATGGAGCCGTACTTGCAGTTCCCCCGAGGGTTGTAGACGGGGAAGATGAAAGAATAGGGGAGTCAAGAGGGGCTGCAGAGAGGGTCCCTGGCACTGTGAAACCCCCCTACGGTGTGGGGATAATGAGTACAAATCCATGGGGTTGCAAGCACTCAAGACACACATCACTTGTGTCCAGATTAACGAGTATGGGTTGCCATTCTGCGGGGGACCGAACAGCATAATTGAGAAGTACCTTAGCCGCAGTTGTCTTTCCAGAGTTTTCTGGCCCCACAACGAGCACTCGAGGAGGATTGGAGGATTTCTCGGGCTTCTTATCATCATCGGACGGCGTGCCATTTGAGGACCGATGAGCGCGGATGCGCATTTGTTCCAACAACAGATGTAAATTGAGAATGGGAGCCATTGAGGTTTCTTCAGAGATATATTCTGTCGACGCTTGGCCTGTGACGTGAGCGTCCACCCACAAGGTAAGGATAATGAAGAAACAAAGGTACGAAATAGTGCTCATCTCAAGTTTGCACCCATGCCAAGTGAATACACAGGCTTTACATTCCGCCCAGAAGACGTACGGCCTCCCTTCAGCAAGCTCAGCACCAAAGACTTCAGCATTGCCCTCAACAAGCTAACATACAATTAGCGCCGAATGTGCAGCGCGGTTCCTCATGATGTACGAACTTTTATTGTAAGATTAGAACCTTTCTCGAGCTCAAACCTGTACTCCGCACCAGGCCCTAGCGTCCGCACGTTGGCATCAGCGACAGATTGCACGTTTTGTTCGCCTTCAGTGTCATCCGCCATGGAATTCTTGTTTGCACTTCGGGATTCACACCACGTGCTCAAGGGCAATTTAAATTGCGGTCGGCATGCATCCGTTTAAATCCGTTGAAACTGTCGCGGTTATTTCCGGGAGGTTTCCCACCATCTTTCCTCCCAATCCCACCAACTCACAACAATGCTCACCACTCGTGGTGTTGCGCGTTTATCTCGCAAGGCTGTCCGGGCCAGCCGAGCCAATGTTGCATTTTTTTCCGCTGCCCCAACTCTCGCTCGTGCTGCCCAGGTCCCAGTAGTCCAGCGGCAACAAGCGTCGCAAAAATCCTCTGCTGCACAACCAGGTCAGCGACATTTCTCCCATACTCTTGAATCCCTCTCTGGAACTGGCCGGATCTGCTCTTTTGCTAGCTCGCACATATGCCACCGAGACTAAGAAGAACATTGGTTCTGTCAAGACTGTCATTGGTGCCGTTGTCGATGTCCAATTCGAGACTGATGACCTCCCCCCGATTTTAAATGCACTTGAAGTTCAGGACTTCCAAGCAGGTCGCCTGGTTCTTGAGGTAGCATCCCATTTGGGCGAGAATAGTGTTCGGACCATTGCCATGGATGGAACGGAAGGTTTGGTTCGTGGGCAAAAGGTTGTTGACACTGGTGCCCCCATTATGGTTCCTGTCGGTACTGGCTGTCTCGGTCGTATTATGAATGTCATCGGAGAGCCTATCGATGAGCGTGGGCCCATTAAGGGCGCCAGGATGTCTCCTATCCACGCCGACCCACCTCCATTTGTCGAGCAGTCTACTACTGCGGAAATTTTGGAGACTGGCATTAAGGTTGTCGATCTCTTAGCCCCTTACGCACGTGGCGGGAAGATTGGTCTTTTCGGCGGTGCTGGTGTTGGCAAGACTGTGTTGATTCAGGAACTCATCAATAACGTCGCTAAAGCCCACGGTGGTTTCTCGATTTTCTGCGGTACACACAAGCTTTCCCATGGCATCTTCTTTCTCACACTTATACACCATTTTCCTTCAGGTGTTGGTGAACGTACCCGCGAGGGTAACGATCTGTACCATGAAATGATTGAAACTGGTGTCATCAACCTCAAGGGTGACTCGAAAGTTGCCCTGGTCTTCGGTCAGATGAATGAACCCCCAGGAGCTCGTGCTCGTGTTGCACTCACTGGCTTGACCATTGCTGAGTACTTCCGTGACGAGGAAGGCCAGGATGTGTTGCTCTTCATCGACAACATTTTCCGTTTCACTCAGGCTGGTTCTGAAGTGTCTGCATTGCTCGGTCGTATTCCATCTGCCGTTGGTTACCAACCTACGCTCTCTACCGATATGGGTGGCATGTGCATAGTGTTCCTGTTATTCACTACTAGACCTGCTTAACCTGATTGGCTTCCTGTTTCATAGGCAAGAGCGTATCACAACTACCAAGAAGGGTTCTATTACTTCCGTACAGGCCGTCTATGTGCCCGCTGATGATTTGACTGATCCTGCTCCGGCTACCACCTTCGCTCACTTGGATGCTACCACTGTGTTATCTCGTGGTATTGCCGAGCTCGGTATCTACCCCGCTGTCGACCCTCTCGACTCTAAGTCCCGGATGTTAGATCCTCGCATTGTAAGTATCGTTTATCGCAATGCTGTCTTTCTAACGTCTTTCGGCCAGGTCGGCAAGGAACACTATGAAGTCGCGACTGCAGTCCAGAAGATCCTGCAGGATTACAAGTCACTCCAGGTGTGTGGGACAGTAACATGACCCCCTTGGTGCTCTTAATATTGCGTGGTCATAGGATATTATCGCCATCTTGGGTATGGATGAATTGTCAGAAGAGGACAAGCTGACTGTCGAGCGTGCTCGTAAGATTCAGGTACGTTTTCGGACTTCCTGATTTACTGTAACCGCACAATGGCGTGATTGCCGTTTAGCGTTTCATGTCGCAACCGTTCCAAGTGGCACAGGTCTTCACTGGCTATGAGGGCAAGCTTGTCCCCCTTAAGGACACCATTCGCTCGTTCAAGGAGATCCTCGGAGGACAACATGACTCACTCCCTGAGGCTGCTTTCTATATGGTCAGTTCCACTATCATTCCTCTTGGTGCCCAGATTCACACTCCAGATTTGATTGTACAGACTGGAACCGTCGATGATGCCAAGGTCAAAGCCGAGCAACTCGCTAAGGATATGGCTTCATAGACGCGTGCACGTTGAGCTACTGCTGATATAGACCCGCGCAGCACGGCTTCAGAGCGTATTCTCGCGATAGTTGCGATTCCTGTGCCTATCTTCCCTGTTCCGCGAAAAGAAAATCATATCATATCTTCTCCCACGGTGCATAGTACAGCCAATAAAATATCTTTTCTTTACTCTTATACCAGTGGGGGTCAGCAAATGAAGGGAGACGTCTGAGGTAATATTGTAACCACGTGATACAAAAAAAATGGCCGTCATCCTCATGCAAAAACAATTCCTCTTGACAGTACAACCATGTTTCAAGTATTACCATAATTATTACTTAATAATGATATTGAGATACCGCACAGGATGTGAGCCCATTTTGAAGCGGTTTTATGGATGATTATGGAATATCACAAAATGTGCGGGATCTTCTTGAGCTTTTCTCATGCACCAGGAAGAATTTCGGAAATCCACTAGGCCGAAACCTGCATTCGTACCTATAGAGCAATCTCGCAAAGTTTGAGCCCAATCGGAAAAGAGGAAAGGTACATTCTGTGACTTGGAAGCCACAATGGACGTAGTAGGCCCAAGCTCCATATAATATATAGTTGTACCAAGGTAATAACTGAGCAAAGAGTCAGTCCAATGCTATTTTAGCATTCCATCGAAGTTTGATGGGTTCATATGTAGTTATCATTGAGTTATAAAGCAATATGTTAAAATGCGATTTTATGTATGGTGAATAACTTTTGATTGAGGAAGAATTTCCAAAATCCGGTAGGCCAAAATATAAACAGACGATACATCTACAATCATGCCAAAAATCAAGCAAAAAGAAGAGGATTGAAGGTACATTTGGGGTGCATCTTTCCAAAATGTCGGGATAGGTGCAAAAAGGAATCACGTGCCAGGGTTTACCGACGTCGCATGGCCCAACCTGGGATCTCTTGGCATCTAACCTTCAGTCTTATTGGCTTATTAATTTGGGGGCAGACACCCACACCCATTTCCTAGTCTCCCAAATGCCAAGGGATAGAACTTCTTGGACGTATTCCAGGAAAAAGATCACCTCCCCCCAAACCCGACAATTTACTAGAGCTCGAGCTCATATGACTGGCCATGCTGAACAACAGTCAGCAAGGGGGACCCATAGATACAAGGAGAATTTATGGCGACGCGGAATGACAGTGTTTAGCCCAACCACGGTTTCATAAATAAAAAATCCATCTAATTACTCACCTCCACATGTAGATAACTTCCGACCTTCACATCATTGTCATTTACACAAATTCTAGATAGTTTGCAACCTAAAGATGATGTGTTTTGAGTGGGAGGATGGCACGGCCAGAATCGAGACGCATTTTGCTTATGTAAGTGTCACAAGGTCGCAACGTTGGTTGCCGACCCCCAAATACCAGACTCGTACCCAGCCGTCTCCGCTACGTGGACTAAGTTGTTGTATTAGAATTCAGTTGTAGAGTCACGTTCAAGAACAAAAAGTGTATTACAATACAGAAGTCACATGCGACGGACATAAACACAAGTCCGATCACTTACTCCGGAAACCAATTCGCGACACTATATATAAGGGTTGATTTTCCGCCCATGTCCAGGTGTTAATTTCACAGCCCTCAAGGTGCTCCCCAAGCGCTATGGGTTGGGTTGGGTACAAGACCGCATGGGTTAACACCAAAAGATCCATTGTGCGACTTATGTTTTCGTGGGAACTTCACGTGTCCGCAATCTCTTTCTGTCGTGTTGAACTCGGCAATTGCCGACCGGTACTGCCACTGCCATTTTGCACCAGTCGTCGGAGCGAAGTGTCGCGAGTTGGTTTCCGGAGTAAGTGATCGGACTTGTGTTTATGTCCGTCGCATGTGACTTCTGTATTGTAATACACTTTTTGTTCTTGAACGTGACTTTACAACTGAATTCTAATACAACAACTTAGTCGAGATTTTGCGCGTCCACGTAGCGGAGACGGCTGGGTACGAGTCTGCCCCCAACCCAACCCAACCCCCCAAACAACCGCTTTAAAATTAATTAGGCAATTTCATTTCCATTCTGCATATAGCTTTCCACACCGGCATTCAAGTTTTTAATCGGGAGTAACTCCAAAGCGCTCTTTTCGCGCATACAGCTGCTGACCGTCTTTCTGATTTTCGTCGTTGAGGTTTGAACTGTCAACAACTCGGTCGATGTGTTCTATATAGTAGAGGCTGGTATCCTACCTATCGATGTGTGATTAGCTTACTTACATTAATTCATCACCTGGGTCACCGACCTCGATGAACGATGCGGTGCTTTTATCTACCTACTTAAATTCTATGCATCGACCATTGTTTCTGAGGCCCCTTTTCATGCCTTACAATCCTATCATCAATTGAAAAGAGAATGTGCATCACGTTGGCCACAGGAGTTATCGAGGTCGAGCTCAATAGAAAAAAGTTGGTTCCTGCGAGGATTGAACTCGCGACCTTTGCATTCAAGTTATCCCATAAGTACAAAGCACTACCACTGTGCTAAGGAACCGAACCACGTAGGACCGAAGCATACGCAAATATATCATTTCAGTCAATGTGGGACCGAATCCTAACCTTACGTACCAGTTTGTTGATATGCAACTCAGGACCAAACGTCACAAAGCCGAGTTGGGCAACTACCTGTTTGCAACGCGTCTAACAACAACAACCGTTTTGTTTTTCTCCGAAATCATTGTTCACGTGACTGGATTCGGCACCGCGGTCGCTCGTCGCCCGAAACTACCGGGGGAGAGCGCTGTGCTCTGGAGTTTGCTGATGTCGATCATGCCATTGCCTTCAGTGGCTGCGTCAGGGACATTGCGTGGACTACTGGCATCTTGCTTCACACGTTCTCGTGGCCTCGCCACTGCTCCTTCTAAGTCCTTCGCCGAAAAACTTGCTGAAGGGCCAACATTGGATGACTTTGTGTCGGGGAATGCTGAGTCGAGTTCACGAGTAGTTCTCGGATCCACATCGCAGTCAGTTCTCATTCCTACGCCTCATCATTTGCATCACACTCTCTGTGGTTAGGCCTAGACTGCCGAGTTATTTGAAGACTAAGATCCCAACGAGCGCCTCGTATAATAATATTAAGAAAGACCTCCGTGGTCTCAATTTACACACTGTTTGCGAAGAGGCACGGTGTCCCAATATAGGCGATTGTTGGGGTGGGAGTGATGCAGTCGGGACGAGTGACGCCGAGAAGAAGCGTGGGGCCACGGCCACCATCATGGTATGCCTTTAGGGAGACGACAACGATTTTCAGCTTCGTGATTTCCAACTTTACAGCTCATGGGGGATACATGTACCCGTGGCTGCAGATTCTGTTCGGTAAAGACCTCCAAGAACCCACCACCGTTAGATATTCATGAGCCTGAGAACACTGCGGAGGCAATACGTCGGTGGGGTCTTGGGTACATTGTTTTGACAAGCGTGGATCGTGATGGTTTGTAGCTTTATTTTAATGACAGGGCCCCTGTTCTCACTCGTTGTATAGATCTGGCTGATGGTGGTGCTGCTCACTTTGCCGAGACCATCAGGAAGATCAAACAAAAGTAAGCATCATTTCCTGAATTTGAAAGTATTTCTTATCCATTCTTCCAGAGCTCCACATATTCTGGTCGAGGCCCTGACAGGCGATTTCGGAGGTTCCCTCGATGGCGTCGCTACTGTAGCTAAATCCGGTCTCGATGTCTACGCACACAACATTGAGACTGTAGAAGCCCTTACACCCTTTGTTCGTGACCGACGCGCTAACTTCCGCCAGAGTCTTCGTGTACTGGAACACGCGAAGAAGGAAGGTGTCAACGTCACGAAGACAAGTATAATGCTTGGTGTGGGCGAAAATGAGGATCAGGTCCTCGATGCTTTGAAAGGTCGGATGCTTGACTACATGCCGTCGGCTATCTACTTATCCTCATCACAAATCCTGCAGAACTGCGGAAGTCGGATGTTGACGTAGTTACCTTTGGCCAGTACATGCGTCCAACTAAACGTCATATGAAGGTAGACCGTTACGTTGAGCCTGCAGAATTTGATCGATGGAAACAAATTGCCGATAACATGGGATTCCTCTATGTTGCATCTGGGCCGCTAGTACGAAGTAGCTACAAGGTATGTTGGGGTATAATACTTTAATTTGCGGATATGCTCTAGCTTATTTTATCCTCTCAGGCTGGAGAATTCTATATTGAGAATTTCCTGAAACGGAAGAGATTAGATGCTGCAAAGTTAGAATCGTCTAACCCATCTTCAGAGATGATGGACTCGACCCTACGCCCACTGTTGTAGCACCTTGGGCCTTATACAACCGTAATATTATCCATCACAAGTTCAGACGTCACCCTCGCATAATGTTCATCCACAATGGCGTTTCCCTAGATCAGGAGCTTTATGGTTCTTGGTTTCCACAAATTTAAACCGAATCCGTACAATCTGCGGAGAAATTATATGCACCCCTTATTTGAAAGAATACATTGTGCCAGAATATGTCCCTACCTGGTTCGCGTCTAACAGTGCTTGCTTGAAATCCTTGGTCGCTGTCAACTTTTCGGCTGAGGTTTGACATATTTCTGGGTTGTTTCCACTGGTTTATCTTGTACCGCTAGTTCCTCTCAGTCTAGTCCACGCCTGAACAATGCATTCCGGATTATACAACCCAGAACTACTTGTACTTGGCCTCAGCATCAAACATCGGGCGGGTAACAATCTTAAGTCCGAAGAGCTTATATCCGCGTGCACTCGATCCTTCTTCGGATCGATACCACTTAATCGTCGAGTTTCGGTTCGTATCTCATAGTCAATCGTCATGGATGAGGAATACGACGTGAGACGAAATTCAAAACAATTCGATCGCCGTTTTGAGGGTGTCTTCTGATTTAGGTCATCGTTCTCGGGACTGGGTTAACGGAATGTATTCTATCGGGATTGCTCTCTGTCGAGGGCAAGAAGGTTCTGCACATGGACCGCAACGATTACTATGGGGGAGATAGTGCAAGTCTTAACTTGACACAAGTGCGTGTATCAACAGCCATTTCCATGGGCTTGCCACCACTGACAATGAACGATCTCGTGTCGTTCACGGCACCTGCAGCTATATCGCAAGTTCCGCCCCGACAAAGCACCCCCTTCTGATCTAGGTCGTGATAGAGATTATGCAATAGATTTGATTCCAAAATTTATCATTGCTGCGGGCGAACTCACCAAGATCCTCGTCCACACCGAGGTAACGAAATACCTAGAATTCAAACAAATCGCGGGAAGCTTTGTATTTCGCGATGGGAGAATATCAAAAGTCCCAAGCACGGAATTGGAGGCCGTAAAGAGTCCGCTGATGGGTTTATTTGAAAAGCGTCGAGCGAAGAAGTTCTTCGAGTTCTTACAGAATTGGAGGGAAGATGATCCGGCTACGCATCAAGGTAACGTTTACCAGCTGGCATCAGCCAGTCGGATGGGAGTGATAGACTAAAGATAGTGTTACTTTGCAGGCGTCGACCTTGACAAGGACACTATGAAATCCATTTATGAGAAGTTCGGTCTCGAAACTGGTACTCAAGACTTCATTGGCCACGCTATGGCACTCTATCTTGACGACGAGTACGCAGTTAATTCCCCTCCATAATATTCGTCGCTTTTCGAGCTTATTCATCCTCGCCAGCTACATCACCAAATCCGCCCGAGAAGCTTACGATCGTATCATCCTTTACACATCCTCGATGGCCCGATACGGAAAGTCGCCTTATATCTACCCTCTTTACGGCCTCGGCGAACTTCCGCAAGCATTTGCCCGCCTTAGCGCTATCTATGGGGGGACCTACATGCTTGATAAGCGTATTGACGAGATTGTTGTCGACAAGGCAACAGGTCAATTCGTCGGCGTACGAAGTGGTGAAGAGACGGTCAAGGCCAAACTTGTTATCGGGGATCCGAGTTACTTCAGTGGGACGACTACGGCGGGTGAAGCGGGAAAGGTTAGAGTCCTCGAAGAAGGGAAGGTCGTTCGGGCGATTTGCCTGTTGAAGCATCCTATACCCGGTACAGACAACGCAGACAGTGTTCAGATTATCATCCCTCAGAACCAAGTGGGAAGACGAAATGGTAGGAGGACTGTCGAGTCCTCGTCTCTTTGCCAAGACACTGACGCAAATGCACGATCATAGATATCTACATCGCTTCCGTCTCATCTACGCACAACGTCTGCGCCAAAGACATATACATTGCTATTGTGAGCACAATTGTCGAGACCAACAGACCCCATGAAGAAATTGTACCCGGTCTTAATCTCCTTGGACCCATTCACGATAAGTTCGTGTCCATTTCCCCGCTTTACGTTCCAACCACATCCGGCAAGGAGGATAATATCTACATTACACGCTCCTATGACGCCACTTCACATTTCGAGACTGTCGTGAAGGATGTCGAAGATGTCTGGAAGCGTGTCATTGGAAGCGAGCTTGTTCTCAAGAAGAAAGAGGAGGCTAACGTAGTGGGGTAGACGTTCCAAGAATGGACGTAGGATGATTCTTTTGCTTCGTTACGACGAGTGGGATCTCTGTACTTTAGGGTCAGCCAACCAAATGCGATGGTGCCGAATTCCGCAGTTGCTCAAAGGGGAAATGAATGACCACTAGTGCGGCGGAGTTGCAACACCATCTCTCCCAGGGATTTACTTGGACGTTGCTTAGCTTCGCGTGAAGAGATGGTATGGTTGACAAGTAGACATCCCAAAAGTTTCGCACCCTGTCTAGGAGGTGAAGCAACCTTTAGTGCCTCCCCATTCTCCTGCAACACCGATCGATTCGAAGCTGTGGCTGTATACTACAGATCCGAATATGCACATAAGTACCAAGGGAGGAAAAAGATAGGAGGGAATGACGTCGTTGACAACATTAAGGGTGAAAGACAAAGACGGATTCCGGTTGGCGTGAAACATGCGAGTAATATGTCGACGAAAGGAGAGTGACGATGCGAGATGTTTGCTGACTGCACGAAAAATGCCTCTGTTTGAATTAAAGCAGCTGTCTGTAGAGTGAAACGAGATAGGACAAAGACCGATAGGGGGTGTATGCCAGCGTTAGGGCACCAATGTCTCCATGCACCAATGAAAGGATCGCTACGACGTTCATCTGGCCACTTGTTTTCGGCTAGAAAGAAGGTCAGAGAAACAAAATAGTTACTCAATCGGAGCCATCGTTCTTTAACCGGCCGAGAAAAAATAGCGCAGAGTTGTCGAAGTCTGAGCGAATGAAGCAGGATTCCGGGTATCATGTATGATGGGTTGCCGTACAGAGAGGTGATTAGCCCTCCTGAAGGGCAGCACTCTCTTCGGCTTTCGCATCCTTGACATTGAGTTGCAAGCCTTTGACAACACACAGCTTTTGTATTTTCTCACGACGCAATGACATCGAGTAAGGTTGACCCTGTAAGGATATCCTCAACTCCCTGAGGGACGGACAAGCCTCGAGGACATGGGGTAGGATGTCGAAGGTCAAGGAGGCTGTGTCAGGGCATTGCCGGTGCTGATGGGCCAATGTTAAGGAAAGAAGACCGGGATGATGCTGAATGAACGCGACGAATGCATCGGGCGTGATGACAATGGGCGTTGCTGTCACGAGTGAGAATGTCTTGAGGTTCTTGGATAAAAAGGTACTTAAATCATGGCGAGGAAATTCCCAATGATGCACTGAGACCGAAAACGTTTCGAGTTGGCTATAATACGTCGGTATGGTTTGAAAGATCGTTTGAATCGTTAGCTCGGAAGGCACATCCACCGCCGTTAGTTTTATATGTCGCAGGTTGCACATCCCTCGCACTCCGAAGACCTGGGGCACTAAGTAAGTGAAGATGACTCCATCAATATTTTCCAGGGTCGGGAATGGGTCATCCACATCCCAGGGAAGTAAGGCCTTTTCCCATATAGGATGGTCCTCATTCTCGCTGCTCCAGAATATCTCCATCGATTTAAGATTTGGTAATGAGGCCAGCGTTTTCCACACGCCAGGCTCAAATACCAGGCTCCATTTCGCTCTAAAGCCTTCCAAATGTGTGAGGCCATGTATCGAGGAAGACAGATTATCAGAAAGGGGGTTGATGGATGCGCCAAACGGGAGGTTAAGGCGCAAGGAAACCAAATGAGGAGCGTGCTCGTGCAATGTTTGAAGGATCAGGTCGGTCGAAGGATTTGGGCAAAGAATGGTCACTCGCAGGTCAAGTTTGAGTAGTCGTGGTGAAAGCCAATAAAGGAGAGTTTTCAGAACGAGTGAATCATCAGCCTCGTAAATCAATTCAGTAAGACGTGGAAAGTGTGGTCGACGAAAGAGCGATGCAGCCAGGATGAATTCCTTCATTGTGTTATATTCCAGATCCGTACCCTTCCTAATACGTATGTGAAGATGTTTTGTCCATTTGGTATAAGAAAATATGCGGCTCAGCAGGGAAAGATTTTCGAAGGTGGGTCGTCCAATGGCCTAGAAAATTGTGGCATCAGAACTGATTGTGTTGACATTGAAACGTATCCCCCGTTGGTTTTACCTCACTGTTCCATCGTAGCGGCCCAAAGATTGCCTGCTGCGCATCAATATTTTCCCAAATAAGAGGAACAGAATGGACATTCCATGTCTTGCACACCCTTGCGCAAGAGGCCAGGGCAGGTGCCTCGCAGTGCTGAAACAGCTCCCTAAGAATCTCAGGCAAGCCTACGACTCGGGATTGCGCGTCATTCGCTCCCGCTTGAGGAGTGGCAGCCCCAGGGCAGAGAAAAATCTGTGAGGAAAGTTGTGCCATCCGGAACAAGCAGTTGTTTAAGGAACAGGCTGATTCCCACGGCCTTTCCCCTTCATATCGAATTGCCATTCACTTGTTCCTAACCATTATGAGCCAGCTCAGCAATTACCACTGTACGAGACGATGACGGGGAAGAAATTGATTAAATCTCATTGATAGACACAATGCTACAGAGTTTTATAGTACAGCAAGGCAGTGATGTTAGGAACAAGTGGGACAGTGGGCCGCCACCCAGCTTCGAGATGACTCGATTTGCAGATGCACATGCTGTTTTTGAAAACGCACAATCTGCAATAAGCCTGATTAACTCATTTACCCATTGAACGCTGTGTCCAAAATGTCTATCGAGCCAATACATCTTGTCATCAGCATCGAACCCTTTCACTGACACCCTCCTCAAGATGCTAGCTGTGGAATGAAGCACCAATCATCCGTGAGTGTGGAGCTCGGTACTGTTCTGGAGAGTTGCCAATGGCACCGTGTTGGAATACGAGTCACATGATGAAACTGAACCGGAATATCCGGGAATATTCTAGGGGTTACTAGGCGCCTGCGTAAGCGCTGGGCATAGAAGAGCCTGGAATATTGTTGAGAAGTATAAATACGGGCGCTGGAGCGCCGTGTGTATTTTAGATATATTTCTTTCTATATTACATCTGGGTTGCGAGTGAACCGCTCAAGCGGGTTACCATATTTGGAACGCCGCGTTTACAACACACCGCACGGTTGGTCAGTAGACCAGCGGGATGGATTGTCGTACGACACACGAGATCATGCTTCTGTATGGCAGAACCCTCACGACGTCAAGCCGTCGATAATATCAAAACTCGGTATTTCCTCATGAAGCAACGCGATCGGGGAAGACGGTTCCCGTAGAGATACGCACGAGGATACGGGGTAGAATGCTGGTGGTCAGGGTTTATCGGGTCGCATATCCACGAGGGTGCCGCGGTCTCAACTGAGGTTTTGACGAGGCTTTTGGATACAAAGGCACTGGTTAAAAACTTGAATCATGGCGAAGATATCCCCAATATTTAAGCTTGACTGAGAACGATTGAAAGATTGATTGGATTGGGGGGGTCATCGCCCACCCGTCAATTTAGGGCCTGCACATTCCCGGCACTCCAAAGGCCATGGGTACCAAGTATGTGGGGATGGCTCCATCTATACTTTCGAAAGCCAGGAATGAAATCGCAGGGAAGAAAGGTCCACATCATCCAGTGATTTAATATATTTGAAAGGAGAGTAGAGAAATAAAAATAACCATGTTACTAAAGCCATCGTTCTTTGGACGGTCGATGTCGACGAGGAGAAAAGAACATGGAAAGTTGGGGGGGCTACGGGGCATTGAAGTAGGGGCGAATGAAGGAGATTCCAGGTATGATTGCTGCACGCAGACGACGTCATCAGTCTCTCCTGAATGCCCCACTCCATTACCACCAACTACGCTTGCTTGACATCGAGTTGCAAGCCTTGTTCAGCACGTAACTTTTGTATGTCCTCATGACTGAGGTGCATCGAGAAACACGAACCCTGCAAATTTATGTGCAACCATCCGAGGGACGGACAAGCTTCGAGGATGCGGGGTACAATGTCGGGGGGAAACCCAGCTTTCGTGTCCTGGTCACTCCTGGTCAGTGTCAAGGAAAGAAGACCAGGATGACGCTGAGTGAACTCGAGGAATGCATCGGGCGCGATGACGAAGGGCTTTGTGGTCCAGAGTGAGAATGTCTTGAGGCGCTCGAATACAAAAGTAGTCAAATCATGGCGAGGGGCTTCCCAAGCTTTCAGCTTAACCGAAAATGTCTCAAGTTGGTTGTAATAAGCCGGTATCGTTTGAAAGATCGTTTGAATCGTTAGCTCGGAAGGGGCATCCTGTATCACTAGTTTTAGATGGCGCAGTTTGCAGATTCCTCGCATTCCAAAGATCTTGGGTACCAAGTCAGCTGAGATGTCCCCGTCTATACTTTCCAGAGTCGGGAATGGATCATCCACATCCACGGTCGGGGGTGCAGGATCCGCATGCCAGTAACGGAAGAACTTCTTCGGTGTGCGATGACCCAGGCACTCGAAGTCGCTGAGGATGTCCACCGATCTGAGATTCGGCAATGAAGCCAGCTCTTTCCACACGCCAGGCTCAAGAACTAGGGACGATTGAGCTTTAAAGACTTGCAACTGAGTGAGGGCATTTAAAGTGGAAGACAGATCGTGGGAAGCGTGGCTGATGGACTCGTCATCACCGAAGCAAACACTCAAGGAAGTCAAACGAGGGGTGTACTCATGCAATGTTCGAAGGATCAGGGAGGTGAAAGCATCCGTTCCGTCCACCCGCAGCTCGAGTTTGAGTAGTTCTGGTGAAAGCCAGCAAGGGAGAGCCCGCAGGGCGGATGAACCCGTGTGGCAGTCACAAATCAATTCGGTAAGGCGTGGAAAGTGTGATTTGCGAAAGATCAGGATGAATTCTGCCACCGTGTTGTATCGCACGGCCCAATCCGCCGGATCGCAAGGATCCGCAAAAACTATGCGAAGTTGCTGCGTCCATTCGATGCAACGAAGGATGCCTCTCAATAGGGGGAAATTTTCGAGAGGTTTTTTGAGGCTCTAGAAAGGTTCAGGTATTTCAGAACAGATTGCATTGGATATTGGCAGTTGGTTTTTACCCAACGGTTTGGCCATAGCGGCTTAAATATTGCCAGCTGCGCATTAATATTTTTCCAAAGAAGGCGAACAGAATACGTGTTCCACGTCTTGCAGACCCTTGCGCAGGATGTCAGGGTGCGTTTGTCGCATTGCTGAAACACGTATATAAGAATGTCGGGCAAGAACACGGCTTTGGACCGCGCGTCAGTCGCTCTCGCTTGAGCAGGGCTCCCGGTGTGGAGAGAGAGTTGAAATGTCTGTTTGGGACGTTGTGTCATCTGAAACACTGGTACTTGTGCTTTGACGAACTCGACGCTTGACCAATTCCCACGCACGAAATCTAAATTGAACGCGTATCTATTGAAGTACAAGATGACGCCCGAAGAGGACGAAGACAAGAAAGAGTACTTAGGCAGCGGATTAAGGTGGGAGGGCAGTGGATGCTAACTTGAACGTTCTGATTCGAACGATCTATTCCTGGTCAACAACGCACTCGGAAGAAGTACTTGTCGTCCGGGAAAAAAAAAAGTAAAGTAGAAACCGTGCAGAAGCAGTGTGTGTACGTGTATGTGCTCCTTTGAAAGCGAGTGTAAAAAGAAGTAAATATGGGAATGGCGAATTCCCCGCAAATTGGCTTGTGGGGGAATAAGAGCAACAGAAAGATGAAGGTGGGAGAATGGTTTTATTCCACTCGCCGAGTGAAGAAGGGGGATTTGGCAGAGGTGGAGGCCGCTTGAAGTTCAGGGGAACGGCTCCGGCCAATGGATAGACGAGGCAAGGCATGTGCCGCAACCAAAAGGGAACGTTAGTCTCCCTACCGAAACTATGATGGCTCGGGCCGAGCTGCCTCAAGGTCACCTTCGACTCAACGGATACCGGCAGATCGTTCTTTGGACGGTCGATGTCGACGAGAAGAAAAGAACATGGAAAGTTGGTGGGGGCTACGGGGTATCGAAGTAGGGGGTGGATGAAGGAGATTCCAGGTATGATTGTTGCACGCAGACGACGTCATCAGTTCTCCTGAAGAGCAGCACCCTCTTCCAACTCCCATTACCACCAACTTACGCTTGTTTGACATCGAGTTGCAAGCCGTGTTCAGCACGCAACTTTTGTATTTCCTTATCAATGAGCCGCATCGCGTAACGCTTACCCTGCAAACCTATCTGCAACAATCTGAGGGACGGACAAGCCTCGAGGATGCGGGATACAACGTCGGGGGTAATGCCAGTTTCCGTGCTCCATTCCTCACAGTCCAATGTCAAGGAAAGAAGACTAGGATGACGCTGAGTGAACTCGACGAACGCATCGGGCGCGATGACGAAGGACTTTGGTGTCCAGAGCGAGAATGTCTTGAGGTGCTCGAATACAAAGGTAGTCAAATCATGGCGAGGGGATTCCCAAGCTGACAGCTTAACCGAAAACGTTTCAAGTTGGTTGTAATAAGCCGGTATCGTTTGAAAGATCGTTTGAATCGTTAGCTCGGAAGGGGCATCCAGTACCCATATTTTTAGATGGCGCAGTTTGAAGATTCCTCGCATTCCAAAGACCTCGGGTACCAAGTCCTGTGGGATCTTCCCGTCTATACACTCCAGAGTCGGGAATGGATCATCCACATCCTCCAGGGTACCCACATGCCAGTACCTCTCCTTCGGTAGGTGCTCGAACCGGTAGCGGGTTTCCATCAATCTGAGATTTGGTAATGAGGCCAGCTCTTTCCACATGAAGGGCTTAAAAATTAGGGACGGGTGAGCTTTAAAGACTTCCAACTGAGTGAGGGCATTTAACATGGAAGACAGATCGTAGGAAGCGGGGTCAATGGACACGTCGCCGAAGCAAACACTCAAGGAAGTCAAACGAGGGGTGTGCTCATGCAATGTTCGAAGGATCAAGGAGGCTAAATCATCCGTTTCGTTCACCCGCAGCTCGAGTTTGAGTAGTCCTGGTGAAAGCCAGTAAGGGAGAGCCCGCAGAGCGGATGAATGGCAGTCATAAATCAATTCAGTAAGGCGTGGAAAGTGTGGTTGGCGAAAGAGGGGCGCGATCAGGATGAATTCTGCCACCGTCTTGTATCGCACGGCCCAAAGCTGAGGAGGGCCGTTGAGGTGCTCCTCGGTAATATTTATGTGAAGTTGCTCCGTCCATTCGGCGCAACGAAGGATGCCTCTCAGCAGGGAGTGTTCTTCGGTGCTCTGTGAAGGTTCAGGTATCAGAACTGATTGCAGGGATATTAGCAGTTGGTTTACCCAACGATTTGGCCATAGCGGCCTAAAGATTGCCTGCTGCGCATTAATATTTTTCCAAAGAGGGCGAACAGAATACGTGTTCCACGTTTTGCAGACCCTTGCGCAGGATGTCAGGGTGCGTTTGTCGCATTCTTGAAACACGTATATAAGAATTTCGGGCAAGTGTACGGCCTTGGATCGCGCGTCAGTTGCTCTCGCTTGAGGAGCAAGACTCCCGGTGTGAAGAGAAAGTTGAGATGTCTGTTTGAGACGTTGTGCCATCTTGTTGTTGCTTTGACGACTCAACTCTGTCAATGACCAATTCCCACGCACGTGGTGGAAAATTGAATGCGGATCATTGACTTCATTCCATTTTTGTTTTCCCCTCAGTGTTCTTCTCACGACTCTCAATTTTGGCCTCATGGGGCGAATTTGTGGTATTTAGGGCACATCCCTTTCATCCATCGTCGCTTTCCGGCTTTGTCCTCTCATTGCGCATCCGCGTTGGAGCATGTGTGGCATTCCGGGTTCATTCATTTGGCAGGGAGAATTTGGGGTTTTATTCTGGGTTTGGGGGCCGTTGAAAGTTTGGAAAGGAGTAGTTAAGAAATTGGTCGGAGCCTGTTAGGTTTTCGCTATGTTTTTTGTGTGTTATTAATTTCCTTTGGATCGGACCAACGAGGTCGGCTAGTATGTCTTACCTTAGCTGCTTTGTAGCGGAGTTGGCCGAATTTATTCGTTTATTCGTTTATTGAATGTACATTCTGCACATGGTCCGGTGGGGATAAGAAAGACTCAAAGGAGTACTTGGGCAGCGAATTAAGAAAAGGTAGGGTGGAAGGGCAAGTGCATGCTAACTTGAACGTTCTGATTCGATCGATCTATTCCCTGGTCAACAACGCACTCAGAAGTACTTGTCGTCCGGGAAAAAAAAATAAAGTAGAAATCGTGCAGAAGCAGTGCGTGTGCGTATGTGCTCCTTTTGGAAAGCGAGTGTGAAAAGAGGAAAGTACACACGGGAATGGCGAATTCCCCGAAAGTTAGCTTGTGGGAGAGTAAGTTGATACAAGAATAAGGGAAGAGAGACGAAGGTGGGAGAATGGTTTTGTTCCATTCGCCGGGTGAAGAAGGGGGGGTTTGGCGGAGTTGGAGACCACTTCAGGTTCAGGGGAATGGCTCCAGGATAGACGGGGGAGGGGGCATGTGCCGCAACTTAGCCTTCGTCAAAAGGGAACGTGAGTCTCCCGATCGAAACTATGATGCCTCGGGCCAAGCTGCCTCAATGTCTCCTTCGACTCAACGGATACCGGCAACTTTGGATGGTTGATGTCGACGAGGAGAAAAGAACATGGAAAGTTGATGGGGGCTATGGGGGCTACGGGGTATCGAAGTAGGGGGCGAATGAAGGAGATTCCAGGTATGATTGTTGCACGCAGACGACGTCATCAGTTCTCCTGAAGAGCAGCCACCCTCTTCCAACTTCCATTACCACCAACTTACGCTTGTTTGACATCGAGTTGCAAGCCGTGTTCAGCACGCAACTTTTGTATTTCCTCATCAACGAGCCGTATCGCGAGACGGCTACCGTGCAAATAAATGTGCAACAATCTGAGGGACGGACAAGCTTTGAGGATGCGGGGTACAACGCCGGGGGCAATGCCAGTTTCCGTGTCCCATTCACAGTTCAATGTCAAGGAAAGAAGACCAGGATGACGCTGAGTGAACTCGACGAACGCATCGGGCGCGATGACGAAGGGTTTTAGTGTCCAGAGCGAGAATGTCTTGAGGTGCTCGAATACAAAGGTAGTCAAATCATGGCGAGGAGATTCCCAAGCTGACAGCTCAACCGAAAACGTTTCAAGTTGGTTATAATAAGCCGGTATCGTTTGAAAGATCGTTTGAATCGTTAGCTCGGAAGGGGCATCCAGTACCCATATTTTTAAATGGCGCAGTTTGAAGATTCCTCGCATTCCAAAGACCTTGGGCACCAAGTCATTCGGGATCTTCCCATCTATACACTCCAGGGTCGGGAATGGATCATCCACATCCTCCAGGGTACCTACATGCCAGAACTTCTCCTTCCGTAGGTGTTCGAACTGGTAGCGGGTTTCCACCAATCTGAGATTTGGCAATGAAGCCAGCTCTTTCCACATGGAGGGCTCAAAAACTAGGGACGGTTGAGCTTTAAAGACTTCCAACTGAGTGAGGGCATTTAACATGGAAGACAGATCGTGGGAAGCGTAGCTAATGGACTTGTCATCACCGAAGCAAACACTCAAGGAAGTCAAACGAGGGGTGTGCTCATGCAATGTTCGAAGGATCAGGGAGGTTAAAGCGTCCGTTTGGTTCACCCGCAGCTCGAGTTTGAGTAGTCCTGGTGAAAGCCAGTAAGGGAGAGCCCGCAGAGCGGGTGAATGGCAGTTACAAATCAATTCAGTAAGGCGTGGAAAGTGTGGTTTGTGAAAGAGGGGCGCGATCAGGATGAATTCTACTACCGTCTTGTATCGCACAGCCCAAGGCTGAGGTTTGTTGGAGCGCTCCTCGGAAGGTTTCATAAAATTTATGCAAAGTTGCTCCGTCCATTCGATGCAACGAAGGATGCCTCTCAGCAGGGTGACATTTTTGGGAGGTTCTTCGGTGCTCTGGAAAGGTTCAGGTATCAGAACTGATTGCAGGTATATTGGCAGTTGGTTTTACCCAACGATTTGGCCATAGCGGCCCAAATATTGCCTGCTGCGCATTAATATTTTTCCAAAGAAGGCGAACAGAATACGTGTTCCACGTCTTGCAGACCCTTGCGCAGGATGCCAGGGTGCGTTTGTCGCATTCTTGAAACACGTATATAAGAATTTCGGGCAAGTGTACGGCTTTGGATTGCGCGTCAGTTGCTCTCGCTTGAGGAGCAAGACTCCCGGTGTGAAGAGAAAGTTGAGATGCCTGTTTGAGAAGTTGTGCCATTAGTTGTTGCTTTGACGACTCGACTCAGTGTCAATGACCAATTCCCATGCACGTGGTGGAAAATTGAATGCGTATCTATTGAAGTACATTCTGCACATGGCCCGGTGCCCACTTAGGCAGCGAATTAAGAAAAGGTTGTGGAAGGGCAAGTGCATGCTAACTTGAACGTTCTGATTCGATCGGTCTATCCCTATGGTCAACAACGCACTCAGAAGTACTTGTCGTCCGAGAAAAAAATAAAATAAAGTAGAAATCGTGCAGAAGCAGTGCGTGTGTGTATGTGCTCCTTTTGGAAAGCGAGTGTGAAAAGGGGAAAGTACACACGGGAATGGCGAATTCCCCGAAAATTAGCTTGTGGGAGAGTAGGTTGATACAAGAATAAGGGAAGGTGGGAGAATGGTTTTGTTCCATTCGCCGGGTGAAGAAGGGGGGGGGGGGGGTTTGGCGGAGTTGGAGACCACTTCAAGTTCAGGGGAATGGCTCCGGGATACTATGATGTCTCGGGCCAAGCCCCAGGCAGCTGCCTTAATGTCTCCTTCGGCTCAACGGATATCGGCAAGAACAATGTGGAAAAGTACGAGATCCACGAGGGAGTTGAGGAAGTAGAGTTGGCATCCACCTGCACCGGTGTAGCCACCTCCCCCTTCCGAGGCTGATTCAAGAACGAATCCACATGAGCCAGTGGAGGCTCAACTTTACTTGACTCCTTCGCCTCCTTATCCCTCTTCTGCTTCTCCGCCCTCTTCACGTTAACCTCCTCCAAAATCTTTCTCGCTCCGCCAGAGATCAAAGCCCTCGCAACCTCCTCTCCCAGCCTCTCCGCATCATCAAATCCGCATACTTTTTCATAGCAAATCATTTGGGCGACTTGCAACTCCCCCGAAAGGCTCGTCACAGTAGAAGTCAACGTCAAGGTTCCAACAACTTCCTTTCCATCCCCTTCCTCAGAAGAGGCGGCGGAAGAGAACGCGGGAACGAAACTCGACTCGACACCTACGGGGACCGAACATCCCCCTTCCAACACTCTCAGACAAGCCCTCTCGGCCCGGCATCGCATCTCTGTCGGATAATGACTGATAACTTTTTTCAAGAAGTCTTTCACTTCAACATCATCATCTCGGCATTCGATTCCCAATGCTCCCTGACCGACAGCATGGTATAATGTAGGAGGGGTGACAGATGAAGTGATTCGATCGGTTTGGTCCAAACGGATCAAACCTGCGCTTGCCAGGATAATGGCTGTGAAGGGTCCATTGGGGTCGTCTAGTTTTCTGAGACGAGTGTCACTGGGGAGGGGGAATGAACGGTTGAGGTTCGGAGGGTAAAGAATCAAGTGGGAAGAGAAAGCTTACCAGTTGCCACGCTAAAAAACCGACAACAATAACAATGAATAGCATCGCAACCCAAAACTCGTCGGTAACTGCATAAAGGCTCAGAAACCAAACGAAAACTCACGATATCCTGAAAGATGAGCTTCGGGTAGGCCCTCTTCAACTGAGCCACCCTCCTCACGCTGCTGGTCCCTACCACGCTTCCATCCGGTAACTCGCCCAAACACGTATACCCCAATCCTTTCTTACACACAAACGCATCATCAGGATCCTCCCTCTCCATAATAGCCCCAATCTCAAACCCATCCGGTAAAACCGTGCTCACATCCTTCAACGAGTGAACGATGATATCAATCTCACCCTTCCCCAACGCAACCTCCAGCTCCTCTGTCCACAAACTCTTGCCTCCTAACAAGTACAGAGCATCTTTTTGGTTCTTATCACCAGCCGTGATCATGAACCGGACGTCGAAAGTGGCGTGAGGGAAAGCGGTTTGAAGAGCATCTCGGACGATGAGCGTTTGAACTTTGGCGAGTTGGGATGCTCGTGAACCGAGGATGAATGTCCGTGTCATGTTGAGTCCTAGGTGCTAAGCCACTGAGGAACGTAGTTGCACGACGTCTAAAAGAGAGAGGGAAACGGTGATGATGATGGTGTGTGAAGGGAACTGACGAGCTAGTTTGCGACAATTGTTTTTCTTATGAATGGGAATCACTCAGAATTTGATTGACCGGAACTAGAAAAGAGGACCGCTTACTATTCATGGAATTTCAAATCATGTGATCAGTACATTGCCCCAACGGCTTTGCTTTTGAAGGGTTTTTCAAGAATTAGGTAATTCGGAAGAAGCCGTCCGATAATTACAACGGAAAATTATACTTTCAATATATTCCTACATTATCGGTGTTGGGCATCCGCCACAACCAATGGCCGCACAATCCGGTCCCAGTTCTCCGTCCAAGTCCCCCATGAAAATGAAGGGTCCGGGTGGTGAGCACTAGGATATCGGGTGAACCGGGTAATACTCTCCCGAAGAGACGTCCGCAAATTCTCAAGTTCTTTACCGTTCGGAAAGGAGAGCAAGAGACGCTAGCAAAGGAAGGGGGGCGATGTGATCCGGCCACAGGAGAAGCGCGTCGGTCAAAAACGATGATCCATCATCAAAAAAGCACTGTTGTTGAACCAATTCACATACCTGTAAATGACCCGCCAACTCGGAGGCAGTGCGGAACACGACTCCATTCACTCCGTCTCTTACCAGTTCATCAAGGCTATTCAAACGTAGAAGTCAGCCATGAATACAGTTACTTAACGCATCAGCGAGATGTCCAGATCAAGGGAGCATCCCCCAGCCATGCGAGCCATCGAGGAAGTGAAAGATAACTGAGCAATTGAAAATTGAGGTGACTCACCATTCAAAATGAAGCGCGCATACCGGCAAGCCACATCCAAACATGTCAACTACTTTCATAGGTAAATCCAATCCCGATGAGCTGCTGTGCAACGAAATTCCAAGATCCGCGGAACCTAAATAACGGGCGCAGGCACAACACCGTCCAGTTATCAAATGAAATACCAACAAGGTCATAGCAATCCAGACTAACTCACCAAGTAAAATCGGATATGCCCCGCTGCTCAACCAAACGCTCCTACACCTCACCCACTCCCACTTCTCCTCTATTTCCAGTCTGATAATCTTCTCCATATACTTATCCCTGTTCTCCCCTTTCCCTGTCACAAGCATCAACAACTTCGGCAACTTCCCACTCCTTTTTTCTCCTCTCTCCTTCTCCTTTCCCAAACCTTCCTCTCCATTTGCCTCTTCCCGGTCCTCCTCAGGCTCCTCCTCCCTTCGATCAGTCCCAGCATTCACTTCCCTCGCAACACCCTCATAACTCCTCAACGCCTCAATCAGCAAATCAAAATCCTCGTCGGCCGTCCAAGAAGTAGACGTCACAACAAGCGCAGGTCTGTCCTCTCTTAAAGCAGCCAACGCATCGGAAGATGTGAATGACGACGATGGAGAGACAAATAGTGAGGAAGTTGGTATTGTTTTTCCTGATGCGGTTATTTGCGACTTTCGTGTTGTTCCAGTCGTGGAAGTGGAAGGAGAGGAGTGAGAGGCGGAGATTTTGGTGAAGGGCGATGACGTTGGGAGGGAATAGGGTGGGAAGAAAGTGGTCAATATTGGGGGTTGGAGATGAGGGAATTTGGTTATTAGCTAGCAAACAAAATCGAGAGAGGAATAGTGGGAATAAGCCCTTATATGACAACTGTGGGTAACTTGCCTCATGCATTTCAGCAGGCGAAGCGGGGTGGAAATGGGCTGGCGGACGATCATGCAGGACAGCAGTGTGCCCTCTGATTGAGGCAAGCTTAATGAGTCGATCTCAAACGGACGAAGAATGCCTTACTTACCGTAAACCCCACCCCTCAACTAAGGAATCTCGCATCGCTTTTGTAACAAACAAGTGTGCATATGCACTCCGCCCGAACGTTCTCTCGAACCTAACCATCCACGCAAAAACAAAAAATGATCACACACAACATCGTGAGTGATATGCCCCAAATCCAAAAAACTGAGTTCCACACGCCCTCACTCACCATTCGGCAATCTTTACGAGTTTACTCTCCTTCCCCAGCCTAATAGAGAGAATACTATATCCAAGGTTGTGCCAATCGATGATAAGTCTACAATTGCGTAAAGAGACGAAACATTGGACGATAGCTAATGTAGGAATCGTCGGAGGATTCTAGGTGGATAAATCAGAAATCCGTCAGCTCCACGAATCAACCCCCCAGGCAGAGAAGAAGAGAAATATATAGGACTCACTTGAACGATGATGTATTGAGGTGTATATGGCAATCGGAAGAATAATGCATGAACGACAACAATGATTTGAAAAAGGACTTTCAGAGGTGCAACAATGACGAAGAATGATCGCGGTAGGGACGAAATGAACTTTGGGAATTGAGCAAGTCCGAGAAAGCGGACTTTGGGTAGAGAGCGCAACGACGCAGGAGGTTCCGTCTCTATCCCAAGCAATATATCCAAACAAAGAAAATAAGCAACGAATCAGCAACCTCCTCTCGTGTTCTCATGCAACCGATGTACGACGACACCCACCTTTATATCCAATGACGAACGTTTCGAAAGCATGTCCAGCAAAGCTTTCGGAATGATACATCATTCGTGGACTACGACCTATATCTCCCAACACGAGAATCGCTACAGAGCGATAATAAAACGATGGCCTTCGACCGGGTTTAGAGAGGAGGACAAAAAAGGCGACGAATGGAAGAAAGACGAATAATGTTTGGATGAGCCATTTGGCCGCTAATGAGTAGTAAGAAGTCGGCATTTGATCAAGCAAGGTCTATCCTAGTGAGAGAATATGGAGATTCGGCCAGTAGAAGTGGGTCCCTTATTTTTATTTTTATTTTGGTCTATGATCCCTCGAGAAAGCTTTCGTCCCGTTGGTTTGGTTGTGTGAAGGAACTGGCGCGAACGACAAACGGGCGGCGGGCGCCCGCGTTCATGTGGCTACTTAATTCAATCAAATTTTCCCACGATAAATGCTCCCAATTTGAATCACGTTTGATTGAAGTCTCTCATCGCGAGGTTCCTAGGCCCCAAAACAGCTCCGATGACTTCCGCAGCAGCCTTCACGACAACTCCTTTCCTTGCATACCTTCATAGCTACGTAAGGCATAGGATGCGGATTGATCTTATCGGCGTCAATCTGTAGCCTGGGTGGCCCGTTGTTGTATCCTCCAGGGCCGTTCTCAGAAGAGGGGTGGTGGCCATATATGGAACCCTTGGGATCATAGAATAGCTGGGAATGGAGGTGTTTACCTGCATCCTCCCCAAAGGAGTCCAGCGAATTCCTTTTCTACCCTCCTGATGAACATTAGATAAGAGGTTCGATAAGACCGTCATGCAGGAAGCGAGTAATGAGGCTGCGCTGTTTTGTCTGGGAATTAGTCTTATTGGGTTAGCTGAACCAGTCAATGGAAATAAAGTGGGGGAGGGGCTTACTTTATATTTATTGTAGCTTATCAAAGCAAGAGCTTCGTATTTCTGGTTGACTTCTGAGTTCAGTAAGTGAAGGGTGCTATGACCCAACTCACGGAGTTAAGCCTGTGGCGTTATGTTACCTTTCTTGGTAAACTTACTACCATGCTTGTGTGCCATTCAAAGCGCCTCGCTTATAAAGCGAGAAAATTCACTTTGATGTCCTTTCCTCAGTTCATGTACTACGGAACTGAGGTGAGATTGTTTTTTTTTTTCTCCCCTTGTAATATAGAAATAACTGATAAAGGGTATCCAACCTTTCACTCTCCAGTTGTCTTGACACCAACATTCTCGACGTATTCTTTCATCTTCCACAGTTCCTTGGTCGTTCTTTCCCGCCCCATGCTCTCATTTCTAAACTGGCTGAGGCGGCATGAGAACCACTGGCAGAAGAGGTGACGCAGCGGTCGGACCGACCAGTGGTCAGTGGGAGGATGGGAACTGGGGAGCCCTGAGCCAATAGCCCCTTCGTTCCCTCGTTCGCCACGCTGTCCCCGGGTGTCCAATCTTGCCAATCGTTAGCCACCTCCAAGGCAGGCGTTGGATAGTAGAAAGTCGTCGACAGGTCGATCATTTGTCTTTAGGGTCAAGGTCGACGGCCTTGCCGCGGAATTGTCCATGACTTGAAAACATACCGTAGCTAAATCGCTATCGTAGTGGATGACTTCTTGATCTAGTTGCAATTCATGAGTGCTTACAGAGGCAAAGAGACTGGGCACGGATTCATATTGGGTCGAAGCGAATTATGGAATGCCGAACAATGATGATTCGCGCGCAATATGCTCAACCCCATGTTTCGGGATCCATGCTCAAGCGCAACTTTGACACCCTCTGTGAAATCTCCATCCTAATCGTCCGAGCAACTCCCACTTTAAAGAAGACAAGTGGTCTCGCTCACTAGTGCTCTGTGTAGTCTAATTGCACATGGGATGGACCGCTGCAATATCCAAGTGACCATTGTATGTTCACCTCACCGCAAATCGCTCATCTGCCCTGCTCGAAGAACACGTCAGGGATGTCCAGCTCTCGAAAGCTCTCAGTGTCCGAGCGCCCCGATTCTCGAGGGGGTGAAAAGTGGGTGGCGGTGGTACGGTATGGGGGAGAGGATATAAGCAGGTGATGATCGAGATTCGAGAGAAGACTAGTTTCGGGCTAACTGATCACCGTTTACCAGTTTCTACTCATAAGTTCACAAGTATCGCTCATGTCTCGTGTCTGTGCTGCCTGTACTACGTTCGTGTCTAATACTTAAGCCTGCCTCTGACAATGGGGGCTTCAAGTTCTTTACTCTGTTGCTTGTTGTAATGTTGTGCGTAACGTTTGATAAATACCAATTGTATATATTGTATACCAGTCTCCCCCTTAGCCGAACGTTTGGGACCTAAGAACGGCCCGACCCTCATCTCGCTCCTGGTGCCTTATCTGGCCAAACGATACCGGAAATCCGGAGATTCCAGATGTTATATGCGAACCAACCAATGATCCCGTGCAGGAACAAATAAGCCAACGACCCCGAAAGGCTGCAGGTAGCCGATCGAACACTGTGTGTCCTATGTTGCAATCTTTTTCGGGCTAGTAAACTCACCAAGACCTAGCCCTGAGTACCAGTGTGATCTAGCTGCTTGACTTCATGTTTGTGAAGGTGAAACTGCAGCGGCACAGCTCAAGACTCCGGGAAAAGCGATCGAATCTCTCGACTGATGTCAATGATGAAGAAGAAGTTTCAATTGGTTCACCCAGAAGCGCATAGCAAAAAAGTCCATTCCCATGTTCCGAAGAGGATTGTATTTATGATCTCCTAGACTTTTCAAGGCTCTGCTACGACCCTCTGCTCAAGCGTTTCAAGCCGTCCTTTCCCTTTCACCTCGTTCTGTAGCAACTCACCAATCACCTTGAACTGTCCGGGGTCGATTAACATAATCTAAGGAGTCATCGTCCAATCAACAATTACTTTACGTCTCTTGGTAGATACCGTATAAAGACTCACCACTTCCCACTCATCCTGGCCCCCCCAGTCTTCATCCTCAACTTTCTCCGCACCTTCGATCACTTTTTCTTTCAATCTCTTCCCGTCTTTGGCTGGCATCGTCACTCGCACGCGCATTTTCGAGCGCCGAATAGGAAGGGTCGACTTTTCTTGCAATATTTTAACGCAGTCAAGAACCTACCATGAAGATAGATTGAGCGTATGCTTCGGTACTGGGAATCTGTCAAAAAACCACATACTTGAGACTTTGCGCTCTTTCCCGTCTTCACGCTAAATCCTGCCTCATGCATCGCCTTCTCGATGATCCCTACAGGATAAGGACGCGACGTTGATGGGTCTTCGCATTTCTCCGCAACCATATTTGCTATTTCCTTCCAGAGATTCTCCAACTCATGGGCTCGCTCCTTCTCGCCGACTTGTAGCTCGCCTTTCTTCAATATCTGGAGTTGTAATAGATAGTCGTGGGTATTTGGTGAGGAATACGATCGGATGAACGCACCTCCTTGACGATCTCGTTCACCTCCGTCTTCCCAAAGGCTTTCTTGAGATCGTCACTGTTGGCTACTTGTCCTTTTGATACGTTAAAGAACACATTGTTTATTTGCATTACTTCATCCAGATCGGTTTCCCTGATGATAATGATAATGTGAAAGAAATTAGATGAGCAACAGCCCCCAAATGACGTGATGCTTAAGGGATGACTCGCACACGCCGTTTCGCCATTCATGTACTTTGTTCTTGTAACAAGCAATCTAGCGTCGGTAGTAGCATACACATGTCATTCACGATGTCGATGCCAACAAGGAAACACTTGTGTACCTCAAAGCGCTTGCCGCCTTTCTTTAGACGCACGATTGACACGTTTGTCAATCTTTAGAGTTTGGGAAAGTGACGAATAGACGATTGGCAAGCCAAAAGCAGGAATCCAAAAGAACGTCGCAGGGGTTCACACCACCGCAATCAGCAAACCAATTGTGTTAGAGTTCCAGTACCAGCGAGAATCGAGGACGGGACCGAGATGCTGACTTGATTTGGTTAGAAGGTTGGTTAATCGGCATGGTATGGTCCAACACGCTCGCAAGCTCTTCAAGTAAGAGATGAGTGTATTGATACAAGAAGGTTGTGAAGAGCCTGAGGCCACAACGTCAAATCCGAAAGTTAAGGTCAAGGGGTTGCAAGTCAGGATCACAGGAGCGTGGGAAGGTTCCCAATTTGAGTTCTAGTTTTCCCTTTGCTATCCCTTTCGCCCCGAAGAGAGGGCGAGATGTCCTCTTGTTTGCGTTCAAGTTTACGGTCAGGCGTTGGTACCCGACTGGCATTTTTGGTTCACGGGGCTAGAAAATTGTCATGGGCCGCTTCGCGATTGAACAAGCATCCGTCTACCCCTGGACATGTTCTCAGCGATGTTACTGGGGAGCCGTGTCCTATTCCTGACATCGTAGTTAGTTCCCAAGCTAGAGAAATGCCCAAGGGATATCTGAGGGTTTTATGTGCATAATAGGCAGAGGATGTTATCATCGAACGCTCCCTTCACCCCAAAACACCTCTACCGTCCAGTCAGCTTAGTTTTGGAAAGTCCTTTGTGAGTCATTTATAGAAGATGGCTCTCGCAGAAAAAGCTTATCACGAAGATCATTCTCCCTAGACCGACCATATGCTCTCAATACAGTGGTCGGCGCTGACTGGCTGGGGTACCCCACGAATACATCCCTGTGCGGCTCTCCCACTTTTCGTCCCGACCTAAAATTCTAACTGTGAAGGTTTATCCTCCTTCTCAAACAACCACCTCATTCAGACCGTCCTCTCTCACTGGAACCGAGCTCAACAGTGTTACACTACGCGCCAACCCTCTTCGAAGGCATGAAAGCCTACCGGAATGGGACCGACCGCGTCTCGCTGTTCCGGCCTGATATGAACATGAAGCGAATGAACAAGAGCGCCTCTCGAGCCGCTTTACCCGTACGCTAACTTCATTTCTGCCTATTCGGCGAATATCGGCCGTTGCGATTGACACTTCCTTTCTGGGTCAGACCTTTAACGGGGGGGCTCTCGTAGAGCTCATTAAGAAGCTTGTTGCTCTGGACGCTCATTGGATTCCTAAAGAACCAAATCATAGTTTATACATTCGACCAACTCTCAGTAAATATCCCGTTCAAATTCGTATCTTCTCTTTTCAGTGTTCACCATTCCTCTCTTCTTTAGTTGGAACAACCCCCTTCCTGGGGGTTGCACCCTCTAGAGATGCTCTCCTTTTCGTAATAATGTCCCCCGTTGGACCGTACTTTAAAAACGGCTTCAAGCCCGTTTCACTTTTGGCGACGACAAAGTACGTCCGTGCTTTCCCCGGGGGGACGGGCGCGTATAAACTTGGCTCGAACTATGCCGGTGGCCTCGTTCCCCAGGCTGCCGCGGCGAAAGAAGGATTCGATCAGATATTATGGCTGTACAACAAGGATGGAGAAGATTATGTGACCGAGGCGAGTAGGGTTCCTATTCTGGGGCAAACCATCCGTGTCCAATCGAGTACTCTTTTTTGTTTAAAGGTCGGAGCGATGAATCTTCTCATAGGTAATGCCGTTCCCTTCCCTCGCTTCCAAAACCCATTAACTTCTGACGATCTGCACACACAGTCCTCAAGAGAAAGGACGGAGGTGTGTGATAAAGATTCACAGCGGATTCCCCCAATAAATGCATATTCACAGCAACCGAGCTCATCACACCGCCATTGGGTGATATGATCCTGGCTGGTGTCACGCGGGATTCTATCATCTCACTCGCCCAGGACCATGCTTCGGGAAAGCTCAACATCCCTGGGTTACCTAACGATCTGATCGTTACCGAGCGTCAGATTACGATGAATGAGATCGCCGATGCCTCTAATGAAGGACGTTTGCTAGAAGTTTTTGGTGCAGGCAAGTCTTCTCGCTACTCATCCGTAAAGGAACTTGATTTTGACACCCAAACACAGGAACGGCTGCGGTTGTTTGCCCCGTAGAACGCATTGGATACAAAGAGAAGAATATAACGGTTCCTACCGGCAAGGACGGACTTGGGCCGATAACTAAAGCGATGCTTGGGGAGATTACTAATCGTCAGGCTGGAATTGTTCCAAGTGAATGGAGCGTTGAGGTGCCACCATTCGCCTGATATACATGGTATAACGTTATATGCAAGATCTTAGGGGGAATATATATTCGGAATATATGGACGGGACTGCCACCGTCTGAAAAAAAAACACGAGGGTGAAAAGTTTCGAAACCTAGTTGATTGGTGTGTGGTATAATTATCGCGACACGTCGCAAGTGACGCGCTACATCGATGCATGTCGAGTGTCACCTTCGCTCGCACTCCGAAGCTGACTAAGAACTAGATGAAGTGATACCCAGCGCGTCCCACCCAATACCACCACAATCTCCATCCGTGAAGATGGTTGGGTATTGAGCCAGAAAACCATTCCTTATCGCCATCACGGGTATCTTCGAGAGGTGTCCCCTTCTCGAATGGCATGTCAGCATAAGGAACTACTCGTGTCTGGACAATTAGCTTGTACGAAAAGAATAAGAGAAGGAATACAGCCTGGGAAGATGAAGCGTCAATGTGTGAGGCCAAGGTCGTTTGAGCGAATGTATTTAACACACCAAAGGTAAGTAGGCTGGGAGAAACTTAGGAATTATGGGCCATAACTCTGGGTAACCGATAGGGATGTCAGCGGCCTGGTCACAATTGCTGAATGCTATCCGTTGAATAGGTTTAGTGCGCGCCGTTTGTGTGGAGGAAGTGACACACACCAATGTACCAAGCATCTTGTGTGAAGAGAGCCCTGTCCCGTCAAAAATTCAAGACAGTTGGGTGGGGGATGCATCCAGCTCCTGTCTGATACTTACCAGCCATTGAACATGAGTACCAACACACAGAATACTAGCGCATATATCGCAAGCTGTTCACACGCGTCAGGACGTGAAGAATAGCAAGAATGAGGTGACATACCCAGGGCTGGAACCGACTTCTGTGTCGCTTAATTTGGCTTGCAGTTGTCCGAAATTTCGTCCCTCGCATTTCTTCGGCAATTCTGACTCCCTCGTACCATCTTCACTGGATCTGTCAGAGAGCCAGTTGGAGTTTCGAGGCACTGACCTAAGGTAGGTGATCATCATGCAGATCCATGACTGCAGAGCAGCTACAGCTGTCATCGACGAGAGGTAGTTGACTAGAACGGGAATGGTGAGGCAGGCGCCCCCGTGTATGGTGGCGGTGGGATCACTCACAGGCTTGAGCTGGACCACTGACTTCTCCCGGACGCCCAGATGAGGGTAATGAAGCCATATATGCCAGCAGCCCGACGAGGCCTGCAACCAAGACGCCCTGATAATGCATCTCATTAGCAATCAAATGGTAACTGGATGCACATTGACAGACTCACCACCCATGGAACTGTCTTTTCTTTAGAATGAGTCTTCTCTCGCTGCTTTTCTGCCATGGGAATTTCCCTAAATATGTTCTTAAAAGAGATCCAAGATGGCCAAATCCCCGGAGCAGCCTGTCTGTCTGAGATCGGCCCCTGCATCAGACTCGATGGGTTTGCGTTGGTACTTTCTGTAGACGGTGTGGGTCGAGGGCTATGACTTGTAGAATTAGTGGAGGGGGGATAAGAGAACAAAGGTGCCGCTAATTGGTCCCCCTATGGATGAAAAGGTAATAAATAGAAGCCTTTCTCCTAAATAGCTTCTCATTACGAACCGCGCCTAGTGCCCCATTTCTGTCACGATTGTCGGCGAAGTCGCGTACTTGAACTTGTGCCTGAGTTGGCGTCTGTGAATTGCGTTCTTCGATACCAATTTCATGTACCGTTTGCTCCGCGTCAGGGCTAGGCGAAGGCGCATCACTAACCGGTCCTTCTTGATCTCCATTATGGTTGGCACTTGATTCGCTCGAGCGATGGAATAGCTTGCCACAGACCCTTGGAGCATGGTTGCAGCGAGCCAGAAAGAACAAGTACCGGCTGGATATGTAGATATCTGACGAAGCAGCGCTCCATGCAGATGTCACGAAACCCACGTTTACTGCGGCAGCAAGCTAAAACGAGGTGGATGGGAGACCAATTACTTCAAAACGACTGACAGAAGGATGCGGGCAGAAATAGTCACCCCTTTGTAGCCTGCAGCCCTCAGAGCAATGACAAACCTGCAACAGATGAGGGTTTATATGCATAAAGGGATAGCCAGGTTTGTACTCACGGTGATGAGATAGTTCCGCTTTTCTGGAGGTCCGGGTGATCGTATGGCACGATCAGCCCGGCACCAATCACAGAAAGAACGTAGAACAAGAAGCTGGGAAAGTAGCAGTGGTGATAGTGGCCGTTAGATAGCATGATGTGAATTCAGGTGAATAAACTCACATCCTGACCCAGATTCTTCGGACCGCATGGGGAATGTTCTACAACATGGCAGTAAAAGGTGAATGGGATAAAGTACGGGTGATGTTTTGCCCGAATGTCAAGACGTTATGTAACGCACCTGAGATGGGTTGATAACCTGAATGCATGTTTAGATGACCTGACTATTGATGTTTGCTATTTTGCAGTACTAACCTCACCTGCTGCAACGCCTGGAATTTCAACCCCAAAAAAGGAGAATGCAGCCTGACAGGAAACGGCGTGACATACGGCACACGACGCCCGCCCATTTGATTCCCACCTGCATAAGAACCGCCCAAAAACCCAGGAAACGACCCGTGGCGCCATCTATGTTCTCATATTGAGCGAGTGGGCCGGGATTCTTCCAAAATCTGGATCCTATGGGACTTGTAGTCGCCGTATTGTCGCGTGAAACCATTGGATAACTTCCCCTGTTGTGTATCAACTTACCCCGGACCAGAGAGTACGTCCCCCCGAGCATAACCGTCTTGTTTCAGGTCATAATGTCCTTTCCGAAGATCCAGCCATAATGAGATAATGACTGCCAAATTATGTAAGTTCAGCAGAGGTTGAGAATCAAACAAGATTTCTTCTGCATACATAGTGTTATGATGAGAATAATTTTCCCTGAATGCTTTAGTTAGCCGGTGAGGTACTGATGCGAGTAAAACATTGACACACCAAAAGAAAACCAAAATTCACTCTCGCCATACAAGCGAGCACCGAAGCAATTGATCCCTACAGAGACGACTAGCTGGTTATGCAGTCGGGCGCTCAGGGACCGGGGGGGCTATGCTTTTTGGGAACGACTTGCCATCATGGTCACCCACAGATACACCCTGAATACCATAAGGAAACGTCGTTGTGTTGAGATAAACTGTACTCACAAACGATGATCATCAGTGAAATACTGCATTAACGTCACAGCAGCACTAATTTCCTAGGTGGAGCCAGTCAATGTACGCAAACGATTAAGGGCGTGCAGAGGCGAACAACGTACGGCGGGTAGAATAACTGGCAATGTCACAAAAGTAAGCGGCAATAGTCAGGATCAACCACACGCCTCACTCACTTGCCCAATTGTACCTTTGCAGATAGGGGGTCATAAGGTGGAGGGTCGAATGTCAGAGTTGTCTTATTCCTTACCAAGCGTTCCATCCCATCGCAAAACCTTCAGCATGGAGATGAGCACTGGCCAAACGCTTTAAGAGGTTGAGATACTGACCAAGAGCAGGATCGACATACAAGTCCGCGAGCCTAATTATTCCTATGATTTATATTTGTTATCTATTCCCAAAAGAAAGCACGGTTGTGTACCTCCGACATTTGGGCTTGAAACAAATTGGTCAACGTTGTCAGGGATACCACCAGATAGGAGCCGAGTGGTAAGTACACTTACAGAAAGGACACCATCTCCGCCGCAGATACTACTACTCCGTATACAACAGTTCCCATGATGGTGTAACCCTATGTGCGGAGTGTCAAAAAACACGAGACTGCAAGAGACAACGTAGAATCATACGAGCAGCATCCCCAATGGCCCGCCATGCCGGAGCGCCTGCGCGATTCCTACAAAGACTCCAGTCCCTATGGCCCCGGCCTGAAGAATATTTGTCAAGGATGCGATTACCATATAGGAAAGCTCACCATTGAAATCATGGAGACTATTTCATTTGAAACATGCGATCAATTCCAGACGGACTCAGACTCTGGGGGAGGCCCAAAAGCTCACTGTGTCTATACCAGAAGCCATTAACTGTCAACTTGCGGGAAGTGAGAGCAAAGAACATATGCCAACCTTCGGGACAGTTGCTGGGGCAAATCCTATAAATGGAACAGTGAACAGTGAACAAGCGAGAGCCGGAAGAACTTGGAAACGTGGGATCTTACCATAGTTAACTCATGCCAGTGGCTCTGGTATTGCTCGATTCGTTCTTGGTGACGTTTTTCTGCCGATGGTCCGGGCCCAGGGGCGTCAATTGTGACATGGGTCCGTTGACGAGGCATGGTTCTCCGTCTCTGCATGATTGAGGGTTAGAAGTGAGCTGGGGGGGATAGGGGGGAACTCGAAAGGCGCATGGCTTGTAGCTAATGTAAAGGTGCCTTATCGGAACAGCCGAATATCAAGCCACAGGAGATAAGGCACCTTTCGACACCAATGCGCAGTTCGCTGAACTACTCGGTTCCCTAATCCAAATCTTACAACAATGGCGAACAGCCGGGCACTTGTGTCGATGTCGTGTTTATTCAAATCCTGTATTTATTCGGGAACGCGTTACGTATCAGGTGATGAGCGCTTATATATCAATGACAATTCTGGCACTGAGACCAAACATGCATGACCTGGCATTGACGCGTTTGGCCTCGATTATTATTTACTGCTCCGTGACAATGGGTAGACACCTAAAACAGCGATATATTGATCGCCCAATTTGACCCTGATTTGCTGCCATTTTGGGGCAATCGCCAGATCTGCCGAGGTCGCCTCATCCAAATTGGGATGCAGATGTTTTTGTATTTGCTATAAAACAAAGCCGCCCAGGCACATTATGTAAGTAATCCTGCCCACCACGCTCGCGTTCATGCGACAGACCTTTGTTCTTTGATACTCGCTCCTAGTATGGTGGATTTTTGCCCAATTTTTAGTGGTGATTCGTATAATCAAACGTGCCAGGCCTGTTAGAAGTTGCAGCCCAACGCCACTGGTGGTCAAGGGAGTCACCCGGGCCGGACATTCACGCTTTGGGAAGGGGAGGGGCGCTTTGAGGCACAAACGGCGGCAACCTCTTGGACTCTTTGTTTTTGCGCTTTGCGCTTTTGTTTTCAACTTGTTGTTTACCATTTATGTTTCACCTCAGTGGCGTAAAGTCATTACAAGATGTATATAAGGACCGGACTTGCGCTAGCAGCTGATACCTCACTAATTGAGGTATCGCGCTGCGCAGGCAAGTCCGTCCATCACTACTCATACCTAACTAATTGAGGTATCGCGCTGCGCAGTCATCACAAGGCCCTCTACTGTGCCGCAAACTGTGGGCCCACCATCCCAAGCTACCAAGGTATATGCCCCAATCCTGATGCCTCAGGAATGGGGGTCAGGGTGGCATTCTATTTGCAGGCGCTTATGAACAGTGAGCACTACAGTATCACCATTCACACCACTGCCATTCAATGATAACTTTGGGCGTTACAGCCATCCTTGTCATCGTGTCCCCGAATGAATCTGCGAAAGGCGCCTGGTCTGCTGTCGTGCTTACTGGTAGGCTGTCATTGCCTTGAGAAGTGAACAAGGGAATGATGCTTGTAATCCAACATAGCTGCTCTCATCATCCCCGCTACCATCCAAAAGTATCAGCGGAATCTCTCGTTACATCACGCAACTATTGTCTTAAAGTAAGGGCCATCTCCGTTAAACTCCATGGAAAAACTTTCAAGATATTTCAGTTTTTCTACTCTATCTTGCGTTACTTCACTTGCTGTGGCTCCTATGTGTTCCCTATGGCATCCCCCGTCTCTACCGGTTGGGCCTGGTGCCAGCAGCGAGGGGCATGCTTCCTCCCGCAATGACGGTAGCATTGACGATTACGGTAGTCCGTGGCGCCCGTCGTTGACCACAGATCAAGAGAAACAGAACAAGCGCTCCCGTATCGTGCTGAGCGTAGCACTCCTCCTCCAGGTGTGAATACCGTCGGAGTCATGAGGATCCTCTGGTCGACTCAATTTCTTCCATTCAGATCTCGCTACAATGGTACTGGACTATCAATTTATTCACAAGTCACACGTACGCTCAGCCATGGGCATCGGGGGATACCATCCTTATGTTCTTCGCTTACCCTTTCCGCGTCAGTTCCATTGCTGGTTCCACACCTCACTCGAACGGTCGCGTGTGGTACGGAGTATGGCCTTTATGGCTGAGTTTTTGCCTCCTCGTTACGTCATGCTATGGCATACTATTCGTCCTCCGAGCAACTGAATTTTCAGAAGATGAAGGGATGCTCAGTAGAATGAGTTCGATGCTAACGACTGTGGGAGCAACTACCGCTTCGCTGCCGTCGGAAGCCAATCGGAAGAGCAGTTGGGTGCCGTTCCCTGAGCCGGACGAGAATGACCAGGAAGCGGTTGCACTATGGTATTTACCCCCGGCGGAGAATCGCTTGGCTTGGAGGCTGGAGGTTTCTGGGAAACGTTTATGTAACCGAGTTGTCAAGTGGGCCATCTCCGCTGGCCGGCTCATTGGGAGAATGGTTGGGGCAGCCATGCCCCCAATGGCTTACAACACTGGGTCGAACTTATTATCAATAAAGCGGAGGATTTGGGTTGGAAATTTTCTCGCGTTCTGTACAGTAACCTTTTTCTTAATTGGTGTGTCCCTAAGTGCATCCGTCAGACACATGCTGAATCTCCTGTCTCACAACATCAGTTACTGAAATCCAGATCAATGTCAATAATGTACTTCCAGGAGAAGATAGTGTGTGGAGTCTCGGCCAGGTTTATTTTCTTACCTCGCGAGGCCGTAGCTTTCCTTACATGCAATCTCTCTCCCTTCAACTTAGATGGCAGCTATCCTGCTGGCTCTTACTCCCGCTTGGGAATTATCCACAGAGGTATACATGTATTTCCAAAGGAAGGGGCAGGTGCGGAAGGAAAAGAGCAGAAGGCAGAGAGAGAGGAAAGAAAGGTTTCGCAAGATAGCGGAGACGGTGGCTCGCATGAATCGTATGTCTCTCACGTCTCAACTGCTCATCGACACTCTCACTTGCTGTTCCAATGTAGCTAACAGACCGACGGAACGCCGCCGGTTTGCTTCGGCGCTGAATTTCCCTCCGGCACCTCCCAACTCACGCCGGAGTTCATGGGTGCGCATGACTCGGAGGCATCCCACTTCATCCACGGCAGGCTCGTCAGGTCATACACCGCCATCATCCCCTTGGGAAAGCCCAACTCAAACCCCAGCATCCTCTCGTGATCTCTCGCGGTCACGGTCGTGGCCACGATCCCGAGTCTCTGGGCAACGGTCCGGAACTTTGCCCGACATCTCTCACTCCATTCCCAGCACGACTTCTAAGGATGATTCTGACACCCTACGTCAAACAACCCCACGCGTTAAGTTTCAATCTCCATCACTTCCTAACGTATCACTTCCAGAGGGGGACTATTCCGACCTGCATGACCATGAGTGACCATGAGCCTTGAAGGAAATAATTAAGTAAGCCTGGCACCAGACAAGTGGAACCTGGTACCTACATCAATGGGATGAAGAAGCAAGCAGAGCACTGAAAGCTGCGCTGATGCGAAAGAGGCAACGTCGGGGCTGTCAACATTGACCCGATCAATGGGATCTCAGCACGCATTCTGGTCGACTGGAAGATGTGCCACATTACAAGATTGTTCTTACATGTATCAAAATGAAACATACATTAGCTAGTAATCGCAAATCGCTTGGACCTTTACTGTTCTACATGGATTCAGGGCTGGGGTATCCTCACATATTAGTCTTAAGGACTTAAGACAAGGTGTGAAGGTCAAGAGATACCGGTGATGAGAGGCGAGCTAGATGCCATCCCAGTACGTGTCCAATGTGAACACACAAGGAGTTGTGAATGAAATGTGCCGACACGATGGTCAACCACCACAAAAATCAGGCAAGAGGATTTCACGGAAATGGTATGCTGCTAGATCCCAGCTAGGCCAACCTTTTTCGTCCTTTTCCGGCCGTACCATGTCATACAATGCAAAAAAGGGTTGGTCCCACTGTTTCAACGGATAAAACCCACTATGAAGTTGTGATTCATAGAACACTTTGTGCTTTGGGCCTTGGAGTTGACAATCAACCTGCGGGTCAAAGAGCTATGGATTATTCCATGGGATCTCACCTATCTGTGTTGAAACCTCAAACGTTGCATGAAGCTGCCCGAGCCTGAGACATCTGCTTTCCAGGCGAACGTGGGGTTACCCCGGTTTAAAGTCCAATTAACTCACTACAGGCGGGCGCCCAGAGACGTCTAACATAGGAAAGTTGCGGAGCAAAAGCTTGTTTATTACACTCCGGAATGTAGTGAGTCTGCACTATTACTTACTTGAAACTCATTTAAGCCAGGGAATGGCTGTTCGCCGAAGAATGTCTAGTCAGGTTGAAGACCATGAAATTCACAACCATGTCAGCAAGACAGATACACAACTCACCGGAATACATTCCCCCCCTCGCCTGATCTTAGCTCCAGAGACATTGTGCCACGTATGGGTGAAGACGTTTGACCCGTGGAAAGTCCGCGGTCGTCGTTAATGAGCAACTCGGTGGGTTCGGCCAGTGTTTCATGTTTACAAAAACATTAGGACTCGCCTTGACCATTTTCTGTCCTCTCCGCGGCTGCACACGTATTTCTTACAACTGGACGGAGCTCCTCGTAACAAACCTAGCGTAAAAACGATAAATCGGCAGTCACTCCAAAGAGAAGGTGATAACCTTCGTTAGCCCCCCCAGGAGATTCCCAATCTGCAACATAAACAGTAGAGTAGCCGCACGAGCCAACAAGACACCGGGAGGAGGGAACAAATTGTCCACTGAGATCTTTCACCCTGGCGGCCGCCCCCACGCCCTCTATTAGGGCACTAGACAATTAATGCATTCATCGGGGGGGTTGCAGAACAAATAGGCTTTTCTCTGGGAAGCGTTTGTTGACCACGTCGGACAGCCCATCAACACGTGGATTACAAGCTGATTATCACAAGCAGCAGAGCTCTCAATTCACTCATGACGAAAAAAAGGCGAATTGTTAATTGCAAACCCAGTACTGTCATAAGTTGGCCGACACGGTTCTCAGCGGCGATACTCCAGCGTAGAACTGGCGTTATTGTGATAGCCTGTACGGGTGCTTATAGGTAGTAATGAAAATGAGGATAGCTGGCTCATAACCAAGTGTGATAAAGGCTGACGTAACCGAGAGCAAGACTCCAAGGACAGCTTCCGTCTCACATCTCTTGGAAGCAATGGATGCACGCTGGACATCACCGAATGATTGGAGGTATGTTTCCGAAGGAGGGGCGACGATCGTCTTCTCGTATGTCGGCGCCTATGACCCAAACTTCACTGGCATGGTTCTCCGCATTCGGAAAGTTTCACGAAGTGAAATAAGTCCAGAGGAACTCCTGAAACAGCACGAGAACGAGGACGAAGACTCTCAATACGCAGCCGAAGATGATGATCCTACCGTTGCTTTTCAGTCGCGGATCATCTCACGCCTTGTGCCGTCGGAGCACCTCCCCCGCCTTGAATCGTGCCGTGTCAGCCTTGCTTTCCTCTCGAAGCTCTCACTTTACTCTCAGTCTTATCGCCCTTTGGAGAGAATAGCCCGAGACTCGATTGACACTCGTAAACGACGGGCTGTCCTTGCTACCGATCTCGTTGGCGCTGGTGCGGGAGGCTTTGCAGTCGAAATTAAGCCCAAATGGGCATTCCTACCTAATCCCAAATACCTCTCCTTGGCCACCAAAGAGGTCAAGCTAGCATATAGCCGATTTGTTATGCATTCCCATTATCGGTCTTTACGAGAGCAATCAGTGGCTGAGAAGGTGCCGCCCGTTACCGATTATGATCCACTTGATCTCTTTTCTGGTGATGAAAAACGAGTCGAAATGGCGGTTGAGGCTTTATGGGCTTCATGGGTCGCCAGTAATGGGGCAGTGAATAATCTCAGGGTATTCCTGGATGGGAAGATGATCAAACCCAATGATGAGGCAAGCTTTCCCTACCTTGTTCGAGGGTTTCACGACACTGAGCCATCATTCAGGGGGCTTATCAATCACTATCCAAGCTCCTAGCAATCGACTCCGCACTATCATCTTCAGAAGCCCCCCGTCAGCCGTTCATTCAAGCCTTACTTCCACTCCTCCTACGAAAGCCATTACTAAAAATACTGGAGACTCTTCAGCGGACACTCGATTCGCTAGACATAGAAGGTCTATTGATACTTTGGGATCGGGCCCATGCGGCTTCTAATCCACCACCACAACTAGGTGAAGGCGAGCCGGAGCCTACCCTCTTTGAATGGGAATCATTCGTGGATGAATATCTGCCCCGCACAGGGGGTGGTGCGGTACCGGGGTTAGACAACTTGGACTTGCTCCCAGCTGTTTCCGACCTCCGTTATCATATGCTTGCGTACCTTATGTCTGCCACTTTCAAAGATTGTTCTGTCATCCTCCGATTCCCCTCACTAGAAGCTAGGGACTTGGAGCCTTGTATAACAGTCATCGATCTGGACCCCAAGTCAGTCGCAAGGTTGCATAAGTGGGCCCAGTTGGATAGGGAAATCGCAGAGACTTACTCTGAGCACGTCGCGAAGCAAAAGGGGTGAATATGGACCACTCCGCTTGTTGCCCATGACGTCAGCTAACCTAGTCCCCTGTAGATCTGGTGACTGAATGTTGATTGGGACATACTTGGGGGAGCCCTGTAGTGCATGTCAAATAGCTGTTTAACAGACCCCCATAATCCTGACTGAGAGTGCGCGAAGACAAACAACCGAATTAACTGAAGAACATCCTGCCGAAGCTTATGCTAGTTAAGGTGTGCCCGACCTTAAAGTACTGCATCGTTCAATGCATTCGAAGTGAGACTAAAACGGATTCCGTAACACACTGCTCGCAATAAATGAGGCTAGAAATCATATGTGTAGCAGGTAGGAAGCATGCCTGCAAGAATGAGTACACACAGTGAGTGAATGAGTGCGGCAAAGAAATCGACGACTTGACGAGGTGGTAAAAGCGACGATACTAGCAGTGGTAAGCAATTTGGATACTGCGTGGATCTAAGACAGGTCGGCTCTCGCTAAACGCAGAATGAAGAAACAAGCAGCCCAGGCAACAAATGTAAGCTTAATGTAATCCCATAGTGGGAGTTAGATGCCCCGGGTTGCGATTATGCTGAATTGAGCCAACATACAACCTAGGGTCGATGCGTGTAAGATGAGAACGAATTTCCATGGATCCAGGAAAAGGCAGGTACGTGCAAAAAAGGAAAACGTAAGGGAGAAGGCAAATGCAATCTCCCGACTAGCATGGACACCGTCTAGGATAAGTACCCCAAACGGAGCGCTGTGTGTACACTGAAAGCCAACGGCGAGTGGGGAATCAACAGGAAGTCCCAGACGAGAGGTCAACAATGCAGGGCAGAGGCATCTTCAAGAGGACTCCAGTGCTAGATCTGGCTACTATGGGCGCTAAAATAGGGGACTAATTGCTTCCCGATCTGGAGCCAAGTGTTAGGGACGTCCAGGGCTTCCAAGAGGGAAGTTCGTTGTGGCGGAGGAAAGTCGTGACCGAATGTTTGTTGCATCCACAAGCCAGTCGCTAAACAACATGCGATATGTAGCACCCACAAAGACTGGGGACTAGGAATTAGGGGTGCCACGGTTCGGTTCTGAGGCGGGTGTTGAGAACCAGAACCGAAGCAGTATCTGAACCGAACTTAACCGAACCGCAGTTCAGTTCTCTTGCGATTCGGTTCGCGCGGTCAACAAACGAAGCAGCCAGCTCACACCATTAATATTATGATGATATATAACAAAACGTGCAAGGACCCCCATGATTTCCAGTAGCTTGAGTCATGGGTAGCGTATACGCTAATTATCCGAAGCTTTCGACACAACTGCTCGCCTTAAGCCACAACAGGGTTCAGCGACGGTTGCGAGACGTTGGTAGATGTCTATCCCAGGAATTTGACTGGCATTTCATTAGAAGGCATCAGGCGCACAGGGACCTTCGGATTCGATTCTTTCTAACAACCCACTCGAACCGCGCATTTACCCCTATGGGTTCTCTTGAACGTCGACATTCTCTTGCGTCACAGTCCTCCTAAACAAATGTGACGCATCATTATATCTAATCACAATGCCAAGCCACTCCGCATCTTCAGGACCTCGCGGAGAAGGCGCAGGGCCCATGGCTAGCTCAGTTACGCTCGTGTTCAGCAATCCCCCGAATTGCCTGAAATTCCTCTCTGGAGGTGGTGCCCTAAAGCCAATCGAGTATAAAGCGTTCATTAAGGTGCTGATAGATGCTCCGTGTGAAACAACTAGGACGTGGCAAATCGAAGGCGCGTCCGGGGATACTAGGAGGCTGAACAAGTTTTGGCTCCACCAGGTGAAAAGCCGAGCGAGCAGCGACTGGGAAGTCTCGACGGTAGAGTCATTTGGAGGGCGTTTCTTCCTGTCCAAGACCTGGACACCTTCAAGGTTCCCCATATACTGTCGGACAACGAAACATCAGTATTGATCTATTCAACGATGAGAGAAACTCGAGGGGCGCTCACTCGTTCCCTAAGATCTTTAGTAGCTATCAATGGCACGTTAGGATGGTGGACAAGTATAGCTCTAGCAGTCTGAACGTCATCCTAGCTCATTCAATCGGCACCAAGTCAATCCAGGGAAATGCCTCACGTCTACTGCTCGAGTCAGATCGCTCGTGTATGCATGAGTAAAAGGTACATTTTTGAGGACGTTGCCAACAATGATCGCCTGTTCGCGGCCAGCGGCGTTCAATGAAGTATTCAGTTGTCCCTGGATAATGCGATTTGCGTTCGCGTCTATGACAAGCTTGAATCAGGCTCTTGCACAAGGAAAAAGGCCACTCACCAGTTTCTCCATGTCTTAGGACATAAACTTTCACGATTGTCATCCTGATTATTAGAAAAGGGGTTGGTCAAATTGGAGCAGCCAACGTTTTAGCTAGCGTTGCATGATGTTGTGCTCAGTACAAATGCGGAAGTTCTCACGGATTGAAAGGCTAAACTCCGGTGGTGAGAGCTAGGCCGGTACGTACTTTCATCAAGAGTTTGATGGCTAGCCTAATTATGAGGCAATTCCCCAAGTTTGCGTATTACCTCTGTGCCTCTAGGGTGGTGTCCTGTCTAAGGGTTGCTGGCATGATCGCCTACAACGAAGCCATCATTAATTGAGCAATATCTTCTGAAGTCATAGGATGCGCTCATTAAAGGGCCCTTGAAACACGTTGCATAACTATGTACGTAGTCTTACCCATTTGCCGCCACACAGACAACTGTGCTCCCATTCATCCTCATGATTCCCCCATCTAGGCCCAAATCTGAGGTTAGCCCTAGTTCTCTCGTCCGGCCACCGCACCTCCGCTTTAGATCCGCAACGTACACAGATTCTGACATTTCCAGGGGAACCTTTCCCAGAGTCAGGGTGAGTGGAGCTGAAGTTCAGCCCTATCACGGATGCGGGGGCCGTTCCAAACTTGAATAAGTTATCTTTGCTGTCAGAAATGACAAGGGCGTTTTTCGCCAGCACATCTTTATCGCCATATTTCTCAGGATCTGCACGCCGTATTACAGCCTGAGGTACGTCGAGCAGCTCGTCTGTGCGGATGAGAAGGGATGTCGCGGCACCAGGACGTTGTAAGATCGCATGCTGCACCACAGCCGTAGCTTGTATTTGAAGTAAGGAATGTAATGAGCCATGTGTGGGAGCATCGTGTATGAGTAGTTCAAGTATCACTTTTCTATCAGAAAGGCCTGGATGAAGTGTCAGAAAGCGCAGGAGGAACATTATTCGTGGTCGGACTCAACTGATGGATGCCTTAGATACATTTTCATTGAGTATTTTAAGCAGATCGAGGAAGTGGGAGAAGTCCAATGGACTCGTGTCATATCTCGAATTGAGTCTCTCCTTCGCAAAAATGACCAATGGCGTTAGAAAGCGCAATTGCTTCATGTGTTCCCAAACCACGCTGAAAAGTGTTTGAACGGTTAACATCATTGACAACATGTGAGGGAGAATCAAGAGTGGCAGAAGGGGATCTAAAAACAACTGGCAGATCAGTTTGGGTAAACGGACCATCGGGGAAACACTAACAGTGGTCGTCGATCCCGGATCTCGACTCGGCGTCATCAGCACCGGATGTCCATGCTATACTCGCATGCCACCTTAAAGCTTCTCGCACCAGTGACTCCATAGTTTCAATCCACCAAGCCGATAGGGTGAGCAGTTCCCATAAGGCGACTAAGCATGACAGAGGGGAACCCCTGTAAAAATCGTCAACGGGAACGATGGAGCAGCTCACTAACAGTTGTCCAGCTTCCCAGATGGGAAGCATTCCTGAAGACCTGTCTCTAATGTAATGATTTCGCACAGAGCAAAGCAAGTCTTCCACCGCTTTGCAACATCAGAATCCGGACATTGTCTACGCAAGCACCAGTAAGGCAATGGATACATGAAAAAAGAACCTCGTACCTCAAACAATCCACCATCAACCCCAGAATGTCTGCAGGTAAATCAGGGACCTTTGTTGGCTTCACGTCTGCCTTGCTGGTCTTCCGTTTATCCAAAGACGCGCGCGTCTCATCCAGTGTATCCAGAGTGTTGCTCACAAGGGATGCCATATCCCCAACTTTAAAGTACTTCCAGAAGACTTGGACAATATCTGTAGGGTCTCCATCTTCCAAGATACACCGGGCCAATTTGATACCAAGATCACTCAACAATTGTCCATGTGCGGCTGGAGCAGGAATTACTGAAAGACGGTGTGGGGGAAAGACCCATCTCTGACTGCGATCAAGGTCTCAGCGGGGGATACGACAAATGTAGATGGATCTGTGAAAGGAAATGAGCAGAATACCGAGGAGATTCAGTTGACATACACTTCAAATCCCTCTCGCTCGGTCTATCGGCAATTACAACTGCCTCGACTTCTTCCATTGCATTCGGTCTAGAGACCACTCAATTGAGCACATTAACTTCTCGAAGACAAAAATAAACCCACAATTTTATTCGTCTCAGATGACCAGCCGCTAACGATCTCGACTTCCCCTTCCGCCTCGGTGAAGGATTGACTGACAAAGGTTCATCCATTCCGCCAACAGACAGCACGAATAAATCATTTCCATCCGAGGATCCACGCATCGCCGAAACCCATTCACCAATTGACAACATGAACTCGGTTGGAGACGTGAGAACCTTCAGAATAACAGATGGGAGCCGAGCCGTGGAGGTGATTGATCAAACCCACCCATGGAGGAGACTCATTCATAGGGAAGCTATCTGGTGCCTTTGGCAGTTTTTCTGTCCGATGGATCTTCCACTCTTTTATCTTACTTCGTCCAGAAGGCGAATCTGCTCAATACATCAGACCGCCGAAAGGTTCACTTCATTCGTCACCTACCATCTGCCATTGCCACTAATAGGCACATGCCAGGGTTGGGAGTAGATGGGCCTGAAGGGCCATTCAACAGAAGGATGTCGGTAACTCGACTGATCGAAGGAGAAAAGTAGTCCTGGGCTAAGGGATTATCTGTACCGATCCGCGGTGAAAACAACGGAACAGAGAAGATAGGCGAAGAAGCCACGCCTATCAGTCCAACAAGATGTGCTACTTAAGAAGGGCAGGGAGCGATTGATACCGGACATACTCCTTAGGGTATTCAAGAGATCGACCTTGATCTCGCAAATGTCAATCACATCTCGCAAGCCGTAATCATTCCATTCCGCAAGACACGGATGTAGAAAGGATCCAGCCACCGGAGCGGGATTTAATTCAAATGTGAGGGCGCCCAGATCTTGCGGGCGCCCACACGTTGGTATAGTTTGCGACTGAGTGGCCACCAAAATGGACGATTCTGTAAGCAAAAACGCGGTATCAACCTGATTCTCGTCGGAACAAGCTTCTAAATATCAAACCATCAAAGGAAACACCAATTGATGCCTTAACACACATCAATTGCCCTAATCCGTCGTCGGAAGCGTTCAGAAGCGCAAGGTCCGGCGACTCTTTTGTCTGGCCTGGTCTTGTTATGGGTACTCGAAGGTGCTTAAAGCAGGACTGGGGTTCTGATGTTGGCCTTGTATCAGTGGGGGGTAAGATGTTTTCAAATGAAGCTGAGCTTCCATCATTTTCGTGATTAAAATCAACGCCGGAACCCCAGCAGTCTTTGGGCCTTTCACTGGTGTACGAACCAACTTTCTACCTTCTGACAGGTCTGGAGCAGCCGACCACTCAACAAAACCATTGGGATCATCTCAACCATACTAAAACCGTGTGGACTCACAATTCGCTCACCGCCAATCCAGCGGCTCGCCACGACCTCGTTACCACGCTCCAACTTCCATGAATCTTCGATTGTATATGTAGCAACATCTCTGCCTCGGCTCCACACACAGGCTACCCCGCCCTCAACGCTGAGGGGTGAAGGCGGAAAGAACGCAAACATATGGGAATCGTCTGAAGAAACGGCGATACAGATCGGAGGTTTATAGAATGCCGCAGATGTTGCAACAACAGGTGGTGATGGGAGATCAAATTTTTTCAAAGGGAATGACTTGGATTGCCTCGAAATGAACTGTGCATGGATTTGTGGGAGATTCGGATGGGAAGTGAGTAACACATTGGAACGCGTCCATAGGATGGAGCTTTGGGGCTGGATGAATGGCTAGGTACGGAGGCAAGACACTGAGGCTTACCCTATATCCTCCGGCTCTGTACCTGTGTATTGTTCGGCTCCCATTCCTTCACTTCGGTGCAAGGCCGCGCTATGACGCGCCCGGCGCTATTTGAGGGTGGGAGGTCGGATGCATCCGTTGAATTGCGTTGGTGACCCAACTGCCAGTGGTGACTGTCAGAGTGGCAGTCTGGCAGACACTGCGAATAGGTACTCCCCCGACAGCATCCACTGGTCCTATTGAATCCGTTGCAGATCGAGAAGTCTCCAAAATGGTCTGAGCGCTTCCGCCTTCTTTTCCCTCGTTGGGTTTGCACGACTTTTTCCTGACCTACTTCCTTTGGCGTTGCCTCCTTGACCAGTTCCGCTGGACCGCCCCTCCAATTAATGGAGGAGGTAAATACCAAGGAAGATTGGGGCGAGCTTATCGATATAAGGCCGGTATTGCTCTAGAGATGTTTTCTGCATGCCTGATCGCGATGGCGGTGTCATGAATCGATCTAGAATATGGTAGAAACAGTTTTGGGGCTCTTCCCACCAATGGGGGATACCCAGTGGACCGTACGATGATATTTCCTCCACGCGCAAGAACCATTTCCTCTCCCGTGCCGTTTGACTGGTTAAGCGCCCACTAGTGCCCTTGATCTCATCTCTGAGTTCGATGGCGGTGTTTTGCCATGGCATATCGTCAACAAGGTCACCGAAGTCGACAAATCGGCTCGGAAGGATGTCTTCCCATAGATGCGGTGGGAAGTCTGGCTGACTCGTGAAGGTTTCGTACGCGCACGCTCTATGTCAGTGACATAGATGTTCCGGAGTCTTTCTGAACGCTTGGGGATACAATCTCTTCGGCGGGGCTCTAGCTGCACCAGTGAAGCGCAAGTTCTAAGTGTAATCAGTTCGATGGGCTTCCCCGCTCGTTGCTAACCTGGTCGGGCAAGGTCCTGGTTGACTCTTCCTAGAACGAGATTTACCAGTCGTGCCAGAGGAACCACTGTCCAAGCCACCGAATTCAGCGGGCCCGGACTCCAAAACTGACTGTAGCAGCTCAGTGCCAGGATTGTACATTGGTATGACGCAAGTTCCTGGGATACTCCTACCCATTGCACCGATGCCACATAGTTTGGGAATAATGGGAATAATGCTCAATTCAATGAGGCTCAAAAATCTATCTCATTGTCGTCGAGATTCTGGAGAGGCTTTATTTCGATGAAGATGGGACTCTTCAATGTATATGGTTGTGAAATCCGGCGAACTGGGAAAAACAGGTGTTCAGCGCAAGGGAATTGATCTGTTAGCAGAATGTTGTAAAGGCCACAGGATTCGTTTTCATTCATCGTAGAGCGATCGATGAGCTCAAACTGACGGCATCGTTCCAAGTCATATCTGTCGCTTTGTCAGTGAAGTACATAAAGGATTGGCATCGGGGATAACCGCAAGGTGGCACCCGTTAAACGAGGAACGGGCGCAGGACAGCAGGGGGTGTGGGACACGTGGATGAGACAAGATTTAGATCGATGCTCAGTGCAAACTCCGTGCGAATCTGATGCCCGATAAACCCCATACCCCGCGTCAATAGGACGTTAATTTTCATGTGGGGAGTTTGCGTGCCCGCGGTTCAATGATTTTTCCGGGACATAAGTGCTGCTTCTACTTCGTTGAGCAGCTCTGTCCAACCACTCGTTCCTGTCGGGGTATCACTGATCACCCGACCCGGCCTGCGCACGTCCCCCGCGCGGGAATATAGTCTAAAGGACTTTGCCAGCCCTAATATGGATTAAAACTTGCGTTGATGTCGGTGCTTGGACAACATGGAGCCCTGAGAGCCAGGTGAGAGCATCATTCTGAGTGGTGAAACCTCCGATTATCAATGATGCTTCGCTGAAGTATGACGAATGGACTTATAATTTCGTTGTTTGATTCTTTATTTTCGCGTATTTGTTCCGATGATCCTCCTTGGCGCTTCTCACGAGCAGCCTAGTCATTACCTAGTCATCTGCCTATAACAACAGGCGCCAAGATGTCGATGCTTAAAAAGAAGGTTTGAATATACACCGTCCCTTGCACAAAAAACACTCTGACCAAGTGCTTAAGGTTCTACTTATGGGACGCTCAGGTTCGAGCAAATATTTCAGGAGCCCGATCTTCTCCTGAGCTGATGACGTCGCTAACAAGACAGGGAGTGGCAAGACTTCCATGCGTTCCATCATATTGTAAGCATGGAGGAAATGTTGACCAGCTGCTCTCGATTACTTATCGCACACTTGCGCCCTCTCTCAGCTCAAACAACCTTGCTTCGGCAACCTCTCGTTTTGGACCTACCATCGACGTCGAAATGAATCATGTTAGATTCTTCGGTTCCCTCACTCTGAATCTTTGGGACTGTGGAGGTCAAGAGGCCTTTATGGACTCGTTTCTCGCTTCCCAACGGAACACCGTATTTCGGGATGTCGGCGTGCTCATATACGTTTTCGACATTGAAACTAAGGACTTTGAGCGGGACGTCTTGTATTACATCGAATGTCTGGAGGCGTGCAAAAAGAACAGTCCTGAAGCTGGGATATTCGTGCTTATTCACAAGATGGACCTTGTTTATGGGGGGAAGAAAGAGAAGGATCGTGCATTCGGTGCGAAGAAACGGGAATTGGACAAATACAGTGGGAACACTTTGATCAGGATGTTCGCAACGAGTATCTGGGACGAATCTTTATACAAGGTTTGTTCATCGCATCGATACCCTTAAAGGATCACTGATTCCAAAGTATCCACGATCACTCAAACTCGAATGCAGGCATGGTCTCGGATAGTTCACACTCTCATACCAAACGCACCGCAACTATCCGAGCATCTGACGACGTTCTGCTCGATATGCTCCGCCACAGAAGTCGTTCTCTTCGAACGAAACACCTTCCTCATCATCGCCCGCAGTGGAAAGTATACAGGCAACCTTGACGATTTCTTCCCACCCGATCCGGCCCCAGGGGCCGAAGAGGAAGAACTGAACCCAGGCCGATTCGAGAAGATGAGCGAACTCATTAAAACCTTCAAACACTCTTGCAGGTCCGTCCGTGGTTCTTACACGTTGCTCACCCAAGACTCATCTGACCATGTATCAGTCGACTCCAGGAACAATTCCACTCGCTTGAAATCCGATTCAGCAACTTCACAGCCGTACTCGAGCTGATGACCAGCAACACTTATGTAATGGCAGTGGTTGCTGACACTGACGTCCGTGAGTCATCGCAGCGATGCCTCCACTACCCTCATCTGACAAGCTATGATTAGAAACAGCAACGTTGCGGCTCAACATTCGCCTTGCTCGGGAACGATTCGAAGAATTACAGCAGGGCATGCTGACTTGAGGACGGGAAACTTTTCTGTTTGATTTTATATCCTCCTTTGATTGGTATACGCGGTACATACCATTACTGTAAACCACAATAGTGGAATGAAGTAACGACAAGCACAGCAGAAGCAAGTTATCAGCACAGGAACGAGGCGGTAGAAATGAGCGCTGGGTCGAAGAAGAAAATAAGAACTAGACGACTGAGTATACTTTGCAGCATTTCGCCTTGAACCCTCCAAATTTACGAGGCGAAAGAGCGTGGAAGGCAGTAATCAAGATAAAGACGAAAACAAGACAGGACGCATCATAAGTGCCCAAAGGCCACGGCCCACAAATACCTCCAAATGTGACTCCGTTCAGAAAATCAGCCAGACTCCAAGGAAACCAGTAGTAGAGCGGCACAAAGAACCAGAAGCCCCCTTTCAGTGAAGCAAGGGGCATTTTATTTTACTTTTAAGAAACCCAAACTATTCGGTGCCAAAAGTAACATGTATTAGTAAAGCGTTAGATGAGAATATACGAGTTTTTTAAGTGTCCAATTAAAGTCCGATGTCAGTGGTAGAAGATGTCCGTGGTGTCGTGGCGTGCAATGCGACGCGGGATGTCAACCAAGACATTAAAGAACGGAAACTGAGTCAGTGGATGTTTGACATCCCGTCATGGGAGAGGAGTGGAACGACTCACATGCGAGTGCAATAACAATGTAGAGGGTGACCAGCCTGTGTTCGGTTAGTCAATGCAGGATCAAGCAAACGAATGAACGTACATTAAACCCTCCATATAATTCGACTTCCCATCCCTAGACAAGATATGTAAGTTATTTGGACGGGTGTATTGAATCTGGGGCCACTAACTGAATAAGAAGGTTGACCAGGAAGACGCTGACAAAGAGCGATACAGTCTGGGGAACGAGTCGCATCAATTTCACGCCCCACACGATAGTTCAGATCCTCACTTCGAAATGTGCGAAGAAAAGCGTCAAGTCGCGGTGGATTCTGAGAAAAGTCGCATGAGACCTGGGAGGATGCATTTCAGCGTTAAACCGGAAACTTACATCCATCCAATTATGACGAGTAGAGGGACGACAAAAGTAGCGATTTGCTATAATGAATGTTGGGGCCCAGCAGTTGAGCGTCAAAAGCTGCTAACATCTTGGCTGGAGAACGTACGATTGAGCTGCCAACGCTAATACCTATCGTCAGCTCCATTTTCCCCTTCATGGCCATCCAGACACTTGTGACATGCTCCGCCGCATTTGCCTGTAGGTTGCCAATTTAAATAACGTAGTCCACGATGATGGTGGATCATTGCTACACACCACTAACGGGATAAGGATAAGACCAATGAAAGGTTTGGGGATCGAGTATTTGTTAGCAGTCTCTTCAATAGAAGCAACAACTGTATAAAGAAATAATCATGAAGCTATTACCGTGCAAGAATCGAAAAGGATGTGCTCACGCCAATCAGCGCAGAAAGAGGTAACGATCGTGACGACAAGAAGTCTATGATGGGGAGAGGAAGAACGTATTCAAAATATTGGCACGGATTGGTGCTGCGAAATGACTCACGAAACGCCGGCAGACACCATATTCATTTGTGCAACTTCGTGTTCCTCTTCCACCTCAGGCTGCCCCCTCTCGCTCTCGGGCTCGGGCAGGAACAGGCTAGCATGAGTCTTTAACTGGAAGATCAAGTACGCAACGTAGACGCCCAAAAGCAGCAAGGACGTTCCGCGGGAGATCACCAGCAGACCCGAGTAACCTGGATCGCCCGGTCTAGGAGATCCATCTTTGAGGATGAAGTCGATTGATTCTAATCCTTCAGCACTTTTAACCGCATGATAGGCAGCCGGAATGATCAGAGCTGTTCAAAATAAGACCACGTTCAGCACGTGTTTTCCCGCTCCTGCGTGTCACAGCAGCAGACACCCACTGATGCATGCGAGGGACATCAATGAAGCCGACGTTTGTGCTGCAGTCTTCCGGAAATAACTCTGGTCTTGCTTGAGGCCCGCCGCGAGGAAAGACATCCCCAAGACAAGGAGCAAATTACTGAGAATGCTGCCTAACATCTGCATGCCACAAAGATATCCGAAACGTCAAATGAGTAGGCGCTTTCTGAGCACATGGTTGCAAGTGAACCCACCGAGGTCTGGACGATCCTGAGCTCATCTGGGGTGGGGATGGTCAGCAACAAGAGAGCGAATACAAGTGTCCAGCCCGACCTTGCAGCAGAGCGGTAATCCCTACAATGATTTCAACCTGCCAAGGGAGGCGATCGTTCGCCGTGATTCGTGTGATACCGAGTCCAAGTGCTTACGGCATTCCCAAAACTTGCGTTCAGCAAACCCCCCAAAGTGGGACCTTTGGGGCAAGGGTGTCAGAACTTTGGGAAATCACTCAATTGATAAGCTTCGACTCACCCAGTTTGATTGAGAGTTGTTCTGGCAGAATGGGCGATCGTCACTGAGCAGGAATGGTGCGCTATGCATGCGAGAGAAGCTCACCTGTAGCATCACCCAAAAGTTTGGCTGAGATTATGAGGGGGAAGGGGCCACGTCAGAGGTTACGAAACGGTACGCAAAAGTTCTTCCGACGTACCTAGAGGCATTATGGCGATGAATGAGAAACCAAACCGTAGCCCAGCATCCCAGTCCAAGTAGTGACAGATGGCGCCCAAGGGGACGAACACTAGTAGGATGTTCTGAAGTGAGCAATTCAACCAACAACCACATCGTGAGACATCATTGTCGGTTGGCCAGAAAAAAAAGTGGCTTGCGTACCATCCAACCACTAAAAAGATAAAAATTTATGGATTGGGTCCATGATGGCTCGCCTTCAGCCTTGATACGGGCCAAGAGGCGAGACCTGAAGTTGGAGGCTCGGGGACGGTGATTCTCGAGAAGGGGCAATGTCTCCGGTTGTGCTGTGGCATTGAGGAGATCGTAAGTCCCCATCTGGGTATAGTATGTGTGAGGGTGCGCAGCGTCTTACAGGACATGATAAATGAAAAGTAGGGGGGGTTTTATGAGGGTAAAAGCGGTGTGGGCCCGCGTTTCCCGGCTTCCTTTTGGAGTGGAACATAATGTCTTGGCGTTTGTGCACAGCCTCAAATCCCCTTGCAAAGCAATAACAAACAATATATCAACAGTCATGATTTTATGTGTCGCCACCCAAAGCCACATGAATTAATCAGATCTGCAACGGGGGGGTACAGCTGTCGCTGTCGTTGCGCGAAGTCTGATGGTTGGCTATGACTAACAACCAATGACAGAATCACAACATCGGCATGGTGTGCCGACCTACCGCGCCTAAGTTGCGTTTAAGGCAAATTGAAAGTGACAAAGCAAAATTAATGATCCCTTATCGCGCCTACTCGCAATCGTGGAGGCGCTTCAGCGCCAAGGCCCAGTGCCAGCGTAACCTACAAGCGAACGACGGAATGGCCCAAAGCGGGTGAACGTGTCATCCTTGCGGCCTTTCTGCCGGAGATACCCGGGTCCAAGCAGATATGTATGTCATAACAACTCAGGTTGTTGCCGATCAGAGTGTTCATTCCTACTACATAGTCCAACAGCGTGGCGGATGAGTGAACTTCCGCCATCGCTAGGTTTAATAATTGACAAGACCCGGCTGTTGGATACGGGCTGTTTCCGGGAGTAATTTCCGGACACTTCCGCAGGCGGAGATTACACTAGTCCACACATGTTCCTTCCGAAATCGGAGGACATTCTGTGGCGAATTCGGATAACTCCGCAATTTGAATATTTGGCCGCCAAAGCATCGCAATAGCCTACTAAGCCTTAGGCAGGTTACCAGCCTCTATTAGAATAGACTAAGCCTCCACCAAGCCTCCACACACATACCCCGCTCCGTGTGTTTTCCGGGGAGGATATTCAACAAGGCGATAGCAACCAAAGCCGCGCGCTTCCTTCTGAACCACCGCTCGCACTCTAAAGCGCTACCTCGAAATTTGCAGCCATCTCACTGCATCAGCTCACGGGATTCATGATTCCCCTTTAACAGTGCTTATCACAGACTTCTGTGCAAATACGGATTGTTTAACTAACCCTATGCTTAAATACCGCAGTACTTGAGTCCGATTTGGAAACAGAGATGAGTTCCTGTGTTCCCGCGCGGATTCTTGGGTTTGTTCTTGTACCGCTAATTTGGCATGACAATTTATGATCGATTCAATTTCACAGCTCATGGAGGGAAACCGGAAAGGATCGCCATTTCACACCCACACACATACAAGGAAGCGCGCGCGAGCAATTTCCAACTAACTTGGAAATGTTGAATAAGCTCCTAGTCCTTCCCTTTCATGCTGACATCCTGCACGAAAAAGAGGAGTCATCATATTACTCACCGATGTTTCATGAGTAATTCTCTTCACGTGTGGCCTGTGCGATTTCCCATACCTGTGGAACTCCTCGTTTTCAGCTCTCTCAAGCCTGATGGACAAATCCATGAATTTTGTGGGTCTATCTAGCTAGAGTGCTCGCTGCGCTGCACACCGGAATCCCAAGCAACTGGGAGAAAAGTTCGAGAATGAATGGTACGATATCATGGTACGTTGAATGATGAGCAAAGCTACACACAAAGCAGAGCGAGCGTGCCACTCAGAGGCCCATCCCTCATTAATACAAAGGAAACTCGCACCTTCTGCTAGTTAGCCGTACGGGTCTGCGACTCAACTTTATCGAGGTCACTGACCTCAGGCTTTTGATCCGGCGTGCTCTTTCACTCTCCTTGAATGGGCAGCGCGTTCCTTTTCCTGTCGACTCTGCTGTCGGTATATAACAGGTAACAAATTTCCCTGGAAACCGCACGGTAGGTGGATGGCGATCGAGCCAATCATCAACAGTATAGTAACCATGAAGCATCCTTTAGGGTGAAGACTGCGAGGGCGAAGGACTTGGTCCTTTGCCAACGTGTCCTCGTGGGTCATTGAACAGTCTCTGTTATGTCGCATAAGTGGTAACGCCATCATTTGACCCACAGGAGGTGCGTGAGGGGTGAGTGTGGTCGTACGTGCGTACGATTGAGAAGTGAGAACCACTGCATGCACACGGGTGGCCAGGGCCTTTCCGTGCGGTTCTTTCGCGCTGCTTTACAAGGTTTTCCAACTTTTGTTCGTGCAGTGGAAACCTGCTATACGCTGCACTGATTTCGATCGATACAAATCAAGTGGGGTGGCTTAAGGCTTCGTTCGGTATGGAGAAACAGGTTTCTTTGGTCTGTTTCTTCCTGTTTCTTAATACAAAAATTGCGTGTTTCTTTAGGTAGAAGAAATGAGAGAGAATATTGAATTGAAAAACTGGAAGAAACAGGCCTGTTTCTTCATACCGAACGAAGCCTAAATATTTACTGAATTTTACTCGGCCACGGGCCCTCGCGAAACTTGTCAGCCAGAATTCGGCGCGAGCATGGAGTTGTGAAGCAATAGAAAATGTCCTGGAAATTCTGATAGTGTGGATTTTTGGCTCCAATGTCACCGTGTGCTGATGTGCTGGTGGAGAGGTGGAATGAAATACGACGCATAGTAACACCGGCAAGTTCATAGTGAAGATAAAGGATCGTGTTTGAGCATTGAAAGAGGCTTCCAAGTAATGTAGAATCGTCGATCACGCCCCGGCGCATGTCAGGACAGCTCGAGCCCTGTCCCATCAAAAAACCCTCTTTCACATAAGTTAAAGATGACGTTGAGGATGTTCAGAGACTTTACGCCATGGAGAGCCAATGACATAGACAGACGAAAAGGGATTCTATTGAGGTACAACGTTGTAGAAAAGGGCGGGTGACAGGGTTTGAACTGAAACGAAAAGATCCTCCGGAAGAAAATAGTCAGAATCGCCGGCAATCTCCTGAAAATCCAACCTAGATCGCGTCCACACTGGGGCATGGCGTTACAGTGCGGTCCCGAGCGGGAGGAAGCCGTTCCCAAACGAGGCACCGACTTTAGATATCGGGACCTCTACGTGTTTTGGTTTGCTCCTGCAAAAACAGCATTGCAGCGTCATACCATCAGTCAATCAGCTAGCTTGGACAGTTCTACCACTTACGAAGGCGAGTCGATCGTATGATCAGCTTTGCCTGGTGAAACAGTGAGCCTGGACATCCCGATCTAAGACTTTTTGCTGGCAGAAGAGACTAACCTTCTGCGCCTTTCTTCACGCCTGATCCGCCTCCTGATCCGTTGGCAGATCAAGCACACCCGTGCGTGGAAGTATTGCCACTAGTGCAGTATATGTTTGTCAGTAAGAAACGTACGAAAAAAGGCAGAAGAGGTTTGCATTACTGACACGGTATTCGTTGACCACTTCGTTGGGCATATTTGGGAACAGCACCTCAATAGGCGCTTGTACCACGGTTTGGAGAGCCCAATCGGGCTCTAGGACATGTTCATGGCCGCTACACTGAGCGAGCCATGCCGGGTAGAAAAAACCCGGTGGAGGCACATTGGCCTCCATATGTCCATCTTGACTGTAAAACTGAAGGTTAAGAAGTTGGAGAAGGAAAAGAGTGTTCAATTACCGTGGCGCTCGTGCAGTGCCTTGTCCTGAAGGCAGCATTCTACTGATCGTGCACGATTGAAATTATCATCAGTTCCCCAAAATCGACAAACTGTGGTTGTAGGATGAACTCTCACAGTTGGATTGGTTTTGGTGTAGTTGATGTTTGAGTTGAGTATGATGCCGTCCAGCTAGTCAACAGGGGTGTGCGTGTTCAATCAGATTCCAACGGACGCGGTTGGGGAGTCAGAGCAGATGTGCTCACAGAAAAACAACGTTGCTCTGCGATAATCACCCCGTCCACTGGAGCGTTTTCTAGAGAAGTTCCAGCAGTCAACAACGAGGAGGGTTTGGAAGGGAAGAAGGGGGGGCGTTGGATGTAGATCCTTGAGCTGTCAAACAATATTTGTGGTAATGAATTGCCATTCCTTTTACGTAAACTCCGACGCAACCCCCGATCTTATTTGAGCAATGCATTCGTTCTAGAATCTAGATGGCACATGTTGTGCAAATCATCACTTTGATGGGCGATATTGGTTGGGCAGGAACACAGCATGTTGTCCCCTCAGGGGATACAATGCATCTCAAAATATACACAGTACGTACAGTCTTTCAACACCGATCCGAGATGCCACCTGAAAAAGACTACGCCGCTTCTATGCGATGTCCCCTCCAACGAGTGTGCGATATATGCCAGTGGTCTCTCCATGAACATTCGCCTTTTCCCTCCTAAGTCAAATGTTCAAGTCGCCTTGCCTCGTTATGTTGCACATGAGCCTTCTCAATTGTTCGCCCTTCTGTTGGAGTTTGTGCGAATGAAGGAATTTTCTGATGAGTTTGCCCCTGCGTTCGAGGGAGCGGGCTTGGTTGAGGTTAAGGTGATGACCGGGCGAGGGCATGCGACAGGGGTAGCGGCTGAGCGATTGGACCGGATGAACCTGAGATTCCGGGAGCAGCTGAAAACTCGTTCTATGAGGGGGGAATGTATGCAAGTTTACCGCTTTTGGAAGTTTGAGAAAGAGAGAGGTAAAGGGAGCTCAGTCAAAAGAAAATGATTCGCGATCAAGCTGGATGCATTCATGTTAGCAAGTGCAATGAGGTACGACAATACAATTCATCTTATTTACTTGCGATAGTGCCCTTTTGCATCCACGCAAGAACGTGTCGATTGGTATGGTAACTCCTTGGCCTTCACCTTCACGAAGATGTGGTCTCGTCGCAATCGCACATTAGCGGGAACGTATCAGTCACGCTTCTGTAGGTCTGCTTTATATGACGACGATTTGTATCGTGATCTGGTCGGTCCTTAGATGAGCACTATCTTCGGAAACTTCCTCTCATTTCCTCTGGGAATTAGAGTCATTGGTCACCGACTCAGCTTATAAGCTCTCAACGCTACGCTAGGCGCAATGGGTGCAGGCATACCGAATCACGCATCTTCTCACCCTTGTGATAACATGGCTGAAGTATATTGTAAGCGCTCGGGATATTAGTCCGAAACTAGTTGACCCTCCAGGTACCACTCAATGCTGCCATGAATCAATTATCAGAAGTCCAGAGGTGGCGGTACCACGGGCGACAGCTACTCATTCGCAAGTCACAAGGGTGACGAAACAGGGCGAGGAAAAGATCTTGTCACCAACATAGAACTATAGGACTTCTGCTCGGAGGATATTTTAGGACCGGGCCCCGACTCTTGAACTGTCATAGCCACAGAACAGATTAGCATTTATTCATTAACGTGAATGCCGGTCCCAAGAAAGACGTACATGAGAATCGATGCAAAGGATCAAATATAAACATACCTAGTTGGTTTTTGAAGCTAGGTCACAGAGTTACAGGAGGTGCCAGAAGTTGGAGAGTTAATACAAGAAATGATAATGCCCAAAAAGTGGGCAATTTCATAGCCAAACCAGAGAAAGGACCGGCACGATGGACGCTCCAAAAAGGACCATCAAAGTTGGATGGTTAGGCGTAGGGCTAGAATTAGGGTTACCAGTAAAGTTGTAGCTGAAATGAAGATAGATAGGCAATACTACCGTCGTTTCAGCGTCCGCGCAAAGACAAGGTCATGCCTGCGGGGAAGAAACTCAGACAATAGGACTCACACTAGCAGCATGCCCACGGTTTAAGAGGAGGTTGCCTGTGCGTCGAGGATCCCAAGCTACTAGTAGTATGTTCGGCATTCCCAAGGGCAAACTGAGGTGCATCCTTAGATTGGTGGAGCTTATCAAGAAATCGATGTAAGGAGCAGACCAAGGGCCGTACATCCCAAAACAATGGCGAGCAGGACGGGACAGGGGATGGGAAAAGAGTAGGACGTGGACACTCTATATGCTCTTAGAGCCTTGGACACCAGAGCCAAGTTGACTTAGTTGTGAACCAACACAGGCAGTCCCTGGGCCAGGGCAAGGCGGGTGTCCCTCCCAGGGGGTGGATCTAGGGTGGAAACGTCATCCTCTGAATAAAAATATATTGTACTTTCCCCAAAGTTGGACAAGACACGTCGCGACCATGTCGCGGGCACTGAGTGACCTCCCGTGCCCCGTACCAAAAAACCACGATGGAGATAGTACCCTAACATGGAATCACCACCATGCCTTCAGTCTGAGGGATATATGTAGAGTTTGTCTTCTTAAATATCCAATTTGCGGAGAAACACAATGGTGAAGAAGGATGCTTCCTGACCGACAGAAATTCCATTGTTGCTTGAATGCGACAATGACAAAGCATGCGGCCTCCAGAAACAATAGCAGGACTTTCACTTATGAAGCCTTCCCATGCAGGTCAGGCTGGCCTCCGAGACTTGTAGCGGGGCCGCTGACGAACGCCTGATGCAGGTTCGATAGCTTGGGGGGAGAATATAGATTGCGCATTCATGTTGGTAGCGGATTCAGCCGCCTACGACGCATCGGCTGGAGGGGTAATGGGCGGGGGAACCGATCTCAACTTGACGGTGCTGCCACCAATGGGTTGTTTTTTGACGGCCAACGGGGAGTGTCCTAGGGGGTCTTGCGGTGAGCCACCAGCTGGTCCGGACGAGTTCGGACGATTGGCGACATGAGGTAAATGGAGAGGATGGAGAGGGGAGAGGCACCCTAGCGTTGAGCATTCTGGAATCTGGAATTGTGCGGGGGTCGTGATAAGTAGTACCCGTGATGCCGCAATGAAGACAAAGCGTGTGTTTGCACCGACAGCCACTTCCCGTTAAAGAGAGGCTGGTCATCTGCATACGATGGCCAGATGAGGAACATTCGTACGGTGTCTCCTCTACGACCAAAAAGACTGAATTGAGAGCGATCGGTGTTAGCCGGAGCACATGTGGTACGGCACTGAACAGTGAACAGACTGACAAGCAAGTACTTTACTTAGTAGATGAAGGATAAAGGTACAATTTGACGTCAACTTATAAATAGAAGAGAAGCGATGGGAACGACCGGAATCCAAACTACATACCCACCATCTGACGTTGATGCAAGACTGCTGTGATCCCTCTTTTTAGCTGCCCTGTCAGTCGCACCGCCACGACGACAAACATACAAGCGCAGGTGACTAGGCACAAAAATAGCTGCCAAGAATCGAATGGTCATGAGAGATTGCGATTTCAATCGAGTTCAGTCATGGTGTTCAACCACAACTGGCTTAGCTTATCTGTGGGGTTTGCAAATTCGGCTTCGCAAGTGCGCTGAACATTCAACAGCGGTACTATTCCAATAAGGGAATGTCTCTCCAGGACCACCTAATGGATAGACTTGGATATCCCCGTGCCTCAGGCAAAGATAACGCACGGCTTATTTAGGTGAGTCGGGGTCCTTCAAGTTCGTAGTGAGAAGCCCCTCTTTTGTTGTCGCAGAAGTTCGCCTGATGAAACAGATGTTGGCAAGCTTTGAACAGATTGCTCCTGCCTTCATCGTCGCCTTGTTCATCGCACCAAGTGTCGCCAGCCCTTGCGCTCCGGCTTTAGCTATTTCCAACCGTCGGGATACAAACCCAGCGCCTGGCTCACCCCCTGTACTCCTCGCTGCGCCACCTTCGTTCCGCAACAGAACCAACTTCCAAGCGCTTGTAGCAGCGGCGGGCTCATGTGACCCAGGAAATTGTAAGTCCTACTCGTTTCTCGAAGCAGCTGGCACTTAGCTCCTTTTGCCCTTAAGTCTTCTGTGCCCCCAGTTTTTGTTGTACGGATGGGGGTGTATGCGTATGGTTAACTCCTTGAAACACTTTAGGAGTGTTCTTACCCACTTCCTCAGTGCACGGATGGCAGCGGGTGCTGCCAGCAGGGCTATTACGTCAGTTTCTCCTTTCACTCAAGCTGGGTAATATGCTCAACGGGGTGATTCTTCACCCTAGTGTTACTCGGCAAGGCAAGTTTAAGGTTGCAAGCACATGAACGGTTTATCGAGGCCTGGTATGGTAAACCCGTGCTCCAGTTGCATTCCGAACGGTGGGACCCCCTGTGGTATTGGCCATTACTGTGAACAGGGGAAAACATGTTGCCAGCCCGGTGTTAGTTGTATGTAATAACACAAAACTTATAGTGTTCCCGATCATGACTGTGTCAATTATAGGCTGTGATCCAGGGTATTTATGCGGATCGGACAACAGTTGTTACATAAACACGCCTACGTCTACCACGCCCACGCCCACGCCCACACCCACAGGAATACCTTGTGGGACTGGATATTGCAATCCAGGGTACTATGTGAGTGCTCCCTATGGAAGCGGACCTTCGTCTCCGTATCGTTCCTCTTATGCTGCTCGGAATAGTGTTTTGACAATGGGTCTGTCGATTATGTGAATCCTGATTCACTATCTCATATATGGTAATCCCGTTATCCAGTTGCATTCCGAACGGTGGGACCCCCTGTGGTACCGGTCATTACTGCCAACAGGGAAAAACATGTTGCCAACCCGGTGTCAGTTGTATGTAATAACACAGAACTTATCGTGTTCCTGATCATGACTGTGTCTATTATAGGCTGCAATCCAGGGTATTTGTGCGGACCGGACAGCAGTTGTTACATAAACTCTCCCACGCCTACGCCTACGCCTACGCCCACACCAACGCCTACTCCCACGCCCACGCCCACGCCGACACCTACGCCGACACCTACACCTACACCTACACCGACACCGACACCGACGCCTACGCCTACGCCTACACCGACACCAACTCCGACACCGACACCGACACCAACTCCGAAACCGACACCGACACCGACACCGACACCGACACCGACACCTACCCCTACACCGACACCAACACCGACACCGACACCTACACCAACACCTACACCTACCCCGACACCTACCCCGACACCTACCCCGACACCAACACCGACACCGACACCTACACCTACACCGACACCTACACCGACACCTACACCTACCTCAACCCCGACCCCGACACCGACACCTACGCCTACGCCTACGCCCACCACCAGGTCCACTACCGCGACATCTACTTCATCGACGACCCCGGCACTGCCGACAATCTACTTCGCGGATCTTCCAGGAATAAATGATGCCGTTAGTACTGCCTCTGAGGTCATTGTTTTTGTGTTTAGCCCTGACATAGCCACTTTTCTCCAAAGGTTACTAAAAATATCTGCAGCGGTGAATGATCTCTTCCTCCTGGTACAATGATCCCATTCTGAAAGCGGTCACGAAAGGTTTAAGACAACGCAACAAAGGGAATTCGGAAGTTCTAACGTATGCTAAACGAACCGAGAATCAAAAGAAAACGATTCGCGTCCAAGCCGGATGCGTTACTAGCAAGTGCAATTCTACGACTACGGGCCTCTCGTGTACCGAGGTGCGACAGAAAATGTGTCACATCCAGCACAGCCTCACATGTGGATGCTTCTTATGACAGTACCCATTTGTGTCCACCCTGGAAGGAACTAACAGCCCACAAATCGCATGCATACCTGCTTTCCAGAATACATTCCTGGGGGCCTATCTCAATCTTTTCATTTCCCAATATCATATTTCAGACGGCGCTCAGTTCCTTGTCCAAGCTAATTGCAGTCAATTTGCCAGACGGGATTCAATTCGTGGATCTGGCTCGAGTGGTGAGTTGCACGGTTTTGTCCGGCGTGTCATTTCAGCTAAGCAATACTTGGGATACTATGTTGTCGTTAGGAACGCTACTTCCGCCTTTCGGCGTAACCTCAGATAATTCATCTGGGCATGTTGTACTCCCACTCGGTGATCTGCAAGCTGGGAAGTAAGTTTGGTGGAAAGACTGTTGATCCAGGTTGCAATGTTGATTCATCCTCTTTTTCGTTGGGTTCAGTTACACGACACAGACGGCATCTGATAAACTTGCCGGCATCGCCGGGAGTATTGCCATTTACGACTCGGATGGCGCAAACTTTTCTCAGTGAGTTGATATGTAATATAGCAGGAGAGCTTCTGTCCTAACGGCGTCGTGATAAACTATCTTTCTAGAGCGCCTATTGGTAGCGATGGGGGTAACTCCTTGGCCTTCACGCTTCACGAAGATGGGACGGGATTAGGTGCCGTGGTATCGCCCCAATCGCCCATTACCGGGAACATCACAGTCAGCTACAACTTCACTGGTAACATCTTAAGTGTTCGACGTAATTCTAGTCCTACGCCTAACTATCCAAATTTGATGGTCTTTCTCGGAGCGTTCATTGTGCCGGTCCTTTCTCTGGTTTGGCCATGAGGTTGCCCACTCTTTGGGCATCATCATTTCTTGTATTAACTCTCCAACTTCTGGCAACTCTTGTAACTCTGTGACCTAGCCTTCAACAACGAACTAGGTATTTTATATCGATCCATTGATGTACGGCCTTCTTGGAACTGGCATTCGCCTTATGTAATGAATGCTCCAAATGCTATTCTGTTCTGTGGCTATGACTCAAGTAGGAACCCTGAGAAGTCCTCACTCAATCAAGAGCCTCGGTTCCCAGATGCAGTGAATGAGCAGACGTTGCCAGAGATCGACTGTGCTCATCTAAGGGCCAACCAAGCCACGATGCAAAATGGTAGAAATGGTTGGAAACCGATGGACAATGCTACCGCTGTTTCAACGCCCACGTAAGGGCAAGGGCCATTGCAGCACAGAAACTCAGACAAGAGAACATACACTAGGGGCATGCCCGCGGTATAAGAAGTTTAGACATCGGGGTTCCAGGCTACTAGGGCCAGCACCTCGTGGGCAAACTGAGGGGTACTCTTAGATTGGTGGGGTCAATCAAGAAACCCTGAGTAATCGATATAGGGAGCAGACCAAGGGCCGTACACCCCAGAACAGGATTTTCTTGGAGCCCCGTCACCAGAACCAGAATCGAAGCCCTCGGATGTCTCTTCCAGGGGAAACCAAATATGATCCAGCTCTGAGGGAGCAAGCTACTGGTATATACCTCAGCGCGATCACAAGCGAGTGGCTCAATAAGCTCATACTTGATGACCCAATGTGTCCCACTGAGTCTTACATGTGCCACTTGTGCTCCACCGATGTAACGAGAGGGTTCGTGCATGACATAGACGTGACACCAATACAATATCATTCGGACAACACCGCTAAGAAGCTCAGGCGTAAATCGGTTTGGGACTCCTTCCAACATAAGCACGAGCTATGGTTTTTTTGTGCTTTCATAACAATGTTGCACCACCGATGACTAAAGTGCTCTGCTGCCTAACTAGTTTCAGAGATCAGTCCGATATTGGACTAGAAGATGTTGTAGCGACGTGTCAGTGGGAGGGTCGTCGCTGGCGCTACATCCGCCAATACCCCATCCGCCGTTACAGCGTATGTTTCTGGATCAACCTTCATCTTAGGCGTTGCTGAGTTCCATTTCATAGAGGCTTTCTTCACGCTACGGCACTCGCGTACAGCTTCGATGCGCTTGGAGAGGTGGTACTTCTTAATTGTACCTAAGATGCGGGTGATCAGCAATGTTTATGGAGCAAGAAGCTGTGGGAATTTACCTGATTCAACGGACACCTTTGATACGAAGGATACGGAGTTGGCAGCAGCAGCCGAAGAATTAGCACCCCACATGGGACGTGGAAGCACGGGTTGCACCGTCGGGATTGAGGCATTCGCGTCTCCCATCTGTCTCGCAACACATCAGATAACGGAATATTTATCGAGAGAATACGGAGGAATGCACCTGAGCCCAGGTGATAACGCCGGACTTCAGCACCATTTCGGGCTTAGAGCCAAAGTTTTCCGGACGCCAGAGAACGAGATCTGCAAGCAAACCTGGAGCCACTGCGCCTACCAAGTGACTCACTCCGTGCGTAATCGCGCTAGGACCAGCTTCTCAGATTGGAACGCGTTGTCAGGGGTTTCGAGGTGCTCACGGGTTAATCGTATACTTGGAAACGTATCGCTTCACTCTACCATTATCCTTCCCCTCTTCGTCTCCTAGGTCTTTCAGGGGTCCGCTGATCTCTCTCATTTTACTTGCTGTTCTCCATGTCCTACTGATGACTTCTCCCACGCGTCCCATTGCTTGAGAGTCAGACGAAATCATGGAAATTGCACCAATGTCGTGGAGAACATCTTCGGCTGCGACTGTCTCCGCTCGAATACGGGATTCTGCAAAGGCCAGATCTTCGGGGATGGAACGGTCAAGGTGATGACAGACCATTAACATCTATCCGAGGAGGAGAGTCTGATTTGATGTTCTGACCCTGCAGAAGGGATACTTACATCCAGGTGCTCGTCCAACGTGTTGCGAGCGTATGGCCGAGTCGGGTTTGTTGACGACGGTAGAACATTCTCATGTTCACAAACCACGATGATATCCGGCGCATGTCCACCCCCTTGGAAAAAGATAAATGAAACCAAAGGTCGTTAGTGCGTGTTGGACTCCACCCACCAGCTCCTTCCGTGTGATAAGTGTGAATTGTCCTGCCACCGAACGCCTCGATGGTGCCTGCACATGTATTCTTAAGGTGAGAGATAATGTAATGAGTGGTACGTACTTTCGACGAACCCGCTTTCGTTGAGGGTGTCAGTGTGAATGTTGACCTGTACGTCGTATTTGTCCGCAACGTCCAATGCATTCCTAATAACGGCAGGTGTCGAGCCCCAGTCCTGATATGAAAGGTCAAGAATCCTTAATTGGTGAAGCTGAGAAGTTATGAAACGCACTTCGTGAAGCTTCAACCCACATGCCCCAGCCCTAATGATTTCCTCCAGAGGCTTCGGTTCAGAATCATTCCCCTGGTGGGGTGAGTGAGCATTCGGCCAAGCCTTCCTGAAACTTTGAAGCTAATTAACCTTTCCAGTGAAGCCAAAGTTCATTGGGATGCTATCTGTGCTCTTCAGCATCGTTTCCAAATACCACGGACTGGGAGTACAAGTCGTGGCGTTAGTTCCGGCGCTCGGGCCCGTTCCACCTCCAATCATAGTAGTCACACCAGAAGCCAGACTTTCGGGCCATTGCGTTGGCGAGATGTAATGAACGTGCGCGTCAACACCCCCAGCTGTAACTATGAGATGTTCGCCTGCGATAACTTCGGTCGTAGAACCCACGACCATGCCGTCCGTCACAGAGGACATGATGTCAGGGTTACCAGCATTCCCTATACCAACAATGTGTCCCCGAGAAATGCCAATGTCGGCCTAAAGACCGGTGCCTCAGTTGATGCTGAGGTGGAAAAGGATGGCGGGTGACAAACCTTAAAGATCCCTGACGCATCAATAACCAATGCGTTTGTAATGACCAGATCCAGTGCCTCTTCACTTCCACGTCCAGTGGCTTGGCCCATTCCCTCGCGCAGAGTCTTCCCTCCACCAAACTTACATTCGTCTCCATAAACAGTGTAGTCCTTCTCGACTTCGATCCACAACGCAGTGTCACCAAGCCTGATGCGGTCCCCTAAGGTAGGTCCATACATAGATGCATACGCCTTTCGCCCTATAATGTTCTCATATTCACCAACCGATTCACTTTCAGACGCTGGAATCTTAATAGCAGTGGGTTCAGGGACATGACCAAAGCCTCTTTGGATCAACGTTGGAACAATGGTGTCTGTTCGGCTGAGATCCAAAGTCGTACCGGTCGCGAGATTGTTGCCTCCCGAAATACGTTTATGGCCGGAGATAGATGTGAGGGTAACGGTCCTTGTATCTCCAGGTTCAAAGCGCACAGCCGTTCCCGCGGGAATGTTAAGGCGTTTTCCATATGCAAGTGCCCGATCGAAGTGAAGAGCTCGGTTCGTTTCAATGAAGTGATAATGCGAGCCGATCTAGCGACCGACCGGTGCCAATTGAACGCCAAGTAATACTCAAGTTCAGCCATGTACATGCCCAGTGCCATGCTGCATCAAATGAACTCACCTGTACAGGGCGGTCCCCAGTATTCGTCACTTTCAACACAACTTTCTCCCTTCCTTTGTTGAGCACGATCGGCTCCTTTCCCACAATGACAGCCCCAGGGGCCGCTTTCCTCGAATGTAGTTCCGGTTTTTCCATTGAGAATAGGGCGTTGGATGGGACAGGCAAAAATGAGCCATATAATGCATTGTCGAGGGGCAAATCATCGGTACAGATCGGATCGTGAACGGTCACAAGGAATACCCTCCAGTCAAGCAAACATTTGAGATGAGGACCGCATACAAGGCTCGATCGATAAGGCTGGACTTACCCGTCCTCGAAAGTCCCTTCAACTTGCACGTCATGTAATAAAACACTAATGCCGGGCAGAACGTGTCTCCTGGAAAGAATCTCCTTTCCGTGCTGCATTAGCTCAGCAACGCTATGCTTCCCATCGCGAATGCGTTCTTGCAACTGGAACGCAATCACCGCAATGGCCTCAGCCAGATTCAACTTAAGACCACGAGCAAGGCGACGCTGGGCCAGAGACCCGGTTTGGTAAATTATGAGCTTATCAAGTTCCCTTGGCGTAAGGCGCATGGCAGTGGGCAAGCAGTTGAGTTCGAATCCCCGCAACCAAGGATGCAGTGATCTTGTGACTGATGTGGGAACCCTGTGGGAGATAACATAACAAATCGACCTGTGTTGAGCTTGTGAGAGCGAACATTGAGATAGGCACTTTCGCGGCCACCGTGGGAAGAGTAGTGGGCAAGGTGCACGGTCTAAGCCATTACCTGCACACTTCCTATCGATAGTCTTGAAATTATGTAGTCACAATCTGCCAGTTTTGCTTACGCGCGTCGCTCCAAGTTTGCATTCTGCGTCGATATTTTATGTTGCTCCCATCCATTTTTTCCTCCCATTTCGTTATCATCTTTGGCATTGTTCGTGTTATCTCCCTCTCCCATTGGTCTGCGCTCTGCGTCTTTTCCCCTTAACTCCCTTCCTGTACGGCCAGACCCTCGGAGCATGATGTACATTTACAGCAAGAGACAGAAAAATCGCGCGTCCGCCTGCATTCTCATAGAGGCTGGTAACCTGCCTAGCGTCCGCGCGCCCTAACTGACTCGACGTTTTCTTTTGCCTCTTGCTGTAAGTCATTCGCACATTCACGGAGACTTGAGAACTAGAGGTTACGTGTGTAAGCAGAATTAATGATAACGTTTAACGCGACACCATTCTCGATCTCTCTAGCTCTCTCCCCACTCAGTTCGAATCCCAATAGTAACTCTCCTGCCCGAAGGCCTGCACCCACAGTATCCATTAACGACAGGACAGCCATGCCCATGACCCATATACATTCTTTCAATGCATTTCTGTTCGTCGGTATGGATATTCCTTCATCAGAGGTGGGAATGGAGCTGCGGTCACCTGCGGCCATAGGACTCGGAAAGCACCGCATCCCGTCTGATCTGCGAAGTTAAGCCGACTACCGCTCAGCTAGTACCATGGTAGGGGACTACATGGGAATCCTGAGTGCCGCAGTTCTCATTTTGGTTTTTCCTTCCAGTTGGCCACCTCACTTTTCTTAATTCCCGGACTACGAGTGCGACGACACAACAAATTAATAACTTGTTCCTAAGTACGTCAATTGGTTATTCATCATTCGTCCTACACCAGACTCGTCTCCGCTACGTGAACGCATACTATGTATTACAATTCAGTTGACTATTATTCGCATTTTCCTTTCATCTTTTCTTTGCATCTATACAGTTTCTTCAGAATGTGTTTCCGCTAGGCTGGACCCCAGCCTCTACTAACATAGACATCTACGAATATACAAGCGGAAAGAGGATCAATCGACTTGATCTTCAAAGATGGATCTCCCGGCCCAGGTGACCCAAGCTACTTAGGTCTGCTGGTGATCTCTCGCGGAACGTCCCTACTGCTTTTGGGCGTCTACATTGCGTATTTGATCTTCCAGTTGAAGACTCATACTGGCCTGTTCATGCCCGAGGTTGAGGGGGAGATGGAGGAGGAACCTGCACAAATGAATGTAGTGTCTACCAGCGTTTCGTGAGTTCATTCAGCACCAATATCCTGAATGGGGTTTTCCCTTTCCAACATAGGCTTCTCGCTGTCACGATCCTTACCTCTTGCAGTGCCGATTGGCGTGAGCGAATCCTATCTGATTCTTGCGTACTTAGTAGCCTTACGATATTGTTGTTATTGAGTTGCTTCTATTGAAGAGGCTGCTGACAGATACTCGATCCCCAGACATTTCACCGGTCTCGTTCTTGTCCCGTTCGTGGTGCGAAGCGATAATCCATTGTCATTCTGGACTGGCACCCTATAGGCAAATGCAGGGGGCTGTTCACAAGTGTTTTGATGACTGCGAAGGGGAAAATGGAAATGATGATGGGCCTTGGCGTTGGCAGCTCGATCGTACCTTACTCAGCTAAAGCTTTTGACGTTCAACGTTGAGCCCAAATTCATTATAGCAAGTTGCTACTTTCGTCATCCCTCTACTTGTCACGATTGGGTGGATGTGAGTCTCAAGCCCAGCTCTGCGTCCTGCGGGAACCCTCTCAGAATTCGCCACGACTTGACGCTCTTCTTCGCTAATCTGGAGTGAGGATCTATTTTGCCGTAGATGGCCGTGAAATTGATGCGATTCCTTTCCAGACTGCGACACTTTTCGTCAGCGTCCTTTTAGCCAATCTTCTTATCCAGTGGGTCGTTCCAGATCTAGTGTAGCCGTCCAAATGACTCACTTATTTTTTCAGGAAGGGGAAATCGAATTACATGGATGATTTGATGTACATTTATTCGTGCTAGATTTCCCGACCCGACTACAGGTTGGTAACCCTCTACATCGTTATTTCGCTCGCATGTGAGTTCCTTCCTCGTCTCTCCCATAACGGGACGTTGTACATTCATCGACTCAAATTGCCTTCGTCCAATTCCTTTGGCATCTAACAGTTGGGTATCCTAAAAATGTGTTTGTTTTCCTGAAGGATTTTTGTCTTTTCATCTTCGTCCTCGTCTTGGCCCTTGTTCCCATATGCAAATTGGAGCGTTCGTATACCAGTCGTTTGTTTAATTTTTTTTCTTTGACGCAGGCTCATTTCTATGGCCTCGTTTCCTTGATCTGCCCCCCTATTTGCGGGAGATCACTCGATGACGTTTTCTGCTGTGCTCATGATCCCTAGAGGATGCAAACTGGGATATCCAACACCGATTCACGCGGATCATGTCGCATAGCTTAACTGGGTGGCTGCAGATTCAGAACATCCGATATCGCTGAACACAGCCTTCGTTATGAACCTAGCTCGTCCATGTAAGAGCTAGTGCTCATCCACCAACAACATCACACTCGGTTCACGAATTAAGCCTTGTAGTGACGTCTCGGAAAGATGTCCATGTGAAGCAATTATTACCACGCATTCTCTAGTCGCTTCGATGAATAATCCAACAGGAATGCTGGTGCAAGCGTATGGATCTGGCCACCTAGACATTCAGGGACCAGACTGGTCTGACCATGAATCAGTAGAGGAGAATGTCAGACTCAGGGCAGTGTAGAGTCGACCGACTCCAGCAACGTCACTGCTGAGTTTGTAAATTAAGTTGAGTGTAAGGGATCCAAATTTTTTAAAAATTGCTGAGCGACAAACGAATTGATTATGTTGCATGTGAAATAACCTGACAGACATTAGCACCCGGAAACTAGATCAACGGGCTTGCGCACCACTTCTCATTCTACTGGGGAAGAGAGGATGAGCATATAATCCCAATTGCCAGGTCTACCCGCAGCCGGGGGCGGACAGAGACCAGCTCAACTGACGTGTCAATGTGTCTCGTGCCTGTGCACACTCCAATCTGGTTTGAAGATTTGTTTCCCCTATTTTCCATGCTTGCTATACATGTAGACTCAGTCTCGATATGGAGAACTAATGAATTGTCCCTTTACCTGTACGCGTAGACTATAACATGAGAATACAATGAGTTATACGCAAACACAGGAAAAAGGCACCTCAATCTCGGTATGGAGAACTGAGGGAGAGGGAAAAATTACGGCATCCAGTGTATCTTATATGTACAACTAGAGCCAATATCGCTTAAAGCGATTTCTTGTGATGAAACGACAATCAAGATTGAGAGCGCGGGGTATCGGTGAAAAATCGCGACTGAAACAAATTGGGTATAATCGTTGTTAGCCACGATGATATTAAGTGAAAGTCTCACAACTCCCCAACCAGTAGATCGGCAGTCGTAGATGAGCGTTGATATTCCAACACGAATTTTTATGAAACGCTTGAACAACTTGGGCAACCGTGATATCTGCACAGCGCATCCCTGTGGCTTGGAATGGCCCCAGCTTAGCTGCGCCACAGTTGAGAGTATCGAAAGTTGAGAGGGGCAAAGACATCTGACTATGCCGAGTAACATAGGAACTGTTGCTGGTAGGGGAGGGTGATATCGACTGGTGGGAAGAACAAGAGTGCTTGCGCATCACTGCGACACTGGGGCCGATAAAGACTTGAGTTAACGCATTAAGCAAATTATTCAGTTCGCGGCCACCCAAAAAAAAACAAACGGGGGGGTCCGACTTCGTGTAGTGTATCGATTAATGTCCAGAGTAAGTGTGAAAAAGCGAGTGAAGTGTGAAGAGAGTAGGCAAAATGGCCTAGTGATCCATCAGAAGCACTGTCAATAAACCCACTCAGTATGGTTTATTTTAATAATGCTTACATTTAGTTGGCATAAAGTTGGCATGTAAATGTAGCGAGATTGTAGATGGATTGACCCAAAGACCGGGTACAGGGATAAGAGAGGAAGATAGATTATCGAATACAACGAAAGGACCGTAACTGCGTTGTTGTAAAACCGCAATTGTTCTGCATGGCAAGGCGAAGGCGGCAGCTGTCTTTTAAGAGTCAGAATCTTGAAAACTATCAGCGCCGTCATGATAGCATGGTCCAGGCCCGCGAGGGTGAAGAGAGCGATCTCGATCTTGGTGGATGTGTACGAGTTAGAGGGCTGCATGCAAATGTGACTCACGGAGTGTCTGTCTTACTGGAAGTTGAACATCTTGCTCCCCATACGCTGACGTGAAAAAAAAGACGTTCCAAGTGAAACATAATGCTAAGACTCCTCGGAGATCAGAAACTTGACTATTCTATCGAAGCTTTCAACCCACCCGAATAAACCACCCAGCAGAGTGCTGGTCCAGCACAGACTCTTAAAGAGAATTCCCAGATAAAACATAGCCTCCAGAGAAGAATGAGGTCGTGTAGAACGATCTGAAAACGCTGACTTAAAGGAGTACTTAATCGCAGTGGATGAAACACCTACAGATAACCCAAGTACGACAAGACGGAGCTGGTGCCATAGAATGGATGACTTGGATGTGTCAATTACAATGTCGGGGTATCCCTCCATTTCCGGTTGTTGATGAAAGATGGACAAACGCATCATTGCAATACCGAGGAAGGTATGGGATGCCGCCACCAAAAAGCCTGCATATAACGAGACTCGTAGAAAGGGGGATAATGCTCTTCGCTTTCTCGTGAAAAAACTCCAAGTGATGAGAGACGCATTAACCGCTGGCCCTTGATGAGCATCTCCTCACAAGAACCCCAATCGACAGCTCACTAAAAAGTGTTGTCTCGACGAGAGTGGATAACATTAATGTTGACGGCCACAATCCCTGGTCCATTGCAACATCGAGTTCAGCGATGTGAGGGCGATAAGAGGCAAAACTAATGTTCTGAGCGAAGGTCGAAGTCGAGTATTATTTAAGCTAATAACTGAATAGTGGCCCATCCGGCCGAACCTGCCCCGTGACTATTCCCACGACACGACCATTCCCGTGATTACGTACGGAAACCCCACATAAACGAGCCACACATTTTGTATGTCATCCACTCACGTGAAGCTGAAAGCATCTGAATCTACTGAACCATTTCATTAAGCCGAGAAATCGAGAGATCTCAGCGCTAAGGATGGCTCAGCTAGCGGGCCGTCTTATCGGTGAATAATCCTATCTTTTTCCACATAGTACTTCTGTTTAAACCCCCAATTTTTCAGTGCCTCTGGCGGTTGGTGTTGGTTTGCTTCAGGCCAGTTTATACGATGTACCAGGTGGTTACCGTGCTGTTATGTTCGACAGGTTCTCTGGGGTGAAGGACGAGGTATGCGGAATCTCCCTTGCTGCCCACTCTATATAACGCTACTTCGGGCCAGGCCTCTCCAGAAGGAACCCATTTCCTCGTACCCTGGATCCAGAGAGCTATTCTCTACGACTGCCGCACAAAGCCGAGGGTGAATGAACACCCTTCTGAAATGCGTACAGTTCTTCATACTTTTTCAGAATATTTCAACAACTACTGGCTCGAAGGACTTGCAAATGGTGTCAATCACTTTGCGTGTTCTCTCACGTCCAGACATCAAGCATCTTCCAAAGATCTACCAAACTCTTGGCATGGATTATGATGAACGCGTCCTCCCATCCATCGGGAACGAAGTTCTCAAGGCTATAGTTGCCCAGTTTGATGCAGCTGAGCTGATTACCCAGAGAGAGCTGGTAAGCCTAACATTCTGTCCTTTGGTTTTAAAGTGCGATCGACATTCCATTCAGGTTTCTTCAAGAATTCGTGAGGATCTTCTGCAGCGCGCTAGCGAATTTCACCTCAAATTGGAGGATGTTTCCATCACTCATCTAACCTTCGGAAAAGTCTGTCATCTTTCAAACCGTGATTACTTATAACTGATTTCTGCCCCTTCGTATAGGAATTCACTGTGGTACGCTACATGAATGTCCAAGGATTTTTTATTTTCCCAGATTGAGTTGCATCCCAACAGGCTGTCGAAGCGAAGCAGATTGCTCAGCAAGGTAAGGATACTCGGCCTACCGCAGCATGCCTCTACTGAGTGCGACTTCCCTTTGTAGATGCTGAACGTGCTAAGTTCATAGTGGAGAAGGTTTGTCACATCTAGCATTCCGAGGCCGGTTGGTCACGTCCTTAATATATCAGGCGGAGCAAGAGCGTCAAGCTGCCGTTATCCGAGCCGAAGGCGAGGCAGAGGCTGCTGCCACAATTTCCCGCGCTTTGGATCGTGCTGGCGAAGCCTTCGTCACATTCCGAAAAATTGAGGCAGCCAAAGCCATCGTGCAGAGTCTCAGCCAAAATAGGAATGTCACGTATCTGCCGACTGGCGGACCGAACGGAAGTGGGATTCTGTTGAATGTACCAGCACAACAGCAATGATTCGTGGTCGTTCTTCTGTATTCTATGGATCATCCTGTCTACTTCATAGGTATCCATTGCACAACTTACACCATGAAAGGGGGCTTTCCGGTTATGGAATAGTACGAGAAGAAATAAATAGGTACAAGGCGCGCCCAACGGAAGAATCGGGGAACACTCATCTAACGCAGAAGTTCAAGCATTAGGGAAAGATCGTACGGAACTCCAATCGTCGTCATCGATTATTAGCCATTCGGATTCCGAAGGGGTTCGATTTTTGTTGACCCCTTGTCGTCCTGGAGATTGAGAAAAGGGCTCTCGTCATCATCGTTATCCGGTCCATCTCCGTTAACACTGCTGTTCGCACCGCCTTGAGAGGAGCCCGTCGTGGTATCACTATTGATGAGAGTGGATTTCCAACCTCTGGATCGCATGTCTTCGTAGAACGTGTTGGCGGAGTTCATCTTCTGCGCCTCTTCGTCTACGCGATCTAGCCAACGTTGGAGAAGGGTCGCATTGTCCACTTTGAGAGCCTCATTCCGAGATATCACCTGGTTGAGCTCCAGAGTGAGAGACTGAATTTCGTCGTTCAATATCTAAAGGGTGTCGTGGTAGGCTATGGGCGAAGACAATTGAAATTTGAAAGGCTCACCTGAACACTTCTGTCCTTCTCGAGCATGATTTCCTCGTGTTGCTCAACCTTCCGCCGGGACGTCGCAATTTCATCTCTTGCTTTGCGCAGTGCCTCAGCTTCTATGCGAGCGAGTTCTTCCTTTTCCCGTAGTGTTTCGTTCATCGACAGAAGTCGTTGAGCGTTCTGGCCTTGAGTCTTGTATACGGCAGCCATCTCATCTCGCAGAGATGATATTTGTGATTCTAGTGACGCGATGTACGCTGTTTGCACTGCCGTACTGTTCGGAAAATGGGTTGAGTTGAACGGCGTTAAAAGCTCTGCGAAGCCATGCTGCGTACTCTGCACCACTCCCCGAGCTCGTTGACGCGCCTCCTGATGTAGAACGAGCTGTCCCGACAGCGCGAAGTAAGGATTGATTGCGCTCCTTGAGCAGGCGCGTTTGCTGCGAGAGCCTACGATCTGAGCAAGACGATTGCAAATGAGGACATGTACCGCCACAAAAAGGGGCATCCAAAAGCTTCACATTGTTCTATGATTCCAGCATATGCTAATTCCTTCCGATTGCGTTCGACAAGCCGCTGCCTGCAAGCATCAAACATCACATTGCAAAGAGTATGTAAAATGAGTCATTCAATGCTCTTGATTGCATTGGTCATATCCTTACCGTAGTTCTTCTTGCCAGGCTGCACTGGCCATTGATGGAAAAGTGACGAGAGGTACGGAAGTAGCGTGTTCTCGTGGAGAAAGTCAATGAATATCTGGGGTCCTCCTTCCCCAATGAGGATAGGCATGTGACCAACCTGGACCCCTAAATTGGGCGCCTGACTTGCTTTCCTCGACCCGTCATCGTGCTCGTTTCTGATGTGAGCCATAAGGATAATACGCGATAAGAGAGAGGATGGACTGATGTACCTCTTCCTCTTATGCTGAAGATATATCACTCGTCCTCTTCCCTTCAATTCCCGAAATGGGCCGCGTACTCCTAAAGGTGATGCAATGGCACCGTCTCCTCAATCCTGTGTGGTCGCTCACTCCCATCGTAGGTCATAATTCTTGGCGATAGCGGGTGCGTGATAGGCTAGTGGTTCCCCGACAGACATATTTCTCACCTCGGATCGCAGTGTTGGGAAGACGTCCCTCATGAACCAATACGTGAACAAGCGCTTCAGCAACCAATACAAGGCCACCATCGGTGCTGACTTGTAAGGGATGTTGCCTTTCTCGCATAATCTGTATTTAATGTCCCCTCTCTTTCCTTAGTCTAACGAAGGAAGTCCTAGTAGACGATAAGACTGTGACTATGCAAGTACGCTGAGTATGATTCACACACTTTTGGTGAATTTGTTCTGATTGGTATTGGTATCACTTAGCTTTGGGACACTGCTGGCCAGGAACGATTCCAATCATTAGGCGTGGCATTTTACCGTGGAGCGGACTGCTGCGTGCTCGTTTATGACGTGAACAGCTCGAAGAGTTTCGAAACGCTCGATAGCTGGCGCGATGAGTTCTTGATTCAAGCTAGCCCTCATGACCCCGAAAATTTTCCGTTTGTTGTTTTGGGGAATAAGATTGATGTGGAGGAAAGCAAGAGACAGGTATGTGCGTTCGCGGAGTTGTAACATGGACTTGCTCAAAACTGTATTGTCACTGTGACAGGTCTCCCAGAAACGTGCTATGACGTGGTGTCAAGCAAAGGGGAATATTCCATATTTTGAGACATCTGCCAAAGAGGCTATTAACGTTGAACAGGCATTCCAAACTATTGCCAAGAATGCCATGAACCAGGAAGAAGAGACTGAACTGTGAGTGTTTACTCTGTTAGTTGGATGCCTCAGGCCTCAGTCATTGATTCTGCTTCAATGAAGTTACGCTGACTACCCCGATCCAATACGGATCAGCGACACCGCTGGACAGACTTATGGGTGCAACTGCTAGGACAGGGTATGCGCGGTGGCACCACATAACTTATCTTGATGTCAATTGGTCCGTTTGGTTGTGCCTCAGGACTTTCGCGTTACTGTGCATATTGATTTTTGAGTCCATGATCGAGTCTTTCATGTCATTCCCTAATTTACGCAATGTGACGCAGCTACCGTGCATGGCGACTCGTACTCACACTTGGTGTTGTACGCGTGGGGCTCTCGCTGCCAAACATCGGTCAGACCTGAGGGCTTGCGCCGGGATGGCTATCACCAATGGGCTTTGGATTTACAATGGAAAGTCATTCTAGCTCGGCGTGTCTGACATTCACGAGTTGAAGGATCAATATGTACAGCGAATTCATTCCATCGAAGGTATTTGCAAATAAACAGTTTCATGATATGAACCGCGTGGTCGCGAGTGCGTGTCATGAGCAGTATCACAAATTCACATCACAAGCCGGCCAGCCCATCGCATCTTGATGCGAAGACACCTCAGTTATAACCTCCCTTTCAGTTCGCTGTTCATATCTGCCGCGTGAAAGTCTGTTGCTCCGACGATCCACACGCTCGCTCGTTGCAATTCAGCTTCGTAATCTTTTACCATGCACAGGACCACTGCCTGTCGCCTCCTTGTGTCATCAAGACGTGCGACACAGGCAGCGATTCCACCTCATCCTTTACTCCCCAATGTACTGTCCAACCGGCTCCAAATTGAGGGGAGACTTGGACATCCGGCTTTGGACATAAGGATCCTAAGGGCTTTAGAGGAGCACCGGAAGTATGCCAAGCCTTTTGGTAAACGTATAATATTCGAATATGAGACCAATGCCTGCAAAACTCTCAGCATGTACCTTCCTTATGAGTCTGCACCTGATCGGTCGAGACGCCCTCTATTTGACAGAGTTCACGAGGCTCTGGTCCTGGTGGCACATGTTTTGGTGGATGGGTCACAACATAAGATTGCGGTCTCTTCAGGGTTTGCTGTGGATGTTCCGGCTCATGATAGTTCCGTAGTTATTTCCTGCGCTCATACGCTAGAAGAAGTGAGCATTGCAGTCTTATCCATATCCAACGTTACATAGGCTCAGCTCGCCGGCCTCGACATCTTCGTAGATACGTCACAGCTCAATCTTCAAATCCTCTTCCTCCAACGGTGGGACATTCGTTATAACTTCTTCTATGGATGTCCACCCTGTATCTTCAATTTTATCGTCGCTCCCTCGGTCAGACTTAATAGCGTACTCCCTCCATCCTTGTGTATCTCTCGCAGCTACACTTCCTGTGAATCCTTACCCTGCCCCTCTAGAAACGCCAACAAGATGTCCGCTCGTTTCGTTCGAATCTCCAGAGCCTAACGAGAAGGGCAATAGACGGAACGATTGGCTCAGCTGGAAAGACGGGGTTGTAAATAGTCGATGGGTAAAAGGGAAAATTTTAGGATACCGTGATCGTGCAGGGCGAGAGGCACAGGTGCGGCACACAGACGTCTTCACTTGTTTGGGCTGGAGAGCCAACCTTCTTCGGTAGCCCGGTACCTATGACCATCTATCACATATGTTGTTCTCGACCATGCCTTCGCCTGGTTCTTCAGGAGCACCCATAATAGATGAAGAAAATGGATCGGTGATTGGAGTCATAACAGGCCACGGCATGGTCAACAGAATCGAGGGTCAGAGGGGGTTTGGCACCCCAGCTGAAGCCATATACGAGGTACAGAAATATAATATCCCAGGATGATGAATTGAACCTGTTATGTTACTTGTAGATGTTTTCGCTCCCTGGACTTCAGCAATTCAGCAGCAAGGGGCACTAGAATGTCAACTGGATATGTTGCTTGGAATGTGAGCTTGTGTCCATCAAATAATACATAATGAAACTACAAATCACGATGCTAATCATTAAATTGATCTGCTCCCCACCCATCATCGAAATGGTCAACGTCGTGCGGTTCAGGTATTACAGTTTTTGCACTTTCGATATCTTCTTCAGCGGGGGTAATAATGAGCTCAGGGTCCGATTTCGAGAGATTGAGCAGTGCAGGAATCCCAGTCGAGGGAACGGGTGGCGCAGGAGTTGACCGAGAGGTATGATGCCATGAAACTTGTACTGTACCAATATCGGGAACAGTCGTTCCTTTTCCTAAGGCCTGAAGCAAAGTTTATATAAACCACTGAAGAATAATATGGACAAGTTCTGCGAACCTGCTCGGCAAGGGCTCGGGTTTTAAATTGTACTTGGACCTCATCCGAACTAACCACTTGGAAAGATTCTAGATCCCCTCCAACAGACTTAATGGGAGAACCCAATCAGCGTCATCTCTTGCCGCGATCTCAGAAACCTACCACCTTATACCATTCCTCAAGTTTCGCAAGAGCATGATCATCATCCGCATTGAGTCCTTTCACAACAAGCCTTCGGGTGCGGTTGTCTAATGATATATTCTTGTTAAGTGTCCCGCCGCGTCCACGCGGGGCGACGTATCCACGACCCCGACCCCTCCCTCTTGTCACAAAGCCTCGCCCACGTGGCGGTGGCACTCCTTGGATCTCCTTGGCTGACACGCCAACTTCGGCTGCCTAAATGTATAGAGAAAACCATTTAGAATTCTATAGCAATCTTAATTCCGCGGAGGCTTGCCTCCTTCCGAAGCTCGGCAAGCTGGGCCATCAAGTCACTTTGGTCCCCTCCCGTCCCTTCGATTGTGGTATCCGAGGGTCCCGAGCTATTCTTCACGAGGTCCAGTTCGCGGTCTAGTTTCTCTTTTAGTTTTGACTCGCTGTCAGGAACCGGGGGGATTGGTGTCGGTTTGCTGGAGGCAAGTTCCTTCATCTTTTCATCTACCTCACGAAGTGTAGCCATTATTCCCTTTCTTTTCTCTTGAGGCGCTGACCCTATGCTGTCCATGAGCGACTTCTGTTCGGATATGAGGCGCTCCAGTTCATGGGATTTTGCAAGGTGTTGAGGGAGGTGGCTCGATGTGGGTGGCATCGTTTGCGTCGGGGGAGGGTGGGGAGGCTTTTTTCCGAGGCCTTGAATAACAGGGGCGGAAGCAGCAAGTAGTTTGGTTCCAGCTGTGCCATGACCCGCAAGAGGACGGTGCCAGAACACTTTCACAAAGCGGTTACCGAAGACGGCTTCTTCGCTCTTCCAGGCTTTGTATGCATCCAGGTGATTTTGGAAGGAGACCAAAGCCTTCGCGGAGGGCTTGTCAATAGCGACATTCGTGACGACACCAAATTTTTTGAACCATCCATTCACTCCATCCAGTGAGAGATGATCTGGTGGTATTTTCTCCACGACCAATGTTTTGTTCTCATTTTTGGACAAGGGTGGTGCAGAACTTTCGAAAGTGGTGTTTTCTGCATCTGGGAATACTCCGGGCTGTGGTGGCGCACCTCCTCGTTCAATCCTACCCCTGCCACGACCACCTCTCCCGAGATCAGAACCATTCGTGTTCGGCCTGCGTCCACCTGGATCTGATGGTGTCACGTCCATCGAGTGACGCCCGTCCCCAGCTGTATCTATAGATAGCTCCACGGCATCAGAAGGAGTGCCAATTTTACTGGATCGGCGCCCGTTCATGTACGGGGGCGGTCGCGATATGTCCATCGAGGCATGATTGGGGTCATATTGGCCCCCTACGTTTGGGGCAGACATCCAGGGCATCTGAAAGCCTTGCTGCATCATCCCCATCATTTGTATGGGGTTAAAACCAGGAGGAACGAACGGCACTGGAGGCACCATGGCTTCATCGCCATGATCAAACGGGCACATAGCCCCTAATGTGCAATACCCTTTGTCTAGACATGACCTTCATGTTAGATTGGCCGAGGCGAGTAAAGTATTTCCTTACTGTAGTAGTCCCGGCATCTCTCCTTGACTGGACCTTTTGTCCGGCCCGGACTTGAATGTCTTCCCCGGGCATCTCGTGGTCCCCCTCTCAGCGAACCACCTCCACGTCCAACATACCGGGTCCCCTCGCCCAGTCGGGGGCCTTTTGGCGGATGTCTCGGTTCATCAAAATCTGCCGTCCGCTTTTGTCCTCTAGGTCCTGTTGGAGCCGTAACCAACGCATCAAGGGGAATGTGGATTCCATTCGATTGTGAAGCAAGATGGGATGACGGCGGTGGCTGACCATCATCATAGGGGATATACGAACGTGTTCGAAGGACTTGGAATAATTTTTCTACGAAACTCTCGGCTTCTACATGCATTCAAAGACCGAACGAGGCCAGTCGCCGCAAAGTTACTAAAACCAAATGCCAAGGTATTCCTGATTGCTCACCATCTTCTAAGAAATCGCGCAGCTGAGCAACAAATGTAGCCCTGAGCTCCTTTTCTGGGGCATCATGCTTGAGTAGGGCAAGGATATAATCACTAAGCACTTCGGGGTCTGCATCGCAACTTAAGGACAGAAGAACGCCAACCTCAAGCTTTGTCATTTCCGCCATTAAGACACACTTACATTGGCTCTAGGGACTTGATTAGCCATGGTTTCAAATGCTTTGTTGTCGAAGGGTCAAATAGCGGCATTTCGACAACCTGCAGACAGGTGAGATCTAAAAAATAGATTCGAATGATTTGGGCGTCACGGACACGTGATATATTCAACGGTGCAACGCGTAAACCAGCTCCAGCTCCAGCATTGCTGCTTGAAGTCGTGAAGGGAGTCGTTCAGACTTCGTCATGTCTGCAGAAACAATCGCACGTTGGAATGCAATATCACTCGTTCGGAAGGTAGTGCACCCTCCCTGCCCCTGTAGCCCCCGCCGCTTTACTACCGCCTGGCTCTTCCTCGCTCCAGCGCTCCAGGTCTAGATCGAGGTCGGATAAGGAAGACGACCCAGATGATGACATTTCTATAGCCTCTCGCTCGCCTTCCCCCATGCCATTAGATCGAGATGAAACTCAGGAGTACGACGCGTTCCACAAAGGGCCAAAACGAGAGACAGTAACTGTTCACACAAAAATCGAATCATCGAACATTGGTCACAAGTTGTTGTCGAAAATGGGTTGGAAAGAAGGCGAAGGCCTTGGGTTGTCAGGACAAGGTTTGTCACGCAGCCTGACTGACATGCCCCCTTTGTAAACAAATGTCTGCTTAGGTCGGGTAGAACCCATACCGTTTGTGCTTAAGAGTGATTCCACGGGGATTGGAAAGTCAGCTCAGGATTTACGCGTCCTTGCTGTGACTGCAACTCAGCGAAGGGATATGGATGCAGAGCGGCAGAGTAGGGAAACCGTCGAGCAACGGCAACAACGCGAGGTAAGCATATGGTTTCCTACGATCCTTCTGATATTGATGGTCGAGCCCTGCGGTAGAATACAGTTGCCAAAGCAGCTGCTATAAGGTCTGAGATTGCAACGACTTTGCGACCCTTCTACTGCGAACTATGTGACAAACAATACACTACGATTGCTCAGTATGATGAACACATTCGTAGCTATGCGCATACCCACAAACAGGTGCTTTGTGACTCCGAACAAATTTTGGATCTCTGACTGACGACAGGATAGAGATTCAAAGATATGGAAGCAGCACAAAAACCCAAGGATATATCAAAAGCCCGAGAGAAGGAGCGCAAACGCGAAGAGAAAGAGCTTAAGCGTCTGGCAGCTGCTTCGGGAGTGAAACTCGCCGCTATCCCAAAACCAGTTGTACCCGTTACCCCCGCCTCACAGCCTGTGGACACGACTTTGGCGGATGTTCCGCCTAATGGAGGTGGTGGCGGTTGGACTTCATTTAAGAAGAACAATTCCGGAGGATTTAGACCTGCAGGGTGGGCAACCGTACAAGGATCCTCATCAGGGACTCCGGGAACCACTGGAGCCTCGGGGACGACAGGGACGGGAGGCTGGGCAAGAGTTACAAGATCAGCCTCGTCCCCCGACGGGCAGCCAATGTCAGCTATCACGGCGCCTTCCCCGGGGATCGTGAAGGATGGACTAACAGACACTCCGAAACCTCGGGGAAACCCGATATTCCAGAGCTCTGGCTTCACGCGACTTGACACAACAACAGATATCCAATCAACCCTGACAATTTCGCCTCCTACCTGGAAGTCTCCGACACTCACAGCTGAAGCACCAGCCTCTAGATGGTCGAGCCTAGACGCACCCCCTTCTCACTCAATTCCCCTCAGCCAGTCCTCGCCGGAGGCAGAGCGTGGCGTCAAAGGGTCCTCAACAAGCGATGCATCCCTCCCATTACTTCGATCGCAAATTTCTGCACCTGCCCATGCTCCAGAACCGACTATGCCTTCACCGCCTATTCCCCGCTTACCTCCTCCCTCGTCACCACCACCATCCCATCGCCCCCCTTCCCCTCCACGATCTGTTCCCTACAACCTCGGTCAACGTCCTAGAACACTCTCACCTAAGGAGTATGATTCTTCAATCATGCCCCATTTCGATGATTCCCGATCTCATCCTCGAGAACAGTGGCATGGGGACGATGATTACCACAATAATCGACCTCAACGCGGGTATGGTCCTGGATACGATCGTCGTGACCCATATCAAGAGCGGTTTAGCGGGGATACCTATAACCGAGATGATTATGGACGCAGGGATAATTTCGAGAGAAGGGATGACAATTACAGGGATGGACACGCTGATAGGTTTTGGGACCACCGTGGGCGGGGATACTATGGACGTCGTTTCTAGGGTCTAACCCTGACCGCTTGGATACTCATATTGTGTGAGTTGGACGGTTCAATAATTATTGGAACATAATTAGGACTCTGAGGCCGTATATGAAAATGCCTGGGTGGAATACGGTACACGAGTGAACAGATCAAACAAGGTTTCAAACAGTGAATAAACTTCAACGAATGGTACAAGATGTCCGTCCGGGCGATGGCCCCGTTGTTAGCGTGGCGATTGTAACGTCCTGAATGAGGTTGCTCTCCATTCCGGTATCGATTATTATTTTAAGGCCAGCAGGGTTTGGGGCTGTCAGATTGAACGTGCATGGATGCACACACGGGTGCTGTTTGCGCTGGGCTACTCCTCGCACATTGGGTCGAGACTGGCCGGTCAGATATATATAATCCCACTGCATCGGCAATCTGACTGGTAATATAATAACTGGGCCTGCTGACTTTAAAGCAGCGATCACCAAATTACTGTAAGGGGTTTGCAATACCTCATGCAGCAAGGTGTCTGATGTACCTCATCAAGGCTGTGTATATACTGATGCTGGAGGTACTGGCAAGGCGATCAGATGTCAATCCTTCTCCCTTAATCGCCCCGGCCTCCCACCTTACTACCGACATTCTAACTGTGCGTGCGCCAGTTGCGTCCTATTGAGGATCTCCATTTCCGCCATTCACAAATTTGGCCGACCACCGTGCCACGCGAAGTTTAACCTGAAGTTTGATGCGTTCAAGGCTCACAATAAACATGGACCGTGCCACGGCAGCTGGTCTCTGAGTCTTATAGCTAAGCAAGTGAAGCGCCAATGAGTGAATGTGCAATCGGCAAGGGGATATACAGCTGTCCCCGAATGCAAGGTTCTCCGTAACAATCATGCGGGATTGATCGGGGATCATTCCCGGCCAGCGACCAGTGCTCGATGAACAAGAAAATCAATGCCACGATGGCCTGCACTCCTTTCCCCCCAAGCTGGCTGGAACGAATCCTTCCCTGGAGCGGGTAGGGCAGCTAGGCAGGACCCCATAAGCCTCTGCTAAGGTAGAGCAGAGTAGCCTGGGTACTCAGTGCAACAAGCTCTGATAGCTACTCGGGGGGCATACATTTGAAGAATTTGTTAGTAGTGTTGAGCCTGAAGTGCACCATCTAACTAACAGATGATGTACCGCAGATTCCAATAGTGAGTCCTTCCCTCTCAATTTTCCCGGCCTCCCGCCCCGCTACCGACATTCTAACTGTGTGTGCGCCAAGTGCGTCCCATATATTGAGGCTCCATTTCCATCACTTGGCCAACCACCGTGCCGAGGTCTAGCCTGAATTTAAGGCTCACAATATACATGGGCCGTGCCACAGCCCTGGCAGCTAAGTATTCTCTTGGCTAGTTTGATGATAATGAGTGAATGTAGATGTGCAATCGGCACAGGGACATACAGCCGGAGTTGTCCCCGAATCTCCGCGCGTAACAATCATTCGGGCTTGATTGATTGCGGTTAGGGATAAAGTGACATTGTTCCTAACTAGCAGCCGGTGCCCAATCACCTCTCGGATCGTTACATCGGCTGAAAAGTTAGCAGGTATCAATACCGCTCTCACTCCCCAATGCGTCGTGTCTCCCGGCCTGTGCTTCTTTCTTCCTCACTCGGGCTCGAACGAACACCTCCCTGGAGCGGGTAGAGTAGCCTGAGTACTCAGTACAACAAGGGAGCTCTGATAGTCACTCGAGAAAATACACCTGAAAAATCTGCTAGTAATGTTCAATCTGAATCTAGTCACTGGCACAAGCGGCGCACGACCAGGACCATCACGGGTTTATTTGGGCGCCAACTGGCGGACATATTCTAGCACCGCCTTATTTGTCAATGCTGTGAGTCTGTATCTGGACTCTGGCTTGGATAGCTTCCTTCCTATGGCCGATAGTCTCAAAACGATAGCCGCATGCAAAGTCGGACGGCGATCAGTGCGTACTACACAAACTACTGAGCATTTGACGGCGGGCCCAGCAAGAGCTAGCACCTATTGCTAGATGCGAGCTGACAACATAGTTACACGGTCGATGAGAAACAAGAGAGGGACAAGTCCACCCTCGCCTGGTAGGGCTGCGTGAACTGAGGGACAGAAAGGAGAAAAGAAACAAGAACATTTCTTAGTCAGAAGCGCAGTCATCCGAACTGAGCATCCATATAGATATGCTAACTCCGACATTCTTGTGAGATTTAGAACCACATTGCCGGTCGATTCGTCGACTTTGAACACCATCCGTCCAGCGTATCCTCAATAGCAGCCTTTGGCAGATACGTTCGTTATGAGAAAGGGGGAGGGATATGGTTAAGTGATGCCAGCAGCTACGTACATGATTTCCCGTGATTACAGCATCTGCCTCCAGGCCAGCAGAAATGATTGCCGCCGCCGCAAGGGGTCGCACCTTTCGGGAAGCACCTGTGGGAGTTCCTGAATAAGAGTATGATTTAACTTTCATAGAATGACCGACACGAACGCAATATTCTTATAACACTGTTATAGCCATGCATGTCAACAAGTCCTATCGAGAAACATCAATCAAAATAACGTACGCGGAATCCCTGGCAGCAGTAATGGCCAGTTCCGCAAGGAGTGGTTCCGGTGGGAAAGCAGCTAACGTGAAGTTGATGAACATCTAGCCTGCGTCGTCTTAGTAACCTACAACCACTCACTATCCTCCATGACACTAGAATGAAAAAAATCTATCAGCTGAATGGTGTTTTGACCAGTAGAATGTAAATGTGAACCCACGTAAGTACCGATCGTACAGTATCTACCGTCCGGGCACAAGTCTTAGCGGGGGGAAGGATGCTGTGAGAGAACTGCACTGGTTCGAGAAACGGTGGCCTAGCCAAGAGGACTCACGATAGCCTGGACAACTCGCTGCGGCTCCGAGGCCTCCAGAACCAGCTCCATCGTGAGTGGAAGATGGCTCGGCCGTAAGCAGGGGAAGACCCTTGAGTGTACCAAACGGGCCATGAGCAGGACTTGTATCGCGGCGGTCGGGAACGGGCAAGGCTGGGTCGATTGGGTTGGCGAAATTTTTGGCAAAGAACAATGCAAGGATGAAAATCAACCTAAACATTCTCAGCATCGTTGAAGAAGAGGGGGGCTCTTTCTTGGGCACCTTCCAACATGCTCACAGACTCGCTTAAGTAGGGTGTGTAGTAGTATACAGTCTCATTTTGGTATATAGGTTATTGGTCCGCAGGGATTTGGAGTTTGAGATGATTAGTCCACAGAGCCGCAATGGCAGTCAGCTGAAATGGGTTAACCAAACAGGGTCCGTATCCATGCTCATGCAGGATGATCAGCGCAAGTTCACACCAGAGAAGACCACCAAATCGAGAACGCCAAAAGAAGCATAGGGTTCGTAATATCGCCCACAAGAGGGGCAGGCCCAGCACAATTTCCTTCCCAGCCAGTATAATATGTGGAGGGTGGTCACGGACGTGAGTTACTGTAATGGAGCACTTACACAAGGGGCCCCGCACTTGAGTCGCCACAACACCAAGATTGGCTTTCTTGCATCATTTAATTGTGGGGATCAGTCAGTGCCTGCGCAATATTCCCTCGGGCTTGTTCTGTTATGTGAATTGTACCACATGAGCTGTGGTTGCCCAGGACGTATCCAACAATATCTTTGATATACCGTGGTTGGGGAGAAATGAGGGAGTTTCTGCGGAGGCCGAGCTTGGCACAATTCAGTTCTCATAAAGGCGAACAATGGGCTCAACGGCTGATGCTACGGTATTACACATGACAGGGTTGCAGCAAATGATTGGTTTCTTGGGAAACATGAGTTCTTGCCCAAATCGGGGGTTGGCGTCCACGTCACTATAAATGATCGAGCACAGCCCCAACATCATGAAATTGTGGACTGGTGAGAACTTTGATGAAGGCGCGGTCATTCATCGACTCAGGGCTTGGCGACCATTTTCGAAATCGTACCTGGAAGACTACATAGCTGTTGCGGGTTCAACCGTCATACCCCCAATGGCCAACATAAGATCGTCCCCTGAGATTGCCAAATGCAAACCAAATAGTCGATTAGGTAGGGGTTACTAACTGATGAGAGACAAAAAGGGATGTCAGGGCTTATGCAAGTGCGATGAATGAGGTGAGCCCCGTCGACGTCTCGATGTCGGTTATGTCAAGCCTAGACATGATGGTAGGCAAGTGGCCAGCCTGAACATGATGGCAACTCATAATTAACTTTCTCTTTGCAGAAGCGCTTACATAATAAAAGCCTTGTAGCCACAATGCAATTATGTAGTAGTGTCTGTGACGGAAGTTATGTGGATCGAACTATATGGACGTTGCAATGTTAAAGGTAGTGCATTATGACATTGGCTGCGAAACAACCAGCAGTACTAATTCGCTTAGGGGAAGACTGCTCTTTGAGGGACTTCGGATGGTTGCTATGCGAGAGGGCGGCAAGAATCAGCACCTCAGCGACCACCTAAGCAGGAAGCGCAACTTGGGGGAGCGAGTGATTTTCAGGAGTTAGGATTCAGGGATGCATTGATCGCCATCTGGGCCACTCGCACGATCAGCTTCCAGCTACACTGCATGAGGCACAACAACAGCTGCCCGAGTTATACATCTTTCTCGACCTACAAGTTCTTCACATGAGCAACATGGCTCAGCCGGCCGGAAGCTCATTGATCTTCCGGGCACCATTCATTAATGCTGCGGCACCACGAATCGATTTTCAACACGCTTTTGACAGGGTTGGTGTGGGCGGGATTCAGGCTGTGGGTGCGTGTTTGATTACTTTACTTTTGAGTGCTTATACCGTGAATTGATCCATCTACGGTCCGAAAGCACCGCATCCCGTTCGGTCTGCGGAGTTAAGTGGGGTTAGTACCATGGCAGGGGGCCACATGGGAATCCTGAGTACTGTGGTTCTATTTTGTTGTTGTTGTTGTTGTACTTCTTTTCTTTGCATTACCCCTCCAGTTAAGGGATGCCGGGCACGCTACAATTTTGGTGTATCCTCGACCGCGATTCAATGTGCCCGGAACTTGAAACCAAATATGTACAGATGTACAAGTTCAGTGTGATGTTTGCAATGAAAATCTTTCACGTCCTTATGGTCACTAGCCCACAAAATAGTTGAGTCTATTTCGCTCGCCGGTGAGTGCCTCTTTGTGGCATGCAAAGTCATTTTCCCACCTGCCCCTTATACTTGAGGATGAGTGTCTCATCCTTTACAACGACGCCCCAAGCACCAGCGTGATCCATTGTACACTGTTCACGAACCATTAACGCGGCACAAATACTTCTGGACTCATGTCGCGACGTTTCATCAGAAGATTGCCCCAAATCTCGATTCCATGGCCTCTGATCCCCTCAGCTGCAGATTGAGTTATAACGGAGTGCGTGCATGATGCAGGTAGTGCTGTCGTCCACAGTTCGCGATGCGATTGTGGAGCGAGAAATAAAATTTAAATTTCACAACAACTGCTTGAGGAATGAGAAACTCAGGCGGGGTCTCCCCCAATGGTAATGACGTTGATGGTGAACAGAGAGTGTAGCGGGATCTGCCGCTTCAGGCGACGTTCCCCAGTTATAATAGATAAGTCCGGGAACGCTCGTCCTCCTTCGTCCGAATGAAACCCAAACCATATTCCCTTGTGAGTCGTCACTCACATATGTTCAGATATTGTGTTACCAGTGCTGAAAATGGGAGGGGTTCCGCTTCACAAGCGGGTTTTTTTTCCTCCGTTGCCTCCTAAGTTAGCGTTTTTCTTTTCATATGCTCCGCTCTCATTTAAGAATTCTGCCACTCGCTTGGTTCCCTTTTCCTTCCCCAGGAGGTCGGCAAGGTCCAGAATCCCGTCTTTGTCTCGTAGGACGTCGCAGTGCAGAGGGCATTCCATAAGGATGCACTCGTGTCTCGATGGGTGTGCCGCACTCGGCAACTCGGGTCTTCAATCGTTGGTAGTATTTGCCAGGGATATACAGCCAGAGTTATCCCTAAATACAAAGGTTCTCCGTGCATAACAATCGTTCGGGCTTGATTGGTTGCGGTTAGGGATAAAGTGACATTGTTCGATTTAGCGTAACCTCTCGGATCATCACATCGGCTGCAAAGTATCCTACTGCTCTCACTCCCCAATTCGTTGTGTCTCCCGGCCTGTACTTCCTTCCGGCTCGAACGAACGCTTAATTCTCTGGAGCAGGTAGAGTAGCCTGGGTACTGGCACACAGTCGCAAACAGTGTATGACATGGGGCCGTCACGGGTTTATTTGTGCGCCGACTGGCGTACATATTCTAGTGCCACCTGGTTTGTCAATGCTGTGAGTCTGTATCTGGACTCTGGCTTGTATAGCTGTGTGTGAGAGAACTAGCGGACAATAAGCGCTAAGTAAAGTACACGATCTCTCAGTAACGAGTAGTCGCGTAAGAAGAAGGTAGACCTCACCTCAGTTCACGAGAGTAGAACTGAGGGAAGCAAGAAAAGGTTGCATCCAGTGGCTTTTAAGCCTACAGCGACGTCGATCTACAAGAAAGACAAGAAAGGAATAAAGGAAAATCTCTGGCGGCTGCAGGTCCGTGCGCCCAAAATATGGGACGTCGATATTCCTTCCTAACTTCTAACACTGCGTTCCTATGGTCGGTAGTTATGCTCAAAAAATCCGAAAAATGATGGCCGTATGCAAGGCCGGACGGTGTTCAGTGAGTACTACACAAACTACTAAGCATTTGATGGCGGGCCTAGCAAAAGCTAGCACCTATAGCTAACAACATAGTTACACGGTCGATGAGAAACAAGTCCACCCAAGCCTGGCAGAGCTGTATGAACTGAGGGACAGAAAGGAGAAAAGCAACAAGAATGTTTCTTGGTCAGAAGTACAAGTCATACGAACTGGGCATCCATCTAGATATCCTGACTCCGACGTTCTTGCAAGATTTGTGATGACATTGTAAGTCGATTCGTCGACTTTGAACATCATGCATGTAATGTATCCTTATGTCAGGGCACACCCGCCTGACCCGGGTCCACCCGGACCCACCTGGCCACACCACACCTGCTCCCTGCTGTCTATCCCCCTCCCCCCTCCTTCCTCCCTCTCCTCCCCTTTCTTTTCCCTCTTCTTTCCCCCTTCTTTATTTCATTCTTCTCATCTTCCTCTCCCTGTTTATTTCTTTCTATCTACACGGACCACCTTCCTTTGGATCGATGTACTATTGACCCATCCGGCCCACACACCCCGGACGGCTTCCCGCTGTGCCCAGCACGTGCGCATGCAGCGGACGCTCTCGGGATCCCCCACGGGGACACCTGGATGCCTGCGGCTGCCTCCGAGGATGATGTGGCACCCGTCATGTGACTCAAGCCGCATGTACATAAATGTACCTGAAGTGGGAACTGAAGAAGTAACCTTCTTCTCACATTCTCCACTTCAGGTAAATAGTATAGTTTTCCCCTTTAATAATAATAACACATTCTCCACTTCAGTCTTAGTGGCCAGGGACCACTGTCCTGGATCGGGCCCGCCAGTACGCACGCCCGCTCCACACCCCACGACGGCCTCAGTGCCAGACATTACCCCCGGGCCCTCTCGACCCCGGACGCGTCCCTGACACCTTAATAGCAGCCTTTGGCAGATATTTACATTATGAGAAAGGGGGGGATACAGATAAGTGAAGCCAGTAGTCATGTACATGATCTTCTGTTATTGCAGCATCTAGTTCCAGGCCAGCAGAAATGATTGCTGCCGCCACAAGGGATTGCACTGCTCGGGAAGCACCTGTGAGGGTTATTGAATAAGAGTATGACCTCATAGAATGGTCGACATGAACGCAATATTCTTATAACACTGTTATAGTGATGCATGTCAACAAGTCCTATCGAGAGATATCAATCAAAATAAGCCAACATACGTAAAATCCCTTCCAGCAGTAATGGCGAGTTCCGCAAGGAGTGGATCCGTTAGGAAGGCAGCTGACATGGTGAAGATCTAGCTTGCGCTGTCGTAGTAGCCACAGCCACTCACTATCGTCCATGACACTAGAACGAAAAGTCTATCAGTTGAATAGGGTTTTTGAATGGAAATGTAAACCCACGTAATAACCGTTCGGACTGTTAGAACTTGCAGATTCGGACGACTCTGGAGTGGAATCGGAGACTTAGCGTGGAAGGACCTCGGCCTCAGCGACTCAGGCGGAGCGCTGTGCCATTGCTGGTTGTCCTGGGGGTCCCTAATTTCGGATCTAGCAGAGGGAAAGTCTCTTGGGGGGAATTCAGGTCAATTTTGGACTGAGGTTACAAGTTACTAGGTACATTGTATATAAGGAGGGGTCCGGAATCAAAAGGAACAAGGGTAGGACGAAAGGAGACAAAGGGAGATGGAAAGAGGAACAACACCGAGGGTCAAGTGTTTGACTCAATGGTGTTTCCCAAAGGAGGAATGAAGGGCCAAGGCCCAGGGAGGAAGGAAGGAGGATGGGAGTCGGGAATGGCTAGCTGACTGAATAGAAGGAAGCAGCAGCCCAAATAGGAATGAGGGAGAATAGCGGAATTGAAATGGACAATGCAATAGTTGCAAGGTCTGGAGTAAGTCCGGAAAGTCCGAACTCGGAGGTTAAACTCCAGAATATTGGCAAACGTAATTAAATGGAATGAGCTAACCAATACAATGGGTATAAGCGGAGGTGGGGTCTAAGTCTGAGGTCGGAGCTAAGACTGGAGGTTCCAGAGATGGAGACACAAACAGGATTCCGGAGCGGAGGTCCGGAGTCGGGAACATAGGTGTTGCATGCTCATCTGGAAGGTGTTGAGGATGAGGTCGGACCCGGAATGTTCCGGAGTCAGACTGAAGGTGGTGTTGGAGCCGGAGGTGGGATAACCTCTTGGGAGTCAGCAAGGAGAAGGTGACGGAAGGGAAGTAGGGCTCTGGAGTCGGTTTCGGAGTTCCGGGAGCCTGGAGCGGAGGTCGGGATTGTACGGATATGACACAGACAGCATCCACCGCTGGAGCACAAGTCTTAGCGGGGGAAGAGGGGCTGTGAGAAAACTAGTTCGAGAAAACGATGACCTAGCCAAGAGGACTCACAATAGCCCTGCCAACATCCCCCTGAGGCTCCAAGGTCTTCAGAACCAGCTCCGTTGTGGGAGGAAGATGGCTCAGCCACAAGCAGAGGATGACCCTCGAGCGTGCCAAATGGTCCAGAAGCAGGACTCGTATTGCAGCGGTCAGGAGCGGGCAAGGCTCAATCGATTGGGTTGGCAAAACCTTTGGCAATAAACAAGGCAGCCTAGTCAGCCATCTAATGATGGCCTATAGAGGGGGGGCCATTTGGCCTTCAAATGGGCCTAAAAGGGGGTATTTACTAGTGGATGTCCTAGGATGTCCTGGGATGATTCTATGATTCAATCAAATTCAATCAAATGCTTCTGTGATTCAATCAAATTTGTATTATTCAGGGTAGACATTCAAAACATAATGCCGCAATTGAATCTGACTTCCCATGACAATCCTCAGGCTGCTCAACTGTCTGTGCACAATGCTGGCCACTGTCTGAAGGGGTGTCAACACTGTTTCCCACGTCCCCAACACACTTTATGCAGAATATATAATTTGAGACTAAATTGACAAGCAAGTTATTGAGAAAAATGCAAAATACTTTTTTGGACACGAGTCTTTGGGATATCAGTGACCCGGGAATTTCGATGACTTCGATGACTGTCAGTGAAATTTAGTGGCCCAAGCACTATCCCAAAGACTCGCATCCAAAAAAGTATTTTGCATTTTTCTCAATAACTTGCTTGTCAATTTAGTCTCAAATTATATATTCTGGAAGCTATTTGAAGGGGCTATCCAACTACACAAAGTGTGTTGACACCGTGGGAAACAGTCTGGACACCCCTCCGGACAATGACCAGCACTGTGCACAGACATGAGGTGGACAGCCACACTAACCCAAAAGACTCGCATCCAAAAAAGTATTTTGCGTTTTTCTCGATGATTTATTGGTCAATTCAGTCTCAAAATATTCTGGAAGCTATTCAAAGGGGCTATCCATCTGCGTAAAGTGTGTTGGGGACGTGGGAAACAGTGTTGACACCCCTTCAGAGTCGGATCAGACAGTGGCCAGCATTGTGCACAGACATTGAGTTGGACAGCCACACTAACCCAAAGACTCGCGTCCAAAAAAGTATTTTGTGTTTTTCTCGATAATTCATTGGTCAATTCAGTCTCAAAATATATATTCTGGAAGCTATTCAAAGGGGCTATCTATCTGTGTAAAGTGTGTTGGGGCCGTGGGAAACAGTGCTGACACCCCTTCAGACAGTGACCAGCATTGTGCACAGACATTAAATAAGTTGGACAGCCACCATCAAAAGACTCGTGTCCAAAAAAGTATTTTGCGTTTTTCTCAATAATTTATTGGTCAATTCAGTCTCAAAATATATATTCTGGAAGCTATTCAAAGGGGCTATTCAACTATGTAAAGTGTGTTCAGACCGTGGGAAACAGTGTTGACATCCCTCTAGACAGTGGTCAGCATGTGCACAGACCATGGGATGGACGAGTATGGCATTCCGGGACAATTTGCAACCATTGAATCAAACTGAATTAGGACATCTGAGGACGTTTGCAACAAATGAATGAAACTGAATGGCCAGGATGTCCTAGGACGTTTATAGTGAAAAAGGCCTTTTAGGCCCCATGCAAACGTCCTGAGGTCCCCCCTATAAAGGCCCACATAGTGGTTGTCCAAGGTGAAACAAGGCAAGGATGAAAGCAGGGAAAATCAGCCTAAGGATTTTCAACATTGTGGTACGCTGGATCCCAAGAGGAAGTTGAGCTCTTTCTTGCAACATGCTCGTTTAAATAGGTTGTGCAGCAGTTATGCAGTCTCATTTTGGCAGGAGGGTAATTATGTTGGAATAACCATCAGGGATGGAGTAACCTCCCTGGCATAACGGGCGAGTAGTGTATGGATGCACGCTAGAGGTCCTGGGTTCGATACCAGGCTTGTCCATTTTATGTCATTTGTCCAGTCACCTGGTTTACCTCAGTTGAATTCATGACATAAGTCTATAGCGCTAGCAGTGTTGAATTTCTTCAAATTATTGGTCTGCAGGGATTTGACATGATTAGTCCACAGATCCGCAATGGTGGGCACATGTACTTCGGTGTCAGGCCACGTGTGGTTGCTCGGGACCGCAATCAATTGACTTGAAACAAGGTTCGTATTCATGCTCAAAGAAGCCTGCCAAATCGAGAACACCCAAAGAAGCATAGGGATCACCACAGGGATCCCACGTCATCCAACGCTTGACAGCGCTTCCGTCCTTCTTGGCCGCCCGAAGCCCTAGCTTCGGGCCCCCACCGGTCACAAGTGTCGGTGACGAAGTTCCGAAGCTTGGAGACTCAGAGATGTCACCGCCTGGACATTTCTTAATGGGCATTTCCATGACGGTTGAGCGCTTTACATGGATCGAACTATACGGTGTAACTTGGGGGCCTTTCAATATCAAGAGTAGCGCGTTACGACATTGGCTGCGAAACGACTGGCAGTACTAATTCGCATAAGTGAAGACTACTCTTTGACTGCCAACCTCAGATGGTTGCTTAAGGGACCGAGTGGTTTTCATGAGTCAGGATTCAGGGGTGCATTGATCGCCATGATCTAGGCTACTCGCACCATCGTACTCAACCTCCGATGTCCGCCTATACTATACAAAGGCAGCCCGAGTTACACATCCTTCCCGACTTATGAACATTCCATTGACGTGGCCCGGCAGCTACTGTCAGCTCCGGAGATCAGTCGGAAGCTCGTTGATCTTCCGGGCACCATTCAACGCCGCCACGGATCAGTGTTGCACAAGACCAAGTCAGACTCGTGGTCACGGGGACTCTGAGTCAGATTGGGTCCGGACTGGGTGTCTCGGTCTGTCAGGTCTGAACTAACGGAGTTATAACGGACTAACGGATTTAGCTACAAGCGCTTGATGTGTCACCAGAAACATTCCACCCTGCCACCGTCTCTAAGCTCCCATCTAGGTCTAAGTTCCTCTCTCATGTTAAGAGGTCTTCCATCTCCGTTTCTAGCCCTCAGTTCCGCTCACCCTGCATCCACATTGAATCTCGCGTCAAGTTGAAAATATCTCGTACCCTTTTCCCCTGCAAACTTACGCCCTAACGGCAAGCTGTAAATAGATACTTTGGGAGGAATGGAAAATAGAACTTACTTGGGGGGATCTTGATGGTAGACTCCGCGCAAAATTCATTTCAGATTGTTCTGCATCGTAGTCACTGGTGAGGTCCTGGGCACGGAAAGGATGGTAGCCATGGTTTATGTCATCAGGAATGCAGGAGGGATGTCCATGCTCGAGCTCCAAACGGCCCCCAGAGGGGTCATGGTCGCTAGCGAAAGGAGCAAGTCCAAATGAACGACGGATTCTCTTCCCATGTGAACCATCGACTGCATGTTGGTGGTTGAGGTCTGGTTTGATAGATGAGATTTTCACCATCTTCTCAACAGATAGTCGATTGCGTGCGGGGTTCTTTGTGTCCCCAATGATAGAGAAGAAGTTATATGGACATGAGGCATCGGACTTGTTGAACGCTGGTCTAACCATGCTTGTCCTTCAGCACACCCCTCTACGGAAGCGTGTGTGCATTTCACAAGATGACAAGCCAGCTTTTCTACTGTTCCTTGAATATCAGATGCGAGTGCAAGCGCTTATGTTTGCCATTTGATGAATACCTCTCAAACCAAATTGATGAGATATACAATGCATACCAGCTTCATGTAGTTCATCCACTGAGCGTCGTTGTGTAATGCTTCCAGTTGAGATGCCCTCGGAATCCTTTGCCTCCAGTGTCCTTGTGTGCCAAGCCACGCATCCCTTGCACTTGGCAACGCGGTGGCTTTTATTATTTCCATAAAACCTTTCAAGTTGGTGGAAGTATTCCCACATAGGACTAGAAACGCCCATGGTGAGCTAGAGGAGGATGGGGGGGTGGGATTGTGTGGGATTGTGTGAAGTTTTCGAAAATCCTAACATGAAACATGGCAAATCAGGCGGCAAAGTCACAGTTGTGTAACTCAAGCTGTAGTAGAATCATGCTCAGCATCTCTTGCGTGCTAGCAAACAGTCATTACAACATCTAATCCATAACAAACAAAACATATCCTATGAAGAATGGTTGCGGACGGGTCTGAATATCGGGATCCCCCGATGAAAAGTCCGACTTACACTGACCGTGGGAGAGACTTGTGACCATCCAGTCAGACTCACGGACTTCGGTCTTTGTGACCATTTGTGACCAGGTCTGTACAACACTGCCACGGATCGATTATTTCGATCTGACAGTGATTGCATGGGCTGGCCGTCTCTTGATAAGCCAGAAAGGCTTGGATGCCTTGCAAAACGGAGTAAGTGGAGGATCTTGTTGTCCATATGGAACTGTATGACCATCCCTCCGTGGACATCAAAGCAAGAGCTCGATCGGGGCCCTTGATCGAGGGCACCCTCCCTTGAACAACCATAGCCTCAGAGCGGAATAACATTTGGAGCCTTTATTAACGTGAATGTTGGTTCCAGGGGAGATGTACATCATAATCATACAATGAATCAAATGTGGGATGCCTGGTTCAAACCTCAAGCCCAGATGAAAAGTTGCCAGAGGTCCGAGAGTAATACAAAATGACAATACTCGACGATCTCATAGCCAAATCAGAGAAAGGGCTGGTACGATCACCGCCCCGAAAAAGACCGTCAAATCTGGATAGTCGAGTGTAGGACCAGATGCTGAAGTTCTGGTAGAGGTGGAAGAGGTGGAAGAGGCGTCGGAGGCGGCTGCAGCAGGGGCAGAGGAGACGGAAGCCACGGCGACGACGGAAGAAGCTGCAGAAGTGGTACTAAAAAGAGTGGTGGGGGATGTGGAGGTTGTATGACTTGGAGTGGGAGTGGGCTTAGGAGTGGACGTTGCCGTAGAATAACAAGAGGTGTCAGGTCCGCATGAGTACCCTGGGTCGCAGCCTATAATCGACATAGTTATCATGATCGGGAGTAATGTGAGTGGCGCGGGTGATTACATACAACCGACATTCTGACAGCATGAATTTCCCGCTTGGCAATAATGACCAGTACCACAGGGTGTCCCACCGTTCGGAACGCAACTGGAGAATGAGGTTGCCATGAGGTAATAACCTAGGATTCATATAATCGACAGACCCATTTTGATAACACTATTCTGAGCAGCATTAGAGAAATGACACCGGGACGACGGGTCGCATCTATGACAAGAACTCACATAATTGCCTGAGCTGCAATAATGACCGTTCCCACAAGGTACTCCGCCGTTTGGGATGCAGCTGACATATCATGTATCGATAAACAGCTGTCCATGTGCTCACAACTTTACGGCTTACGACGCTCCCGAGCACTAGGGTGAAGAAACACTCAGTTAAATGCACCAAACAACTTGAGCGAAATGGGAAACTCACGTAATAACCATGCTGACAACACCCACTGCCATCTGAGCACTGAGGAAGCGGATAAGATCGCTCCTATAGTGTTTCAAGGAGATGACCGTACGCATATACCCCCATCGGTACAACACCGATTGGGAGGACAGAAGACTTGATGGCAAAAGGACTTAAGCGCCGGCTGGTTCGAGAAATAACTAGTCAGATGGGTGACTCACAAGTGCCGTTTTGACGTGTATCTGTCGTTGCCACAAGTACTTGGAAGTTGGATCCCCCATGGAAGGAAGGTGGCGAAGCGGGGAGTACAGGGGGTCTATGAAGTGCGATAAATGGTTCAAGCGCTGGGTTTGTATCACGGCGATCGAGAATACGTAAAGGTGGAACGCAGCTGGCAAGGCTTGTTGCGACGAACAGGGTAATGATGAAGGCAGGAGCAATTTTCCAAGGGTTTGCCAGCATCTGTTTCATCAAGCCTACTTTTCGAACGACGATAGCACAATCGATTATTCACAGCCAGCACCTTGTCTGTACCTGCGGTACGAGGACATACTCCATCAGTGGGTGGTTAGAATAGTGGAGCATTCAAACGATCGGCGCGCCCAAGCGAAGTCTAGACCAAGAATTTGCAAACCTCATAGATAGGCCAATTGTTGGGTACGAGTAGCTTTTCAGCTCCCTGCGCCCGGTGACGCTGAGTATCCGCCGCTGACCGCTGAGACCGCAATGCCCAGCTCATAACAGCAATGCCACTCAATCCAGATACTGCCATGACTCAATTGACAACATCTCATACTCATCGGCGATTCTTGGCGACTGCTTCTATGCGCCATCTGCGGTAAGGCTAAAAGTGAAGAAACGTATCTTGGCCAAGGATTTAGGAAACTTGAGCTGTAAGCTGAACAACCCGACGATTGGAGACTTACGTCGTAGGTTCCCATCCCAAAGGCCCCAAAAACAGAAAACGTGCCCCTCAGGCTCCCGAATGAGTTTCGGACGATCGGAATCGACAGCGCTTTACATGGCTGTGGCCATCCATGAGCCGAGGCATGCATCTGTAAAATGAAGACTTGATGAAAATGCCTAATTAACGACTCGAAAAAATAACCTGTGGGCGGGGCGCGGGGCGACGAAGACCGAAAGTCAGCTCGGAACTAACAGGAGAAAGATGAAACGAGCGCAGCGCAGGATCGAGAAATGGTCAAGGAACAGATCGAAAATGAAGGATAAGTAAGATAATCGTAAAAATAGTTAAGACGGACTAGCTAAGAAAAGGATCCCACATCAATTATCGAACGTCTCACCGACACGGCGTAAGATCGGGTCTCATAGTGCGGCGGAGAATCAGCCATCGCTATCTCTCAAGCTGATGGTGCTGGAGTGGCAGCCTGACGACCCCGATGCCAATGGCTGACGAGCCACCGGCACATTGCCGACGCGGATGGACCTAGGCACACAAGTTTAGTTTTGCTCAGTAACTTTCTTTTATTCTGCGTAGCGCTTGTGGTGCATTACCACACACTAAATTCGACTTGTCTCCAGAGGAGCATGATATCTAACGAACTTGGATATCGTGGCCAGGCGTTAGAGCAACACATGCGTCAGGGTTGGACATTGTAAACTAGACTTCGGAAACATACCATCGTTTATTTCCGAGGACATTCCCCAAGTAGATGGTGAGAAGTGCTGAGGTCGTAGATGAAGAGGTTGTAGAGTGGAGCGTTGAGATAGCTAGGCAGTGGTATTGCTTCCGGAGACATAGGTTGGTCACAAATAGATGACAGGTGACAACCCATTTGATCGCATGTGTGAATTGGTGCGTCCGCTGTAGGGCTACAAGTTAAAGGACAGCCTTGGACAATCAAGGCAACAGCAATCTGCCAAAAATTTGCTAGCATTTGTCTCAACAGGTCTGCTTCCAAAGAGGATCGGGGATTACCCACCCCGATTCACACGTTATCTGTGCCTGCCGTACGAGAGCGTCACCCATTTAGTGGGCCCCTTATTGGAATAATGCCCGTGTCCAGCAGCGAACCGTGGGCGAAGCCAAGAATTTGCAAACCTCGCAGATAAGCCGATACCACAAACTGCCACAATAATCTCATGATCATTCGACAATCCTTGGCGGCTAGTTTTGCACCTGGTCATCAGCACCTGTGTATCCAATGTTGCCGTATACCCGTGTGGCGGTAGTGACCCGCGAGCAGGGCCAAAAAGAAGCGGGATCACAGACAGATTGGTTCAGCATCGAGTTCGACAAAACTAAAAATATCATAGTCAGGACTGGTCATAGCAACTTGAAACTCAACGGTCAGCCGCGCCGAGTGAGCGAATTTACGATTTGACGATTACGCTCCCGTCCCAAAGTACCTACAAACGGGAAACACGCCTTGCAGGCTTGCAGATGAGTTTCCTAGGATTGGAATTGATGGCTCCTCACATGGTCGCGACCATGAACCGAGGTACTCTCCACACCATGAGCAAGAATAGAACACATGGAGCTCATATGCATGGCGTGCGAAACATCGATGAAAGAAATTCCAACTCCTATGTGTCCCCCAGTGAAAATGATAGAGGTACGATGGGTTGAATGTCAAACACGTGCTTATAAACTTTGGTAGAAGCAAAACGCAATATTGTGTGACCACCGCAGTGTCCTAAAGAACATGGCGAACTGATGACCGAAGCGGAGGCTGGTGTACTGTACTGGCACGACCAACAACCGGTCACGCATCATCCAGTTTGGAGCGTGACGCCGGACATCCGACCGGCAAGCTTGAGTGATGCGTGACAGCCAACAGGCCGAGGCCAGAACTGCGTGACACAACCCCTCGGACAACGGGTTTTCTGTCTTATATCCGAGAGAATTTGATAATATTTGAATTTTGAAATGGAAATTCTCATGTCAAATTTTCTGCCCGGTATTATGGATGGATTTGTGCTTGCCAGCCGTATTGCGGCTTGTGCTGAGGAAACTATACATACAACAACACCCCTAAATTTCTCATTGGTTGCTACAGGCTGTTCTCGCAAGCATCCTACTGGTGACAGTGGGATTCATCCTAACTCTACTACGGTAGTACATGAAGGACAATTCTCAGAAGCCATAGAGGATGATGTGGAGGTGATGTTGGAGGAGGTTTATGAACATCTCGACACCGGAACCCTGCCTGACGGCCTTGCCGACGTGAATGGTGGCCTTCAGTTGAGTTGGAATGCTGCTGAAGAGGACAATGCAGAATCCATTGGAGAATTCACTGTGGCAGTTGGGTCTGAAGTTGGTAGTGGTGAGTTGGGATGGGGTAAGCGGCTTAAACAGGCGAGAAATCTGGAGACAGACACGCTTTTAACGATGTAGTTGGAACATTTGAATTGAAAGCTTGCACAGCCACTATATTCTACTCAAAGTGCGTGACGGGCAGGCCTGTGTGACGCGTGATAAATTCCAAAAAAACGCCGACCGGCAGGGTCAGCGTGACGCGTGACCGGTTGTTGGTCATGCCAGTACAGTATTATGTAACAAAAGTCCGGGCAGATTCGAAGGAACAGATCCTCCCTTACAAGTGCTGCATGAATAATATAGTAGATTGAAAGCGAGCCAACGTTCTATTGGAACGGATCGAATATTATATACCGAAGGGCGTGAAAACGCTGCGATGCTCTTGGCAATGCTTCCATCGCTGCCGGTACCGTAATAATTAATAAAATAGGAGCTATCGCGCGTAACTCAGTCTCGTAATGGAGAACTAGTATTAAGATATTTTTACCTATCGCGCGTAACTATAACATGAAAATACAATGAGTTATGCGCAAACACAGATAGGAAAGAAATGGTATCACCTCAGTCTCGTAATGGAGAACTGAGGGAGGGAGAAAAATTACGGCGTCCAGCGTAACTTATACGACTGGAGCCAATATCGCTTAAAGCGATTGCCAGTGACAACTGGCGATATAAGACAAAGAAAAATTGTGAGCGCGTGGTATCGCGACTCTGAAACAAAAGGTATAGTCGTTGTTAGTCACGACGATATTAAGTTAAAATAAAGACTCCCCAATCCACGCTGCAGCTCAGCTGTTGTCGATGAGCGTTGATATTCCAACAATAATTCATAGGACATTCTGCCGTGGGTGAATCAAACGTGATCGGGCTGAATAACAACGTTCCTACGATAGCAAGAACCTGAAGATTCGTGAAACCAAGAAAGAGAACTTGTTGTTGTTGTTGTACTCTATTTTGTTACCGCGCGGGCCCGCGTTTGACGTGGCAGTGCGGTCACCCCCGCTCGTCAATAAATGGTAGTGGTCTGGTTGGTGTGGTCGGGGTGACGGGGTCCTCTGGATTGTGATATATGGTATTAAGTCGTGTCTGGGTATGCCTCTCTCTACGGGGGGTTACTGGTTGGGTATACCTGTCTCCTGTTCCCCCGCTTTGCTTCGTTCTCTGTCCGCCCTTTTTGCCGATGGCCCGCGACTTCTTGATGAAGTCTGCTAGTCTAAGAATGGTCGAAAACCTGCTCTGACGACCGCGGCCCAGTACGTGTCTATGTTTCTCAAACTGTGGGCTTAGCTGTACACACACTGCTCTCTGTGTGGATACGGAACCGGTGGTAGTATTCTCCCAGGTGTGCGTGGCCGGTGCGGAACTGGATCAGTCTGCTGAGGGCTTTTCGGTCCAGCGATTTAAACCTGTGGTAGGTTTAGTCGATGGGGGGTTCCGGTTTGCGACGTGGAATCCTGATCGGATCGGGATGGGTGTGCTTGCCCAGTCAACATTGTTGCGTGTGGGTCGTACGCCTGTGTGGCAGTGTGACCCACAGGGCGATTTCACCTGGAAGAGACATCCACCTTGTTGTTGTCCAGGGGTTGCCTGTGTCGATTCTGGTTTTGGAGCTCTAAGAGAATATAGAGGCTGCAGTCCTGCCTTCGTCCTGCTCTCCTCTACGATCCTGTTCGCTGTTGTTCTGGGATGTACGGCCCTTGGTCTGCTCCCTACATCGATTACTTGATGAACTCCACCAATCGAAGGGTACCCTTCAGTTTGCCCATGCTGACCCAGTGGCCTGGGACCCCCGATGTCGTAGACCGCGGGCATGCCCCTAGTGTATGTTCTCTCGTCTGAGTTTCTGTGCTGCAATGGCCCTTGTCTTTCTGTGGACGTTGAAACGGCGGTAACGTAACATTGCTCATCGGTCTCCAACATCTCATGCTTTCTTCGGCCCTCTACGATTTGTACCGTGGCTTGGTTGGTCCTTAGTCGATCCCTGGCAACATCTGCTCGTTCATTTCCTCTGCGAATCGAGGCTCTTGACCACCAACTCAGCTTGCAAGGGGTCTACGCTGCGCTAGGCGCAACAGTGGGCATTCCGAATCAAGCAGCTTCTCCATAAGTCCCTCTTGCGATAATGTAGAAATATAAAGGTGGTGGTACTATTGGCGATAGCTACCCTTTGACAAGCCACAAAGGGTGACAAAATAGGGTGACAAAAGGATCGTAGCGCCCGCATATAGCTATAAGACTGAGGATATTTTAAGACCGGGGGCTCTCGATTGAGTGAGGACTTCTCAGGATTCGTGAACAGTCGTAGCCACAGAACAAGAACAGATAAGCATTTCATTAACGTGAATGCCGGTCCCAAGAAAGACGTACATCAGAATCAATACAGTGGATCAAATATGAAATGACTAGTTGAAGGCTAGGTTGGAGTTACAGGAGTCGCCAGAAGTCGATGTTAATACAAGAGTTAATACAAGAGATCATAATGCCCAAAGAGTGGGCAATCTCATAGCCAAACCAGAGAAAGGACTGCTACAGCAAACGCTCCGAAAAAGACTATCAAATTTGGGTGGTTAGACATAGGACTAGAATTTCGAATAAGGAGGTTTCCAGTGAAGTTGAATCTGACTGATATGTTCCCGTTAATGGGCGATTGGGGTGATATCACGGCACCTAATCCTGTCCCATCTTCGTGAAGTGTGAAGGCCAAGGAGTTACCCCCATCCATACCAATGGGCGCTCTAGAAAGATAGTTTATCGCGACGCCGTTAGAACAGAAGCTCCCCTGCTAGATTACATATCAACTCACTGAGAAAAGTTGGCACCATCTGAGTCATAAATGGCGATACTCCCGGCGATGCCGGCGAGTTTATCAGATGCCGTGTCCGTCGTGTAACTGAACCCAACGGAAAAGAGGATGAATCAACATTGCAGCCAGAATCAAAAATTTCTCTACCCAACTTACTTCCCGGCTTGGAGATCACCGAGCGGAAGTACAACATGCCCAGATGAATTATCTGAGCCTATGCCGAAAGGCGGAAGTAACGTTCCTAACGACATCATAGTATCCCATATTGCTTAGCTGAAATAACAAAACCGATTGATCATGCAACTCACCACTCGAGCCAGATCCACGAATCGAATCCCGCCTGGAAAGATGACTACAATTAGCTAGGACAAGGAACTGAGCGCCGTCTGAAATATGATATTGGGAAATGAAAAGATTGAGATAGGCCCCTAGGAATGTATTCTGGAAAGCAGGTATGCATGCGATTTGTGGGCTGTTAGCTCCTTCCAGGGTGGACACGAATGGGTACTGTCATAAGCAAATAAGACACCTGAGGCTGTGCTGGATGTGACACATCTCCCCTCGCACCTCGGTACACGAGAGACCCGTAGTCGTAGAATTGCACTTGCTAGTAACGCATCCAGCTTGGGCGCGAATTGTTTTCTTTTGATTCTCGGTTCGCTTAGCATATGTTAAAACTTCCGAATTCCCTTTGTTGCGCTGTCTTAAACCTTTAATGGCCGCTTTCAGAATGGAATCATTGTGGCAGGAGGAAGAGATCATTCACCGCTGCAGATATTTTTAGTGACCTTTGGGGAAGAAAAGTGGCTACGTCAGGGCTAAACACAAAGACAATGATGCAGAACTGACAGCATCGTTTATTCCTGGAAGATCCGCGAAGTAAATTGTCGGCAGTGCCGGGGTCGTCGAAGTAGATGTTGTGGACCCAGTGGTGGGCGTAGGCGTATGGGTAGAAGTAGGCGTTCGAGTAAGGGTAGGGGTAGGTGTCGGTGTCGGTGTCGGTGTCGGTGTTGGCGTTGGTGTTGGCGTTGGTGTCGGTGTCGGTGTTGGTGTCGGTGTTGGCGTCGGTGTTGGCGTTGGTGTCGGTGTCGGTGTCGGTGTCGGTGTGGGCGTGGGCGTGGGCGTGGACGTGGGAGGAGGTGGTGGTGGTGGAGGTGGAGGTGTGGGAGTGGGAGTGGGAGAGTTTATAGAACAACTGCCGTCTGATCCGCATATATACCCTGAATTGCAGCCTATAATCGACACAGTCATCGTGGGCGACTGGGAACACTATAAGTATTGGGTTATTACATACAACTGACACCGGGTTGGCAACATGTTTTCCCCTGTTGGCAGTAATGACCAGTACCACAGGGGGTCCCACCGTTCGGAATGCAACTGGAGTACGGGTTTACCATGAGATAATGAACCAGGATTCATATAATCGACAGACCCATTGTCAAAACACTATTCCGAGCAGCATAAGAGGAATGATACGAAAACGAAGGTTCGCTTTCATAGGGAGCACTCACATAGTACCCTGGATTGCAATATCCAGTCCCGCAAGGTATTCCTGTGGGTGTGGGCGTGGGAGTGGGAGTGGTAGACGTAGGCGTGTTTATGGAACAACTGTAATCCGATCCGCATATATACCCTGGATTGCAGCCTATAATCGACACAGTCATGATCAGGAACACTATAGGTTTTGTGTTATTACATACAACTGATATCGGGCTGGCAACATGTTTTCCCCTGTTCGCAGTAATGACCGATACCACAGGGGGTCCCACCGTTCGGAATGCAACTTGGCACGGGTTTATCATGAGATAGTGAACATACCAGGCCTCGATGAACCTTGCAACTTTACAACTTACGTTGCCGAGTGACACTGGGGTGAAGAATCGAACCCCGTTAAGCATATTACACAGTCTGAGTGAATTGAGAAACTGACGTAATAGCCCTGCTGGCAGCACCCACTGCCATCCGTGCACTGAGGGAGTGGATAAGAACACTCCTAAAGTTGTTTCAAAGAGTTAACCATACGCATTCACCCCCAGTCGTACAACAAAAACTGGGGGCACAGAAGACTTAGGGACAAAAGGGGCTAAGTGCCAACTGCTTCGAGAAACGAGTTAGGGAGGGCTTACAAGTGCCTGGGTCACATGAGCCCGCCGCTGCTACAAGTGCTTGGAAGTTGGTTCTGTTGGGGAACGAAAGTGGCGCAGCCTGAGCGAGGAGTGCAGGGGGAGAGCGAGGCACTGGGTTTGTGTCCCGACGGTTGGAAATAGCTAAAGCTGGAGCGCAAGGGCTGGCGACACTTGTTGTTGCGATGAACAAGGCGACGACGAAGGCCCTAGGAGCAATTCGCCAAAAGCTTGCCAACATCTGTTCCATCAGGCGAACTGCGACAGCAAAAGAGGGGCTTCTCACTACCAACCTGAAAACCACCCCCCCGACTCGCCTAAATAAGCCGCGTGCTATTTGTGCCTGAGGTGCGGGGGCATCCGACTCTTCCATGGGGTAGTCCTGGGGAGACAAGGCCCAACCCCTTATTGGAATAGTACTGCTGCTCAATGATCAGCGCACCCGCGAAGCCGAATTTGCAAACCCCAACAGATAAGCCAGTTTTGGTTAAATACCATGACTTGATTGAAATTTCTTATGATTATTCGGCAACCCTCAGCACCTATTTTTGTGCCTAGTGTTCTGGGCATTTACCCATCTCTTCTTTTCAGAGTCTTCTATTTATGTATAAGTTGACCGTCAAGTTGTGCCTTTATCCTTCATCCATGTACCACGTAAAACACTGGCTTGTCAGCGTCGTACCACATGTACTCCGGCCAACACCGAATCCGTACTGTTTGCTCTCAATTTAGAAGTCTTGGCGGATCGTTTAGTCATATTTAGTCATAAATGGAATACCCCTCTGATTGCGAACACCCGCTTTGTCCTCATTGCGGCATGCATCGCGGGTACTCAACACTAAGTGCCTCCATCCTCCTCATGTGCCATGGGCGACATCCACTCTTAGCAAGTCACAAAGGTGGCGAAACAGCCGGGCGAGGAAAGGATCCTGTCACCAACATACAACTGCAGGACTATATTTTAGGTCCGGGTCCGGGGCTCAAGAACTTCTCATGAACTGTCATAGCTACAGGAACAATTCACTAACGTGAATGTCGTTTCCGAGAAAGAGGTACATTAGAATCAATACAACGGATAAAATGCCTTGCCACAAGTCGGAGAATGATGTAATCAAGAGGTGCAGGCGATCTCATAGCCAAACCAGAGGAAGGACCGGTCCAATGAACGCTCCGAAAAAGAGCACCAAATTTGGATGGTTGGGTGCAGGACTAGAACCATTGATTCGCGAAAAGAGGTTACCAGTGAAGTTGAAGTTGACTGATATGTTCCCACTAATGGGCGATTGGGGTGAGACTACGGCACCTAATCCTGTCCCATCTTGGTGGAGGGTGAAAGTCAAGGAGTTATCTCCATTCCGGCCAATGGACGCTCTGGGACAGTCCATCACAACGTCGTCAGAACAGAAATCCTCGTCGTTCATCATACTATCAAACTCACTGAGAAAAGTTTGCGCCATCCGAATCGTAAATGGCGATGTTCCCTGCGACGCCAGCAAGTTTGTCAGATGCTGTCTGTGTCGTGTAACTGAACGCAAGGGAAAAGGACAGAATTAATATTGCGGCTTGAATAAGCAGTTTCTCCATGCTTACTCCCCCGCTTGCACATCACCAAGTGGAAGTACAACATGCCCGGAAGAGTTATCCGAGTTTAAGCCGAAAGGTGGTAGTAGCGTTCCTGCAGACATCCCAAGTATTAGTTGGACGAAAAAGTGTGCCGGGCATGACTGGTTGGGCTGTACAACACACCACTTGAACCGGATCCCTCAACCGAAACACGCTTGGTCAATTGATCGCAATTTGCTTGAACAAGGAACTTCGTGCCGTCCGAAATATGATATTGGGAAACGAAATAATTGAGATAGGTTCCCTGGTACGTGTTCTGGAAGGCAGGGATGCATGCAATTTGTGTACCGGTAACTCCTTCTTGTGTGGACACGAAAGGGTACTATCGCAAAATGCATTGAGACTTCATTTTGGTGTCATAAATCTCCTGTCGCACCTCATTGCACGAGAGGCCTGTGGCAGTCGAATTGCACTTGCTAACAACGCATCCAGCTTGATCGCGAATCGTTTCCTTTTGACTCTCGGTTCGCTGGGCATATGTTAAAACTTCTGAGCCCCCTTTGCCTCGCTTTTTCAAACCTCCAAAAGTGGTAATACCAGTTTCAGAATGCGACAAATGTGCTATGAAGAAGAGATTGTTCACCATCGCATATATTCCGAGTGACCTTCGATGAAGAAACATAACTATGTCAAGGGCTGAACACGAAAGGCGATGACTTCGGAGGAATAACTGACCGCATCGTTTATTCCGTGTACATTCCCGAAGTAGATAGTTGGTAGTGCCGGAGTTGTCGATGAAGTAGGGGCGGTGGTCGTAGAGGTCTGAATGATGGAATGGTAGTAGTTGTTGTAGTAGAAGTGGTGGAGGTGGTGGAGGTAGGGGTAGGGGTGGTAGTCGTCGTGGTAGTAGTAGAAGTGGGAGAGGTGGTAGAGGTAGGGTAGGGGTGGTAGTCGTCGTGGTCGTCGTGGTTGTCGTGGTAGTGTTTGCATAACAGGTATTATCCGATCCGCATGAGTAACCTGGATTGCAGCCTGTAATCGACGCAGTCATTGTGGGAGATCGGGGACATTATAAGTTCTTGTGTTATTACATACAACTGACACCGGGTTGGCAACATGTTGTTCCCTGTTCGCAGTAATGGCCAGTACCACAGGGGGTTCCACCGTTCGGAATGCAACTGGTGAACAGGTTTACCATGAGACAGTGAGGTAGCATTCATATAGTCGACGGACTCATTGTCAGCACACTGGTCCGAGCAGCATGAGAGGGACGATACGGAGACGAAGGTTCGCTTTCACAAGGAGCACTCACATAATAGCCTGGATTGCAATGTACAGTTCCACAAGGGACTCCTGGGTTTGTAGTAGTAGTCGTAGACGTAGTCGTCGTAGTCGTCGTAGTCGTAGATAGATAACAAGAGGTGTTAGGTCTGCATGAATACCCTGGGTCGCAGCCTATGATCATCGTGGGTGATCGGGGAGACTATCAGTGGCGCAAGTTTTTACATACAACCGACATTCTGACAGCATGATTTCCCTGGTTGGCAATAATGACCGGTACCACAGGGGGTCCCACCGTTCGGAATGCAACTGGAGAATAAGTTTACCATGAGATAGTGAACTAGAATTCATATAATCGACAGACCCATTTTGATAACACTATTCCGAGCAGTATTAGAGGAACGGCACTGAGACGAAGGGTCACTTTCATAAGGAGCACTCACATAATAGCCTGGGTTGCAATAACCGGCCCCACAAGGTACTGCGCCGTACGGGATGCAGCTGACATACCATGCGTCGATGAACAACCGTCCAATCATTCACAACATTGTGGCTTACATCGTTGCCCCACACTGGGGTGAAGAAACACCCAGTTAAACACATCAAACAGCCTGAGTGAAGTGGAAAACTCACGGAATAGCCCTGTGGACAACAAAAAGAACGATTTGGGCACTGAAGGAGCGGATAAGGACACTCGTAAAGTGTTTCAAGAAGATAACCGTACGCATATATACCCATTCATACAACACGAGGTGGGAGTACATGAGTCTTGACGGCAAAAAGGAGCTAAGCGCCGGCTGGTTCGAGAAATGAGTTAGACGGGGGACTTACGATAGCCTGGGTTACATTCGCCAGCCGCCGCCGCTACAGCTGCTTGGAAGTTGGTTCTGTTGCGGAAAGCACTGGCGAAGAGCACAGGGTTGTTGAGCGCGTCAATTGGTCCAAGTGCTGGGTTTGTATAACCGCGGTTGAGAATAGGTGAACGGGAAGTGCAAGGACCAGCGACGGCACTTGCTGCAATGAACAAGGCAACGATAAAGACATGAGCAATCTGCCAAAAATTTGACAACATCTTTCTCATCAGGTCCGCCTGTCGAACGGCGATAGCGAAAGAGGAGCATCTCACCACTAGCAAAGGCACCCAACGCACTTAAATGGGTCATGGCTTATCTGTGTCTGCGGTACGAGAACACCCGAGTCTTCCATTGTGAGTACTTGCTCTCCAAAGATTAAAGATCAAGAATTTGCAAATACCGATATTACGACTCAATTGAAATCCCAGCCTCATTCATTCAACAGTTCATTTTTGCGCTTGGTCGCCGGCGCTTGTGTGCCCGTCGTGCGGGGATGGCCGAGAAGAGCGAAACATTAGACAGGCTACTGACAAGTCTGTAGATGGTTTGATTTTCCATCCTGTATTAGCTCACGGCAAGTTGTACTTTTACTTTCTACCAGGTACTCGCCTGTCGGTCTGTTCAAGGCCCTATCTGCCGGTGCCGCCTTGGTCACTATTCTCTCTTGACTCCGGCTGGCGTTGGATGTCGGTACTCTCAATTCACAAACTGATCTCAGGCTGTCACACTAAGTACCACTTGCAAGTGACCCATCCATATTATTAGACATGGATTTTCCTCGCGATCGTGCATCCCTATTGGTGCGAACACACGGCACGCTTTTCCCTCATTGCAGCAACCCGGGTACTATTTGTTACGATCCCAGTTGCACAATCTCCCCTGCGCATTCAATGTTGTCTTCACCCGCTCCATTTGCACCACGTCGGCTTGTTACCAATAGTCCGGACTCATTCGGCAGACCATCTGCTCTCTCCAGAACCCCCCAGCAACCCTCCATGCTGACCGACCAAAAAATTTCTGCCGGTGGCAGGACTGCCAAGTGAATAGTACATTTGGAATAGGCTCAGCATCATCAGTGTCTGGGACAATAGGGATAGGAGGATCATCTGGAGGAGGGTCGACAAAATCGGGGACCTTGGGGTCAAATCTGTCGAAGTGGACTGGATCTATGGGTTGCTCAGTGCTGTCTCTGAAATCGGAATCTACAACAGGTGATTGGTTCCTAGCAGGGCACATGATTGGAGTCGACAGGAGGGGATTTTCTAAGTTAGAGAAGCTATGAAACTCAACTGGATTCCTCACTAGATGACTAGGACCAGGCTGTGAGGGTTTGGGTGATGGGGAGGATGAGTTAGGGACTAATCTGCATAGTTGTCAGGGGATGACTCCCAGGTCCCCATGACCCTCCCCTATGGTCCACATGTGTAAACAGCCTACCCTGAGGCACAACCTACTGTGGGTAAGGAGATGAGAAGGAAGCTGTAAGGAATGGATGATGTGCGCTTTGCGTGCATTTCCTCTATTCATTATTCTATAATAAACTTCAAACTAAACAATGTAAAACACCTGTATGTACATATATAGCATCTGGGGTTGGGAAAAGGAGCTTAGCTCTTCTCCTCCTGTCAGAGTCTGCGTGTCTATTCGCAGTGTAAGAGTATCCCCAGGAAACTAGTCGATATCAAAGCTGGGGGGCTAGCCCAGCTGGCATAGTAGCCTTATGTACATGAGTTCTGCTAACTCACGAGAGCGCAGTTACATTGGGAAGATGGTAACTAATAGAAACACGACATCAAATAGGAAGATAGAAGATGCAGGAAATGAGGGAATATTGGGTAAGGGGTGACGCTGTTGCAGGGATAAACCCTTGCACTACAAAACAGTGCTCTGTCACGGCCCCGCAAAGTCCCCGCCCCTCTACCACTTTCTGCACCCCCATTCTTACGCCGTTACTCGCGCCGTTAATCTCGCCATTGCCCATCACTTAGCGGCGCCGATAGTGGTTCCCGTTCTACGGCCCCGTAGCAGCGCCTCCTTCGTTTTCCCGCCACCACTTGGGTTCCTCAAGCATTCGGCCGGTATCGTTTTATTCTATTCACTCGCTTAACTAACTAGCGGTTGTTATGGTCGCCGTTGATCCGCTCCTTATGGACATTCCTTATTGACAATTGATTATTCCTTTATTGATATTTGATTTATACGTATATTGACATTCTGACCCGCGCGCCTAGATTGTCGGCTTATCCTTTCTGCCTCCCAACTTCGCCGTTCTCTGTCCCATTCATCTCTTCTGTTCCATTACCCTGGTCCTCATCGCTCTTTAGTTCTGTCGTACTTATCATCTCGTTCCCGTCTCGCGCCGGACCGACCGGTCCCTTCTCTGTTCTCCTTTCCTATTTATACTTGTAGTTTACTGTCGATGTACCTGAGTTTGAATATCGACTAGAATTTCCCCCAAGTACTTTCATCTTAAGTTCGCCCCTCAGCTTCATCCCGCTTAAGTCAACGTCGCCGCAAGGTCCTTCCCGCTAACGTGAAATACGGGACAGCCTAGAACGCGTGGCGCAACGCTCTGGCAAAGTCGTTGAAGCCGAAGTCCCAACCCCCTCGACGCCTTGCAACGGAGTAGCTCATTAGCTAAGTGACCACTTACGCCGCCGTACTCCGCCCCGCTTCCCGCGATCCCCTCGAACATAGTTTCTGACATGCTCTTTCATTCTTTCATGTACATACATTCCCGTGACTGCACAGCCACAACTATACAACACCGTACTACAAGGACCTTTGGTGAGATTGAGAGAGGCAGAAGATTACTGTCCCCCCTGTGAGCCTGTGTGACATTGGGATAAATTCCCTGTTACAACGCGATAGCAAATATAGCACAATGAGTTATATCTGCGTTCTAACTACGTAATTATCTCACGCAATCTCGGCTAACAATTACCTCATTGATATCGCTTAGAGTAAAGGGGGGCCGGATAACCAGGCGTCCCCTGACACCTCCCCCCCCTGTTGAATACTAGCTCCATACAGTCTATGTTCTTGACAGCCTGAGGATTGAGGAGTCACCAAGGCCGGCACCCCAACCGGCCTTACAGAAGCTAACTTCTCATCTTCCCACAGTGGCCACTGTATCAGGAAAACTTCCGGGAATATCTGGAAGTCACATGAAGGAAGAGACCCAGGGCCCAGGGCAAGTGGTGCATGGAGCACACAGTGCAGAGCATGTGCAGGAAGTTAGCAGCCAGGTCCAGGCTAGGTCAGGGTGTGTGTGCCCTGACAGTAGTTGTGAATGAGTGCAGAGGACTTTGGGTGCCATACAAGACTGTCAGGGAGCAAAAAGATACTGTCAGAGACCAGGTTCAGGACGAACAATGACATTGTAATGGGTCTATCACTCTAGACTTGCAACTCAGGTCTGGGGGGGGGGGGGTAGGTCTCTCTCTAGTGTCAGACAGATGTAGTGGGGTCCTTGGGTACAGTGCTGATAACTCTCTAACAACTATACAGTGTCATGGAAGAGTCCGATACAATAAGAAAAGGAAAGTCACATGCATCAATGAATGAAAATAGTAAAGATAATAAAGAAAATGTCATATCTCCTCAACAACTCCACCAAATCCAACGATCTTGGACTCATCAGAACCACCTCCACAACCTCCACAACTCCTATCATTACCCTGACTCACCAATCCTAATCCCTGATGTAGTAAAGGGTGAAGTGTGTAATGGGGCTTGTTTTAGCCTGCATGGACTTGTCCCCACAACAATGTCCCTGTGAATGGAGGGCTACGGCCTCAGCGACTTATGCCAGGAGCACTGTGCCCAGTAACACATTGGTGCCCTAATTTACAGACTGAGAGAGAACTCTAGGAGGGGGGGAAACTCTAGTTGATCTTTTTGCTAAGGTGTAATGTATCTACAAGTTATGTATATATAGTTATGGGTGGAGTCTAGACGGCAGGCCCATAAATGGCAGGGGCTGAGCAGAGCGGACCTAATGGAGTTACAGGTTAGCTGACTGAATATTACTGATGACTTGGGTTACGGGGTTTAACAGATTGATGGGTTATAACCCAGAAGTGGAATGGAGGGATCAGTCTGAAGGTAGGCTTGCAGGGCAGGCAGCTAAATTACCCAGTGGAGGTGGGGGTGTGCTTGTGGATGTTGGAGCTGCCTGGAGACCTTCAGGGTTCTGTACTTGGGGAGGTGTAGGTAATATATTGAAATGAGGGGGTGGTGACCATTGGGGGAGTTGGAGGGGATTGCGGAATCCAGAGGCTCCGAGGTTGGAGTCAAAGGAGTGGAGGCAATCCAGGATGGCCAGAGGTGGTGAATGTGGATGGATATGATACCCCTCATAGTCACAGATGTCCATGCATCAAACAAAATGAACCAGACCTGGAACCTCCTGTATCAAAGAGTCAATCCACATCAGCAGCTACGATGAGAGGGGCGGAAACATGCCATGAGCTGCTTTTTTAAGTCTGCTGTGACAGTTTCTGACCACTCCATAATAAGTTTGGTAAGTTTTGTCTGGTGAGGAAGGTCCTTCTCCTTTGTCAGGGCAATAGCCCTGAACCCTGAGCCATATGTAATTACAATGTACATATAGTCACATGGGTAAGTGGGAACTTCTGGTTAACCACTTACACACACTGTAAAATACACATCATCATATCACTTATGGCCTCGTGTGCTGAGCAACCCCCACTGAGACCTCACATCCTTGTAGTGTGGGGAACTATCAAGGCCTGCACAGGCTTGATATTTCATTAAATCATGAAATGAGTCTGAATCAATGAGGTCAAAAATCAATGAGGTCAAAGGCCTAGGGAAAGTTAGTTTTATTGATCTAGGAATAGTCAAAATAGCACACAAGATCATGCTCAATGATCAAGTTCTCGATTCTATGAAGTAACCCCCTCCACAGTCCATGATATCTCATCTTCAGCTAGGCGATAGTAGTTTGTGATCTGTTGTAACCAGGCAAGAAGGCTGGGGGTAGTGTCTGAGTCAGGTTGGAAGAAGGGTAATGGCAACAGTGCTGATTGTCAAAAACCCCGAACATAGGGGAAAATGCATGTGTAGGGAATGGAGGTGTGGTGATGCATGCTGTGCACGCTTTCTTTATTCATTGTTTATTACTCTTTATTTCTCGATGTAAACAATGTATATAAATTGCGGGGAAGGGTGAAACAGGTTTTCACTCTTCTCCTCCCCTGTCGAAATAAAGCTCTATACTGCCTAACTTCTGACAGCTTGAGGATAGCAAGAGTCAACACCAAGGTCAGAACCTCAACTGACCTTACAGTGTGAGTCCAAATGCAGGCGGGGCTCAACTAGAGGGGATCCGAGAGCTCTGGTAGTGGACTGAAGCTTCCCCAGGAAGCCCGGGTCTGCTGGGTGGTACAAGAGGCTCTAAGAAGGATGTGGCCTCAGTGACTCAGAGGGAGCACTGTGCCTCCATTACGTCTCAGTTAGTCCTTGTATTTCATGTGTCTGAGGTATCTTTTAGGAAGGGGTCGGGATTCACTCAGAGGGACTTGGGGTAACATTTTAGTCAAGATTAGAACTG